ATTAACTATAACTAAGACAATTAGATAGAGCTGTTACTACTTATATAGTTTATATATAATAACACCCCTACTAAAATAATAAAGGTTTCATCATTCTTTACTAACTATAGCTAAAACCTAGAAGTATACTGACAACTATAAGATAAGGTCAATGTAGAATCTACTATTCTTAAGGTAGAACATTTTAAGAAGCTATATATATTCTTAAAAATAGAACTTAAGTTTATCTAAGAATAAGTCTACTATTATTATAATAAAAAAAGGATAAAGAGACCATCCTTCTTAAAGAGAGATATAGTCTACCTATTATAAAAAAACATTATTATAAAGTAATCTAGTAATAAATTAGACTATAAGAAACTAGAACCCTTTAAAATTAAATAGAGAATCTTAATATCTAACTATAAACTATTATTACTAAAGATAATATAAATTCACCTAATTTTTTATATTTCCCTACTAGAACCAGCCCTTCTAGAAGTATAGCTATAAGAACTAATAGAAGTAGAAGAAGAAGAAGAAGAATATAAAGTTAAATAAATACTTAAGCAAAGAATATTAGATAGAAAGTACCTAGTTAAGTAGAAAGGCTATAATACTATAGAGAATATCTAGAAATCTATTAAGAATCTAACATATTATTAGTAGAAGCTTTAATAGTTCTATTAGTAAAGTCAGTACCTAAAAATAGTTAATAACCATCTAAACTAAAGATGCTTTAGTTAATAGAGAAGGGGTCGACCTCTAGAGAATAAGCATTCTTAGTAATACACATATCCTTCTTCTCTAGCTCCTCTAAAGATTATATTTTATAGTAAAATAAGTCCGCCCTATAATCCTTTAAAAACTGCTTCTATCTATATAGATAAGATAAGTAGTTTAGTATTATCTATAGTTAGATCTATAATATAAATATCTCCTCCTTAGTATTTAATTTCTCTTTTAAAACCTTTTACTATTTAGCCAGTATATAGAATATTAAAGGAAGATTAGCTATAAAGAAAAAAACTTAAGAAATATAGAAGTACCTATAAGAGAAAGCTATATTGATATTATTATAAGACTGACTATAATAAATATAGTTACTATATTAAGACTTGCCCTCTACTATATAATATATTAGATTATTCTTAAAGTAATAAGAATATAATATCACTTTAACCCTATAGATATCTATATACATACTAAGTATAACTTATTTAGAAGTTTTTAAAGATTTCTATTTCTCTATATAATCTAAGGATATATTATCAGAAGGATGCTAGAAGAATTAAGAGGAGAGTTTGATACCTATAGTAGAAGTTTTAGTTCTAGGTAGATAGATCTTAAGAACAGCCTTAGGTTATTAGGATATCGACCTAGGAGGAGGACATTATATTATGAAACTAATCACTCTTATTATAGTATACCACCCTAGGCAGTCAGAAAGATAAGATAGGTAGAAAATATATAGACCCTAGGATCACTATCTAAGCTAGTAATCCCTTACTATAGATTACTACACTCTATAGTAAGGACTTATAAAGGATTACTATGATTTAAAGTGATCTATTATCTATATATATAGATGTATGTCTATCCTTAGATACCTATTCTAGATAACTCTCTAATATTTAAAGTATCTTATTTAATAAAGTACCTTTAAGTAAAGCTATCTTAGCTATAATTAACTATTAGTGCTTAGTAATGCTTATTACCTACTGCTTATATAAACCTATACGCCTCCGGTCCTATAAAGTAGTTGTACCTCTTAGGATTAAGGATTGTTATAAGTAATTAGAAATACTCTCTTTTAATTTATAAGTAAATATTATAATTAATACTATAATAAGACTTTATATCTCTAAGCTATCTATCTTAGAATACTTCTTAAAGAACTTAATTTTAATAATATTATAATCTTACTAATTATTATTAGTAAGTTCTATATAATACTATATAGCAGTATCTCCTACTAGATTCTAATAGAAGAGTATTTATAAGATTATAGTCTAAGATTTATCTAAGGTGATTCCTATTATAAGAATATAAGCTTAAATATCCTCTAGGTATTCTACTAAGAATAAATCCCTATAGCTAGTAAAGATTAAATTAAAAGACAGTATTTTAACAGACTAAGAATATAGTAATAAGGAATTTAGAATAAGAATAAATAGATCTCTAGATATAATAGAGGATAAGAGTTTCTTAATAAAATCTATTACTAGAGATAATAATAAGGATAAGAATATGCTAGAGATTAATAATATATATATATAAGAATGTATATTAACTACTAAGTACAGTTCAGTTTTATAAGTAGAGATAGCTAGAGAATTAATCTATTAAGATAGATTATTAATATACTCTAAGAAGTTTAATAGAAATAAATAATAAGAAGAACCTAATACTATATACTAAGAACTATTAGATATAACTAGTATAATTAACTTAGATAATAGAGAATGCTCTTTAAGAGAATAAGTATAAGTAATACTAGCCACCTATAACTAGTAAATATTAATAAGACTCTTAAAGTTAGCCATAAGAAACTGTTTACTAGTTCTCTACCTTTTAAGTATATCCTCTAAGAGGAAGATCTTAACTAGAGAATACTAATAATAAATACTAATAATACTATATCTCTAAGGTCCTTCTAGAATATACTAAGATATAGTTATAGCTAGAAGTTTAATAAGGACTAATAAGTAGTAAGAATTACTAAGACTGAAATAGTTAAAGTTTAAAAAGTCAATTCTAGATTTTTAAATAATAAAAGATATAAAGTATAAAGAGTAGAGTTTTTCTCTTATTATTTAATAAATTAAATTATAGGATAGAGTTCTTAAGGAAGTAGTAAAGTATAAAAGTTAAAAGTTCTTTATTAAAAAGCTAAAGATTATAGCTATAAGGTCTTGTTATTACTATATAAAGATTATTACTATCTAGTAGATATAGAATATGCTTATTAAGATATGCTTAAATAATCTTACTTATCTATTTTACTGCTGCTCTATAGCTACTATAGATCAGAAATTTTAAGAATTCTTAAAATTTAACTTTTAAAGTATCATCCTACTTTATTAAAGTATTCTCTACTATATAACTCTATAGGTCTAGACTTAATAGTAAGATCTAGCCTTTCTCTACTAGTATAGATAACTTAGACAGTATACTCAACCTAACTTTAGTAATAGCTTCTAGCCAGCCTCTCTAGAGTTTACTCCCTATAGTAGACTTCTATATAGCTATATAATTATTAGTATTATAGCTAGCTAATCTAGATCTTCTATTATAAGAAGGATTCTCTAATTCTTATTAGGGTAATAGATATATCTATATATTAAGAATCTTAATAATATAACTATATCTAGCTGCTCTTTTTAATTAAGTCTAGCTAGCTATAAGTATATTAAGATATACTAACTATATAAGGTTATTATAATATATTATAGGATATAATATATATATATTTAATATATATATAAGTAGTATGACTATACTGTCTTATTACTAGCCTATCAGTATATCTATTATAGATATATTCTAAGCTTATTATATATATATATTAATATACTAGTAACTCTAATCCTTATCTAATTCTATCCTAACTTATCCTATAGGGTTTAAATAGCTAGCTTAACTATTAATAGAGTTATATTTATTCTATATCACTTTATAGTAAAAAGAGTACTATTATAATCCTCTTAGTCTAGTAAATTCTATAGTAGATCTCTCTCTCTTTTAAGAGATAGCTTATTATAATAAAATCATATCTCTATATAAGCCTATAAGTAATAAGTCATTTTAAATATTTAGAGAAGTCTAAGATTTATACTTTAGCTATATACTAATTCAACTATAACTATAAATATCACAGTCCTTTATAAGGCAGTAAGCAATAAAGTTCAGTTTAGGTTAGTAATACCTAGGAGGCCTAAGATTTAATAAAGATATACTCAGACCAGGGAGAGGGAAAATCTATAGACAGAATCTGATTCTAGAGAACAAGAAAAGAAAGGCAATTCCATCATAGTAGAGGGAATATCCTGGTTCACCCCACCATAAAAACTCCGGATTCTGGTATTGTAAAGCAGGGGTCAAAAATAGTGGTTGATTGTGGCCTGCTAATTTCTAACTCTCTCTCTCGAGAAGCCAACTAAATCTAACTTGGTGGCCCACTTCAGGGGCTGACTAAAATTCCCTCTCTACAATGAGCAAATGACTTCATCCACTAGAATGAAGCTTTGATGTAAGTAGCAGGACGTGACGCGCTGCGACGGCCTCGGCAGACCAGTGGAGGGTCCAATGGATGCCAAGCTGCCGAATGAAGCCAATTATTAAGAGAGCGCTAGCATCCAAAGAAGTTAGCAGGTCCAGCATCCATGGATGGGTGCTCCCTCAAGGACAATACCACGCCGGGCCAGGGGGCACTCACAGCCTACAGGCACCACGGCGCCTAAAATGGTGTGGATTTACAGCGGAGCGGGTGCCTGACAGGACCGAAACCCAATCACCCAATGGCCTCCAAGGATACTGAATCCATCCATCCACTCATTGATCCAGGGACAAGGGGTCGGCGGGCGGACCTCCAGACGTGGGAACAATAATAATAAGCAAGAGAGTGGCAGGGTGGAACATCAGCAACAAGCACCATTTTTGCGCTCCTCCTTCTCATTCTCATCAATGCCGGCCAGCACAGAGCTGCCAATGATCTGAAGGCCAAGCAGGGAAAGCTGGGTGCAGAGTAATCGGGAAGAGTGGGCGGTGTGCCACACACACACACACACACAGTCCGCATCGCCTCGGCTTCTTGCTTCTCTCCTGATAACTAATAACGACGGACCGATCTTTAAGCTTTTTTTTGCCTTCTCTGTCCTAAAACCCCCTACCCCGGAGGTTTTATTACACCAAGGCGGACCCCGTTTCTCCCCCCCTCCTCCTCCTTGTCCGGAACACCTTCGCATGCGAGATTGCGACCAATTGAATGACGACGACTCCATCGACGACGGCGTCTGCTCATGGTTTCACCGCAGAACGGCTCTGGCTCCGGCGCAGAGCTGCAGGTGAAGTTGAACGGCCATGTGCTGGCTGATGGGAAGGACGCGGATGGAGAGGCAGTCATCGACGCGGGGCTCAAGAGTCTTGATCACTGTACGTGTGCACCGCCGCATCGCCCATACCCCCCCTCTGGCTTCTACTGCTCGCGATGCGACCGGCGCGCAGGCTGCTGCGTCTCCCGCCATGGGGACAAACCCATAGCTAACCTGCGATGCGCTGCCCCTCCCAGACAAGCGAGCTCTGCCGCCATGGCGGTACCACTTGCGCCGCGAGCTGCTGCCCCTGATACGATGGGAGACGCCCTACCTCGCCTACCTCCAGAGCAAGACGCGCTCTCCCGCCCTCGACACATACTTTGCCGTCACGGCCAACTTGGGAACCCACACGTTCTTCATGATCGGCCTGCCCATACTCTTCTGGTTCGGGTACAGGGATCTCGGGAAAGGGTACGACCCATCGCGCCTATATCTACATGAGTGACCTCGAACTGATCGCACGTGTCTTTGCACATACAGGGCCGTCCACATCCTAGCCTTCGGCGTCTTCTTCACGGGCTTCATCAAGGACCTCTGCTCGCTGCCGCGCCCCTTGTCCCCTCCTCTGCACCGAATCACCATGTCCGGGCATGTCGCCCTCGAGTACGGCTTTCCCTCGACACACTCGACGAACGCGGTCTCTGTCGCTGTCTACGCAGTGCTCATGCTGCGCGAGACCGACATGCCGCCGGGCACAAAGATGGCGCTCGAGGGCCTGAGCTGGTTCTACGCCGCTTCGATCGTGGTCGGGCGCCTCTACTGCGGCATGCACGGCTTTACCGACGTCGTCGTGGGCAGCATCCTCGGCGCGATCATCAGCTACGTCGAGTTCTACTACGGGCCCCGTGTCGAGGCCTACATGTACGCGAGCTCCTGGCTCGCGCCGCTGATCGCTGTGCTCATCATCATCGTGCTGGTCAGGGTGCATCCGGAACCAGCAGACGACTGCCCGTGCTTCGATGACTCGGTCGCCTTTGCCGGCGTCGTCCTGGGCGAGGAGGTCGCGGCGTGGCACTATGCCCGGAGCCAGTTCGCCTGGAACGACGCGAGCTTCAGCCCCGTCGACCTGGGCTGGCCGACGCTGCTGGGGCGCATGGTCTTTGGCGTGCTCCTCATCTTCGGCTGGCGCGAGGTCATGAAGCCGACCCTGCTCAAGGTCCTGCCGCACATCTTCCGCGTCATCGAGAACCTCGGCCTGAACCTGCCGCGCCGGTACTTTGTGCAGGCCAGCGAGTACAAGGTCATCCCCGAGGTGCTGCGGCTGCGCACCGACAACGTGCTCCCCGGCGTCAGCGACCTGCCCAACATCGTGCGGAACATCAAGCGCGCGCGCAGGGGCCGCAGCGTCAGCATCGGCCCGCAGAGCGCCGCCGACGCGTACGAGACGCTGGCGTACCGGGAGCGGAGGAGGAGGGAGAGCATCGGTAGCCAGGGCAGCATCCGGAGCAAGAGCAGCCAGCACGACCTGCGCGAGAAAGGAGGGGCCGGCAGCAGCAGCGGCGGCACCGCCGCCGCTGCCGCCGCCGTCGACGACCGAGACGGCAACCACCGCTCGACGATGGCGTCGGGCGTGCAGCAGGGCCCGCTGGCGCAGTACGAGGAGATGATGGGCCAGGGGACGGTGGTCATGGACAGCGCCGCCCCGCCGCCGCTGTCGGCCGCCGAGAGCAGGGAGCAGCAGCAGCACCACCTGCTCCACCCGGAGGACGACGAGCCGGACATGTTCATCGGGCGGCAGGACGAGCTGGGCGAGAAGGAGATCTTTGAGCGGCTGACGAAGCCGCGCGTCCGGTACGACGTCGAGGTCGTGACGAAGCTGGTCGTCTATGCTGGTGGGTGGAACCCCTCCCTCTTCTTTTTTTTGTTTTGTTTGAAGGGAAACATTTGACTGACACTTTTGCGTAAAACAAAAACAGGCATCGGACTGCTTGCGGTTGAGGTTATTCCGGTTCTGTTCGAGTTCGTCGGCCTTGGTGCTGAGCATCTTCGTCCAAGATAGCGTTTCGTTTCTACCCGTTCTGTCCGCGGGGGGGAGATCTAGCCTCCGTGATGACTTTTGTTTTGGGTCTATATTTGTTTGACTACACTTGATAGATGAATAATACATTTAAAGACTGTAACTCTTGATACAGGCCTCAAACAAGTGATTAGCTGTAGAGTAGGTGAGGAACTCGAGGTTGGATACTGGCGATCATATTCAGCACCACGACATCAGAAGAAGTCTGAAAGATACTGGGAATAAATTGAAATATTGTTCATGATTATTGTATTGACGAATTACCCTTTTTCCTACACAGAAGTAATGAATGCTCTCGATCATGATAGAAGACACCGTGCTATGCTCAGTCAAAGAGCATCTGAAATGCAGTCGTCGAGACCGTGTGTGAATAGTGTGTCCTTCGAAACTCGTCCTCAATGCCATAACGCCGGACTCGCAACTCCTTTTTTGAAAACCCACATTGATATGCTCTTGCTCTTCTTGATCATACATCCCCGATCGTCAACCGCAAAGTCCACCGGTGCCAGATTCACCAGTCGACCTCGTTGCGATTCACGCCCCAGCTTCCATACGTGCCCTTGGCCAGTTCCTCGCGCTCGTAATGCCGCCGGTGTCTAGCCTTGCGGCCCAAGCCGCCATTGTTGTTGTTGCCCACGTCATTGGCACCGGCACCACCTGCGGCGCCGGCCGCCGCCGGGGAGCCGGGGAGAACCACGCACTCCTTGCCCGGCGAGTCGCCGATCAGGCTGGCCAGGTCCTCGACGCGCTCCTTCTCGGCGCGCGCCGCGGCCTTGCTGACCTTGCGCGCGGCCGCGGCCCGGCGCGAGCCTTCCCTCTGCGCCTGCTTGCCGCACGCGCGGCAGAACTGCCGCCGGCAGTCCTCGCGCTCCCTGCGCCGGCGGGGCCCGCTGCCGCCGTGCCGCGGCGGCCGGCCCAGCGCGGCCTTGGAGAAGTCGGCCGCGGGCAGTAGCTCGAAGCACCGGTAGCACATGTGGCGGTAGGTGTCCGCGTTCGCGTCCGCTGCGCCCGCTGCGCCCGCTGCGCCCGCGCCTGCGCCGCCCGCGCTGCCGGCGGCGGCGACGTCCTCGCGCCACCGGGCCAGGTCGACGCTGTGGTAGTAGTCGAGCTTGCGGTCGAGGTCGGCGTCGGCGGGGCGCGTGTAGGGCTCGAAGGCGGGCGAGGCCTGCCGGAGGCGGTCCCGCGAGACGAGCGACAGGCGCGAGGTGATGTTGAGCATGATCTCCGCCGGCAGGCGGTCGAGGAAGCTGCGGCCGTGGGCGGGCGGCTCGAAGGCCGGGTGGTCCGGGTGGAGGGAGACGTAGATGACGCGGTTCGGCAGGGAGCTGTCGGTGAGGCTGCTGCGCTGGTAGTAGTTGTCTAGGGTGATCGGGGCCACAGGGGAGTTGTTGTTGTTGTTGTTGTCATGGCTCGGGGTCTTGGGGTCCGCAAGGGGTAGGGACGGTGGAGGGACGAGGGGGGAGGCTGTGGCTGCCTGGGCTGCCTGGGCTGGGGATGGGTTTTCTTCCTCCTTGATGGGCTTGTTCGGGGTGGCTGGCATTGCTGCCGGAGTGTAGGATGACATTTTGGTGGTAGGTTATGTGAGGTGTGAATGACTTATCGAGGGAATGTTGGCTTCACTGGTTCCAAGAGGAGAGTAACTCTTTTGATGAACCGCGAGGATGATGACGATGATGAGGAAGGTAGAGGAAGAAGAAGTAGTTGATGATGATGATGAGGAGGAGGAGGAGGAAGGTTGAGGAAGAAGAAGAAGTTGATGACGGCGACGATGATCGCTGCGGAGGGCGCCTACGTAGGATCTCGATAGGGGAAATAGGTTAATAGTTCTAGAGTCGGTTAGAAGTCGCGATATTTATTTTGGTGCCTTGGACGTGTAACTGGACGCGTGTAGTAGGGAGTGACCCCTTTGTTGACTGCCCTGCGGGCGGTGCTAGCGCGACGGGCAGTGGTGACTGTGGTGGTCCTTGCCTTTGCAGGAGTGGTTAATTGACTGGAGAAGAGCTGATGTTATAATGAATTGTCCAAGTGACTTCGATCTGATTGAAGTCTGGATGGGCAGATAAGCTGACAAGTGCCGCCTGGGTTGCTGGCTGAGCACTGCTGGAGTGTGTCAAGGCTTTGAAGTCTCGACTGGTCTCGAGCTTTTACAGAAGTGAGGAAATGGGAGGAGGGCAAGGGGAGGAGCCTCGATCGTCCCATGTCATGTGTGCCAGCCATCTGTCGTCTGCGTTGTGATTCGCGCGGGGGGTAGGTCGATTGGCGAGGCGCCAGTTCCCTGTCCTGCGCGACTCGGGCCTCGTGCTCTTGATGGCTGGCGATGAGTGTCGTCCTTGCTTTGGGCTGTAGAGAGGAAGTGTGTTCTCAGTCGACAAAAGCCTCCCAGCGACCGAAGAGTGACACCCTGTTGATACTGATCTGACCCAACTACTGGTGATGGCTTCCGAGGGCATGACGACCCAAAATGTAAAGACGGTATCAATTCCTCTTTGTCAAAAGTAAGGCAGTCTTGTTATATATAATGCGAATTCGTTGTGAGACCTTGATGTCAGGAGTTACTCAGACAAAAGTTTGTCTCCGTATGGGATCCTGTTCGGTGTTGCTCGGATGTCCATAGTACGAAACATGGCAGACATCTCACTTGGCCGAACAGTCCGGATCACCTTTGTTTCCTTGCTATAGATTAGGCCTAACCCTTCATAATAAAAAATGCAACATACAAGTGTCCATCCAGTCATCCAATGAGGCGGTGGTCTTATTGGGAGAGCAGTCGCTTGTCCGAAAGAAGAATTGGTCAAGGTAGCCAACTCCCTTCCGGGGTTCCACGAGTACGATTTCCATACTCTCTTTGGTCTCCGTATTCTCCCGCGGTTACTCAGGAACGCCTTAGGAGAGGGAGGGTGAAGACGCATACGCATATCAGAGCGTAGAGTAAAATACGACTAAGCCGAAAAGAAGGGCGCCCTCGACTCCCACAACTTGTCTTCCCTAGGAAAGAAGCAGTGAGTTCTGCATGTCTGCCCGCTTGATCATTCTTTGCTTACTTAGTCTCTACTATGTTCGGCAATATGCGTGAATGGTGGTGGCATCCACTGGATAAGTTGTTTCCAAGTGAAGCTAATGACAACCAACTAGGACATGGGAGCAATGATGAGTGGCAAAGACTCAGTTCTTATGCCACTGAAAGCGCGCGCTTTTCCATAAAAAAAAAAAAACAAACCCTACCGATTTATGGGAAAGCAATAGTGACCACAGCGTCTGTGTAGACAAACACTGCCGTATTCACATCTGCAACGTTTATTAATCTTGGTCATACCACCGAGAGCCTCGTCTGATCGGTATTGTCTTCTACACTTCAACCGCAACTCGGATTCGCGACAAGGAATTAAGGTTTAGCCTGGTGGTCTGTGCTCTCTGTCGGGGGATTCAATCTTCCTCTCGGCTCTGTGCGTCTGTGCGGTGCGGAATGCATACGGAGGACTCGAAGTGTATTGGGTGATCATGCTCTATCTAACGATGGCAGGGGCCCCTGTTGCACGAATGAACATTAGCGCCAGCCATGTGTGCCCAACGACCCCTCCAGAGCAGGGGTGTCGGCCAGTCCAGGCCGGGAGGAGGCTCGGGATGCGAGGCTTGACTCTCGAGTCTGCTTTGGACTCGCCAGACCCGATCGCGATGGTGCCTGGGGCGAACCCTCTCTCGGGCTTTTCCCACGATGCCAGGACGAATCAGCGGTCTCCTAGGTTCCTGGGATGACTGCTCATTACTGAATTTACCAAGAGGACATCCTTCACCTCACGAGATGCACGCGACATGGATGGCATGTCAGGTCCTGGCTAGCCCTTGTCCTGTGTGCAGTAGGCAGGCAAGGCAGGTAGGCATGTATGTATGTACAAGTATCAATCCAGGGTGTGATGCAGCGGCAAGGAAGAAAAAAGCACCCAGGCAGGCGGCAGAAGGCGAGAAACAGGCGTGCAAACCTGGCCAGAATCCACCCGAACGAAGACTCGAGGAGGGGCAGGAGGGCCAGCAGAGCTCCAGAATGATGCAGGCGATGATACATACATGCATGCAGACAGTTCAGAGTTTTCCTTCTGATGTCTTTTCTTTTTTCGTAGCCCTTCTCCTCTTTTTTTTTTTTGCCTCCCGTTATGTGTGTGCATTTTGTGTGCCGTCCCTACATGCCAATCGCGACGAGAATGGCATGGCCGAGAGGGGTTGTTGTCTTCTCATTTGACATGATCGTACACACGGGGAGCAATTCGAAACGAAGGCCATGGAAAGAGCTTCACCGCTTCTTTGAAGAAAGCTTGGAATTTTTAGCATGGCCCTTTTTTTCCCGCAGAGTGGATTCGCGTTCGAATTAAACAAGCCACTCTTGTTGGGGGAGCCGCTGGTTTTGCGAAGGATGGATTTCTGGTCCATGACTGGTAAAAAGAGCCCGTCTGGATGTGTGCGGATGTGTGTGTGTGTGTGTGCGCGCCAACGACAAATATGGATGCCAATTGCGGTTCCATGGTGGCTAGTGGTACCTGGGTCTGGCATACAAATTCGCGGTGTGAGGAGAGTACCTATTCTCTGGATCGGTTTTACCACCCGACGGCGGCCCCTCTGGGAGTCCACTGTCCCCTTCGCGGGACCCATCGGCCCAGATTTAGCAGGAATCGGCTCATGCAGTGCCCGTAACACTCGCAGGAGGGACAGACAAGGGTCGAATTCAGGTGGGATAAACGGCTATCCATGGATGGGAAACGCGCACACATCAGGCACATCCGGCATCGTGTGGTTTCTGGGTTGTCAAGGGGGAGGCCGGCGAGGCATCATCACACTGGACTTGAGGCCGGAGCAGGGCAAGGCAAGGCAAGGCAAGGCACGGCACGAGATCTGAGAGTTAGAAGAAACGCCCGCCCGAGCTGGAGGTGCAGGACATCATACCTACAAGTAAGTGATGCGTGCAGATAACAACGGCACAGCACAGATATTGGATACGTAGATGATTAAAGTATCGTTTGCGTAGATCACTGATGACAGGGTGACTTGCCGCATCCTCTCTCAGCCTTTTGCCCACCAATTCGCACCATCCCTGCAACTTAGCCTTTTGAAACTAAGCCTATTGCTCTCGAGACACCACCACTAGCAATCGCCCCCCTGCCAATCAGAGGCCGGCACACCCCCATCTCGAGGTCACCAAAGGGCCACCGTACTCAAGGTCTGCGTGGAAAAAAAAAAAAGGATACACTTCGGTAAATCCAAAACCCAGAGCTTGGATCGATTGTAGGTACCGCCGGTGCTGCCCGCCGTCATTCCCTAGCCTGCCCAGGTGGCATGGTGTGCCTTGGATTGATTGGGAAACTCTGGCCAAATAAAGGCGTAGAATAGGTAGGTTCCTGCGCCGTCCGTGTTGGGCGGTGTCTCTGGAGCTTATCCCTGGCAGTCCGTAATCTTGTCGCGTCCCTACGGAACTAGATACCTGAACTTATGATCTAAAGAAAGTTGGTGAGAGCGCCTTGTGTCTCACAGTTTCCAGGCTAAGTAAAGTACCTACATTCGTTACCAGTTCACTGCCGATACAGCCCCGGCGTCTTCGTGCAGATCCCTTGCGACGGAGGACAGGAAAAGGGACAGGAAATACCTACAAGCCCACTCACTGTCTACGTAAGGTTACTTCGTACCTAAGGTAGATAGACTGCGCCCAGCTATCCTCTTTGTCGGATTTCGATAGCGAGCGGAGTGGGATAGCCCACAGCACAGTACCGGACATGATACCTCAGATGCCTTTCGAAACATCCGACACACGGAGATTTCCCTGACTCTTTTTCAGGGAAACACGCCCTCCCCCCTAGACAAATCCACTGTCGCATCCGCCCACTTTTTCCCTTCTGCACTGCCCAGCTTGACCGTGCGCTTTTGGCTCCCCAATTTTGGTGCCATTCTTTGATGAGAGAGAGACACACACACAGAGAGATACCTAGATTCCGGGCTGGCTCGCTTGCTTTTGATTAGTGATTGATCGACTTGACCTGAACTTGATTGCAGAGTGAGCAAGTTAGCAGTGAGCGACGGGCGACGGGCGACGGGCAACCAAACTGACTGGTTCCAGGGCGCTCGCTGACTGGCTACTGCCTTCGAGTACCACCTGCCCGACATCTGTCTAGGTACCGTAGAGCGTAGGTAGGTATCGCCTTCCAGCCTGGCAACCTTTGGAAAGTCTCAGGTCAAAAAGCCACCCACTCGTAGGGATTCCAGGCCCCAGAAACTCCACCCAAATCTCACCTGTCACCAACCATCTGCGACTCTGCGACCTGCACTCTCTCCATCCAATCCTTACCGCCCGCCACCTTTCCTCCAGCAGAATCAATCACTCGCTCGCTCACCCCTCACCCACCCAGAGACTCTTCGACGATTGCCAGATCTCGAGCTGCCGCTGCCTTGCGACGCGACGAAAGGAATAGTTGCGCATTTCCTTCTCATCGCTCTTGGGCCAAGAGCTTGATGATGTCGGCAATCGATCGCAAGTAGCTACGCCCTCTCTCTCTCTTTCCACCTCCACCTCTCTCCACCACCCCTTACGCAATCATGGCCACTGAAGCGATTGGCGCTGCCGCGCCCGTCGTCGACGGTGATACCATCGCCGTCGCCCACCCTTTCCAGCCAAAACCCGACGACGCTTCCAAGCCTACCGGCTTGAACTCTCCTCCCGACAGCAACAATGCCATGAAGCTCGACGGTAGCGACGATTCCGAGCTTAGCGACCTCGACGATGCTGTCACGGACGGCTTCAAGTTCGACCCCGAAGACGACATTGGCGAGATCGAACCCGACCACTTCTCTGGCACTGTTCCTGTCTTCCGACCAACTATGCACCAGTTCAAGGACTTTAAGCGATTTGTACGTTGCCGATCTCGTTATGGACATCTCTTGGTTTCTCGACTGGTGGATGCGATTGGTTTCTTTGACTACGCGCAGGTGCTAACCACTCTCTTTCTCACTCCGTACAGATGGAAAAGATCGACCAGTATGGAATGAAGTCTGGCATCGTCAAAGTGATCCCTCCTCAAGAATGGAAGGATTCTCTCCCCGCCCTCGACGAGCTTGTCAAGACAATCCGAGTGCGGGATCCCATCAAGCAGGACATCATGGGTTCGAATGGAACCTACCGACAGGTCAACATCCTCCACCAACGATCCTACAACCTCCCCCAATGGCGCCAGCTCTGCGACCAGAGCGAGCACCAGCCTCCGGCAAGACGCGGCGAGCGTCGTGCCAACGCAGACAAGCCCAAGCCCACCCCACGACCTCGACCAGCCAACGCTGCCTCTGCCGCCGGCGGTTCAAGTAAAAAGGGAAAGCGTGGTAAGACCGGCAAGGGAAAGGGCAAGTCAGTCGTCAGGGAGGAGACGGCAGAATCAGAAGCTCGTCCCATGACCCCCGAATCACCCAAGGTTGAACCCGACACTGTCCTCGATTCCGTCGAAGGTGACCCCGCGATTAAGATTGAGGAGACCGAAGAGACCTTTGAGGAAGCTCCCGCTCCGCGGAGAATGGGATTCACCCGTCAGGCCAGCACCATCAAGACGCAGTCCACGTCGGCGCGCCGAAAATATGCCAAGCGTGAAGGTTCCGCCAAGATCGACGAGGCTGCCTTCAAGGATTGGGATTATCACATGGACATCTCGGACTACACACCAGAGCGGTGCGAGGAGCTGGAGAGAGTGTACTGGAAGACTCTCACCTATGCCCCTCCCCTCTACGGTGCCGATTTGCAGGGGACTCTTTTCGACGAGTCTACCGAGCTATGGAACCTCAACAAGCTACCCAACCTGTTGGACGTGCTGGGGACCAAGGTGCCTGGCGTCAACACTGCCTACCTCTACCTGGGAATGTGGAAGGCTACTTTCGCGTGGCATTTGGAGGACGTCGACCTCTACAGCATCAACTACCTCCATTTTGGTGCCCCCAAGCAGTGGTACAGCATCTCGCAGGGCGATGCCAGACGGTTCGAGGCTGCCATGAAGAACATCTGGCCCACCGACGCCAAGGCCTGCGACCAATTCCTCCGCCACAAGGCCTTCTTGATCTCACCCAACCACCTCCAGCAACACTATGGCATCAAAGTCAACAAGGTTGTCTCATACCCTGGCGAGTTTGTCGTCACCTATCCCTACGGTTATCACTCGGGCTACAACCTGGGCTATAACTGTGCTGAAGCTGTCAATTTCGCCCTCGACTCTTGGCTGCCGATGGGCAAGATTGCCAAGAGGTGTGAATGTGCACAAGCCCAGGACAGCGTCTGGGTCGATGTGTATGAGATTGAGCGCAAGCTCCGAGGCGAATCCACTGAGTATGAGGAGACCGAGGACGAAGAAGACGAGGAAGACGAGGATGAGGCCGACGATTCTACTCTTCATGCCCACGGAAGCACAATCCGTATCAAGGCCCCGAGCAAGAAGCGCAAGAGGGATGTAAAGGACAAGGGCAACAAGAAGGTCAAGAAGATTCGTCTCCGTCTCAAGGCTCATGTCGAACCGCCATGTTGCCTTTGCCCCAACGACTTCCCCGGAGCGGAGCTCCTGCCTACCGATGACGGCCGAAAGGCCCACAGACTGTGTGCGCTGTATCTACCCGAGACCTACATCGAGACGGAGGACGGCAGGGAGGTCATCACCAACGCCACAAGCATATCAAAGGCTCGCCTGGATCTCAAATGTCTATTTTGCCGATCCAAGAAGGGAGCCTGCTTCCAATGCTCTCAGAAGAAGTGCGCACGGTCGTACCATGCCACCTGTGCAGCGTCAGCTGGGGTATTTGTCGAGGAGGCCGAGGTTCCCGTTTTCGGCGAGGACGGCACAGAATACAAGGAGCAGGCCTTCGAGTTCAGCTGTCGTTTCCACCGCACCAAGCGAGACAAGAAGCTGGATGGAGAAGCACTGGAGAAGAACGCCCGCGTCCGCGACGCTGCCGCTCACCTCACCCAGGGCCAGTTCTGTCAGCTACAGTACTACAGGGGCGATATCTTCGCGGGCGTCGTTGTGGAGAATCGCGCCGACGAAGAGACCCTTCTGGTCGATATCATTCCTGGAGGTGATCGTGTCGAGGTGGAATGGAAGTGGCTCCTCCTTCCGGACCCGGCCGACTTCAAGCTGCCCAAGGCTTCACCAAATGCGTTGCCTCTGCCGTCATCCAGGTCCGCCAAGGACAAGATCAATGCGAAGAAGAGGCCTGGCAAGGAGTTGCCCCGGGCCGAGGACGCATTCGTCGAGGGCTTCACGTGGGCTGAGTTCCATACCTGTGAAGAATCAGAATGCACCAACAGCGAACAAGTCAGGATCGACTTTGCCAAGACAGACCAGGTCTGGCACTACCTGGGTAGAACTTCGACAGAGACGAAGGCCCAGTACACGGAGGATCCGGCCAGGCCCCAGTACAACCCCAAGAGCCACTTCTTGGATTCAATACCCAAGCCACTCATCCAGCGTCCCTCTTCGACAGTCATGGGACCACCTCGCCGATCGTACAGCACCATCAACCCTCCATATGTCCCCCATACCGTCAAGGAGGAGAAGCCTTACGTCTATAAACCGCGCAAAAATTTCGACTACACCTTCCCCCCGCAGAACCCCCAACAATCCTTCTCTTCTCAAGCCGTCGGCAGCGCGACTCAGCAATCCTTCAACCCCGACCCTCGCTTTGTCAATGCGGCCCAGTACTATGGGACGACGGGCTTCCCTGCCGCCCAAGGCCAGGCATCCTCATCACGTCCTACTACTCCGAGCGGCCCATTCCTCAACGGCTACTCTGCTGTTCCAGCAGCCCAGTCCTGGTCCAAGCCTGGGCCGGGACAAAGCCATGGACCGAGCCATGGCAAGGCTGCCAAGGGTTTTGCTCGTCCTCCCAGACCCAACCATCCCTCCGCCATCCTCCCTCCGCCTGCCCCAGTCAAGCTAAGTGCGACTTGCCAGAAATACGCCTTCTTCCAAGTCAACCACAACAGGTAGGCTTGTTCACAGGAGCTGACACATCGATATTCTCATTTTTTGATACTGACATATGAACAGGGAATCCTCCAGCTACCGAACTCCTTATGCTCGGTGGGGAGGTTTCACCAACGGCTACGAAGGGAACCTGCGTGAACACCTCATGAGCACGGGAGGAGCAGGCCTCCACAAGCGAAGCAGCAGCTTTGGGTTGGGCGGCGGCTTGAAAGGCCTGACACGCCCATCTCCCTATCTCAACTACAACAGCCCTCCACCTTCATCATCATCTGCCTCCTCCCCTTACCTCTCCACCAAGAACAACTTCTTCGGCACCGCGTCCTCTGCATCCTCCTACACCTCGTATGATGCATTTGGCAACAAGCTGTCATCCATGTCCCCCACTCTTGGCAGCTATGCGGGTAGTCCCACGACGCCGCTAGGTGGGTACGAGCTGAGTCAATCCAACTCACCCATGCTTCACCCTGCTATTCGAACTCCGTTTGGCACCTCTTGGCAGCAAAACCTCCACGCCACGCTGGGCCAATACTCGCCAGGTAAGATATCGTTGATCCCTCCCCCCTCTCCTCACCATCGACTTGGCAGGCAGGCAGCTTATGATGTGCGACCCTCTGCTTAGTCGATGCCGACTTCTCCCCGCCCTCGTCCATCACGAACACGCCGTCCACCACGCCTCTCAACAGCTTCCCACTGCAGCCAGCACCACTACTGGGCGACTTCCTGACCCAGACCACCTACGTCACGCCTGTGGAGGACCCGCCGTCCCCTGAAGCCAGTGCTGATCAAACCCCGGCGGAGCAATTGAAGCAGCAGCTTCGCAGGATCTCTGATCCTCTGCCGTCATCGTACAGTCTCCCGCACCCGGATAATGAAAGAGAACACGCAGCTCACGCACCGGTGTCTTCGCAGATACCGCTTCCGATGCCTTCACCAGCCCAAGCGTCGCCACCAAAGCCGCAGCAGTCTCAACCAGATCTTCACCAACCAGCTGTTCGACTTCAACCCGAGCTGAAGCTGGGATACGGCGCCCACCATGTAGGGGCTGACATTCAACATCAACAAGCGCCGCGCCGGCTGCTACCGCCTCGCCTACAAACTCCGATACACGAACTTGCCGAAGTGCCTCCCAACTCCATGGGGCTTGTCGACCAGATACTGTCCAACCTGAAACAAGCCTGCGGCGAGGACAAACGATCATGATATTATGCAGCAACCTACCTTTTGTGTCTTTGGAATTATCGATCTGCAACACAGCGACGACAGCAAAATCGATGTACGATTCGGCGTCCAGCGAGCGACGTGCGCAGTCTTTTCTCTCTGATGAGAAGAACCTCACAAGGAAAGGAAAGTGAAGAGAGAAACAACATAAGAGATGGTTTAAACCCCCCACCCAGTTTTGAGATTCTGTCCTCGACCCGCGTCGGTGATCGATGATGATTCCTCTCTTGAGAATTCGAGATCAAACGTAACTTACCGATAAGGCGTGTCTCTGTTGGCGCTCGCAGGGAATCTTGACAGGGAATCGAAAAAGTTTTTTTTTGGAATCATTTTGATGGCTATCACTAGCCAGGCAGCACAACACCGATAGATGGGCGGGTTCCTGATTTTCGGAAATCTTCTGTTTCTTTGCACGACGGAGTTCAAGGCACACCAAAAAGCAAGGCAACTACTCGAGTACATACTCCGCGAGGGAGAAAGGAAGCAAAAACCGGAACGGGCAAACTCCTGGACATAGAGAGGCTTTTCTCGGTCTTTTGACGCGAGAGGTGGAGAGAGAGAGAGAGAGAGAGATTCGAGGCGTTTCGAGCGAAGCTGGAACGAATGGGGAATCGACTGATATGATTGATGGTAACGACGGGCATGTATATAAGATACCACCAGCGCGGCGAGCGACGGACGGACGGGCGACAGGTTGGTCCAGGGCCGCCGTGTTCGAGCCAGCGGACATCAGGCGAGTGTGTCTCTCTTCGGGTTGCCAGCAGCTGCAGGTCGATCGATAATTAAACCTCTTATTGACTGCAAGTCTTGTAAGCGAGGCGTGAATGATGTCCGGCTGGCTGACTGAGTGACTGTGTGGATCTTGGTAGCAGAGCTGACGGTGCGACACGACGACCTTTGCGGATTGCTAACATTGTTTCGGATGATTTTGAGTTTGCATATCGGTCATTTCTGTCATTAAGTTGACATCTGATAATTACATGGCAGTTGTACAAGAAAAAACCCACTCTCTCTGCCTTGATGATCGCCTTGTCATGCCGTGGATTCATAAAAGGCAGGAAAGAAGACACGAGATGGCGACCTCAACTCCGATCCTACACCCCATAAACCCTCCTCTTCTCCTTCTCCTCTCCTCCTCTCTTCTCCTTCTCCTCTCCTTCTCTCCTCTCCTCTCCTCTCCTCTTTTACTCGGGCGCCACGAGCTGCGAGCACAGCAGCCAGTCGGCGCCGGCGTTCTGCCGCCACGTGCTGTGCACGCTGACGGGGTGCTGCCGGCCGTCGTCGGTCGTGAAGCTGCCCTTGTACAGGATGCTGACGGCCATCATGTCGACCTCGACGACGCGCACCGTGTCGCGGTCCATCTGGTAGCCCCTCAGGGGCTTGACGCGGTCGAGCGCCTCGAGCACGGGCTGCTGCTTGCGGTCCTGGGCCTCCTCGGGCTTCCGGCCGAGGACCTCTGAGGAAATAAAGGGGTTGATCATGGCGCAGTCGGGCGCGATGTACTCTTTCGCGTCGTCCATGCTGTCGCAGAGGGCGCGCATGAGCAGCGTCTCCATCTCCTTGGCCGACTTGACGTTGCGCGAGGCGATGTTGTTGACCTTGGGGGGCATGTTTGCTGGTTTGTTTCTTTTTCTTGTGTGTTTTTCCTTTTCTCCTTAGGGGTGGTTTGAGATCTGGAGAGATGGTATGGTTATGAGAGGCGTGCTTTTGATGATGTAGACTTGGAAACGCTGTGAGTCCGTCGGGCACCACAGAGAAGGATGGAGAGAATGGAGTTTGTTTCTTTTACTATTACGGCTACGAGGAGCTATGGGGATGGGGGAGAATGCTACCCTTGATGTATTTAAACAGTGACATTGCAGTGAATGACATATATCCTGGAGAGCGAGCAATGGCCTGGTACAAGGGACCGCCAAAAAAAAAAAACAAGAAAACTTGGATGAATGATGAGGATGGAGAAAAGTGGCTTGTCGTTCAAGATGGGGGGATGGGCGATTTGCATCATGGCTTGACGTCAGAGGTGGGCTGGATTTCTGGGAAAAAGCTTGGGAGGAGGGGAGCAGGGGAGAGCGGGCGGCGTTGGCCTGCATCCAAAGCATGGAACTGTATGTGCCCCATTCATCCATCCACTTACGCAGACCACATTCTACGATGATCCCATACACCATTCCTTTCATTCTCTTGGCTGCTTGATGATGGTGGGGAGCAGATCCGGGCCGCATCATACTGTGGGACCGGGAGAGATCTAGGCTTTTCTGTACACGAGTACATCCAACATGCACATACGTACATCCCACACTGTACTTGTACAGAAGATGACCCTGGCTCGCTGGCAAGGACGTTCCGATGCAGAGGGGAAAAAAAAGAGACCAAATGGATCTGCACCCACTTCTGCTCAAGCTCTGGCCCCCGTCATACGGTCGGTACACACCGGCCCCTGAGCTGGGTCCCGCTTCATGTACCCGGGGCGAGCCAGACATGCGAGACTTGCGGTTGTCAATGGGCACATCCCGTCCCTTGCACTTGCAGCGTAATCGGAAAGAAACACGCAAAGTACGAGGCTCGATCTCGGACAAGGTTGCAGCTAGAGCAGGGTAGGTTATTAGGCCCTACATTGGTAGCAACCGCACACACGTAATAGACTGGCATGCTTCTCAAGTTTCTGGTAGTTGACTTCGTGGTTTTGCAGTGAAACTCGCCGCCCGTCTGCACTGGCCGAAACCTGTCCTGTTGGGAAACAAGCTCGGCACGAGTCTTCAGATGTAAAATGATAACGAGCAGAATCTTTGGTAATTCGCATCCATCCAGCCGGTTCCTTCTGCAGTGCAGGAGGAGCTATCAGTTCTTGGGTAGAACTCATTTGACTTTTCTTTGAAATAGAGCAAACGAACAACTTTTTTGATGGGCGGTGATCAGACATAGGCCAACTAGTAGAATAGACCAAAGTGTAACAAATAGCCACTCCGTATCAGAACCAATACTGTAGGCACTCAAAACAGGGTGTGCCCGTCCTCCTCAGACTCTCCTCTGGGTTTTCCCATCCCGCTCAGACCCGAACACAAAACCGCGGCCATAAGCTTCTCAGGGTGACGGCACGAGCCTCGACCGACGGCTAGGCCGCGCCGCGAGCCGCCGCCCACTCGCGCAGGACCGCCGCGTCGCGCTCGCGGTACGCCGCCCGCCCGCGGATGCGGTCCTTGACCGTCTCGAGCGTGCGGTTGAACGCGCCCGTGTCCTTGCCGGCGAAGAAGCCCTCGATCGACGCCAGCGCCCCGCGGTCCGAGAACTGCTGCAGCGAGACCTTGACCAGCCGGTCCAGCACGACGGGATTGCCGCCCACTTTCGCGACGACCTCGCCCCAGTTCTCCCGCATGTACTGCCACAGCAGCGGGCGGGCGACGCGGTTGTGCGCCAGCCCCGACGCCAGGTAGTGCATGTCGCCCGCGGGCACGCAGTCGGAGCCCCGCCCGAAGAGGAAGGGCAGCAGCGTGCGCGTGACGACGCCGGCGTCGAAGACGTGGCCCATGGTCGCGAGCGAGACCTCGCGGCCGTCGGGCGCGTTGGACGTGCGCCACTCGTCCTGCAGGAAGGCGACCGTGTCGGCCGGGTCCGCCTTGAGGGCCACGCGGTAGATGGGCCGCCGGAGGTCCGGGTGCGGCCGGTTGTTGGCGGGGTCCTGGCGGAGGGCTCTGAAGCGGCGCAGCGCCTCCTCTTGGACGCTGTTGGTCATGGGAAATTGTGTGTGTCAGTAAATTAAAACTCTTGTACAGTGTTGTTGTTGTCGTCTTAACGAAAAAGACCTGGACCGAGACAATGCACGACTTACCCGGTATGACCGTTGACGCCAGCAGCCAGCAGCAGCCTCTTGCGCAGGAGACCCTTGTTGAAGTCCTCGCCCGCGGGGAAGTCCCAGCCGATGGTGCTCAGGGGCCGCTCGATGAGCTCGAGGATGAAGCGCTCCAGCACCCTGCGGATGTCGTCGTCCTCGCCAAAGATGCCCTTGACGGTGCCGACGGCGTCGAGGGCCTGGGAGAGGACGCGGTAGTGGCTCTCGCCGCTGAAGCCCTGCACGAACGAGAGGAGGGCGGGCGTGGTGCCGTAGCCGGAGAAGGCGAGCTCGGCGGCGGAGCCGGCCGTGGCAATCTTGTCCGCGACGCTGAGCCTGTCGAGCTGAGTGCCGAGCTTGACCAGGCGCGCGGGAGGGTAGCTGACGCGGTAGAAGCCCGTCGCGTTCGAGTTGAGCTTGTAGAAGTCGTCGTTGACGTCGCGGATGGTCTCCTCCTTGGTGGTCAGGGCGACGGTGTCGATGCCCTGGGTGCCGGCCTTGCCCTCGAACGAGAGGGGCACCCACCAGGTCGTCGTGTCGTCCTTGGCCTCGACATCGCCGGTCGACAGGAAACGCGACTGCTTGACGGTGATCTGGCCGGGCTCCTCGGCAACGGTGAGAACGGGGTGGCCGATCTTCTCCACCCACGGTCCCATGATGGTGTTGATGTCTTGGCCAGAGGCCTCGCTCAGGCCGGCCCACAGATCCTGGGTGGTGGCGTTGCCGTACTTGTTCTTCTTCAGGTAGATGGCGACGCCCTTGAGGAAGGTCTCGGTGCCGAGGTGGTTCGCCAACATGCGGATGACCGAGCAGCCCTTCAGGTAGCTGATGGCATCGAACACTTGGTTGACATCCAGCGCATCGCGGACGGGGACGTGGATGGGGTGAGAGGCCCTCACGGCATCAAGCCCGAGGGCGGTCTCCATGCCCTCGTTGACCCACTGGGCCCAGACGTCCCAGTCGGGGTGAAGATGCTCCGTCGCAACCCAGCCAGCCCAGGTGGCGAAGCCCTCGTTGAGCCAGAGCTCATCCCACCAGTCCATAGTCACCAGGTTGCCGAACCATTGGTGAGCCAGCTCGTGGGCGACCACGTAGGCGATGCGGTTGCGGAAGACAGCGTCGGACTGCTTCTCGTCGAAGAGGATGGCGGTAGTGCGGTAGGTGACCAGGCCCCAGTTCTCCATGGCCCCGTGCGTGAACTCGTGCACGGCAAGGATGTCCGACTTTGGCAGAGGGTAGTCGATCTCAAACTTCTCACTGAAGAAGTCGATGTACTTGGGAGCATGCTGAAGAGCCCACCGGCCCTGCTCAATCAGCCCGCGAGTCGTGTAGACTCGGACGGGGATCTGCTTGCCATTGTACCGGCGGTCCGTCAGGGCCTCGATGTACTCAAAGTCGCCAATGGCCCAGGCCAGAAGGTAGGTGCTCATCACGGGCGTTCGCTCAAAGGTGACCAGCTTGGTCCCAGACTTGTTGCCTGGCTTCTCCTCCTTGACAGGCATGTTGCTCAGGGCAACCTGGTCGTCCGGGATCTCGAGCGCGACGTCAAAGGTGGCCTTGAGGTTGGGCTCGTCAAAGCAGGGGAAGGCTCGGCGAGCATCGCAGGCCTCGAACTGGGTGCTCATCATGTAGTGGAAGTCCTCATCACGCGGTACAGAGGCCGCGGCAGGGGTGTCCTTGGGAGGCTTGTACTGGGAGCGGTAGAAGCCAGACATGTCATGGTTGATGATGGCCTCAAAGTCAATGACGATCTGGGCCTTGGCCGACGCAGGAAGCTGCTCCTTGAACCGGATGGTGGTTCGCTGCTTCTTGGTGTCATAGGCAAAGTCGGTCGACTCAAAGGTCTGACCGGCCTTGGTCTGCTCGACTGAGACCTTGACATTGTGAAGCTTGACATCCCAGGTGTTGATGACGATCTCGGACGAGGCCTGGGTGAGCTTAGCATCGATCCTAGAGTGTAATGTCAGCAGCTTATTCCCAAACTCATCATATCATACATGAAAGCTCATCAAGTGAATGACATGATGGCTAGGCCCCCTTGGGAGGTGGTCTGGGGGATCTGGATACAACGTACTTGACAGTGCCCTTGTAGGTCCAGTCCTTGAATTCCAGATCTGTGAGCAACAGATCGTAGTGGACTGGCTTCACTGTGCCTGGGAGAATGTCGCGATCGGCCATGGTGGCAGTGGTGGTGGTGGAGGAGGAGGATGGCGATGGCGATGCGGAGGAATGAAGTGCGTTGGGGAAGGCAGGTGAGCAGAAGCCCCTCGCAGCAGACGGTGTGGAGGATGTGGGAGAAAGGAATGAAGAGGAAGCAGAAGTGCAGGTCAGAGGCCTGGTGGTGGGAGAAGTGGATGGTGTTGCTGTTTTTAGTGGTGAAGCTGTTGTCAGTGGTATGGACGGTGCAGCTGCCGCTTTGGTCGATGGCGGGGAGCTTCTTAGAGTTTGGGAGCTGGAAATGCCCCGCACAGCGCCAGACGGCCTACGTAGGCCTGGCCTGCCGTTTCCACGTAATATGGAGCTTGAGAGTTTCCGTCCGAGTTGAGAAGGTCGGCGGCACAAACGGATCCCGCGCTGCTGGGCCGAAGCAAGCCGGCCTGGAATCTGAAGAGAGGCTAGAGAGTGGCAGGCAGCGCGTGGTTGCGATTGAACAAGAAGTGTCAGCATTGTCTTCGGGGGCTTCGCACTGAACGAAAGAGTGGAAGAGAAAGATTACAAGGGGGAGCCGACAGTGGCCGGGTCCATGTAAGCGGATTGGTCTTGCTCGTTGCGTTGTGCATTTAGTTATTTAGGTAGTTGCTGAAGGCTGCAGTCGCGAGGTTCCGCGAGTGGAGGAATTCAGGGGCCTCCCAACATTGGCACTGGCACCTGCACCTAGGCACGTGCTAGACCAGCCTCCTCCTCTGCCTTATTAGGCCTGGACCCAATAGGGGGATATTGACACAACTCAACTCAACTCCATCCACAATACCCTTCGAGTTATTGCCCAAGCTCTCTCACAAGTCATAGAAAGTATCATGTGCTGATGATAAGCAATGCATATCATAAATGGAAGACCACGCTGTGTGCACTATCTCTATCTCTATCCAGAGAAAGCCACGCGCGCGCAAGCAATCTCTCGAAAAGAAAATCCAGTCTGGAGAGAGAGAGCGAGCATCCCTCGACCAAAGCAAGCAAGCAATGATGGAAAAAGAGACCCGGATATATCGATAATGGTATAAAAGTCGCTGAAGGAACTCCCCCTCCCATCTGTCCCTTCTTCCCTCGACACGAAAAGCCGGAAACATGAATAAAAAGCACTGCATGCTAGCAAACTGATGAGCCCGAATCCCCCCTTCCTATGCCGTAGAAAAACAGAAACCATGATCTTCTTGTGAGAGATATCATCTCCCCATGCCAACGCCATTCCCTGAATCCCCCATGGTACTACAAGGAAAAGATGCCCAGAAAAAGCCTTCCCTGACGCAAAAATGCCCGATGCACTACTAAAGAAGAACAACAACACAAGAAAAGAAAGATAAAAGAACTCTCGCTGCTCATGCCTCATCCTTGCCGCCCTCAGCCTCATCGTCCTCTTCCTCGTCCCGCTCCACACTCTCGGCCACCTTCTCCCACCAGACCCCGTGCGCCGCGCGGTCCACGGCGCCCACGCGCGCAACCTCGTCCACCATGTCGCGGATCCGCTCCACAAACTCGGCCAGCCCTAGGCCCGCGAGCCTCTCCCCGGCCGTGCTCGTCGCCCGCACCTTCTCGCTCGCCGACGCCGCCGCCAGCCGCGCCAGGACGTGGCCCCGCACGCGGTTCAGCAGCAGCCGCAGCACCGGCTCGCGCGGGTCCTCCCCGCCCGACAGCGCCATCATCTCGCTGCTCGCCAGCGCGATCTTGCCCACCAGCGCCGACAGGTGCCGCCGCGTCGCCGCCGGCATCGACCGCCCCGTCTCCAGCGCCGCCATGGCGCCCTCGACGATCGGCTCCACGAGCTGCTGCGACGGCGCGCCGTCGCGGTTCTCCCCCTCGACGTTCTCGAGCACCGCCATGATGCGGTTCGCCTCCAGCCTCCACGGCGCCCGCACGTCTCGCTTGAGGAGGTTCTTGCACTGCAGCAGGATCGCCGCCGTGGTGACGATGCGCCGCGTCAGGGCGCCCAACTTGACCGCGCGCGCGTGGTCGAGCCGGAGCATCTCGGGCATCTCCTCCAAGGACGGCGCGCGGAGCTGCGTGAAGATGTCGACCAGCATGTGGTTGTAGATGCGCTCGGGCGTGATGCGCGACTTTGGGTGGTTCACGCTGTCGGGGTCCCGCCGCGAGGCCTCCGCCAGGACCTTGGTCCTCGTCGCTTTCCAGACCGCTTCGGCGGCCTCGAGGTCATGTTCCCCGTCCTGCAAGGCCTTGGCGAACTGCCCGGCTTCGTAGCGCGGGGCCTCGGCGATAAGCCTCGGGGCAGCCACGGCGATCGAGTAGTTGGCATGGTCGCTTGACATGACGTCGATGAACCTCATGAGCGCTTCCAGACGCTCCACCAGGTCGCCCTGGGCGAGCTTGTTCTCCACGAGATCCTTGACCTCGGGGTCTCGCACGGGCGCGCAGAGCTTGGGGAGCAGCTGGCTGACCGTGGAGAAGAACCGCTCGTACGAGAAGCTGCCCGTGAGGAATTGGCGTTTAGCCACGTCCGTGTCGAACATCTCGCCGATGAAGGCATGCATGCGCCCGCCCTCCCCGACAAAACGCTGCAGCTTGTCGCGGATAGCCCTGACCATTTGCAGATGCAGGATGAAGTGCTCTTGCGACTGGTCCTCGTGCATCGTGGCCCTCATTCTGTTGAAGAGAGGCTTCAAGAACTCGGCCTGCTTTTCCACATAACTCTCTTCAGCAAGCCGGTAATTGCTATTGATGGACAGCTCATGTACGATGACGCGATTGTCCGGCATGAGATGGGGCGCTCCGACGTGGATCTCGATTTGCACAATTGGCTCCTCCTCGGATTCCGGTGCTGGCGACGGGGTACGCGCTGGAGATGGCCTCGCTTCCGCCACAGCGCCGAGCTCGCCGAGAGCCGTCTCGACGGTGTGGTTCGCCTCGCGGGGCTTCGTATCACCCTTGGGCTTCTTCTGGGCCCTGGCCTTCCGGGCCTTGTTGACGGCCTCGATGATCTTCTTCCGACCGACCTCGGGGCCCGCAAGGCGCTTGATCCTGGCCATGAGCATGGCCTGGTTGTCCTTGATGCTGTCCCTGTACGACTCGCCGACGGCAGGGTCCGTGCTGTCCTTGACCGTCTGCCAGATGGCGTCGAGCTCGACAAACTGCAACAGCATGACGTCGACCAAGGCGTTCGAGTCTCTTGCCTTCCAGGCAATGAAAGCATTGTAAAACGCAGCGTACGACTCGGCCAGGGAGCCACTTAGCACCGGCGGAACCGTGTAGCTGTTGTGAGGGGACAGACGCGACAAAATGTTCTCAAAACAAATAAGCAAGTCCCGCGCCTTGCCAACAAGCTCCTGCAACTGGGGATTAGCAAGATCATCCTTCGCGAGTGGCTTTGCCGGAACTTTTCCAACCTGCTCCTGTTCTCCTTTTCCGTGAGAATCTTTGTTGCTCAGCACCTGGGCCGGGTGGCCCAGGATCATGAAGGCGCTCAAGAAGGTCCGCACTGCGGCCATCTCGTTCACCGAGCCCTTGTCGCCCTCTTGGAGGCCACAGATGCGCAGCATCTTGCTCGTCACAAGGAGCACCCTTTCCTGGGCCAGGAGGTCCACGACCGCCTCGAACGGCGTCGACCTGACCCCGTCTATGGTCAGGCCGAGGCGCTGGAACTCGGTGACGGCCTCCTTGCGCCTCTGCGCCCTCCACCACCACTGGATCCTCTCGGCCGCCACGTCCTCGCTGACGGGCGACGCCTCACGCTCCTTGGCTTCCGGGACCTCGGGCACCACCTCCATGGGCTTCTTGCCCGTCTCGACGCTGGAGCCTCTGGCCCGGGGCCGGCGGCTGCGGATCTCCTCGCGCCTGCGCTCGGCCTCGGCGAGGCGCTCCTCCATCTGCTGCCTCATCTTGAGTATCTCCTGCTCGCGCCTCTCCTTCATGCTCTCGGCGACGGCCTTGGCCCGCTTGACCTCCTCGGCGCAGGCGGCGGCGATCTCGGCGAGCTTGGTCTCGCGGGCCTGGGCGGCGGCCAGGGCGCGCTCCTCGCTGGCGGTGGTGTCCCGCACGGCGGCCTTGGCGAGGGCGGCGCGCAGGCGCACCTTCTCGGCATGGGCGGCGCGGTCAGCGAGGCGGGCCTTGCGGTCCTCGATGATGGACGCGCGCCGCAGGTGCTGGGCGACGTACTTGCTCTGGGGCCCCGCCTGGCGGCTGCAGCCGTGCGAGGAGCGCGAGTGGGCGGACGAGATGGAGTTGCGGCGCGACGAGGCGGCCGAGTCCTTCCTGCGGGCCTGGGTGGGCCTGTACCTGTGCAGGCGGGCGGCGATGTGCGGAGGCGGGGCAAAGATGTGCTGGACGTCGTCGCCGTCGCCGGCGCCGTGCTGCCCGACGGCGTCGATGTCTTCCTCGGGCGGAGGCATGGAGAGGTCGATGCCCGGGTCTGGCGAGTTGACGGTGGGCGAGCCGATGGACTCTTCCAGGTTCCGTGCCGGGTCGGCGAGGTCGAGAGAGGGGCGTCGCATGGTGGCTGGCAAGGCGGCGTCGACTGCGCCGGTTGTGCCTTCCTCGCGGGTCTGGTAGTGGTCGGTGATGTTTTGTTGTCGGAAGGTTGAGTCACGACTTGTGGGAGAGAAGCCGACTCCTTGTCAGGCGTGGGTAGAGATGCCTGTTGCGCCTCGGTCGTGACGCAGCGGCCGGGGTGGCCGGTGGAAGGATCGCGATGGAATCCCTGCCGTTCCAGACGCAGCGAAATTGGAGGGGTCGTCTAAGGGCGAGTCGACGAAGGAAAACAATAAATCCCAGTTTGGCACCCTTGGTCGAGGGAGGGCGAGCAAACCGGACAAAACGAAGGTGAAGAATGTGGCTCGGGAATAGAAACTGTGAAGAAGAGAGAGGGAGAGGGAAGGGAAAAGGATCGAGAGAGGCTGGCAAGAGTAAGCGTTGATCAGATCAGAGGACGAAGCAAGTCAGCGCGACGACGATTACGATTCAAGCAAACTGGAGCAGTGCTGACACACACACGCACCCGGGCGCTCTCGCACTAACGTCACGGAGTAAAGTGCATTCTGGCCAGCCCTGGATAACTACCTACCTAGGTAGGTACCTAGGTAGAGGGTCTCTGTACTGTAGCATCCATCCATCCATCCATCCATCCGCCTCACGCCTCAAAAGTGCCCGCCTGACCCGCTGTTGTCGAGCGCTGACTGGGCCGCTCTTCAACGGCGGGTGGGTGATTTTGCAGGGCTTGCACACCCTTTCGCCTCAACGCTCCAGCGTAAGAATGCAAAAGAAGGCTGGGGAAACGTTGGAGCGACGCTAAGTCTGAAACCCGAGGAATTGGTGGTGCAAGCTGGAGAGCTCTGATTTGCCTTCCTTCCATTGCTCTGCATCAATGTGTGCATGCAAATGATGCCCGGACGTTTTGCCGGCTGTTTTTTCTCTCCTGCCCAAACGGAGCCAATGCGCACGCATGAGCATGGTACGAAGCAGCCCATTCAGATGTGTTTTGCATGTAAGTGCAAATATCCCGTACATGCTCTTGATGTGGCGTGGAGCCTACTGTACCCAGGTACCATTCATTCATCAAAGAGTCATTTGCGACCCTGGCGACCCTTGCCACGCGCCAGCTCAGCTGCTGCTCGACTCGGAACCCGAAACATCTCCATCTTTATCAACCAACCACCCGGTACGAGTGGATTGATGATGGGCAACATCGAAACAGATCTGCCCGGGTATTGTCTCTGCAGCTCCCCTTTCAGGCTCTGAGTTGCTCGTGGTGTTTGTCCTTTGATCACTGTGGTCGCGGTTTTCGCAGATGGTACATGTACTATTCATTCCGTACTGCGGTGCATTGCAGTGACATGGATGCGTCAGGTGGACAACTTGGTTACACTCGGCATTGAAATTGAGGGCATTCCCAACCAGAGGAGCCTCTGGTCTGAACTCTTACTCGCGACAGCAACAAATGGTCTTACCGTACTCGTGCCCGCCAAGAGATCAGTTCACTCTCCGACGCCGACTGGTCGGCAAGACCTGGCTGCGGGTTCTCGCTGCACGTCATGGATCATGGCTGGCAGGGCAAGACTGCCACCCAGTCACTCGGCCGATTTGGCATCTGGCCCTATTCTCGACTATTGGCCTTTCTTCATCTCGTGGCGCCAAGCCCAGCGTGCTTGATGGCTCAATCGCGAGCGCTAGCAACAGCAAGAAAGCCCAGGTTGGGCTGTTTGCGGCATAGCGCCAGGGGCCTCCCGGCTCTCCGTCGAACCCACTGCCATCTAGATTGTCAATAGCGCCCCCAGAATCGCCCAAAATGGTACTCCAGCTCCTCTCCATGAAGGGACTATCACCACAGCTCCATACACGTTTTTTTTGCTTGAAGAATTATGCGCCATGGGCACGTCCGTAGCCTGGAGCGATTGGACGCCGTGAAGCAAGAGAAGCTAGGTCAAGTCCGTAGTTTCGTATTCTGATCTGGCTAAGAGTGCTCCACGATGTCCGCGCTGTCCAGAGACGTTGAAAAGGGAGCTTGTCCCCAGATTCGCGCCGTCCTTGGCGCTGCTCTCGCTTTCTCCCGACTAGGTACTTGAGGAGGACATTTCGAATCGAATTCTCTCGACGTCTTCAGGATCCAGGATGAAGTCTCAGGCTGCAGTGCTTGGCCTAGCTGCCCTTGCCGGCGTGTGCCGTGCAGAGAGGACCCCCGGCTGCAATGCTGACAACTGCCTTCGCGGTGAGTGCTTTTCTCTTCGATGACATGCTTCGTTTTTGAAGTCGAGATCTATTCGTGCAGCAGATCACTAACATGACGCGATATCAACTACCCCAGCCCTTCGCAATACGCACCGCCCGGGAGTCGCAGACTGCTCCGAGTACCTCAAGGTCGTTGTCACGCCTTCTCCAGTGTATGGCACCCAGTGATCCATCGCCCATGACTGCGCACGCAGAAGACTGACACGTCAAAAGAACTCTCACGCAAGTCGTCACTGCCTCCACTACACCTACGGTCCAGGTGTTTGTGACCGACACCGCAACTCTGCACCAGTCCCTGACGTCCTTCACGACCGTCACGACCCAGGTTGCTCCCACCGTGGTCCCTGGGAAGCGTGACCTCGAGCTCCCTGCCTACGCGTCGCCCTGTTCCGGTGCCGTCCGCTATAGCAGCGCTTGCTCCTGCCTGGGCGTGTCTGCTTGGACTTACACGGCAGCGATCCCTACGTCCACGCAGACTGTCACCCAGCTCGTGACGCCGACCATCGCGACCCAGATCATCACTGCCGCGACCGAGACAACCACCGCCACGGACAATATCTTGGCCACCACCACCAAGACCGTCGAGACCATCCCAAGCCCAACCCCTTTCTGGGGACCCTACCTCCTCCAAGCCTACCAGGCCGCTGCTCCCTTGACTGACACTTACGTCCGGGCCGAGCTGGATGGTCGTGTCAATGGCGGTGCCGAGTACGTACCTGCCAGCCAGTTCCGGGCCTCCGCGGACGGCTATCTGTCCGTCCAGCTGAAGAACCTGTGGCTCTTCTACGACGCCAACGTGGCCGGCGGCTACTCCCTCTTGTCTGCGCATGTCTGGGAGGCTGGCATCGCAGCAGGTCTGACCCCGCTCCGGACGACAAACTCTGACCTGAGCAACAACGCGGCCCAGCACCTGCTCAAGCCCGACACACAGTATGGTTTCGAGCGCATCGAGGCCTGCGAGGGATCGGACAAGCCCTTGGCCATCTTTAGGCAAGGCTCAACCGAGAATTGTGGCATGGCCCTTACTTTCAACATGGTTCTGGACTCTGGGTACCACACGCGTCGCAGAGCCTTGTAGAGGCGATTTGCATCTGTCAATAGAGAAAAAGCTGCGTTATCCTAGATGCTAGATGGTTGATTGTGGCTTACCACAGAGTTGCTGCAACCTAAGGTGTCTTGAGCTGCAAACAGTGTAGAGTCCCTACTCCTTCGAGTCTTTCAGAGCACATTTGCGCCTGAGCGCGAGATTGAGTTCCCGCAACGAACCTTAAACACCAAACCCCCTGGTGACTTCCGCAGGCGAGACACCGTGACCTATGTTTACAAGTTCGGAGATCCTTGTCACTTGACACCTTCTCGCAGCCAAACCTTGAACATAAGGAGCGGCAGTCACATTGAATGAGCATAAGTAAACAAACCCCCAAGTACTTAAGGAGGCAAAGATCCCCAAAGTCTGGTCTATTATTCTCTTGTCTATTCACTCTCACTTGTCTATTCACTCTTGTCTATTCACTCTCTCTTGCGCAGTCCTTAATCGCTGTCTCCGCTAGCCAGCGAAAGTACCTCCAGCGAGCCGTCCCATGGCTAGGAGCAGCACCGCGACCACGCCCCTGGCTCTGCCTGGCTCTTCCGGACCCGAGCTGCAGTCGTCTCGACAATAGAGCCCTTTCCCTCGACTCATCGTGTCCCCTGTCATGATTCGACGTGCGTTCTTTTCTCGCTACTCAGGTTTCTCCCCTACCATCGCATCCCGGTGACCGGCTCTTACTCAACACTTTCCTGCCGATCTTCGCACGGACATCACGGACTTACTCAAGTCTCCCCACAACCTGCTGCGGCGTCATGTGCGCGAGTAGGGCCGTGTAGGAGGCGGAGATGCATGCCGAACGGCCGGTTCCGAACAACCCAAGAGTTCCAACCTCCAGACCATCGCGGCCGTGGTCTGTGCCGCTCTCGAAGTCATAACACCAGCCCCGAACGGGTGACGATAGAAGACTGGGAGCCACTGACGCAGCTGGCTCCCAAGACTCCGAATCCAAGCCCAATTCCCACGGCCCTGAGACGACGTGTGCGTGCGAAAAGCGCGGTGGCTCGAGCAGACTGTTTCCTCCGGTGTACCGTCATTCTATGCGGCGGAGGCGCCCGCCCTCTAAGTTCACCTGTCTTGCCGTCTTGGTCACTCGCGATCACGCTTCTCCAAGCCCCGTCTAGCCAACATACACAAACGTCGGCCGAGGGAACTGGATTCGCCAAGCACTTATCCTTCTGGGCCTTTGCCGCGGGAACCCGAAGCACGTCGTCTAGTACGGGGAGGGAGATCTCTCCGTTGGGCGAGAAGCCCACAGGGACACCCCGTCCCTGCCTTCTAGTCGCCCGTTTGTGTGACACACATCTGCGAGCACACATCTGGGAGCACCACGCCAGAGACGACGACCGCCACTACAGCGGCCGGGAAGGGGCAGCTCCCGCCTCTGGACAGGCGTCACGCGCTCGCTGTGAGAGATGGCCCAGCACGGGATCAACATAACCTTCAACATCACGCCGCCCCGCGACAACGCCGGCGCGTGGGCCAGCGAGGCCTGGCCGTGCGGTGCAGGAGCAGCACCGACGCGCGGCAACCAGCCGATGCTAGGGGCCTAGCAGGCCCGGCGAACGCGACGAGGGACCAGGGCTTGCCCCACTACCACTCGCTCCCGGGTCCCGCCAGAAAGCGAAAGGGGGTGTAAATGGAACCGCTTGAGAGCCTCGCGGTCCCTGGGAGCAGGAGGGAATCGCACGAACCCCAAGCCTCTACGTGCTCTTCTGCGTCGATAAATACCTGCCGTGGTGCCGGCGAAATCGACACATCCAACACCCACAGCCTTCTGGGCTTTGGGTACCAGCTACTGCGGACCGTCGAATAGCAGAGCTGCTCGAGAGCCTGACTGTCCATGAACACATGAAACCCGAGGACCCAAATCTCGACCAACTCTTCTGCATCGACAAATGCCAGCCGCAACTAGGAAGACTGTCAAGGGTGTCTTCAGAGAAGGAAGGAGGAATAGGACTGGTGTGTATGTTATTCATCTGTATCGATAGTTGTCCAGGGGGGGTTGCGAATTGAATGGAGTTGACGGAAGCCACTTTGAATGATTTGCGTGAGGTCCCGATTGTTCAATCTACACTCCGACGCTGCATATATGAGACTGTGGTTTTTAACATCAGCAAGCTGGGAAGGCCTGTGGAGACTGTGACAAGATGCCAAGAGATCCAGATCGGAGGGGCCAACTTACAGCGAATGGTTGTCCTCTGTATGAACATCCGCCTTTTGATCTATGAGAAATTCTTGCCATTTCTGGCTGGTTGGCCGTCAACGCAAACCTCGGGCATTTAATCGTACATGTAATGAGGAACGCCCTTCGGTGACGTTCACGTCCAAAACAGAAGCTTTCTTATCCATATTGAGACGCTGTACGCCTTCCAATGTTTCCTTTCTGTACCAAAGTGAAGAGCTCGGCTGAAGCTGGTATGACACGAGGAAACCGTATGTGTAGCTGCTGATCATCGAAACTGGTCTATGAGTTTAGTACGGACGTCATGCGGCCCGCGAAAGAACCCCGTCCAGGGAAGTAGTATGTCGCCTTGAAGATTCGTTTTTCTTCCGACACGCTTTGACATTGCAATTTACCTTGGCCGAGAATAGTAGCGTGACTCCCGTGTAGCCGACGAACAGCGACCCGAAGATTTTAGACACCCATGCCAGAGGCTGAGATCTTGAGACCTTATGGCATTGGCATATGCATACTCCTCTCAATATGCACGTCTTGGCAGTATATGTTGATGTAGTTATCTGAAGTGTCTTGCCCGTGGTTGCTCCTTGACTCCTCCAAGTAATGACAAAGTACCAACAGTGATGCAAAATGAATCCATCGATCCCTATGCCGCCCGTTGTCGTGACTGATCTCCAGCTTGTATGGCAGGAAGGTGATTCGAACGAGGGTGCATATGTATTTCGTTGGCCCGGTATGGACAGGAGGACATCTCCGAAGGGGTTCTTGGGTGTATTAAGCCGTGGTACTCGGACTGCCGTCCACTGACAGCCTGATTGTCCTCCTCACCCGTCATAATTGTCTAGCCCTAGTGTGACTCGGTCTGGAGCGATACTCGTGGCTGCACAGTCTGTGTTTGGCTTCACAGGTCTCTTTCTCTCTCTGTGCGAGTGTCTTACAAAGATGATTCCGGTGCTGTCTCGAAACGGATGCACAGTTCGCCGTTTCCTGGATTGGTTCTAGCCAGCCGGCGAGAATGTGCACGTTCTCTTGATGTCATGAACAAATGAAATACCGTATCACCCTAGAGTCGTCGGGCAGTAAGATGTAGGCTGCGTCAAGCCCGGCACAACCTGACCTCGGTGTGATGACGGGCGCCGGGAGATGGGGTTATACATGGCCCCCTGTGACCTCCTTCTAGAATACAATAATCCTTCAGTCGGCCCTGCTGCCACGTCCATATCCCTGATCATACTCCTTTTTCCCGGTGGTCACTTTGCCCATTGCTTGTCATCCATCCCGCCCAGGCCTATTCAAATTTGATGGATTAATTTCCAGACAGCGAGTGACGCGAATGCCAACCACATCCTGAAGGAACAAGATCCATCGCTACTACGGAAACAAACTCCATGTCAAATGCACAGCCCCCCTTCCCGAATTTCCAGCTCGTCGAGCGAGTTGACCTAAGTCCCTCCCCGTCACCCTCTCAAGCTGAACTGCACACACTTTGACAAGGCTGGGATTAACGTCTACCCAGCTGGCCTTATTACACCAAGAATGTAGAGGCTTACAGACGGCACATGGAGGATTATTTTTATTTCTTCATCGAAGGATACGACAAACTATTTGGCTACGTGCACCACAACTTCGTGGAACAAGTGCCATGGCCCGACTTCTGGAAGATTGATCACGAGAAGCGCTTTCTGACCTTGACTACGGCGGATGATTTCGAAAGTCGTAGCCTACTCATGACCAAGACGCTCAAGGCGGACCATGAGTCCGGCAACGTCCTTGCGCTTCGGAGATGGGCCAACGAAGAGTTTCCAATATACTCGTCCTCTGGGGAGCACGTCCTGAACATGGATGGATGCGGAGTGGACATGCTTGGCATCATCAACTTCTCAGTCCACATGATCGGCTGGGTCATGACGTCCGAAGGGATCAAGATCTGGGTTCCGCGCCGAGCAAAGACTAAGATGAGCTTCCCAGGCATGCTGGACAATACTGTTGGCGGCAGCCTCGCAGCTGGGGAAAAGCCCATCGAAGGCATAGTTCATGAGTGCGAAGAAGAGATTTGCCTGGACCCGGAGTACACACGCTCAAACATCAGAGCCTGTGGCACTGCCTCATGGCAAATGACTGTCACCGACCTCCTGGAGCCCGCTTGCCAGCGCCAAGTTCAGTATCTCTACGAGATTGAGCTCCGTCAGGACATTGTTCCCAAAATCGGAGATGGCGAGGTGGGATAACTTCATCTGCTATCGCTTCATGAAGTGCAAGAGGCCATGAAAAACGGCGAGTTCAATCTGACTTGCAATATGGCGTATCTTGCGTTCCTCATCCGTCACGGCTACATCAACTCGGAGAACGAGCCGGACCTTGTTCAGATATGCGCCCGACTTCACCGCCACCACGACTTATTCGTGGCTTAAACATTGGTCCAGATCACTAGCTTAGCTATCTAAGATTTATCACTGTTCTTATCCCCGGTCTGCTCGGTTTCTCAATGAATTTCGAACGCTTCTTCACATGCTTCACCGTCAAATAAAGTATGAAAGGAAAGAGGCGGTGGCGTTTCTACTGGAGTGCACTTCGTCGTAAAAGACTGTCCAACGTCATATTTGGAGAGAAGAAATCGCATATCAGAAATGGCACCAAGAGAAAAAGAAAAGAAAAAGTTAGTCAGTCCCGTTCTAGTCTTCAAGAGCAAAGGAAAACAGTATCTGGTAATCACTTTTCTCGAGACTCTTGATGGCATTCGGTTGCGGCGTACATCAGATAGAGCTTGATCCCGTACAGTCTACTTCGATCCTCCCACTCTGCAACGGGCTCTGACGGCTTTATCCTTTTGAAGTACTCCCCGTAGTAATTTCGATAGCGCGTCTTGTAATGTTTTGTTTTCCAATATGCTAGTTATATCTCGTTGTCGCCGTAATAACCATTCGAGTCAAACCTGCCAGTCAGCACTTCGATCCCTACACTACCTTCCCACAAATCGCCATGAATGAAGCACGGTTTGATGCCTCCCCGAGAGACGTCTAGTACGTCGAGGAGACGCGGAATAGTACTGTTCATGGTAGACGATATGAGTTTCTCCATCTCCGCCATCGGCCCAATGATCTATCTATCGGGCGAACAAGCCACCCAGATCATCTTCGAGGACAGAGTACTCCAAGAACTTTCAAATCCATGCACGTGGCAAAATAGGCCATCGTACATGGCTTCTGAAGAGCCAAACATGTTCGACGTCCCGAAGCTCGCTCTATGGAGCTGCGAGACAAGTAGTGTGAGAACAGACGGGTTAGGGAGTATGCAGAATCATAATTCGTCTGGGTAGAGTCCGCTCGATCAGGCTCGCTAGAAGTTTTCTTTTCCAAGGGAAATCCAAGACGGCACCTGGATGCCATACTTGCTGTACTCAAAGTGTTCCAAACTTGCTATGCTTTCAGCCCATCCATCATCGATATCGCCTAACTGCCAGTCATCCCCGATATCAAACATGCCCGTTCTCCCAGCTAAGACGGCCTTCTGTCTTGCTTGATATTCAACGGCTAGGGCCGGATGAGGCACCCAGACAACCCTCATTCCAGCCCGTCTTCCTGCCTCTACTCCAGCTACACTATCTTCAAATACCAGACATTCCTTAGGCAGGATTGTGCTACTTGGAAGGCCTGAGTTTAGTGATGCGAGAGCAATTGAATAGATATCGGGAGCTGGTTTCGACCGGCCCTCTCGCAGCCGGGGGTCATCACCTAGCACCCGCCGCTCTGACTGGAAGAAGTCAGGTATTTCTCTTGTTTCTGGTCTTGAAGTCTTCAACTTGTAGGAAGAAGCTTTGGAGGTGGACGCCAAGGCCAGCTCGATGCGAGTGCCTGAAGCAGTCTGTGCGCGGCTCAGATTCGAGAGAAGGATCTTGGTGCCGGGTAGTGGCTTGCAGTCCTGAAAATACCGCCCCATTTGCTCACCAAGCTCAGTCGCCCATTCTTCATGAGAGATGGGTAGCCTGGCCCAGTCGTGGAACATGTCGCTGTTCGTCGAACCCGAAACGCCCATGAGCCGAGCTCGCATGGATTGGGTCAGGAGAGGCCTCCCATATTTCCGAAGAAGATGGTTTGTGGCCTCGCCGACCATGTCTTCAGAGTTGATCAGAAGCCCGTCCATGTCAAAGATACAGGCTCGGACTTCTGGGAGCCTAGAGCAGCTCACAGCTTAGTATCAGGCACTGTGACTCTGTTAGGGGGGCCATACTGCGTCTGATGGGGAGGCATCAGCGACTGATCGCCGGAAAGGACTGATTAAGCCCCGACCCCCTTGAGCTGTCTCAGTGCCTACCGGCGTTACGGCAAATCAGAGGTATGAGTGCGCCGGCTAGCAAGGGTCTCGCTTTGTCGAAGAGCCAGAGCCTGCACCACCGACCGGTGGTTACTGTAGGGGACCTCACCCAACGTGATGGTGTCCAAGCGTGTCGTATCTGACCTGCTTGCGTGTTTTCCTTCGCCGGAGACCGTCGAATCCTGCCCCTTCCTGCCTTTTTTCAAGAACATGCTCGCGGGAGCCTTAGTTATTCTAAGCACCCATACCCCGCTCGCCACGTCAATCATGATAAATGTGTGTGGGGGCACTAGTGGTGGAGATTCGTCCTTGGTACGCAGTGGTCCAGGAGATTGTATCTTTAAGGGGAGGAGCATATGAGAGATATCGAGAGTGTTCCTCGGAATAGCATAAAAGAGACTAGAATTGTTAATCAAAGCAAACCGTAGGGTTTTCGTTGATGTCGGCAATGCGTAGTCAGATGAGAGAGGTAGTGAGCTTCTGCTAGTCTCTTGTTTGGTAATACCAAGTAAAGGCTGTGTGTGCGAAATGATTTCATTCCAACAGAAATGCCTGATATCGAGAGTACCTTTTCCCAAGATAATCTTGTGTACATCCCACAAAAACGCTTTTCCCAAGGTCAGATCAAAATCTTGGAAAAAGCGCCGCCAACACCATGTTGGTTCAGCCACGCTTCCAGAGCCTTCATGTCGTTGCGGTTCGCCCGCTCCCCCCTCCTCTCGCCCAGCACGTCCGTGATCTCCCGCATGTCCGCAAACGCGCGGCTGATTCCGCCGGCGCCGGCGCCGGCCTCGCGGTACCGCTCGCTGACCTTCTTGTGCTGCGGCGGTATGTCGCCCCAGCTCTCCGTCTTGATGAACCGCATGTAGTCGTCGATGGCTCTCGCGCCGCCCTCGAGGCACATGACGCCCGGCTTGCCCGCCAACAGGAAGCCCGTCAGGCCGTACCTGGGCGCGTTGTCGATCAGGTCGTCACGCTTGGCCCGCGTGCTGATGGAGGGGAAGTAGAACCAGACGCGCACCAGGGGCTCGGGCGCGGTGCCGGCAGCCACGTCGCTCGTGCTCTGCTCGGCTTGGGACTGCTCGAGCTGTGCCAGCGCTGCTTCCTTGACGTGTTCGATGGCGGTCAGCAGGTCCTCGTCGGGGATCTCGTCGTTGAGCCGCGCCACATCTGCCCTGCTCATCCACTCTGGTTGCACTGCCCGTATCTTGACTTTTGGAGGCTCGGTCAGGGAGTTCGTGGATGAGTCTTCCCCGGCTGGAAGGACAATAGGTACTGATATGTCCAATTGCAGTGGGAGAGGTGCCTTCGACTCATCGCCATCACAATCCGACAGCGTTAGGGTCAAACGCAGGTTGACACTAGGAGGATTGACAGCTGGGGGCGGCACCGTGTCGTCACTCTCGCACCAACTTCTCAGTTCCTCGACCCGGGACATCGAGTCATCTCTTATCGAGATCGCATCGTCTGGAGCATACATGGCCATCAGCAGATCGATCTGACCCAGCTGCATCTCCATGAGGTCTTTTGGCAAGACATGACGGCCCGTCGAATCGTCGCTCATGATAGGATAGATGGAGATGATTTCGTGTGCGGGTTGCCTGATGCCCAAGGAATTTTCACTTCGTTTGATCAATGCTATAATGAACACATCTTCGCCTCGTCTTTTTTGTCACTTGTTGCCGATCAAGACACCATCGAACTGGCCGACCGCCGAAAAAAATACTGGTGGGAGGTTGCGAGAAAAAGTGGGACGCCAGCGGAACCGGGCCACAGCCGATTGTCTCGGCGCTAAATGCTTGATATTCATCACAATACCTTGCATATCAAGGAGCCATCTGTTCAGCTGACGTACAAGAACGACACGGTGATGGAGTATTTCTACATGGAGAAATTACTAAGTTGTAATCGCCTTGTGATGAATATGCTACCAATGAGACACACATCCGCAAGACCAAGCTAAGAGCAGAACATGTCTAGACCATTCGTGATGAAGCCGAGATTCACATGTCTGGGACGAATGTCCAAAAGGAGTCCCCGGCACGGACGGTCGAAAATCCAACGAACGGCTTCGATTGGTTCTATCGGACTCGAGGAAATGCCGAACCATAGTCTTGTGCTGACTTCTTCTGCATCTGGCTAGTCATCAGCCTCGCACTTGGACGCTCAGACTCATCAACCAGTCCGATTAAGTTGAAGCATGATGTCGTTCTTTAGGCCCGTTGTAATCGCTGTATAAATGACAAAACAGATCCGTTTTCAGTACGAATTCTAGAGTCAGCTCACTACCACCATCTCCCGGAGACTACCGAGAGCAAATCATCATGCAACTGAATTCTTTTGCACTTCTGGCTTTTGCCATCACCATGGCTGAAGCCCTGCCCTGAAAGGCTCCTGAACTGCCTTCTCAAAGCAAACTTCACCCCAGGGATCAATGCTTCGGAGCGGGTCCTCGCTGAACCGGTGATCACCCACTGTGCCAAGGGGGATATTGTGTAGACTTTCAGGGTCCCCATTGGGGATTTTGGGTGCTGCGTGGGACCTTGACTTGCACAATCAATGTACTACCTGGCTCTGCTAACTATTTGCCAGCCCGAATAAGACTTGAGCTTGAGCGCAGAGGACATGGGGTGTTTTCTGCTGCTTATTGAACGGCGACGATTGGGTCGATAGGAGAGTTTGATGTACTTCAGATACTAATTATTCTGTTGGACCTGGAGCCTAATATCAAGTAAACTAAGGTCTATATATCTTCTGAGATACGATATTCTTAGTAGAGAAAACGGAAATGAGGATTCTGCAATTGGAAATTAGCACAGTCCCTTGAACGTGTCTTGGACAAGCGACTCACTTTGAAGTCCGTGGTATCAGTTCCATCGACGGCCTCGAGAGCTGTGATTTCAGCTGTTTCATACCCAGCTGCTTCTCTCTTTTTGTTCCGCCGGATGAGCAGATACCGAATGATCAAAGCAATGACGAATTGCCCGCTCGTGCAGCTAAGCAGCACCTTGCAGCCGGTGGGATAGAGCGGAGCTTCCGAATCACGGAATGCGTGGGGCCCGATGATGTTTCCCACGCAGTAGGCGGTAAAGACGATGGCCGACGAAAGCATACGCTTTGTGTACCCGGCCACGTTGGACGAGGGCATCTGCAGAGCGATGACGAGCGTCGCGACAAACGAGCCCTGGATGTAGTACCCAAGGAGCACTCCGTACTTGTTGGCGCCGTACGACCTGTCCAATTTCCAGATCAGAGAGATGCCGATGATGGTCGGGATCTGGTACAGGGCCATGACGATGGTTCGAAAGCCCTTGAGTTTGGACGCCAAAAAGGTACCAGACAGGATCCAGAAGAGTTGGAAACCTCCAGTCGGAAGTCCGAGCAAGGTGGTCTGGAGGGGATCCTTGACCAGTCCCTTGACGATCAGCTTTCCAAAGTTGGCGACGCCTCCGTTGATGACCTCATTGAGAAGCACAAAGAGGGTCAGGAGCCAGACCTGCGCGTCCGTCAAAGCCTCCTTGATCTGGTCCCACTTGATGGTCTTGTTGATGACACCGGTGCGGCCCAATCGTGCCCTTCCGATCAGCAGCGCCTTCTCCTCGATGTTGAAGTGCCTAGCGGCAATGATACTGTCGGGCAGGAAGAGGAGGAGAACGGCGCCCCACAGGATGGTCACACCACCGCAGAGCAGGAAGATCGCGCGCCACACTGCGAAGTTGGGGATGTGACCCATGCCGTAGCTAAATAGACCTCCGAGAATGGCTCCGAGGCCATTGCAGCAGTAGAAAACCCCGGCACGGAAAGGCTGCTCGCTTCGCAGGTACCTCAACAGCGCGCGTCGTTAGCAATGTAACAACCGATGGCACGAACAAGGCAAACCGCAGACTTACCACTGCGACACAATCATCATGAAGCAGGTGGTGATCGGGGCCTCGAACCAGCCCAGGAAGAAGCGACACGCGACCATGCCAGAGTAGTTGCTGCAGGCTGCCGTCAACATCAGCACCGCGCCCCAGCACAGGACACATATCGAGACGACCTTGGCGATCCTCCACTTCTGCGCGAGGAAGATGAGGGGATACTCGGCGGCGACGTAGGCGAAGTAGAAGACGCTGGGCAGCCAGGCGTACTGGTCGCCGTTCATGTGCGTGTCCTTGAAGAGGTCGAAGACGGCGGCGTAGGAGAGGGCCTGCTTGTCGATGTACTGCAGGGTGAAGGTGCCGGCTAGCAGGGGCAGCAGGACGAGATCGACCTTGCGCACGAGGCGCCGATTCTTGGCCACATCGTCGACGAGCACCTGCAGGTAATCGGCCGAGAAGTCGTGCTCCTGCAGGAAGGCCTCGTCTGCGTCGAGCGCCGTCTCCCCGGCGGCGACGGACGACGCCTTGAGATCCTTGGTCTCCTCCTTGCCCAGTTTCTCGAGCTCGCCTTGGGCCTGAGCTCTGTCCATTTTGGGTGGTGAATTTGGGAGTGTATGGCTGAGTGCAAGAAGGCTGGACAGTTGACCCAAGATGGGGGGCGCGCGGGCGACTCTTTATGGGAAAGGAGAAGCCTCGTGTGCGAGTTGGGATGCAATCCAGATCCAATAGGTGGACATAGTGACTGTGCGGAGGCGGGAGAGAAGTAGGTAGGTAAGGGGTTCGAGCAACCCGGACGCTCCGTTCTCGGGGCGCAGTCTTTGGGCCGAAAAAGGATTTGATGATAGGCTTAGCATCGCTAATGTGGTGGGTTTGGCCTAGATAGATAGCGGCAAGGCGGTGGCCCCACGGGGAAGCCAATGCGACCAGGTTGTTACTTGGCCGGGCTCTAGGTTTCATCCGCCCCGCTTACACTCTTGTCGGTGGGATTTTCCATCCTCTCTGCATCTGGTCCCTTTGACTCCCATTGATTGATAAGAACCAGGAAAAAAGACAGAGTAGGTCTCTATGTATCGGAGATGCTTGTGTTGGAGAAGCCGAGACGAAAGAATGTTCATTGAGCTCCGTGGTACCCCGAGTTGTGAGTTACTTTAGCCTAGATTGGCCTCGATGCCACGTCCTCCTATCATTCAAGTGAGCGAAAGAGCCGTCCGCCTTCGAGGCTTGGCCTTTGTCCCCTTGAGAATGGACTCTTGGTCCAAATCTGAGTTTGGTTTCCGGGGTTGGACTGAAAACACGGCTGCCGGTTAGTTTCAGCACAGAGAGCGATATTCTTGATAGCTGCAAGCAAGCCAAGGGCATACGCACTAATATATCCCAGAAGGTGCTCTCTTATCATTCCATCAGCTACGTAGCCATCTTGGGTCTCGAATTGGACCTGCAGAACAACTCGAAACGCATGAAACAACTGATACCAACTCTGGCGGGTATTGGCCGTTGGAGGACTATTATTCATCTCAGACCTACACCTTTGCCTCAATATCCAGAGATGAAGGGTCCCCACTGGTTCACTCTGGCTTGACGAACTTTATACTCTCAAAGGTATTTGTAAAGCAATGGTGCCGGTATAGTCCCCCGCACAACCCTCGCCACCCCGGATTCTTGGAGGAGGGTGTTGACGCGGGGAAAGGCTGGTATGATCTGGCGAAATTGATACTAACTTCCTGTCCAGACCAATCCAAATTGCCTCATTGCACATGTCGGTTGTCAAATGTGGCACCCGAATTACTTTGCTACCTTGAATTGAGAATTAGAACTCTGGAGAGGTTGAAACGAAAAGGTGGTGCCTTCCACCTCCCCCAAGCTGCGTTTGCTCGCTATATTCATCGGCTAATTGGCCCATCGTGAATTTGGTCGGCTGATTCAGCTCCCTCAGCCACTCGCGAGACCGGACCTGCGATCGCATAACCCATTCAATATCCTTTCTCGTTCTCGAAGATCCAGCATAAATCGGGTTTTATACTGGCTCAAATTTCAACTCATGAAGACTCCATGCCCAAATATGCTCCCGATAGATCGATCATATGGTGTGCCTTTGGTCTGAGCGAGCACTTTCCCCGAGAGACATTCGGTTTGACGTATACCATGATGTGATTGAGAGAAAACCGAAGCAAAATCTGTTGCAGGTACATTGGAGCGGTTTTGTTTTGTATATGTATGTATGAAAAACTGCCCATCCAATGAGGATTCGAAGTGGGTGAATCAAGCACGCGTGGGTGACCAACGCGAAAGCCATGTCGCCACGAGTTCCTCAAAAGCAGGGAACGCTCGATTTTTCGTGGATCTGTTATCTATCCAGGAAGGATTGGCTGTGGTATGCCGCGCCGGAATCTGCATGGCAGCCCGCTGGATGGTTCTGGGGGCGACTTAATCTGGAAGATATCCGGCAGCAATCGTCCCGCACTTTGTACCTGCATCTTGAGGCGCTGGAGCGATGAGATTCTGGTGGCTGAACACCGGCGGACGGGAAGACCGGTGGTGCAATTTACGCGTGTAGAGTGAATATACAACGATCTCATCCCTTCAACGAGCGCGGTGAATCTGAATCTCTTCCAGACCGATGCGAGTTCTTCAAGTCGAGGAAGATTCCAGATACGGCGAAAACTCCAACATCATGGCGTTCTCTGATTCCCGCCTTTGGGTCATCTTAGTGACATTGCTGGTGCCTGCTAGCCAGGCGCTTTCAGCGGAGATGATGAGCAACTCTCCTGGCCACCTTAAGCTCATTCATGAAGGCGTTGGCGTGGGCAACGAACTCATCGCCGGCACGTTCCCATTCCCTGATTCGTTTTATCACAAGCATCGCCGCGAGATAGTGTCCCACGAGGACGGCTCGCATACAGAATGGAACAGTATCGCCCCTGACGCAGTGGAAGTGAAGGCATCGTATCCGAACTCCGGCAGCGTTGGCGCCACCTTCACCTTTGCGCCAGATGACACGCTTTACGGTGTTTGGAGCTACCCGTGGAATGGCAGCATTGCCAATGCGGGACAGAATCATGCTGATATCGGCCTGTTTGGCACGGATAGGCCCGGCATCAACTGGGCTAATGCGCGTGCGCCTTTCTTCTTTTCCCGGTCTGGATTCGGCGTGTACGTCGACTCGCTGCAGTTCGGAAGTTTTGACTTCTCCGAGCCTGGCACGGCCAGTTTCAGCTTCAATGGAAGCGAGTTGACATACAATGTGCTGTACAATAGCAATCTTACCGAGCTGCTGATGCGATACGCGAACTTATCCAGCAAGCCTGAAATGCCTATCGATTCGGGTTACGGGCCAATTTTCTGGTCGGACAACTTCGAGGAGGACTTCCACCAGGGGGTGTCTAGAGCCGATGAGAATTTCCACGATGTGATGAAGCATTTGAAGCAAAATCAGATCAGAGCTACAGCCATATTTGCAGACAGTATGTGATTCTCAAGCAACTCCAACAGTCTATGCCCTTTACTGACCATGAGGTGCAAGGGCCTTACGGGACGGGAAACTGGTCCTTTGGCAATTTTGACTTTGACCCGAAAAACTACCCTGATCCGCGGACTTTTATTGCCAATCTGTCGTCGCAAGGTTACGACTTTCAGGCCTGGGTGGCCAACCGCGCCTTTCTTTACACAGAGCTGTACAACACCTCCATGGCGAACGGGTGGCTATTCCCCGGCTTTGACGGTACCCAATTCCTTGGCCCTGCACTGAACCTCTCTATCCCTGCGGCCTACAGCTACCTTCTTGAACGGCTCACCTCGTTGGCTAGAATAGGAGTCAAGGGCTTCAAAATCGATCGCGGCGAGGAACGAGAAATGCCTGACGCAGAACAGAATCTGCAAAGCATTCTTTTCAATGAGCTATGCTACAAAGCCATGGAAACGGTATGGGGCAAGGGCAACTTCTTCTCGTTTGCTCGTTCAGCCTTTGACCGATCACGCTCAAAGGTGGCTATCTGGAACGGCGATTCCCAGGCCAACTTCACCGGCCTGCAATACTCTGTCGCGTCGGCAATCCGCGCCGGACTGCTAGGCTTCTCTCACTGGGGCTCGGACACGGGCGGCTACCTCCGAACAAACAGCACGCCTACCGAGGAGCTCTGGGCTCGGTGGATGCACTTCAGCGCCTTCTCGCCCATGTACGAGATTATGGTGGGCACCAAACACACGCCGTGGTACGACTACAGCCCTCGGCTAGTCCGGGTGCTGAAGGATACCGCTGCCCTTCACACGAGCCTCATTCCCTATATCCGGAGCTATGCGTATGCAGCGAGCCAGACGGGATTGCCTGTCATGAGGGCTTTGTTCCTGGAATATCCGGATGACGACAAAGTAGCCGAGACAGGAGATGCGTATACATTTGGAAAGGAGTTTCTCGTCGCGCCTATCGTCACCCAGGGTGGGAACAGGACGGTCTACTTTCCGAGGGGACAAGGCCGATTCCTCGAATACTTTAACAAGAGCCAGACTTTCAAGCCTGGCGAGACCCACGAGATTACCAACATGCCTCTCGAGTACTCGCCGGTTTATGTCCGCGAAGGTGCTATTATTCCCACCGGCGATGTGTTCCAAGGAAATGCCAAGTGGGTGGCCAACTGGAAACCGCACCTAGTCATTGAAGTCTACCCGAGCTACAATGTATCGGTCTCAAGCTTCACCTACTACCGTGGCAAGGAGAGTACACCGCTCAACGGTACGACCTCGATCACGATGACGGCTAGGAGCGGTAACGTGACGATCCAGTCAGGCGACCTGGGTGTCGATGGCACTATTCTGGTGTACCATAAGAATGGGGTCGAGAACATCACACTGCCCTCTGGTGAGGAGCATACGCTGCACATTGGGGGATTAGTCAGTCTCTTTGAGTAAGGTAGGAATTGGGGCTATTTGTCGCAGAAGTTCAATTGTCTATTCAAATTCGATGCTCCCTTGCGAGGGGTGTGTGTCATCCGCTCTTCCCGCTCCCACCATCGATGCTCCTGCTGAACATGAGCTTTGACATCTGAAACCATCCAACTCCTTACCACTAAGTGTCACAAAATAGTTTGTGTTGAGAGAATGCAATTAGACAGCGTCAGCCTTCAGCCTTGTGGGCTCTCATCCGAACCTAAGTAAGCTTACTCAGAGCAGTCCACCTGGCTTGCGAATGACGCACGCTGGCAAGGCGTGACAATGCCAGGGTTGCAGGTGGCGGCGGCTTTCGCGCAAAGTCACTGCCGAGGAACCGTTGGTGGAATGATGCTGCTCCAAAGATCGGATGCTTTCTTATTTGGTTGAGCAATTTGCTGCAGCTTACATCGTGGCTAGCGCCGCATCGATGAATCGCATGCAGCTTTTCTCGCGTACGCTAGAAGACGCAAGAGGATGACTAAAGAGTTTTGCTGGTGAGCTCAAATCTGGACCAGAGGTCATTGTTACTTGCGTCCACTTGCGAGGTATGTGATAGCAAACAGTTGAAGCATGTTCAATGATATTGAATGCTACTCCTGAAACATCCGCCCCCAAAGGTAATCCATATCAGTGGGGAGACTCTTTACGATTCAGGGTTGCATTAAACGCAGGGGCAGAACCTAAAAGGACTTAGCAGTTGGTCAGAGGTTGGGACCGTGGTCTGAATTAGGGAGAGGCGCAGCGGGCACGTTGTCTCGGCGCCATGTACCTGCAGTAAGCAGACGTAACCTATGCCGAATCGAGGTGTGATGTCTTCTTCTCAGCCCAAAATCCATCGAGCCATTTTTCATATTTTCCAGCTCGCCGTTCTCTGAGTTACCTAGTGTTTTGTCCTTCGTCTGACCTCGAATGCGTAGTAAATTTGTTATGGCATCCAAATATGCACAAGCTATCCAGCACACAGTGAGCAAGCAAGTTGAAAAGAGATGGGCATCTCATCATCACGTGTATTCGTGCCTTTCAATTTGTATGTTACATGCCTTGCAAGGATCAGGCGGGCGGGTGTGTCGAAATCGCCAGGCTAGCCTCCTCTTTATTCCTTCGAGACCCTGCATTGAAGGTACGGATCGAGACCCTTGTCACCTTCCTATTTCTGTCACCCTCGAAGACTTGAGGTTCGTGACTCGCTCACATCTGTGCAATGTCACCTATCTGTGTTGCTTTCATGTGCTCTGATAGAGTAAGGTCGATTTCTGACTCCGGCGTAAAGGCAGTGCGGTCACAAGAGAGTGGCAGTTACGGTCAGATGGGACGAAGCCACTCTCACTCAACGTTACAGCCCTCATCAGCGACCCTATCGTGTATCGTGCTCTCCATACTATATAATGCCTTCGATGGACCCTTTACTTCGTAGCCTTCCATCAACTGACATCAAAAGAACATCACCACACACTCTTTGACGTCCACACACAGTCTCAACGACATTATTCTTCGCAACACTCCTTCAAACCTTTCAAAGCGCTCTCTTTCCAAGACCAACTTCGATATCGTAGATAGAACTACCATTCATTTCATCAATCAAACATCATGATCTTCAACGCCTTCTCGCTCCTTGCCTCCGCGGCGCTGGCTTCTGCTGCGGCCGTCAACATGCCGCGTGCCGCCTCTGTCTCCATCACGCCCCACGACCGCTACTCGTCGTCGATCGGAGTCCTCGGCTGCAAGATCAACACGGACCGCGTGGCCTACTGGCCCATGTCGCCCAGCTGCAACGACATCTGCGTCAAGGTCTCGGCCAACGGCCGCTCCGTCTACCTCCTGCGCATCGACCAGTCCGGCGGCGCCCACGACATCAGCTACGACGCCTGGAACTACCTCTACGTCGGCAAGTCGGCCACCGAGTCGCCCCAGTACGGCGGCGGCATCCCCGCCACCTGGGAGGGCGTGCCCATGAGCAACGCCAACTGCAAGGCCCTGCTCAAGGGCACCGGCGGCCGCCTCGCCTTCTCGGCCGCCAACAGCATGAACTTCATCACCAGCTGCTCGTCGGCCACCTGGGTCGGACAACACAACGTGCTGTACAACATCCTGAACCCCGTGTGCACCTGGGGCTATGACGAGATCTGCACGCTGCCGCCGCCCAACGTTAGCAACGAGCCTACCTGCCCTCACCAGCTCGGCGTTCCGGTCGCGCTCACGACCCAGCCCGTGTACAACATCGACTACGGCACTGGGAAGAAGTCGTTGGCTGTTTGAGAAGGTGGATCTCTGGTCATGGCCTCAGCATACTGTGTAGTCACAGCAACTTGGCCGGTTTCGAATTCCATTCACGTTGTTTGATCACTGGTTCAGAATCTCCCACACTCGTTCAGCATCTACTCTACATCAAGTTTGTCCAATAAGTTTGTCATTAGACTAGTTCAACCTGTACATAATGATCGCCTATATGGCATTGCTGAAACATAACATGCAGTGTGGAGGTCCATATCATCTTTCTATGTGAGAACAAGTTCTGGATACATGTAGCCTTTTTATGACCACAGGTGATCACTTCTGAAAGTAGCGTACACCGCTAATTTATTCAACTTCGACGCCGATTATAGAAGACTGTATCTCTCAGAGCGCTTCAGTGTTTTACACCGTTTGAATTTGAGCTGGAATGTGCTTTAACCGTCCGAGTGTTGGCCTTGTGGCAATCCCTGGAACAATAAGGCGTGGATGGAGGCTGATACAGGTCAATCCGACCGGAAAACGCAGCCATTGAGAATCCAATGGGGCAAATCACCAGACCGACCAATTACATTGCTTCATCAAGTGTGGTTGAGTGATTGGTTCCAGATAATCGTCAACGAGGCGGGGTGCCTTGCACTTCTGCTTCAGCCTGACTATCCATGTCTTTCCATCCTGCTTCCCTCGAGTCCAGCCGGCTTGGGGCCTTTGATGCATCTCTAACGACAGATGTACGATTCGAAACGCAAGTCATAATCGAGCCGTTGACCGTTTTCAAGATGGACCCCCTCTCTGTGTCAGCAAGCATCATTGCCATCGTCCAAGCGACCGTAGGAGTTGGCAAAGCCGTCCAATATCTGCGCTCCATCCGCAATATTCCAGCCGAGTTTCTCGACCTTACCAACGAGCTTACCGGCCTTCAAGCGATCCTTGCGCAGGTCCATGCGGCACTCGTGAACATCGACGGCGACGACGAACGAGCCACTATACAAGCCACTGGCGCCGACTCTGTTGCATTGCAGAATTGCAAGACAGACTTGGAGAAGCTTGTTCAGGAGTTGGATGCTCTTTGTGGGAGAATGAAGGTATCGGTAAAGAAAGAGACGAACAAAGAAGGCGGCGCACACGAGAGGATATCTAAACGGCGCTGGACCAGGGAGAGGGAGCACTTGGCAACACTCCGCAACCGTACTAAGAGGACCTGCGACTATTTGAACTTGGCCTTTGTCGCATTGCAGACTTCGCGAAGGTAAAGTCCATCAAAGCAGTATCAAGCTTGCAAATTCATTTGTGCTGATAATCGGCGACATTAGCGCCCAACAAGCTGGTCAACTAGCTGCAGTCCAACAGGCGATGCAAAGATTGACTCAAATGTATCAAGAGGGAAACCATCGGGTGTATACAAAATGCTTGGACCTCGAGAATCTAGTCCGGTTAGCCGACTCCGAGTACGCAACGATCGACCGCATCCACTCAGTTTCAAGGACCTCAGATACTGCAAATGACATAGTGTCCTTCCCCGCCCTCTTGACAAGGGTTTGTCCGCCTCATTGCACGTGCCAGTGCCATCTGGTAACCTGTACTGGAATGCCGAAGTGGTGTCGGGCAGCACTCGGGGCTCTTTTTATGAAGTATAACGGCATACCGCTTCTCTCCAGTCAGAAATGCGACAGACTTGACTGTTCTGGTCGAAGGTCATCAGTACGCCTGGCCTACCATTTCCCCAGGTGGTTCATTTCTCGAGCTGTATATGCTTCTGTTTTGTGGCATGGCCCATTAGGTCTAAATGCCTCGATTTACTTGCGTTTCCCTCGCGTGCTGGTAAAAGATGATCCTTGGGAAGCTGTCAGAATGGGTGACATAGCCTGGCTACAAAACGCGATCAGCACCAAAGAGATTTTGCCACATGACATTAATACAACGGGTAAATCACTCGTTCTGGTACGCAATCAAAGGCATATATGATGATCATCATTAACTGAGAAATTCTCAAACAGACTGCGATTATATGGAATCGCATGGACGTGGCCGACCTGTTGATTGGACAAGGGTTTGATGTTGAGCTTGAAGACCAATACAATTGGTAAGCACATGTCGCCATCAAATGATCTGATCGAGCTGATCTTGTATTTACAGCTCACCAGTCAGTTGGAGCTATCAAAGCGAGCTCTTTGGTTGGATCCCACGCACTCCAAGAGACCAGGTGATACAAAAGCAGCTTGCTGGCTTGTACAAGTATACGGGATCATCTCCGATTCATGACGCTGTACTGGGAGTTGGATCATCGACTCTCGCGACAGCAATCTCACAAGATCCAGGTGATCTGAACAAAATGAACAATCTAGGGATGGCCCCATTACATGTTGCAGTTCTTCACGGGGATGCCTTCTCTGTCGCTAGTCTCCTACAACACGGGGCATATGCAGATATACGGGACAGAAACTTCGGATTCACCCCCCTCCAGCTGGCCTGCATCTCGCTACATTCTACACAGGTAGAGATAGCTCGACTACTTCTTGCTCATGGTGCAGATCCCAACATCTATGGCAAATCAGAACGAACTCCTCTCATGTTAGCAATTGATGATCCGGAAATGGTACTACTTCTATTGGATCACGGAGCCCAGGTTACTGAACGCGATGGTAGCCAAAAGGATTTGCTGGCACCTACGTGTGGACATAGCCCTTTTCCGGACACATCCAAATTCCGATCCAGTTGGAAACGGTCCCTGGAAATCCTGATGAGCACTGGAATAGATTTGGATATTCCTTGTTCAGTGCACAATGAAACTCCGCTACTAGTCAGCATAGGAAGTCGCAATACGGCTTTCGCGGATGTCCTTATCGAGTTAGGCGCTGCGCTCAATGCTGTGGACGACCGAGGACGTGGTATCTTGCACATAGCTGCCATGACTGCCGATGCAGAGCTGATCGAGGTCCTCCGCCGAGCCAAAATTCATGGCATATGCCCTGATGCGGTCGACAACCACGGCCACACACCGCTGAGATTGATAGCGGGGAGAATGATTGACCCCGAGTGGGTAGTTAGAATGACTCCAGGTGTGAGACGACCTACCCAAGAGGAATTCTACGCCTTCAAAGATCTGGTGCAGGAAATCCGAGACCGGAACCGGTTACTAAGACTGCGTGTGGTCGGTGATCAACAAGCGGGACGGAGGCAGAGTTTGGACGATGAACAAGGTGGTTCAGAGCGGAGTTTCACTACTTTGGAAGTTGCAGGAGGTAGAAGCAGCATCAACGAATTCACGGGAAGTGATTCAATCCTGGGATGTTGGACGGATAGTGGAGAGATGGCGGAGTCTGATGAAGACGAGTTCTTCGATACACGAAGCCATTGGAGCTTAGGTGAGAACTAATTCGACTGGATGCTGTATAGGTCTCTTAAATTCTTATTGGAAACTAAATGCAACTCTTTTCTCTCGATATGGATTATGTGGGGGGCAACCAATATTGAAGCTGCTTGCCAAATGCGACAGAATCGGCATTTCATGAAAGTTCTTCGCGTTGGGTGCCTACGAAATTCCATCAAGTAGCTCGGGGTCATCGTCGACCTCGCCGACGCCGTCGCCGGGTGGGTCCAGCTGGAGGGGTCCTTGCGTTCAGGAGGGACGCCTGGACCACAAAGCCCTTATAGGCGAGGTCAAGGCAGTCGGTTGTCGGGGAGGAAAAGACCGCTATGGTCAAGCGGGAAGAACGCGAGATTGTTGCAAAGGCAGGTCGAGGTGGTTCGGGTTTCGATCCCCGATGACGAAATAATACCTTTCGACAAAAAACCGGACGACAACACAGGGGCACCTCGACGCCCACGGCAGTGCGACCCTGTGCGGCAGTAAAATCTCTATTAGGGATTTTCGAAGCAGGCTCCCCTCCGGGTGAGTCTGTGAGTTTTTTTTTTTTTTTTTTCCTTTTTCCTTTTTCTGTACTTTTTGCTCTTTAAGATTTCTGCATGCCGGAGACCGATGACCCCTGAGTGTCATCAAGATAGTTGAGCTGTGATAGCGGTGTTAAGATGAGGGTCAGGTCAAGCTGTTCTCATTCCTACAAAAAAAGCACCGAAGAGTACTAAGTATCTTCAAATCTGTATTTGCGAATGCTAGTACTCATATATAACACAGCCCAAGACGGCAGCTCCATTGTTTGTAATATGTACACCAGGGGGGAGATCAAAGACAGGGACTGGATGCTATAATGCTCCGAACATGTTGACCAAAGGTACTGTCCCAAAGCTCCCACCGCAGTACACGTCAGCATGAGCAGTAAAGTTGCAAGGGGAGTTGCAGTCAAACGGCCTCCCGATCTGAGCGTAGTCGTAGCCCGTAAGGTTGTTGCCGCAGGTGCATATCGAGTTCCCGTTGGCGTCTGTCCCGAGGGAGAAATACCGCGCCCGCCCGCCGGGAGAGGCGGAGCAAAAGTCTGCGCACTCGTCAACGGAGACCGTGACCACCTCTTGGGCTGTCGGGGGGCTGAGGCCGTAGGCGCCACCCGAGGCTGCGACATAGCACCCCAGGTACCCGTACGCAGTGGTGTACCCGGCAGCGGTGCCGTTGACTATGATCGTCCCGTTCCCTGCGGGGCCCTGGGGGCCGGCCGGACCTTGAGGTCCCTCGGGACCTTGAGCGCCCGTCGAGCCTTGGGGTCCTGCTGGGCCCGTTGCCCCGGTCTCGCCGGTAGCTCCCGTAGCCCCGGTTGCACCAGTGGCGCCCTGCGCGCCTGCAGGACCTTGAGCACCTGCAGGGCCGGCTGCTCCGGCGGGACCTTGAGCGCCGTTTGTCCCGTTCACCCCGTTCATGCCATTGAAGCCGTTCAGGCCGTTCTGGCCGTTGGCTCCGCTCTTTCCATTCTGCCCGTTCTGTCCGTTTTGCCCATTCGTCCCCGCGGCCCCGTTCGTGCCGTCCTTTCCATCACTGCCGTCACTACCATCGGTGCCATCTTTCCCATCTGTGCCATCAGTACCGTCCTTGCCAGCTGGCCCGGCTGGACCCGCAGGGCCCTGCACCGTTGCCCCGGCTGGACCGGGAGGCCCCTGAGAACCTTGTTGTCCTGTAGCACCGGGCGCTCCCGGCGTACCTGGACTACCTGGCGTACCGGGTGCTCCATGGTTGCCCGAGATGCCAGGGCTGCCAGGGCTACCAGGTGATCCAGGCATCCCGGGAAAGGACCCTGATCCACCTGACGAGGTCCAGCCAGAGCTGGATGAAGAGCCTGACTGCCACCCACCCGAGCCGCCACTCTGCGAACCACCAGAGCTACCGGAGCCAGTCCATGACCCTGGCTGGGCACAGGTCCGGCACACGGACCCTGCCTGCGACCCTCCCGTATTCGGCGAGCCAGACCACGACCCCTGACTACCGCCACTACTTGACCATTGCACCGTCGGGGGAGCTTTACCACCCGCGGGTGCTCCTCCTACCTGAATGCCGCCGCCGGTTCCGGCTTCTATTACTATGTTCACTGGCGAGGCGGAAACGCCTGGTATTGAGCACTGGTCGACTTTTGCCATGTCAGCAGGGGGGGAACCTGACCATGGCTAAGGGAGATGGTACGGTACTCACTCGGAACATAATTCAGGTTGACCGGCGCGCAATCCGGCGGCGTCCCCGTGGCGTTGAACAGGGCGAGTATTGAATTCGAGCTCGACAGGCAGAACCTCGTGTCGGGGTGCGTGACATTCGTGTTCTTCCACTCGAGGTAGCCCTGCGCTACCGAGAAGCCACTGCTGATGGTTGCTTCCGCGGCGCAGGCGAGGAGCGGCTCCTGCTCCTTGCCGACGGTGGCGGCGATGCGCCGCTTGTCCGCGTAGAGCTGGTCGCCGACGAGGGTGAAGACCGTGGCTACCTGGCAGACGGGGCAGATGCCGTCGGGGCAGACGAACGGCCCGGTTGCATGCCTCCTGCGCAGCCACCGGCCCGGACGTCGATGTGATTCAACTTGGAGCAAGAATTGCTGGACTGGGAGTCTGGCAGAGATGGTTAGTTACTCCTCGATAAGGTGCCAGTCGTGCATAATATCTGTCTGTCATGACTGATCCAAGTAGACAGCAAAGGTACTCACTGTCGTTGAGAGTCTGATTCCAGGGAAGCCTCGGGGACAACCAGGTCTCGTGGTGAAGACCTGTCGATGAGGCTGCCCGCCCGGGCTATGTGAAGAAAGGAGAGCAAGGTGGCAAGCTCCGTGGATAACCACATGGCCACCAAAAAGCGAGGGAATGTGCGAGGGAAATTGATAAGCAAGAGAGAACAGGGATGAAGAGTAACGAGAGACGGGTCGTAAGGTAGTAGCAGCGGAGAGAATGAAGGACGGTTCAGTACACTGACCAAATTACCTGGGAAAACAAGACCATGATCGCCATCACAAATGAGAAAGGAGGAGAAACTACGCGCATATTTGCAAGGTGTGGGTTCAAGTACTATATTCCGGACGACCTACCTATGTTTGGATATGGATGAAGGCACCATAACAATGCCCAGCCACCTAGAATCTGGGGGGTGGAGTATCTTGGTATATCAGAAGCAAGTTTGAGTACGTCAGCTGAATGCTTCACTACAGGAGGTAGGTAGGGCTTCTGCGACCAGGAGCTTGGCAGAGTCAGATCATCCTTCTCAACCTAGCAAAGTTAAGCGAAGAATTGAAAGACCCGTCAGTCCGAGTACCTAGGTGGAAGGGAGGAAGCCCATACTTGGACAACACCGGAACGCCTAACAGAGAATCACTCTTGACGCACCTCAGCCGCGAGGATGCTCGTTTTTAGTCAGACAGGTTCTCCCGGCTCATTGAAAAGGCTCTAGCGTGTCTTAGTCGCACGGCCTGTCAAGATCATGAGCCACGCTCATGAAATGCCAGCCACCTCACAACGAGTTCCAGACAACCCTATTTGATCTTTACTGCTATGGCAGTGAAAGCATGTCAGCCTTTCCGCACTCGGAAGGGATGAGCGTTGATAGACTATTTGCGTTCCGCTATCAAGGTAGATTGGAATGTGCATTAGCGTTGCTCGGAATGTAACAGCAAGCTGTCAAGATTCCACTTCCGGGTCAAGTGGGCCGAATGCGTGACGACGCCTTTTCTGTCCATACGTACACCAAGAGAAAGTTCATGACATCCTATTTGCTGCTACTTGGACGGCTGGTTAGGTTTTGAGGTGTACGCGGGTACGGATTCCTTCCGCGGGGAACAACCCGGCCCTGTCGGTGTCGGCCCATTCCACGGCGCCACTTGCGGCGGATTGGCAAGGCGGACTATAAAGGCGTTCTAACCGTTTTGGTATAGCTCACTGGACACTTTAAGACAACGACATCTGTACCAGGCCAATGAACACGCCCAAACACCTGCCTATGCAATGAGACAGTCGTATTGCAGGTGCCAATGGACGAGGAAGTGTCGATCTTCTCCCACAACTGAATATGTTTGTCATAAGTTCTCAGGGTCCTGGGTGGGCCAGCGCGGCTGTTCTGTTTAAACAGGGCGAAACAAGGCGAAAGCAGTCTTTGACGAGCGAAATTCTCCGGAGATGTGGCACGCGGGACCATCTACTATCTACGTTGTTCTCTTCACTTTTTCCTGTGTGAGCAATGTGGCACTTCTCCTTGAAATGGACTGAATAGTCAGCACGGCAATGGAGTTATTCTCGTCCCTCTGCCATATTCGTCACCCCATGCCACATGTTGCCGAACAAGCCGAGTTGAATTGTCTCTTTGAAGCATCGCTGTTCCCACAATGACTCCTTACTGAGCGTCAGGAAACTCTTTGGAGCATTCTTCAAGATGAACCAACATCGTCCCTTGGCCTAATGCGGAAGGATCTTCAGGTACCAAGTGGGTGGTGATTCTCTGTTAGGCGCCTGTTTAGTCGTTCGTTGCTTGCCTTTCTTCTTGATAACAAAAGAGTCAGACTAGATGTGGCAGGCTTCAACAAGTCCCCCGCTAATTAGCATCTAAGGATGACACCGGCTCGGCCACCTCACCGTTTCTCGGGCGATGCCATCTCCTAATTACCCGTACACTCCTACCCCTACTAAGAACGTAGACCACCGGTAGGAGGAAAACACAAATCAAGAGCCGAGCTATATTGTCCAGCCACCACGGGTGTCTGGCACTTCGGAAGAGTGCCGAGCTTTCCCTATATGGTCTGACGCTTCGACAATTTGTGTGATCGACACTCTCTAGACTGCACGAGTTCTCGATACGGCATTTGACATTCGTGACGGGTGTCTGCCGACCTCGTTGTCTTATCTTGAATGGCGTTCTTCCGTAAGCCTCGTTCTATCATCAGACGAGCTTGAGACAGGATCGTCGGCTGCTTCTCCGGATTTCGACTTGGGAGATTCCAGCATCTGCCCCTTTGGTCAGTTCGAATCTGTGTTTGCCATGCGAAGGTATGGTCTGGCCACCGCCCGTGTCGCCTTTGAGCAACCCGGCTCTCACGTTGGCAACGTGGGAACAGCCCGACATACATGTGATATGAGCGTGCGAGGAGCACAGCACGGATTGTGTCCGGCTTATAAAACCCCATGCCTTCTCTCCACTTGCAACCCTGGGCCTAATCTCCAGTCTTTCCACACACACACACACACACACAACTCACTCCCCGATATCCCACTGCTCCCATTCTCTTGTGCAGCCGTACCCGCAACAGCCTCGCCGTGCTTTCAGTAGCCCTCCCACAACACCTTAGCCAAGATGATGTTCACCCAGGCCCTCGCCGGCGTCGCCGCCACCGTCCTCCTGGCCTTCACTCCGGTCACCAACGCCTTCGTGGACCCCTGCAACTACCAGGAGTACCGTTGCGGCTACAGCATGATGGAGCACTACGGTAAGCAAGCCGCTGTGACTTTTCTTCGAACGATAGGTGTCTGCGTAGGATCGGGGTATTGACGGTACACCCACCACCACTAGGATACACCATCGCCGAGCTGACCAGCGCCGTCAACGGGACTGTGACGATCCCTCCCCTCAACGACGCGCAGCTCCTGAGGACCCTGTTCCGCTGCACCGACACCCTCGGCGGCATCGCCGGTAACTCTTACTGCATCGCCGGCTGCATCAGCATCAGCGGCAACTCGACCGGTACCGTCAACGACATGTGCGCCATGTGAGGCTGATGTCGCTCAGCTCCGGCGGCGTCTCCAGCTTCTCGTTCAGGGGAGGGGCAGCCCGGGGAGAGCATTAGGTTTCGCGGGGAGACGGCTGGGCCTAGTACAATATTCACAGCCGGGGAGTGATTCATACCGGCTACCACCGCCCAGTTTATGCCTGATGAAGTCGACGATATAGGTCTGCTCTGTACTTTGTTGTCACGTTGGAATATATAGGATAGTTTGAAATATTATACTTGTGAGGTGCGATCTACGGCGGTCCTGGCAAATTCTATTGTAACGGAGTCAGTCTCCTTGACATTTCAGATCCTTTGCTTGAGAATGGGGTCCGCATCGCAGACGCGGCCGATCGCAACCTCCTTGCTGCGCGGCCGGTCTTGGCGAACCGACGAACCCTGTTGCGGAAAGAATGGAGACCCACGGGAATATTGGGCGAGATCGCCAGGGAAGAAAGGGATGTGTGGTGTGCTGTAGGAAAGGAGAACTGTGCCATTGTTTCAAGTTGGATCAGCAGCCCTCGAAGAAATGCCGCTCCCGTTGACCTGCCTCCAGAGGATTGGGAGGTCGTTCGTTTGTTTGACTGAGTGACGATGCCGCATCTCCACCTTCGTCAGTGCGGGTCTGGAAGGATACCCTGGATGTGATCCAAAGAATTGCGATTTGACCTGGGCGGTTTTAGCGATCGATCATGGGCTTGGCTTGGTAGCTTCTTCTTCTTCTTCTTCTTCTTCTTCTTCTTTTTCAGACTCCGCAAGCAAAACAAGGTGGCATGATGTCAAACAATAACTAATCGTGCGACCGGGCACGGCGGCTCGCTGCTTCAGGGACAGACACATTCATTCATGCTGTCATACCAGAATAATTGATGGATGTCTCGACCCGTTTTTGAGATCCAGAATTTCGTCAGAAGAGCCGTTTCCCCTCTCCACTTTATGTTTAGAATTGGAAGGGTCCTGGCGCTCCTGGGAGTGCAACAATGGAACAAAGCAATAAAGAAACCCCATGTGAGATTATGAGCTGCGAAGGTTCCCGGCTGGCCCACCGCCCTCTTCTCCCGGAATGACGTCGTGCCGCCCTCTTTATCCTTTTGTTTCTTGCACTAAAGCCAGGCGGCCCGCGATTCTGGGTCAACACGGGAAATTGAAACCCTGAATTTCACCTGCCCTACGCCCATCACTGAATCAATGCCCCCCCGAATAGAGTAGTTCCGTGCGACAAGCTCAGAAGACCATTTGGGGCGAAAGGCCAGAGATCTGCAGCGACCCTAGAATCTCGTATTTCCCTTCTGCGTGCGCGTGCTCACTCAGTCTCTCGGCGGGAGGTTCTGGCGAGAGACCCTGCTGAAATATCGTCATCCTTTGCCAGGCTACCGGCATCCGGCACCCAGTGATCGGCAGCAGAGCACTCTGGATGCGCTGACTGAGCCTTCTGGATGCTCGTATCCCTGTGGTCAGGCGACGACGACGAGACCTCAGATGCTCCTTCGGATTGCCAAAAGGGATAAATAAGAAGCTCGCTCGTCTCCTCCTTCCTCCTTTCGACCTTGTCCTCAATCTCATCGCAAACCAAAACAAAAACCAAACCAAACCATCTAGATACCCCACGCACCCTTTCCCCCCGCAACATCCTGTATCCGCAAGCCACACCTTATCTATCACCACACACGACATACACATACATACACACACACTCACTGGGTGACGGCGAAACAGACAAAAACAGCCAAAATGCACTCCGCCAAGTCCATCCTCTCCCTAGCCCTCCTCCACGCCGCCGCCCTGACCTCGGCGTCCCCGCTCTCCCTCCTCGCCGCCCGCGACACCTCCAAGGGCTTCACCCTCATCGCCAAGGTCACCGACCCGGCCTGCGAGCTCGACCCGCCCGTGGCGGGCTGGCAGCTCGACACGGCCCACACGGGCGCGGGCCTCAACGCCGCCGTGCTCAGCGACCCGGGCCAGGACGGCGGGCCGCGGATCTGGTACCTCAACGGCACGGCGCCGCCGGCGCAGCAGGTCCTCACCGACGGCGGCACCCCGCTCTACCCCTACGGCCTGAGCCTGCAGGCCGCCGACAGCCCGGGCGAGCACGGCGCCGTGGTCAACGTGGGCCAGTCGAGCCCCACCACGGTCAAGGGCGGCAGGCTGGTCAACCTCGAGGGCCCGGACGGCACGTTCCTGGCGTGCAAGCGCGAGCTCGAGTACTACCACTCCGAGTTCGTCGTGCTGCAGTACGCCTACGCCGGCGAGGCCATCCCGGACAAGTGCGCCGCCATCACCCTCGCGCCGCGGTGCGCCGAGCTCGAGGTCCTGCCTCCCGACGCCGGGTCCAGCCACGAGTTTGCGCAGGAGGTGGAGTGCTCCGCCAAATGAGGAGCGGCATCATGAGGCTTGAGCCAGCAGATCCGGATCAAGCCACTTGCATTGGTTGGCGTTTGCGTGTTGTGTACTTTTAAGGAGCATTGTATGATTACGGGAATGATGATTCAACGTTTTGGGCCGCTTCAGAGCCACTGGCAGGAAGTAATAGCTCCATGAATACAAGTTTAATATTCACACCATTAGATCCTGAATCATATGTCATGCACAGATTGATAGCACCTGGCTCTTGTAGTCGTGTTAATTGAAGCCGCATCCTAGATAGGACACTGTATCCTGTTCCGCATATGAACCATATGGCTCGTCAACCGTATCCATTCCCTATGTGCACATCCTCATTCCTGTATGCAGGGTCGGTGGGATAGACCTTCCCAATCACCTTCGCCGCTCCTTCCTTCTTTCACCCCTCCCCCCCTTCACCTCCCCCTCACGCCACCTTCTGCACATCGCCAGCGCCCTTCTCCTCGTCGACGGCGACCGCGCCGTCCTCGCGCGCGTGGCCCTGCAGGCCGACCTCGGCCGTCGTGAACGCGTCCGCGACGTCGCGGTACGCAGGCACAAAGTTGACGCACAGCGCGTACGACCACGCCGCGACGAAGAACGCGAGCGGGACCGCCATGGCCCTGCCCGTGCCGTGCGCGTCGGCCGCCGCGCCCGTGAGCGGCGGCACGCACGCGCCGCCCAGCACGGCGCCGACGATGAAGCCCGACCCCCGCTTCGTGTGCCGCCCGAGCCCCCGCATGCCGAGCGCCACGATGGTCGGGAAGCAGATGGACTCGAAGAACATGCAGACGTAGAGCAGCGACATGCCCGTGTTGCCGCGCTGCGTGACGGTCGGCGCGATGAAGACGATGCAGCCCGTCAGGAAGAGGCCGAAGACCCACCGCGGCCGGGCAAAGTGCATGATGGCCACGCCGGCGAAGCGGCCCACGGCGAAGGAGGCCTGCCCGCCCGCGAGGAACTTGGACCCCGCGACGTCGTTCCACGACGAGGTCTCGACGACGTAGTTGATGAAGAATCTGATTTGGTGTTAGTCGGCGGCTTGTTGCCTGGTTGAGGTGGGGAAGGCGGCGGCCGGCCAGCCAGGAAACGGGGTTTTTTACACGAAAACTTACCCGGCGATGGCGACCTGAGCACCGGTATAGCAGAACTGGGCGAACGCGGCGTGGAAGAGGCGGTACTGCTTCCACAGCGGCTTGTCGTCCTGCCCGGCGTGCGTCTCGGCGGCCTGGAAGGCCATGTCGGCATCGGTGATCTCGGGGATGGTGGAGAAGAGGAAGACGATGGCGAGGAGCAGCACGAAGACGGCGATCGAGAGGTAGACCCACTGGACGTTGGCCAGGGCGCGGGTGTCGTCAAAGGCGAAGAAGACGTAGGAGCCGAGCACGGGCGCGACGACGGTGCCGATGCCGTTGAAGGCCTGGCTCAGGTTGATGCGGATCTCGGAGTACTTGGGTGGTCCGCAGACGGTGATGTACGGGTTGGCCGCCGTCTCGAGCGAGCCCAGGCCGTTGCCGATGATGAAGATGCAGACGCAGAAGCCGGCAAAGCTGGCCTTTTTGATGGCCGCGATGGCCAGGAGGGCGCCGAGGCCTGAGCTGTGCGGTCAGCACGGGCCTGGAGCAATGCTGGGCATCCTGTATTATGTTGTGGGGGTGCAATTGGCTTACCGTAGAGGAACAGGCCCCAGATGAAGACAGTCTTGTAGCCATAGTGACGGAGAAGCCAGGCCGCATGGCCGAGCGATGCGAGCGGATAGGCACTGAGTGAGAATCAATCGTCAGCGTGTGATGCCCCGCCTGGGATCCGGCTGGCGCAAAGGCCCGTCAGAATGGAAGGAGACTCACCCAAAGTAAGCAGCCTGGAGGCCAGAAGAACGCGCCCTGTTGATGTGGAGGATGTTCTGGAAGTGCTTGTTGAGCGTATCGAGCAGTCCGTACGAGAACCCCCAGAGGAAGAAGAGGATGGTGACGAGGCAGATGGGGTAGATGGACTCGCGCAGCGTCAGCTCGGCGGCGCGTGTAGTCTTGTGGTCCGATGTGATGAGGCCGCGCCTCTTGGCCCAGTCCTTGAAGCCCATGTTGGGAGCGCGTTTGAAATGCGGCTTTATCCTGCGATGCGGAAGGGCGATGAGGGTGTTGGAAGACTGTAGTTTGCCGAGAGAGATGCGATTGCGCTCTCCGCTACAACTGCAAGCCGCAACACAATTGATGTCTACAAGGCGGTCGGTGCTTGGGCTGGTGGCGAGGAGAATGGAGAGATGGAGCACTGGGAAGAGGGAGAGAGAAAGGGCATCAATCGCGAACGGGGAGCAGGAGAAGGGAGGAGGCGAGCTTTATCACCAACTTGATGAAAAAGGCAGGTCCTTGAGAGATCACCCCGAACCCACTACCAGGCCGACACTGTCATCCGTTGTTACATCGATCTCTGTGTCTCCTCTCGCTTCCTCGCACATCGTCTGTCCTCAGAGTAGTGATACCTGCGAGATACACGTGAGCGGAACTGTCGAGTGCAGAATTTGTATGCAGGCATGGCACGTTCCCTGGGGTACCCAGCAGGTTTCGGCCCGTTTGAATTTGGCCTACATCTTCCCTAATGTTTGGGTCCATGGATACAACCCAGACCCGACGGATGTGGAGGCGGAGGAGGTCTGTCATCGGTGATCACTTTTGGCAATTTGGGTGCGCTTCGTTGCTTCGATGGGGGCCCGTCCATTCATGCTTATCAACTCTAATTTGCTCTGGGCCTGTGGGCAAAAGGAGGAGACCGTGACGTGGAGTCCGATGGGTGCGGGGGACGAGGGGACAAGAAGCAGGCGGGAAACCAACATCGTTCGAGTTGGTTCGGCGATGCGTCCAACGACGTATGGGAGTAGTGATGGCCAAGCTCCAGGCTAGCATCATCGTATCCAAAAAGTAGACCCTGCTCACTGCGGAGAAAGGGCACGCACGGGGAGGGCGATCCACTAGGAAATATTCCCCGAATCGCACCTCGCGCTGCTGTGGATTCCCCAGACCAGCGCCCCCCCCCCCCATCCCCCGTTCAGCGCCACTGCCGCTCATTGGCGACAGCGCCTGTGGGCCTTCAACCCGGCACTTGCAGCGCCCAGCTCGGACTGGGGTACGTACCGCCACTGTTGCTCCCCACTCGTCATCTCGACGCGATGCTGCACCGAGGCACACCTTCAGTCAAACGTCTCTCGTCTCGCGCCCATCATCAACGCCCGACCCATCGCCGCATACACACGCACACACACACACCCACCACCGCTGCACCTCGTTCTGGGGGAGGGACGCCACGATCTGTTCCAAACCAACAAATATCCATCGGCTCCAAAAGTCGTGGAGGGTTTTACCCGTCGGATGTTTCTACCCCAGATTTGCTCAGACCCTTTCCCTCTCAGGTGCCGCCTTCGCCCATTCAGGCTAGCGGAAAGAAGGCAGAGACAGTGCATCGAGGACTCTCACGTACATATGAGAGCTGGGGCTCGTGCGTAATCCGGGATCGGACCAAGGTCTAGACTGCTTGGTCCATACTTGTACTTCTCGACAGGTACCCTCCTCTCCAACTTGCATCTGTGCCCCTGACCGAGCCAGCCCATCGGATCTCATTGACGCCACCCAGCCCCTAGCAGATATCACTCTGCCTCATCTATAATTCGCGCGAGAATTCACTTCCGCCAGCAAAGTAGCCTTGGACTGTCATTGGGCGATGGCCATGTCGAGGTTCATATGGAGTTCTCAGCTCTGTCAGGTCTCGTCTGTAGGTAAATTCGACGGTAAGGTCTCTCCCAGGAGCTGTTGGCGCCATCGTCAACCTGTCCGCACACTCCTCATAGACACGGCGATGGTTCATCAGCTATCTTCCGCGGGTGTCAAGACAGAAAGCGAACTATACCTCTCATAGCTACTAGACAATGGGGGTTATCTTGGTCAGCTCAATGTCCACCCATGTCTATTCTGTTCGATATGTCAGTAACACCGAGAAGAAGCAAAAAATAGAGTAAGCAACGCATGCTCTCACCGTTGCAAAAAGACTACCGGAAATGCAGCTCATCCCTACTCCCCTCAGAAGTGCATATTCATCGTCATATGCAAGCCATCACAGCCCAGCCGGGATCCTACCACGTCATTGTGGTGAGAGTCCCTGCAGTACTCAGGCTAAGTATAAGAATATGTCGATTCCAAAAGAGATGTGCCGCCTATGCAGAGTTGGCCTCGCGGCAAGGTCTAGAGTCCTATCTTCCAAAAAAACTTTCTTCCAAAAAGAAAAGAAAAAGAAAGAGAAAAGAGAAAAAAGGAAAGTAAAGGGGAAAAAGAGAAAAAAAAAACGGGTCCAAAGACGCTCGAAGAAATGAGATAGGGGAATCCAGAGATCAAGAAACTAAATCTTCCCACTCAGAACATCACGCCCGAAATCGTACCATCTATCTCTTTCCCTGCCCTCCTCTGTCTATGCAACTAACCTCATCGTTCACTCTAAGCAGCCATAGTTCGACCGCACCTTCGCCAGCAGCGGCTCGCTCATCTCCTCGTCGACCCCGAGCCGACGCATCAGCTCGGCAAACTCGCCGTCGAGCGCCGCGCCCTCGTTCGCGTCCATCTCACGGGCCTTGCCGAGCAGGTACTTAACCACAGTGACAAACCGCGCCTCCTGCTCAGAGGTGGCCGTCTCGGCTAGGGTGCAACAGACATTGACCCAGGCCAGAATAAGGTCTGCATCAAGCGTCCCCTCGAGCACACGGAACTCTATGGTCCGGGGCCCTGTCCGCGCGCGGTCGTCTTCCTCTCCCAGGGCGCTAAAGTTGAACCCCAGGCGCCGGTACTGCCGCTCCCGGCCCGAGAGCAGCCTGCCCAACTCCATAGTGGACTTGGTCAGCCAGATGGCCTTGAGCGCATCGTGCTGGTCAGCGTCGTCGACGCCCAGGCGCCGCCAGGCCGCAGCGAGATACCACTCGACGGACTCGTCGCCCTGGCTGCTGCCGCTACTGCCGGCGAGGAACTGTTGCTGCTGCGACCTGTTATAGTCTTCACCCTTCGCGATATTCAGCGCCAGGCGGCTGTGCTTCCGCAGCTCGGCACCCCAGGTGTAGATGTTGCTATAGTTGGGCGACCGCGGGTCACGCACTTTGCGTAGGACAGGCTCGGCAAGCCAAAGGAGGGTTGCGAGGCGCTTGAAAGTGAGCAACGTGAAGGGCAGGCCGTCGTTGCGCCCAACGTGGACGTGGACGTCGCACGTGTAGTTGACGGTGGCACGGTGCGGGAACCGCACGCTACGCACGACGTCACGAATCGTCTGCGGCACGGTCAGGTCCCTCCACCAGAGCTTCGGAGAGCATAGCTCCAGGGGTACCCAGAGCAGGTCGGCAAACCGCAGGTCGACCTCGACGGGCTCGGCCGAGTTGGCCTTTTTCACGATCCAGTGTGTCTGCCAGTACTCACGCTCCTGGCGCTTCTCATCCTGGATCTTGTGGATCGTGATGGCGCGCTTCATGCCGCGCTCGCGGATGCTCTCGGCGATATCGCTATATACATCGCGGTGCAGCTGAGCAATGGCCTGCTGATCACCACCGGCGGCAGCCGCAGCAGTGGTGCTACCGCCGTCGACGGCAGCGCGGTGGCGCGGGACGAGGAACTTGAATTCGAGGCCGGCGCAAATATCGTCGGCCGTGTCCACGACGGCGGCTCCCAAGGACGATGCGGGGCGCTTAACCTCTTTACCGACGGGACCTGTCATCATGCGGCCTGCATTGGTGGAAGGTACGGCGGCGGCAGCGGTAGCAAGTGCTGCAGCGGTAATCGGCATGTGTAGTGACAGGGGCGAGGGAGGCGGCTGCTGCATGTAGCCCTGGTAGTGTTGTTGTTGTGGTTGCGCAACAGGAACAACTATATACTCGGCTTTCCTCGGCAGCTTGGTCATCTTTGATTTGTAGAAAGTGAAACTGGGAAGGGTTCTGCGATGGGCGATATCTAGGGTTTATGATATACACGCCGCAGAGAGCGGCGGTTGGCGGTAGTAGCAAGATCGGAAAAGATATCAATCAGTCTTGACTTATAAGCCGGTGATGCATGATGGTATCGCTATGTGGGTCGGTTCTGGGTGACACCGTACCGCGGTAGGGTTGCTCTTGGCTCGTGTAGGGGTGTGGGTATTTGTAGAATTGGGACGGACAACGGGCACAACCCCGTGCGTCTCGATCTGAGCTTTGACTCGAAGAGAACAGAAGGAAAGGGAGGGGTGATTTGGAGAGTCGTAGGTTGAGGAGGGGAATGCGGGCAGACGGAGACTCGCAAGACTGGCGAGCCTCGAGTCAAATAGCAGGGGACACCCTGCAATGAAGGGTCTGATAAGTAGGCAGCTAGAAGGTAAGGCAGTGAGTTAGATGGTAGCAGTGGAGGGCCGGGACGTATTGGCCCTCCCGAGCCGAGCGATATTAGCGGCAGCGAGCGGCCATGGAGCTGCTGGCATGACAGACGGGAGGGCGGACGGATGCTGGTTGGCGGTGGAGCTGCGGGGAGGAAGTCGAGGACGACAGCCGCTGTTGGTGTTTGGGCGATTGTGGTTGTTTGGTGGAGGTGCGTGAGTGTGAGAGTGTGAGAATGTGAGAGGGAGTGTGGTGTGCGTGCGTGTGTGTGTGTGGAGAGGGAAAGCGAGCAATTCGGCGCTGGCAGCGAAATGATTGAGAGCCCGTGACAAGGAGGAGGCTTCCTAGATCGTCCCAATGTCTGTCTTGCTGTTTGGCTGTGTGTCTGCACGCGCAAGCAGGGCCGGCCACGTCAACCCGAAGGGCGACAGAGGGAAGCTAATCCAAGCTCAAGCTTGGCTGGCCTTGTAGCTCTTACAGACGCGGCGGCCCGACCGTTGGTGGCCGATGACGAGTGTTGTGTCTGCTCCTCTTTGTCCTTTGTTCCAGACTCGGCCACTCTGTCTCGTCTGGGCCGCCGCCCGGTGCCAAAAACGCTCAAGCTGGTGCCCCCCACGCTGGGCGGAAACCGGTAAACGTCGGGTGGCACCGAGCTCTTTTCAGAAGCTGGATGGCGTTACAGCACACGGCCGGGCTTGGCTTTTCCCTTGCCTGCCTCCATCCGTCGCTGATTCAATGCTCTCGACGCGAACAGACCGCCAGCACGAGCAGAGCCCCTTTCCGGGTGAGTCAGGGTGTGTTCCCGAGGCGACAAGACATGGCTGCGTGATTTGGAATGGAGGAGCGCAACGGACAACTGTTGGTTCGTGGCGGGACAAAAGAGGAGAGATCTGAGAGGGAAAAAGAGGAGGGGAAGAAGACACCCCGAAAACCCAATCGTATCGAATGGCAAGACCACTCCTGTGCCTGCCCTCTGCGCAATTCGCAAGAGATAACAGCCCAAATAGGAAAGGCCGGCCTCAGGAAAATGTGCCTTCTCTGGTCAGGCGAACCAAAGATTGGAGTGCATCTGGCGATGCATCTTGGTCTGAGGCAATTTTCTCCCGGGTATCAAGATACCATCCTCCCGTCATCCTCCCCATACCCGCAATGCGCCGCGCATGATAGCGGTGTACCTGCGGCCTCATGCTACTCGTACGTCTCATACGCGCCCGGCCCTCCAGCCCCAGTCCCTACCCCAGCCCAGTCCCGTCCGTGTCTCCATTGATCAGCATCCAATCCAGCGCAACATCGAGTCCCAGACTTGTAATGGTTGTCGTCCGACATGCCTCGAGGACCACGTGTTCTGCCATGCCTCGCACGAAACAACGGCGCCGCAGCCGGGAGACCTCGGGCCATCCTGGTCGCTCGAGCAGTTGTCCATCAGCCATTAGCCATTCACTCGCCCACGGTTCTGTCTTTGTGAGCATCTCAGTCATCACATGCCATCCATCCATGCTCGTCCCGGTATGGACAAGTCTGGGCCGATCTCTTATTCATCCTCGACTATGCTCAGCACCACCACCGACGACGACGGTATCGGCTCTCTATCGTCTCCTCTTCCTCTCCAACGCCGCTAATGCCGTGTCATGGGCTTATGCCGCCATCTCATCTATCACAAATGACATAGCGTCTGACAACCGACACCCGCACCCGCCTTGGTTGACATGCCCAGTCCTCGGGCGGCGCTACTATGCGGCTGCTCCCATCAATGTGGAGGACCAGACCAAGGTGTGTTGCCTTGATTGTGAAAGCGGCCCGAAAGCCTGACCACACCTGGAATGCTACCATCTCCAATTTTTGCAAAAGAGCATACAATCTGGTACGATATTGGGCGAGGCAACCCTCGCTGAGGCCGGTAGTTCTTTTGTGACACCCAGATTTCATTACGGGCTCAACCAGTCCGCGCGTACGTGCGCGCTTCCCTCTCCAAGTGGAGATCTCGATTTCATGCGAGCTGCATCACATCATTTCAAGGCGCTATATCAGAACCGAAAGCCCAGGCAAAAAGAACAGACAAGAAGCCCGTGCGTTTTCTTGCTAGCACCGGCATCATAATTTCTGATTCCAGTTTTGTCCTACATCAGAGGGTTGCCGTGGATGTCCCCTTCCGTCCCAGCTCCAGAAGACCACCCCCTGTCACGATCCCCAACCTTGGTCCAGCATCTACGGTTGTTGCAGATCTGCGACATTCTGATTTGTCCGAGAGCATTCTACCATACCAACCGATTCCGAGCCCCGGAGAGAGCGATCACTCCTGTGTGCCACTGAATCGGTCCATGATTGGTTCCGGGGTGCCTAGTTCCGTCATACCACACTTCCCCGAAATCCCATCAGTCCTTTCTGCTGCTCGATCTGACCCATCGTAATCCTGGGAACTGTATGCATGACAGGCTGCGGCTGACATACATCCTGTGTTCTCTGAAGAAACCAGGGAACGCCTGGCTTGCTCAGGATCGGGTGCTTGTGATCGGATCAGGGAAAGGAATCTGGCTTGTGCTCTGCAGCTGTCATCCGCCTACGCAACTGACCAGTAAGCTCACGCCCCCGCAGCCCATTGCTATCAACAAGACGTACAAGATCTACTGTTCTTGAGAGACAGAGTGGTACTCAAAAGACCGATCCATCTCGGGTGGGGCGTTCTGGTCCTACGGAGGGTTCCCTCGTCGCTCCCAACTTCTTACAAGTCGATGGGGCTTGCCCCGAGAGCTGAAAAGTCGCAGTCACCCCGCGAGGCGGTATTGTCAAAGGCCAGAGGTGTCTGCATAGAGGCAGCGGAGGCAAGTGACCCAGCTGCTAATCTCACCTAAGGTCAATCTCGCGCCAAGAACAGTGTCGTCTCGGCCCGCCGTGACCTTGCTTTTCACATATGTGCGTGACTGGGGCCTCCGTCAGACGGAAAGACTTGCATAAGTCGCAAATCGCGTCATACAGTGGGCTCTAGTGTTTGGCTAAGGCGAAAAAGGAAAATGAATGACCGGCATATCTGGTGTGTTGTCAGCGGGAGAGCGTGGTCACGAGGGTAATACTATGTGGACAGACAGAGCTATTGTTTTCGAGGCGCGTGCTTTGGATGGAATCTACACCCTCTCGTCCCTCGTGTACGCCTCCCGACGGACCAGGCCCAACCTACATGGGCTGACCTCATGCCCTGCATCTCCAGGGTGCAGAGCGACCAATGAGCATCGGAGACGTCTTCAGGGTTGTCGTGCACATTGCTTTTTTTCCCTGGCCTGTATCGAGGGATCGCTGGCGCTCAGTACAAGGATATGCCTGCCATGACCACCGTCTATTTGCACATCCAATTGACATGGAACATGTCACAGTGGGAGACTTGTCAACTGTCAGCACTATTAGCTCACATGATAGCTCAGCACACACGCTGCGCATACACACCTTCTACGCGGGTGTGTGTTCTGCTTATCGACGACTGTTGCATCATAGTTGTCGAATCCTGGAATCTCCGTCCTGCCAGTGCTGCTGTAAGACGCAAGACCCGTCGCGCTACTGCAGGATTTCGCCTTATGTCGTGGTCCAAACACCGGGATACCAGATTAGGGAGATACTCTGCATGATTGGGCCAGCTTTTGCGTCTGGCATCAGCCAGTCGGCAGGCAAGGCTTGGGAAGGCAGTAGCATGCTCTGTGTTGGTGAGGAGAGAGGAGGTCCGTCGAAAACCCACCGGCCGGCGATGTCGCGGCAAAACAAAATTGCAAGATTGCGGTAACTGACGTTGAAAAGACGACGACCAACAGCACAGGTCCGGCTAGGGCACTGGTCTTGCCGCTGTGCGACGGGCACGCACACACATGATGCGGGTTGCCGCCGATCGGAAGGGCGGAACGTGCGATGGCGGATAAGGGATGGTGATGCTTCGCATCTTGAGCCCGCGGCTACGCGCTGGACAAGGTATCCATACAAACCGCCTAAGAGATGCTACGAATCTATGATGCAAATCCCTTGTCATTATGTTCGGGCTTAGGTGGGATATCAAAGAATCAGGAAAAGGTAATCGGAAGGGATAAGAGGGATGGCCGCTAAGACGAGCAAGAAAGCCACACATATCCAACGCCAGCGGCAGGATATAGACATAAGCACAAACAGCTACTGTCACTTACGGCCATAGATGGTAGAAAATTCGGGATCCCGTCCGCTCTCCCATAGACAAGCTGCCAATCGCCGAATCAGTACTCAGGTCGGTGACGACTGGGGAATCCTCGGTGCTGTAAGTTTCTTTTTGCTGCTCCGCTTGTATTTTTTGTGTACTTCCTGTTCCACAATGACATACACCCTGTTGAAGAGTCCATGAGGCCAGAGGGACATTCAGAAGTACTAAGACGCAAGGGTGTGCCGTCGTACCTTCGACTAGCTGACTCCAAGCGGGATCGTGCATATCTGTCAAAGTCATGCACCCAACCGTCGTCGTTGAGGTGTAACGTCACTTTATTAATGGCCTGATTGCTGGGCGGCCACAGACACTAAATTCTATTAATCTATTATTCATACATCATAGAGGAACGATTCCGGGATTCCAACCTCGTCAAACGATATGCCCGAGATGAACTCCTCCCACGTTTTCCACGACAGATCCTCCGCGGTATCTACCTGCATCTGTCCTGTGGCCACTTGATCACCTGTTGAAAAGGGCGTATCTCCAACTAAGGACTGCTGGCCAGCATCCCAAAATTGGGACTGCAGCGTCAGCGGTGCCGCGAGAGAAACAGCGGGCGTCCCTCCGACCTCGGAGGAGGTAGTCCCGAGGCTACTCGCAGCAACGCCTCCTCCCGCCGACGGCGTCCCCGACGACAATCCCATCATCGGCTGGGTGCTCGAGACGGCCCCGGCCGTGGATGGCAGCAAGCTCCCGCTCCCGCTCCCGCCAACCCCCCCTCCCATCTCGCCGTCCTGCAGCAGCGACGCCACCCGCCGCCGCGTCCGCCGCAGCAGGCTCTCGAGCGGCGCGTGCAGGGCCGTCGCCGCCGTCCCGGAGCGCAGCATGAACGACTTGTGCTGCTCGTACGCGGCCTCAACGAGCGGCCAGGCGCGCCGCACGAGCGCCGCGTCGGTGCAGGCGTAGCACTCGGCGAAGGCGATGGCCAGCGCGTGCCAGGGGATGTTGACGCACCAGCGGAAGCCCTCGCCGCGCGGGTCCGTGTGCATGAGGCGCGCCTTGTCGAGGACGGTGAGGGTCAGGCGCAGGAGCTCCACGCCGTCGACTGTAATGCAGTCCCAGGGCGGCGGCGGTGGCTTCGTTGCTGCTGCTCCGGAGGCGGTGGCGTCTGGCAGTTGTGGTGTTGGGGGCCGGATCGGCCGCAGGGTGGCGAGCTTGGATGCTGCCAAGACGAGGTGTAGGCTGTGGTAGGTGAACCATGCGTAGCTCGAGGATTCCGGGTCGCAGTACTGGGCGAGGTGCATCATTTGTCGCTCGCATGTGTCTACGAGGTCTCGTCGTCGTGACTGGGGGAGGGAGGTGGTCGCAGATGGACTAAGGTCGGGTGACTGGTTTTGTTCTGCTTGGATGGTCGATACAGTTAGGCGGCCCGCTGGTACTGCGTAATAAGTCATCAGGGAGTATGATGTATCTGTCAAGCCTTCTTTACCAGGCAGGACCGCTGTCGTGTCTGTGTCAAAGTCATCGTCGTCGATGTTTGCAGGCAGAGCCATGCTGCGGCCATCTTCGACGGTGCTAGTAAGAGGGGCTGATCTCTGCCCGAAGCAAACCTGTAGATCAAGGACCGAGAGGTAATGCCACAGCCGTTTTCGCCTCTGATCGTCAAAGAAGTTGAAGTTTGTTTGCTTTTCACTATCCAGTGCCCAGGGAGGAAAGCAGAGAGGCCTGGCGAGTCGTACAGCCAATGCCACGAGTGTCCAGACAGGCCGGCTTCGCTCTGCCGCTCGACGGGTTGCCTAACAAGAAGCGTGCTTGTGATCAGCTAGAGGTTCGCAGTAGCTTGGGAGGCCGACATACCAGGTATATGACAAAGGCTTGGACGACTGTGAGGTCTCGTGTGTCTAGTAATCCGGCAGCTGCAAGTGCCGCCTCACATTGCCTCTTGCATTGCGCAACCAGCGGATATCGGGCTGTCTTGAACGAGGTCTCGCATTGACCTTCTGTCAAACTGTTTGCTGCAGCATAGCATACTGCAGCACTGAGGGCTTGAACCGCTGGATGACCGGCGGGGTAGTTCAAGTAAGACTGCCCATGCACCATCCACCTAGTCAGGGATGGCTTATGGAGAATCTTGACGATCGGGTCGACTTGTTTCAGAAAGATCTGGCACAGAGTTCTGGAGATTTCCGGGTTGCATGCTGAGGCGGGGGCATCTTCCGAGCTACTCAGCCCGAGGAGCAGCATGCCGCCGTCAAGTCGACTTGGTGTGTACGCTTGCTGGGAATGGGAAACAGTCGCGCCTGCGAACCCATTGACCTCGCGTCGGAGTGCGGAAATCTGTAGGTTGGGCCGATCAGGGGACGTTCTATCTCGTCCGTGAGGCTGACTTACCTCCATGGCGACACCGGTCCAAGAGCCATCACCCCGATGCGCCGGTGTCTGCGCGACAGAAGATATCTCTGCACACGAAGGACTGATGCTTGATGGAATAGGCGGTCCTGAAGCTAGACTTGAAGGCGTGTCTACGCCCTGTGGAATGTGTTGCTGGCTTCCCTGCTGTAAGATGAGAGCCTGTCGCGCACATAATGTGTTTGATGACCAACATACCTGTCCAACAGAAAATGTTGCCGCACTCATGTGCTCAACCAAGCTTTCCAGCCGATGGACACGGTCAGCGAGGCTCTTGTCCTCGGATGACGCAGTCTCGTCGCCGGTCTGCTCGGGTGACTTTGAGGTTGCAGGACCTGGTCTCCGCACATGTCGGCCTCGTGGAAGCCGCGAACGACGGACTGGGACGCATCTAGAACCTGACGATACACAGTTTGAGCATGGCTCCAGCTTGTCGCACTTGACTTTGCGAGCGCGACAGAGCTCACAGCTGAGCTGTGGTGTTGAGACCCGGACGCTCCGGCGTCGTCCCTTCTGGGCCGGAGTCTCGTCGGCCATTGTTGATTAGATGGAAATGTGCAAGCGATAATATCGAATGGGTTTTAAGGGGTTGAAAACCCGGGCTGGTTCAGGGATGGGGATCGAATGCAATGATCAAAAGGCGACTCAAACTCCGAAAATGAGGCGGACAGTGAAAATGCTGACTCGCGACTCGCGAGACCCATATCGGTGTTAGACATAAGTTTGAGCCTAAGTGAAAGTCGCGCAAATTGCCATATTGCCTAGCCTGTTTCTCCATGACAGGTACTAGCCTGTAGTGACAAAATATAATGCACTTCATCCCCAGCTAACCCGCACAAAACCCGAGGCCCCATCACGCAACCCTTGTAATGGTTCCGTATAAGTAGCATGACCCCAAGAAATAGGCACTCAATTAGAGAGTAACATCACTTTTCCTAAGCTGTTCAATATCCACAAGAAACATGTCCGAGTCAAAGGAAACGGAAACACCATCATCCGGTCCCGGAAGGACAGACTCTGCTGCTGATCTCCCTTCAACGCAAGCCGAGGACTGTATGCACACACAGTCTGAGGATAGTCGACAACTTGACATCGAATCTGGCACATCAGCACCAAAGGACACAGAAAAGCCGCCTACGGATCCGAATCTTGTAACATGGGAAGGGCCTACAGATTCCGCCAACCCCAAAAACTGGACGACAAACAAAAGGATGATCATTACGGTCCTGGTGTCCCTCTTCACTTTCCTGTCTCCAATATCATCCTCGATGGTAGCTCCCGCTCTATCAAAGCTAGGAGAAGATCTAGGAATGCACGAGAAAATCGAAGTCGAGATGGCCTTGTCCATATTCATCCTTGGGTACGCGATAGGCCCACTCTTCTTTGGCCCATTGTCGGAGATATACGGTCGCTATCGTGTGTTGCTACTGAGCAACCTGTTCTACGTGGCGTGGAATACGGGCTGTGGATTTGCTCAGAACAGGGCTGAGTTCTTTGTCTTTCGATTCCTCGCCGGCATTGGTGGAAGCGCACCGTTGGCGCTTGGAGGCGGAGCAATCAGGCAAGTTTTCTTCAATCATTGCGCAATGCGCGAAACCACCAGCTAATAACGATCTCTTCAGTGACATGTGGAGGGCAGAGGAACGCGGAAAGGCGGTCGGCATATACAGCTTGGGCCCGCTGCTTGGGCCCGCCGTTGGCCCTATCTGTGCCGGCTTCATCGCCGAGAGAACAACTTGGCGCTGGTGCTTCTGGTCAACAAGTATTGCAGCCGCCGTTGTCCAACTTTCAGGCATATTTTGGCTGGAAGAGACGTACGCACCCGTGCTCTTGCGAAGGAAGTGCCAACGCCTGATCAAGGAGACGGGCAATGCCAATCTTCACGTGGGAGCGGAGCTGGCCAAAAGTCCATCGGAAATTCTGGGCGCTGCCCTGATCCGGCCTACTCGGTTGCTTGCCACTCAGCCTATTGTTCAGGTCATCGCAGTATACATGGGCTACCTCTTCGGGGTCACGTATTTGGTGATGGTGACCTTCCCTATCGTCTGGACCGATGTGTACCGCGAGAATCTGGGAATTAGCGGCCTCAATTATCTCTCCCTCTTCATCGGTGCTGTCCTTGCCGTCATTACTAGCTTGATGGTAGTAGACAAGGTGTACATGAAGCTCAAGGCGCGAAACAATGACGTGGGCAGGCCGGAATTCCGAGTGCCTTCGATGTTTGTGGGCTCAATCATCGTCCCCATTGGACTCTTTTGGTATGGCTGGAGCGTCCAAGCCCGGGTTCACTGGATCATGCCTAACATTGGCGCCGCCCTGTTCACGGCCGGTGTTTTCCTGTGTACTCAGGCAATGCAAGCCTACACCATCGACAGTTATCATCGCTACGCTGCCAGTGGGCTTGCAGCAGCGACCGTACTCCGGAGTCTCGCTGGGTTCGGCTTCCCCCTCTTCGCGCCATATCTATACCAGGTAAGGGAGCTCAATGACCCAAGGCTATCCAAGCCAGATAAGAACCAGTCGCTGACACAGCCAGGCACTCGATTACGGATGGGGAACTAGTGTTTTGGCCTTTATTAGCATCGGCATCGGCATTCCAGCGCCGGTCATGTTCTACATCTTTGGACCGAAATTACGAGCCATGTCAAGATATTGCGCTGGCTGAGAAGTCCCTTCGTCTCACTTGTCATATCTCTTGGAAGATAATTACGGTCTGTCCACTCCAGAGCCAGTCCAAGGTACACTTTTCTTTTCCTTACCGGTATCCATGGCGAATCGCCTACACTATCTATTACACATACACCAAGACATTCTATAGATATATAATTTAATCCAATAACTTTTCCAAAATTGATCTCTGCTGCACACCACCTGGTCCCGTATGATGCTCATAATTCTAGTAGCTTGAGACTACCTGTCTAGCATGTTTGAGTGGAGCATTGGTGTACCTAGTCTCCCTTGCTACGAGGCAACTTCTCGGTTATGGTTTCGGCTTTGGTCTCGGTCATGGTGTGGATCCGCCAAACCTTTTCACGCAACAGAGCAGGGTCTCGCTGACGTTGTCGAATGACTTGCCTTCTTCGTATTTTTGATTGAGCACCGGAACCCCGGTCCCATACCCGGTGGTCCATCAAATCACGGACGACAGGGCAACGATGGAACTGGCACCGGCACCAGTACCGACATCGACACCGGCACTGGAGGAGACAGACGCGAGGGGCCCAGGCGAGACTCCGCAGCGGAGACGCAAGAGGGCGACTGCATGCGAGCGCTGCAACCAGAAACGCATCAGGTGCGATGCATCGACCTCGGGTCAGCCGTGTTCCAATTGTCGCAAGGCGAAGAATCCCGAATGCCGTCTTATTCGCTCAAAGCGGACCAGGTAAACACACCGCCCTCACCTCGCTTGCTGCACGCTTTAGATTGAATGTGTGGACTACCAATTCCTGATACTGACCATGCCCGCATGGGAAAAGGGGCTCGACTGGCCAATTCATTAAATATGGGCGTGATTCAGAAGGAGCTTTGTCCTCCCCTAGGCTTGAACAAGGTTCGACTTTTGAAGTTTCCGTCGATCAGCAAGCCACACCGCGAAATGCGCCAACCAGGTCCACTCAGGAACCCGTGTTCTCTCTCGATTTCGACAGAGTTAATGGCGAAGATGGGTCGCCAATTGTTACCGAGATCTCCGGGAGAGAGCGTCAAGGAGTAGCGACGCCGGACTCTATGCCCTCCAGGACGGGCCCCATACGTCACAAACAACCTCGCAGAGGTGACCGTCCTCCCTTCATCGGAGAAAGCTGGTTCGCGACGTACCTTTCTAACAACGCCGCAACAAGACAAACTGCTGTACACCCGCATGTCGAGACAGCCAACAGTAGCGACGAAGATGGTCGATCACGGCCGCAGTCCGAACCTCACGGCGTGGCACCACTACCAAAGGCCAATCTGCCAGCCTTACAAGACGTGATTCCACAGCACCTCAAGCAGCGTCTGATCGAGTCTTACTTCTCCCTTTTCCATTCATATTGTCCTATAGTGGACAAATCCTCCTTTCTCTCATCTGTTCAGGACGACACCGTTTCACTAACGCTCCTTCAATGCGTCCTTTTCGTAGCTTCGACTCAATGCGAGCCCTCCATCTTCCATCTGTTGGGTTACAGCACCCGGATGGACTGCGGTGATGAGTTCTTCGCAAGAGCCAAAAGGTCGTTCGAATCAGACAACACATCCGACCGTGTGGCGATGCTGCAGTCCTCATATCTACTCTCTTACTGGTGGGGTCAACCCATAGCCTTTCGTGACTCGCTGTGGTGGCTCTCGTCTGCTATCAGGTCTGCACAGTGCATGGGGATGAACAAAAGTACCAAGAAAAGCGGGATATCTCCGGAGGTCCAAGCCCAATGGAAAAGGATCTGGTGGTGCTTATATGTAAGGCAATCCCTATCATCCGAGACTAACATGTGGTGATGCTGACGGGACTTACCCAAGATTCGAGATCGACAAATAGCGTTCTCTATTGGAGTACCAATGATCATCAATGATCTTGAATGTAACGTCGAAGACCCGGTTCCGCAAGATTTCCCAGACGAGAGTCCCGAGACCGCCTATTACATTATTGGACAAGCAGTGCTCAACCGTGCCGCATCGACTTTGTTTCTCGATTACTGCTCTCTGGCACGACTTCCCCTGAGCGACGATCCCGACTTTCGGCACTGTGCGCAGCAGGCCATACAAACCACTCTGGGCAAATGTCATGAGGAGCTGCCGAGACTTTCAAGAGGAGACCGCCGGCATTACTTATCTCTGACCACGGACATGTGTTACAAGTGAGTCCTGGCTCTTGAGTCCAGCACGCCTTTGAGGTGTCGCGATAGATTATTCACACAAACATTCTAGTTTCTACGTGATCCACCTTCATCAGCGGGTACAAGGCCCTCGACCTGAAAGCGAAATACATCCGAATGATGCAAAATTTATCCTTGCCGCTGCGGATAATATCACTCAACTAGTGGAAGACGCAATGATATACTGGAGTCCAAAATATCTACCCATGATCTGGTATGCCAAATTCCTTTGCACTGAAAGCGCCCTATTCTAACCAAACTTGGTAACGAAAGGGTCACTGCCATATTTGCCGCGATGAATGCTCAGTATTCTGCTATGCGCAAGAGCTCGCAGGACCGAGAGTTGCTCCGTGCCAAACTTCGGTCTAGTCTGATCGTCCTCAAACAATTCGAAGACTACTACATCATGGCTCGTTGGGTTCGAATACTATGGACCAATGTGCTGGACAGACCAGGCCACGAGAAACACCGTCTCAAGACATTCCAACAGCTGCATCGTTATCAAGACAATGCAGCTCGTCCTCCCGACACCAACGCAGAGCCAACATCAATCCAAGATTATTCCACTCCGACATCGTCGACGAACACTCACTCTGATCCAACAAGAATCCCATTAGTTGATCCTGGTTTCTTCGGCGAGGATCGATCGCAGATCACATCTTGGGTTATTGACGACTGGTCGGGCACCTTTGCCTTGGACGGATATATTGGACACGTCGACTTGCCTATGCCGAGCATGTGGAACACTGGACCGCCAAATCTGTAGATTGTTGTACAGTTTTTCAGAGACTGCCACCACTGATATCAAGCTATTGTCCAGTGCTTTAATGAGAAAGTTCCCAGGTCAACATCTGGTAGATCTCGAACCTCCTCGCTCAGGCTATTGAAGCATGGAAGGGGACTGTAAGTATGGAGACGGGGTTTGACCTCAAATACGAACCATCGTACTTATCAGTCATACATAGCGCTCTCATGGATTCAGCTTCGAAGAACTACCCCGTTTCACGACTTTCACATTGGTCACAGCGCCACCCAATTACCTCTGGCAAGAGTGGCTAGAGAAAAGGTTTCCAGGTTATCGTTCTCATCTTGCTCAAAACGAAACCCGCGGAAGCTACTTGAGTCTATCCGGGCCTGATGAGATCGAGACAAAAGCCAAGCTGGACTGGAAAAATTCTGCAATCAAATGGTTCACAGACTGTATGACAGTGGGTCATATTGTTAACATCACAGCCTTTCTAATCTTGATGGGAATTATGAAAGGCCATAGCGGCAAGCAGCTCAGCGAAACCTTAAAAAAGGTAGGAATCTCCTAGAAGCGAAGGGAGAAGGATGGCCGATTTACTAATTCTTATTTTCCCTTGAATAGGAGTCAATGCCCATTATTATCGACGGCTACAAGATCTGGCCGGTGGCATCCGTTGTCAATTTTGTCTGGATCCCAGTCGAAAGGCGCATTGTGTTCCTCAACTTTGTGGGCCTTCTCTGGGGTATATACCTGAGTATAGTTGCTGCGCGAGTATGACTGCCATCCCACCCTTCACCTTGAGAAGGGGTTGTCCCACTACCCCAAATTAGGGGCCAAGTTCCTAGCAGGCGATTTTCTCCTGGCTCACACCTCTATAGCGCCTTCATCATTTATGACCCAATCTCAAACACATCATATTGTCTAATATTATCCCCACAGTCTCTCCCCCTGGGACACTCCTGTGAGATCATCCAATGAGAAGTTTGAGCAGCCGAGACTTGTTCAAGCATGGATTTGTCGGTCCAAATATTTCTGAAAGACGCGATGTCTTATCTTGACAAATAGAGTATCTAGTACAAACGTCTTGAAAGAAGAGATAAGCAACCCCACCACAATGCAAACATCTGAACCACTATCATTAACCAGTTGGCCAACTCAGAGGCCAATCTGCATGAGCTTTCGAGCTTATCCGTGGCACTTGTCCTCAGGTATCTTTTCAAGGCCTTGTAAGCATTTCTCTTTTACCCTACTCGCCTCTGTAGCACCTTCAAAATGCACTGGGTAGACGGGTAGCCGTGTTGATTCGGGCGTTTCCCACGAGTCGGCTTGAAATCGTGGCCCGTAACAGTCTCGAAGCTCCCACCTTTTCATGAGACAAATAGTAACCGAAACCCCGCGGCATTGATCGGGTGGCTACCGAAGTATGACAGAGTCGAGTTTGAAGTCGAGAGTGGCTCGCCAAGAAAAGGGGTCAAGCAGGAACTGATAAGTCGCCTCTGGTTCCTATCACCCCTCCGTGGATATGGATCGCATGGATGTCAAGATTAGTGTGCGGAAATTGTAACCCATACTTTAGCCAAGATCAGGATGTAATCAACCCCCAGATGCAGCTTGGCATCCAACCAATAGGTGGCCCATCCAATCTGTCGGTAATCCTGACCCGGCAATCTGGAAAGCATGTTGTGATTCCAAATTGAGTGTAGAACTTGGGGAAGGTCGATCTCACGCGATCAAGGTTGCGCTAAGCCTGGATCCGTCAAATGTCTGCCCCGTGGGGTACGGGTCAGATGCGGAGAGCCTGACACTAAAACCACCTTAATTATGATGGATAACATTATCCCAGTCATCAAAGAGCTGTCACGCTGGCCAGAGTCCTGCCGGCCCTGGCAACTTTATCCCTAGCGCCAAGAAAGATGATTGGGGTAACTTAAAGGAAGCTCGTGGTCTCTTCACGTCACTCAACTTTGCCTGTCTCTTCCAAAACAGTGATCGACAAACTAAATGTATCTATTGAGTAATTCAACATGGTTAAAACATCTCGATACAATCTTTCTGTAAGCATGACATATTCCTGAAGCCAAAGAGCCTTTACCATAACTCACACGTACTTATCTCTTGTGCAAAGATCGTGCTCTTTGTGGCACTGAGCAGCTTGACCTATGGTTATGCCTTCTCCGTTTTCAGTACCTCGATTGGTCAGCCCGGCTTTTACAAGTATTTCGATCTTGCTCTAGAGGGCCCAGGCTCCGACTACACGGCCTCTATCCTAGGTGCCATCAATGCTCTGTTCTCAGCTGGCGCCGCCTTTGGCGCGCTTTCCATCGCCTGGCTCCCTGATTGGATTGGAAGAAAGCTCACTATCATCATTGCGGGTGCCATCAGCCTTGTCGGCGGTGTGAGTCTTCCACTATCTCCCTGTGTGACAATTTCTCTGGGCACCCTAGCTAACTCCTAATACCACCAGGCTCTTGTGGCCGGAAGTGCAAACATCCCGATGCTTGTCGTTGTCAGACTCCTGCAAGGTATTGGAGTAGGACAGTGTATTACAATCACTCCTATCTATCTCTCCGAGGTGGCGCCTCCGCATCGTCGAGGTCTTCTGGCTGGCCAAAATGCTGTCGGCCTGGTCATTGGATACTTCTTGTCGAGTTGGTAGGCGCAAAATGACGAGACCCGATTCGAAAGATATCCTGCTAATACACTCAAACTGTAGGGTTGGATATGGTGCATACTACGCCACAAACGAGACTTTCCAGTGGAGGTTTCCGCTGGCGCTCTCATGCCTGTTCCCCTTCGTGCTCTTGATCGGCTCTCCATGGGTCCCTGAGTCCCCCCGCTGGTGTAAGTCTAACTTCTGTAGGATGCTGCTCCTGAAATGGCGACTCAGCTGACTCCTGGCTTTGCGCCACAGTGTTGTGGAAAGATCGTGCCGACGAGGCCTGGACCATCACCGAGCGCCTGCACCACGACCCCAATGACGACACGCAGATGCAGGCCCGGGAGGAATTCTATCAGATGAAGAAGCAGATTGAGTTCGACCGCCAGCAGGACTTATCCATGTGGTACATGTTCAAGAAGCCTTCGCTGCGCCGAAGAATCCTGCTCGGCTGCGGCGTGCTGCTCGGCGGTCAATCCTGTGGTCCTCTTGTCATCAACAGTGCGTACTCCGGTTCGTTACTACCCATTATATTTATTATGGCTGACGCAGAATAATAGATTATGGGGTCCTGCTGTACCAAGGTCTCGGGATGACTGGCAGTTTGCCCTTGCTGATGTACGCCATTTATGTCGTCGTCGGAGCTTCAGTCAACATCATTGCTGCATTCATCATGGACAAAGTGGGCCGTCGACCGCTCTTTTGTAAGTATGGCTTACCTCTCTAAGAAGATGCATAGCTGACTCCATGATCCTCACATCCAGTCATTGGATTCCTCGGCACCACTGTCGCTATGGCGTGTGAGACAGCCTTGGTGTCGAAGTATGCTGGCACAGACAACAAAGGCGGGAATGCCGCAGCTGTGTTCTTTCTCTTCCTTTTCGTGACGATGTACGTATTCTCCTCTAGAGCCTGAACTCTTTGGGCTTTGACTGACAGCGTCACCAGCTACGGACTCGCCATTGACAACACTGCCTTTGTTTACTGCGCTGAGATCTTCCCGACGATGTACCGTGCCAAGGGCATGGCTCTGGGTCTGTTCGTTTACTACGTATCGTCAATCGCCTTCCTCACTCCCGCAGCTACCGCAATGCAGAACATTGGGTGAGCCATATAATACTCCGTGATACTTTACAAATCGAAGTTTAATGGCTAATCATGACACCACAATAGCTGGAAGTTCTACCTTGTATTCGTGTGCTGCTCTTTCGTGGCATTTGTGCTCACCTACTTCTTCGTTCCCGAGGCATGTACTCCACTGTCTTGACTAGGAGATTCCATAACACTAACGTTCCTCCATCTACAGACTGCCCGCTTGTCACTCGAGGAGATTAATGCTATCTTCGGTGACAAGGTTGTCGTGGACCTGACCAACGCCACTGCAGAGGAGCGAGCCCGGATGGACAGTGCCATTCTCGAGAAGTCGGCTGAGACTGGGGAACACCACGAATTGTAATATGTACTACGTTGTTGTCGAGTCTGGCCTAGTCTGGCCGTGTCTTACTTGATGCTGCTTCACTTAGTCCGCGAGCTATCTGAGAATACTACGTACTCGTTGTCCTACTCCTCCTGGCTTTTACAGCCTCCACTTCCACACCCTCGTGCCGTCATGAGAAATCATAGCTTCGGCCCTGACCCACAAGACGGCCACCGCCGCGCCGAAAAGCAGCACACTGACCAGAACGGACATGCCCTCGTACGTCTTGGGCCCAAGCCCAGCCGCCGAGGACCGGATCAGCGCGCCGCCGACGGGCGTGCCGATCATCGTCGCCATGCCCCGCACCATGTACAGCACGCCGTTGACCGAGGCGAAGTTCTGGGTGCCGAAAAGCTCGACGAGGCTCGTGGGGAACAGCGACACGTACGCGCTGGCAAAGATGCCGTAGAAGACGGTGAAGGCGACGAAAAGGCCCCGCGCGCCGCCGCCCGCGCCGCCGTCGTAGGGGTAGAGCGTCGACGGCAGCCAGAAGGCCACCGTGACGATGGCGCTCATGAGCGTCGTCAGGAACAGCAGGTTGAGCCGGCCGACGCGGTCGGCGGCGTGGCCGATGGCGATCTTGCCGACGGCGTTGCAGGCGTTGCTGACGGCGATGAAGTTGGCGCCCGCGGCGGGGCCGTAGCCGAGCGTGCGCGCGTACGAGGCGAAGAAGAAGACGGGCGTGTAGTAGGCCGCCGACTGCAGCACGGCGCCCAGGGCCTGGGCGGCGAACTTGCGCGTCCGGGCGACGCGGACGTCGAGCAGCGGCACCTTGAGCATGCCGGAGGCGCGGCTGGACGTGCGCGCCGCCCTCTCAGCCTCGAGGGCCCGCCTCGTCGCCGGCTCCCAGCCCAGGGCCATGCTGGCTGCCGCGACGCAGACGGCCGAGAACGCGCCGCTTACCCGGAGGGTGTTGCGGAAGCCCATGTGCTCGACCGAGGCCGTCATGGACGGGGCCCAGACGAGGCCTCCCACTCCTGTGCCGGAGAGGATGATGCCCATGGCGAGGCCTCTTCGGGACGTGAACCAGGTCGGCGCGACGGTCACGGCCACCATGTACGAGAGACAGGTTCCGATGCCGAGGAGGAAACCCTGGGTCATCTGGAAATGCCATAGCTTCGTTCCGAAACTGGCCAGGACCAACGAGAGGCCAAAGATCAGGCCGCCGATGAAAGCGACCTTACGAGGCGAAAATAGCTTGGCCCACGCAACGGCGAACGGTGCGCCGATGGTCATGAACGAGATGCCCAGTGTGCCGATCAGGTCGATCTGGGCGGGCGTGGCACCAGTGAAGGGATTGTCCGGCTGTTCGGCGTACTCCTCAAATAGAGCTTGGTAGACGCCGAAAGCGAAGTTGAGGCCGCAGCATACGAATACTATGGTAAATGAGGAGATGACGATGGTCACAGACTTCCTGTTCCGTCGTCAGCCGTCATCTCCGGACCACGAGCAACTAGTCCCTACCATGTAGAGATCTCATCTTCTGCATTCTCACTGGTCGGAGTAGTCGCGGCTGTGACAACTCTTTGCAGAGGTTCCATTCTACTTTCCAGGCCACCGGCCATCTCGATCTCGTCGCCATCGTCTGGGCGGCTCAGGTGCGCCTGGGGCACCAAGGATTGCACACTAGAGGACATGTTGCGTGTGTGTAGACACTCATACGGGTCGTGTCGCGGCCAGATGCATTAACAAGAAAGAGGGATCAGGACCCTTATCACGAGCAGATTGGTTTTATGGCTTCCATAACCACCGTGGTAAGCCGTTGGGAAACCCCAGAATTCAACATCCAAGCGGGTGACTCAGAAAGGAACAGCGGCCGATCGCCGGAGCAATTGTCCCCACCTCGGCAAGGATTGCCTTCCGAACTTCTCCGCACCAGCCGCATCAACCGCAAAGGGCCGGGCTTGGCAGCAGATGCCCAATGGGACTGGAGCCGAAAAAGATATCAAACATTGTAGAAAGTCTATCAGTCTCATTCACCGGGGATCCTCAGTATGACTCCCAATGTGGCCAACCCAAAGTGCGCTTGAAAAACTTGCAGACGCTACCGTGACGGTGTAAGAAAAGCCGTTGAGGTCTCATGTCTGAAGTGTCTTGTCGCAGCAAGCGCGTCGCCGGGAATTATTGGCTCTTGGGATATCAAGAGTCGAAAGATCCGGCAAGTACTTTCATGGATGCCAGATAGCAGTTCAGGTTTCACTCATCGCATGGCCCGACAAGCAGCTGGATGGCAATCAAAAATCTTGTCGACAAAAGGCAGTTCTGTCTTGTCTATGCCTCTAAAAATCTATTCTAACCTTCCAAAGATAACAACAGGATCCGGACTAAGCCCATTCCCAAAGAAAAGACAAAAGAAAGAGCGGCGCATCTACGCCAAACACCACTCGCCTTGTGCCAGGATAAGGCAGCCAAATGGGACGAATAATACAGCAACGCGTCACAGCTCTGCCTCGGCTCATCATCGTCCTCTAGACCTCCGACGAAAGACTCTCGGCCCCTTCAGACTTGGGCCGCTTGACGCCGATGAGCTCGAGGCCGTTGGCGACCGGCTGCTCGCCGCGCAGCAGCAGGCCGATCTCGGACGGGTGGAACCAGTTCATCCAGACAAAGACGACGAGCATGAGCAGGGTGTCGAAGACGTAGAGGTAGACCTCGCTGCGCATGAGCACGCTGTCGTTGCCCATGATGTACTCGACGACGCGGAAGACGCTGCGCACGAGGATGAGCCCGCTGGCGACGTAGAGCGTGGCGAGGTAGGTGCGCCAGCGGACGGCCGGGTCGCGGGCCGCGCGGGGCGTGGGCCGGCGCGCCATGCGCAGGTGGAAGACGGCCGCGACGGCGACGAAGCAGCCGAAGAAGGCGAGCTGGACGAAGAGACCCGCCACGATGAGGTTCTCGCCAAGGTCGATCATCGTCTGCGTCTTGGCAGCCATCATGCCGCCGCCGGAGCCCTGCATCAGCAGGGACAGGACGTCGCCGAGGACGAAGATCTTGGTCAGCCACTGCCGCCTGATCAGGGCGTGCGGCTCGCCCTCGGTCAGCTGGATGATCCTCCCCAGTATCATGTAGATGGACGCGGCCATGAAGGGCGGGGCGAGCAGGATCAGGAGGCTCTGCATGACGTAGGGTCCGAGGGTCCAGCAGCCGGGGTCTTCGTTCGCGTTGAGGATCCGTCCGATGTACCCTATGACTTCGCCTGCCAAGTACGAGATCTGTCAGCGAGTGCACGTATGGACCATGCGGTTTCTGATTCAGATGGGACACGACTTACATAGGCCGCCAGTAACCAGAGCGGTAAGATACCACGTCCGTGTCCTAAACATCTGGAGCATGTGGATTAGAGTCGTGATGCCAAATAGCACCGTGGCTACGGCAGCCAGCGGGAGAGATGGCTCATAGCGGTAAAACGAGAATTTGGCGTTCTTGTAATCTGGAATGCACTCGTCCATGGTGTCTAGAGAAGGTCCGAGGTAGGCTAGTCTTTGCTTCAAGATTCAGAACTGCTGGAAGATGACGACGCGAGAACAAAGACCGGGCTTTTCGACTTCAACCACAAGAACGTATGTCGAATTATATATCGCTCTGGCCTGTAAACCACCTGGGGCTGTGCTTGAAGCAAGGAATGAACATCGAGAGCGATGCGAGATGGCGAAGATATGAACATTGTTGCCAAGCCCTGAACTTCCTACTCACACCAAGTTAAAAACACCTAATCTAGGGACTTCGTGCGTGGACACAACACAGTATGTCGGGATCCGTCCCTCCATGTAAGCCGGCCCCCTTCGCCCTTCAGCCTTGGCGCTTGAGCCCCCATTGTGCCGCGTAAAGAGAGTGATGCGATAGGTCGAGGGCCGAGTTGTGGGTTACACACGGATGGCTCGGAGTGTCGGGCGTTGCCGCGTATTCGCGACGGGGCGGATACGGTGGTGTACGATAGTGTACGATAGTGTACGATTGGTACGGCAGCTGCTCTGCTCATTGAACACAACAGACACAGCCTCAAAATCTCCAAATGCTTGTTTCTCCCCGCCACAGACCGTTAAACAAGCCTGAACGAGCCAGCCAAAGCCAGCCAAAGCCAGCCAAAGCCAGCCAAAGCCAGCCAAAGCCAGCCAAAGCCAGCCAAAGCCAGCCAAAGCCAGCCACCGGATCAGCGTGCCCCAAAAGACGGCCTAAAAGACCGGGCGCTAGCCAGGGTGCCAAAACCACGGATCCACAGCCGATGCGCGTATTCGCCATCCGCCGTTTAAGAACCCGACGACATCCCACCCCACGTTGATTCTTCGTCTTTTGGATCTGGCAAAGCAGACTGACCGACCGACTGACTGGCTGGTTTCACCTGTCACAGACAGCATTGAAAAGCATACACCGTTCCATTGGCTGTCTCACTCTTGCCCTTGACAGCTACCCCTGCCAGGATACCGAGAGGAGTTAGATACGCTGCCTGCCCTTACTCTCTTGCTCCCTGGCACGAATGCGAATCCGCGCTCTCGCATAGGTTCGAAGCCAGTTGCAGCGCAATGTCCACGCGGCGCACGCACACCAAGTCTCGCAACGGCTGCACCAACTGCAAGCGAAGAAAGGTCAAAGTAAGTAAGCTTACGAAGCCTAGCTCAGCTGTCTTGCATCCCCTTCCCCTTGGTTCCCCCTCCCCTACCTTCTGTCCTCCTCCTCTCAGCGTCTATCCACGTACAAGTATAATATGCTCTCCACCCCGGGTTCGCCAAGAAACATCTGCCAACCATATACGGATACATAGTGCGATGAGGTCTGGCCGTGCTGCTTCCACTGCAGGAGGCACAACATCCCCTGCAGCTTCGCCCTGGCGAGCAAGTCGGCCGTCGACGCCAGGGTCGAAGCGGCAGCGGCAGCCGGCAGCGCGGGCGCTCCCACGCCGCCCAGCAGCGCTGGCCTAGGCCCCGCCACCCCGGTCGGCTTCGGCATCGGCATCGGCATCCCCAACACCGGAAGCCCGTCCGACGACTCTCGCCCGCCGCCCCGGGCCATCCTCGAGAACGTCGACAGCCTCCTGTACTCCTCGCCAGCCGCATCCTCCACCGCCTCCACTTCAACCTCCGGCGCGCACCCCAGCAACAACGCGGCCGTCCCGCCGCCGCCGCCGCCCCTCGTGCCGCCGCCCGACAGCGACCCCTGGTCCCGCGACGCCGAGCTCATGCACCACTACTGCACCGTGACGGCCGACTCGCTCGCCCAGCGCGACGACCTGCGCTACGTGTGGAAGGTCGTCGTGCCGCGCGAGGCCTACGAGCACCGCTTCCTCATGCACTCGATCCTGTCCGTCAGCGCCACGCACAAGGCCCTGCTCGTGCCCAGCCGCTGGCACGCCTACGTCAGCATCGCCGCCTACCACCAGGTCCTCGGCTCCGAGGGGTTCCGCGGCATGTCGTCCGACATCAACGACGACAACTGGCGCGCCGTCTACTGCTTCACGGCCGTCATGGTGCTCTACTACATCTGCCTGCCCACGCGGTCCGAGAACCGCCGCCTCGAGACGCCCGTCCTGAGCATCATGGAGCTGCTCTGCGCCATCAAGGGCGTCCGGGCCACCGTCGCGCCCTACCTCTCCCGCCTGACGCACTCCGAGTTCCACCCCATGGTGCTCCGGGTGTTCGACGCCGAAGACGTGGGCCCAGACGCCAGGTCAGTCTCTCACATCCTCCAACCCCCCCCCCTTTGTCCCTTTCTGGAGACCATCGACACATAGCTGAGACTCAAAAAATCACACAGTAAACGATCCCCGCCCCCGCTGGAGAACTCGTCGCTGCCAGCAAACACCTACCAGGTGCTCAACCAGCTCCGCGTCTCCCTCGCCGCCGACCCGGCGCAGTTCAGCCAGCACTACGTGGACGCGGCGGCCGAGCTGGAGAAGTGCGCCGCGCTCATCGCCCGCCGCGGCGTCCACGCCGAGCCCGGCGCCGTGCTCTACTGGCCCTACATGCTGCACGACACCGTCGTCGCCGACATCCGCAGCATGAAGCCCCACGCCTTGATCGTCCTGGCCCACTTCGTCGGCCTGCTCGTCATATTCGAAAACATGTTCTGGTTCACAAGAGGCTGGGCCAAAGCCGTCGTCCGAGATATCGACCGGCAGCTGGCAGGGCGGCCAGAGCTGGCGAGCTGGCTGGACTGGCCAAAGCAGCAGGTCATCTCGGGCTATGGCTGATGCTGGTTTGTAGCCAGTACACCAGCTTTGCAGCATCGAAGCATCGTCGCGAAGCGCCCAATGCCCTCACAATGGCTTGGGATAACACAAGCTATCATCTGCCGCCATCATTTCTTTGCCATGCCCCAACAACGAGGTGCTCTGAGTACTCTGTCTATTTCTAGATATCCACATTCATTTTTTGGACTCCGAAAACGCCCTACAGGGACGCTGCTATGTACCGAAGGACTATGCCTTGCCCTGCGCTGGCTTCCACTCTATACCCGAGAATCGGGCCATGCAAATCTGGCTATGTTGGTAACGACGTTATAATGCTGACTCCTCATGATGCACCTACGCTTTAGCTTGCGTTCTCAACGGTCTTTGGCCGCTCAGGAAGATCGGCAGACTTCTGCTCTGCGTTGGCGGCGGGCTTGCCGGCCGCACCAGGATGGCGGCTACCCTTATCCTTCACCTTCTTCTGCTTCTTCTCCGGTGGAGGGTAGGCCTTGAGAGTGATCTCCTGCCACTCTTTAGAGGCCTGGAAAGCTGTTTGAATCGGTGCCATGAGCTCAATGAGCGCAGCGGTGACGGCAGGTTTGAGGAGTTGAGGTGTAAGCTAGGGATGTTAGCAAGTGATCAATGAAGGCGAAGCAAAGCTCTGACAACTTACAACGTCATTCTGGTAATCATCGTGCATCTGCTTGATGTTGTTGTAGACCAGCGTTGGGAGGTTGTCCCGTGTTCGCTCAACCTTGAACTCGGCAGTGCCCTTCAGCGTAGCGGCCGGAAGGAGCACATACTCCACAAAGGCCAGGACACCGTTGCCCTCAACAACCTTGGGGGCACACTCTGCCTTCTTGAGCTTCTTTGTGATGACTTCGGGCGTATCGAGGAGGTCGATCTTGCTGTCTGTTTCTCTGGCGATTAGCCGCGCGAAAAGGACATACTGGAATGCGGGTTGAGCTGGGGAGTTTACCTTCTTCACTAGAACTCATCTTGCCACCGTTGAGGCCAGGAACCATAGGGTTGAGAAGGTGGGCTCGCTATACAAAGGTCAGCTTCGACTACCTACAACAGTTGAAAGACGGGTCTCGGTTGCTTACCTGTCTGTAGCCCAGCTTGGGCAGCCACTCCTTGCCAGCCACGAAAAGTTTCCTCTGGTCCATACCACCAAACTGTGCGTCGACGTCCAGGTGTTGCTCGTCTAGTACTTGGAGGATAGGGTAGAGGAGGCCACTCAAAGGCGCATTGCTGGTCTGCTTGACGACCTCGGCACCAGCCTTCTTGGCGTCGTGCTCGGAGACCAGAGACGCCATGCGGTAGACGTCCATGATGTATTCTGGGTTCTTCTGGTAGGAGCTGCCGAGGACGAACTTGAGCTTCTCGGTGGGGACGCCGACGGCCTCGAGGATAGCCTTGATGACGAGGCCATAGTACTTGGCGCGGTTGTCGACCAGCTCGATGGGCGCCTTGAGGTTGTCGAGGAATCCGTGGATATCGGCGAGCAGGATGACGACCTCGCAGCCCGCGGCGAGCAATTGAGCGATCTTGACGGCCGGCACGAAGTAGCCGCAGTGCGGGCGACCTGTCGTTGCGGTTCCTGGGAGCGGGAGGCGACAGGTTAGCAGACTGTCAATGTTTGCGCGCGTCGTGCGCGCCCATGCTGGCCACGGCGGGGGGAATCAGTACCCCAGTAGATCTTTGGGTGGCGGCCCTCTGCGAGGATCTTTTCGAGAATCTCGGGGTTCATGACCTCGGCGAGGTTCTCGCTGATGAGGGCGAACCTCTGGCTCGCGGAGGCATCCATGGCTGTCTGTCGCTTCGTTCAAGCAACTGTTGTGATCGAGGTCGAGGTGAGTGCTGCAGTGACTCAGATTGCGATCCCTGGAAATTTGACGCCCGATAAGGAATGCGCCTCGATCAACTTGGCGGGACGGAGATGCCCCTCCGGGATCGGAAACCCAATTGATCCGACACGGGCTTGGGCCTCAAGTGCTGGCTCAGAACATGAAATCAGATCAATTTCTGGGGAACACGCTAGTGGACGTGGGCGCTAGAACTGCGCTAGAAGATCCCTGTTACAGTGACCTCAGGGCCTGACTCTCACAGACAGACCTCCAACTGGAGACAGACCTTGATCTTTCAAAGTTCCAAGGTTGGATTCATTGTCGAGGCATGGATGGCCACCGTCTTGTGAGGCATTGAGCTGGTTCTTGGAACTTGTAGCGTCGCTTTCTCCTTGTGAAAAAGTCGCCAGGCCGGATTATTGGATACGAAACTCATATTCTCCATTTGATCTGGTCTGTTCATGCACATTGTCGTCGGCAACATCGTTTGAACAGGGAGTCTTGTGCGCCAGATCGGATCTCTCACATATTATGAGAGCCAAAGACACATGAAAGATACCAATAGGCTCACTGCTGTCCTAGTTCAATGCAGGCGGCCCCTTTTGCGACAAGCCCTGACCACCATCTCAGTCGACGGTTGTGACAGCCTCGGGCCCTCATTGGCGATGCCCGAAAATGGCGCTCAGACGACCACGCAATGGAACCAACTCGACAACTCAATCTGGATAGATTGCGCACATCGCAGCCAGGACATCAATGACTGATGTTTTCAAAGCACGCTCAAAGTCTCAAGTACGCAATGGCTCTGCAACCAACAACGCCCACTGGATGGCCCTTCTTGCAAATAGATTACCATGGCGTTACATCAGGGCGTCGCCCAGTTGGTACCACACGCGTGACTGGCTGTGTCTCATTTATGCTAAATGATTACTGAGGCCCTTCCCACAGAATGTGATGGTAGATTTCGCCTGCATGCCATCTCGGTAGGCGCGCACTGACAGGCCGGTATTGTTCTATAATCCGGGGTGTTATACACCTCTCTCCCGTCTGGACAAACGTCAAAAAGATCCAGAACTCCGGAGTCCGGAATGGATGTGTCTTGACGCTCCTCCGAGTCTCGCCATGTGACTATCCTTGCATACGCACTGCGAAGACTTCGTTGTGACCAAAGACCACTATATATGTGCCATCCACCGTCTCTTTGATATGTATTTCCCGCGGGCGCTACAGGTTTCCCTTCAACTAAGCGTGCAAACCGCGAGCCGACTCAACATGCATCTATCCAAATTCCTTTCTCTCTCACCACTCGTCGCAGTTGCCGCGGCAGACCACGTCTGGCAATGCCAGACCATCGGCTACGCTGACGGTATGGTACAACTGTACTTGAGGCCTCCCCTTCTCATAATGCTAACTGGCTAGGGCATCTCTACTGCCGCAAGAACGCGCAGGGCCAATGCCTCGGCGATCTAGGCGACTTCCCAGCCAAGGACAAGTTCTTGCTGAACAGTAAGACCTGACAACAGCAGCATCCCCATCACCACCCCCTGACCAATAAGAAAAGAAGGGAAACTGACCACACGAAAAAAATCGCCGCAGTGGCCGTCGGCGACAACCCAGACAGGCCGATGGACCCCATCCGCCTCGCCGACCAGGTCGACTTCCACCGGTACAACGTCTTCGACCGGCGCCTCTACCTCGACAGCTCCCCCGGCGCCTTCGCCCCCATGGGCTTCACGCACGACAACTCGACCCTGCGCGGCGGCGAGACGACGTGGGGCTTCTTCGGCGCCCAGGGCTTCCTCATCTGGAGCTCCACGGGCCGCATCGCCGACGCGGGCCCACCGGCCAAGGGCGGCGGCACGCAGGTCGTCGCGCAGCAGGGGTTCGACTGGGTCGAGAGCGACTGGCCTGGTGTCTACCAGCTGTACTGGAATCAGACGCAGTGGGAGGAGGCGGTCAGGGGCAGGTACAACCTCCAGGCTGGGTTCTTTGGGCAGTGCTACGGAGACTACAGCCCGGTCATGACGGATGTGTCGTGAGGATGATGCAGAAACAACGCTGTGGCGGTGGGGAATTCCATTCAAACACGCGGAATAAGTGAGAGGTACAGTAAGGAGTAATATCACTGCTCTCTGACCTTGTCTAAGAAATTGGAGATGTATGCTCGGTAAATATCTATCTGACTTCTTCGATGTCCATCGCTGCCTGCCAATAAATCCATCAACATCCTTCGAATCGCTGAGGTTTACCGCCATTATTCCAAAACTGGATCTCTCCCCTGGTATTAAACCCTTTGTCTCTAGACCACGACGCCCAGAACAGCCATAGCAGCCATCACCATTCCTGCAACATCAGTTCCCTTCACAGCCGCAGCATTGGTCGAGGTCGGGGCTGGCTCCTCGGAAGTCGAGTTACCGTCCATGCTGGTCGTAGGGAGCACAGCCGAGCAAGTCTGGCTGTCTGGGCACGAGGTCGGGCCGGCACCGCCGGTCCACGTCATTGTCTGGCCAGAGCATGTGGTTGAAGGAGGGCATGTGCTCAGGGTGACAGTAACATCGATAGTAGAAGCCACGCTCGTAGGGAGTATCGTCAGGGTTGATGCAGTTGAGGGCGTGGCAGCCCCGGTAGTGGCCTGTCCAAGCGAGGACGAGGCAGGCGTCAACAAAACCGTGAGGCTGCTGGTGGGCAGAGGTGACTTTGTCGAGCATTCACCGTTCCCGTTGCACTCGACAGTCGACACGATCGACGTAGTAAGAGATAAAATCGAGGTTTGCAAAGGCGGAGAGGTAGAAAGAGTCAACGTCTCCGGTGTGGTAAGGGCCCATGGAGCCGAGTAGGAGGCAGTGATAGTCTCGGGATACGAGTAGCCTTTGGGTGAATCGTCTTGGGCAGCTGCGAGTCGCAAGCTGCCGAGTATGAAAGGGGCAAGCAAATCTCGCCTCATTTTTGCGATGCTCAAAGGTCACGATGAAGAGAAGGACTTTATGTGAAAGAGGAACAGATCTTGAACGAGAATATTGCGAGGGCCATCTCAGTTATAAAGGCCTCATTGCTAGGAGGCACATGCGGTCTCGACACTCTGCTACTCACCATGAATCACAAGGGGTTGCCAATCTGACTATGCGTCACCACCCAGTGACACCGTCCAAGCTGCCTTGAGGTACCAAAAGCAACTGACTGCCACCTCCGTGATGCACGAAGCGCTGTTGCCAGTGACATGGCCATACAAACCGGACCTCCTCCGCCTGGGTGCCGCAAGCCTGAGACGGCCTCTCGCGTAGTTTGTCGTCTCATACGGACACAAGCATCCCGTATGGGGTTGTTGCAAGCAATGTTTGTTTACGTGTGAAACTTGTCGGTGAGGACAGTCAGCTCCTTCATATGATAGCAAGATAGTCCAGCTCTGTGTCTTTGCGTGAGCCTTGGCCCTGATTTCAACGACTCTGATGCCTTGCATCTCTGCTCCTAGTATATCGACAGACGTCATAGAGGTAAAGAGGTAGATCGTTCGCTATGGCGAATTGACCATCTAGCTGGAAACAGCCCCTGATTTGTTTTGTCGTCGTGAACTTCTTCAATGGCATGTAGCACGGCAAGTACAATCACCAAGGTACCACGTACATCCAGGCGGAGATGTCGAGGGAGTACAAGGGTACAACGCCAACATTTGAAACGGCCGAAGTCTTTGCTTGGGGTCACGGTTGGCTTGTTAGGACGCACGTTCTCAACAATGTCATCGACAGCTGCTGAATCCTAGGTACTCCATCCTTACTGTGAGAGCTTCACTCGACCGAGAAGGGCCGGCTGATATCACAAGTGGGCGAAAGAACAATCCGCTGCCAGTGATGTCAGAAGTTGCTTTGCGTCTTCGCACATGCACATTGCCAAAAGTATGCCCTCGTCTCGCTCACCATTTCCCCCAGTCCTGAGCGGGTGCCCACAGACAAACCAAGCTTTGTGGAGGAAACCGGGTCCGATCATCATTTCGAGTGGACAAGGGGACCCATTGAAATTAGGCATGATGTCCCTGTGGCTCTGTTCCTGGCCTCCACCAGATGGGCTGCCCAACAAGCCTTCTCCGGTGTCTTGCGGGACAAGCAATCTGGGAGGACGCACTCACACACCCAACAGCTCCCGTGGTGAAACACGACTCATCAAAGTGCCCTGCACTTGCATACAGCGCAGCTTTACCCTCTCTGTGGTGAACGCCATTGACTGCATTGGTATTGGACGTCCACTTTTCCTGCCTGGTCCTGGATGTCATTTTAGATGGCTGTCGCTTAAACTCTGAATTCTGGATACCGGCACTGGGTTTCGTGATGCTTGGCTGGAGAGAAGCACATGCTTTCATGATGGCCAGCTCCGTCCAACGGCACAGCTCGTGTGCGCCTGCTTGGCCTTCCCCTCACTCAGCTGCCTCGGCTTGTTCCTGGTGCGATGTCTCTTCGCCGCGCGCCCATTGGATCAGCAGCCAAGCAAACCAAGGCGGCGGGTGCGCTACTCCAGCCGTCCAGTGGTCAATTCAGCAGCACTTCGACGCTAGAAAACTTGCTTCTCCGCTCAAAGCTGAGCTTTTTGGTGCTCCTCACGCAGAGGAGCGTCGTCGACCACCCACCACCTCACCTGCCAGGGTAGGAACAAGATCGACGAAGGTGGTGCGGACCCGTTAACGGTCTCCCGGGGCTTTGCCAATCGCAGCACTCAAGGCCGACGCTTGCCCGGGATTGGCGGGTGGAGCCCCCATGGGGGGATCCCTACTAGGGCGGATACACACTCCACCTCCTTTTCGCACTCACAAGCATCTTGCACGCACAACGAGCTGACGATGAGTGCCAAAACACGCCGAATGGGCCGACAGAGACCCATGTGAAAGTCGCATCGCTCCCAGGGAAGCGGGGGATGGAGGCAGGCAGTGGTGGACGGTGACCCCCAACCTTGGGGCTCCTTTATCTCGCCTCGATGTATCCTCGACCAGGGTAGCACTCACTCATATCCTTGTTGATGACTGAAGCAGGCCTGGCCCTTTCGATTCAGTTGCGCAAGCAAAAGGATATTTCGCGCATTGGATGATATCACTCTGCGAACTCTGACTCTCTTCTCCCGAACCTGGCGATGCGTGATCGTTAACGGACGACCGGCCTAGAGACAATTCAACTCGAGAGGTGCAGAGAAAAAGGAACAGAGAAAACACGCCGAACTTTTCGGAGGAATAGGAAGGATACCGCAAATTTCTCTCGCTCGCAGCAAAGCCCACTAGCCCACGCTCGTTCCACCAAATTTCCTCCTCTTCATTGAGATCAAAAGGAAGAAGGGAAGAAAAAAATGAAGACCTTCGCTGTCCTCGCCGGGGCCCTGCTCCTCGCCGCCGGGGCCTCCGCCGACGCGCCCAACTGCGCCGCCGTCGCCCTGTCCGCCATCCCGCAGTGCGCGCAGTCGTGCTTCCTCAAGGGCGCGCCCGAGGTAGGCTGCGGCGGCACCGACTTCGCCTGCCAGTGCGAGCAGGAGGCGCGCCTGTACGCCGCCATCGAGGGCTGCGTCGCCAGCGGCTGCCCGGCCCAGTCCTACCAGGCCGTCATCGACGGAGCTTCGTCAGGTACGACTTTGGCATGAATCCTTTCCTCTCACGTCGATCCTGTAGCTAATTCTTGCCGTTTCCGAAACAAAAAAGTGTGCAACTGCGCCGTCGGAGGCAACACCGCCGGGGGCTCCATGACCGTCGGCTCCATGGTCAACACCGTCTCCAACCTGCCCGCGACCGCCTCCAGCAAACCCACCGGCTCCGTATCAGGAGGCGGCGGCAAGACCACCCCGCCCGCGACGGTACCTGCGGTCTCCACGGCGACGGGCGCCACCTCCGCCGCAGGTCGCGGCTTCGGTCTCGACATGGCCGTCGTTGCGGCCGCTCTATTCGGATTCACTGGCTTCATGCTATAGCTGGACCTGCCGTTGTCCAGCTCATGGCATGGCGGAAAGGTGTAAACAAACGCTCTCGGTGAATGTTCATACTATAGACGGCGGTGTTTCTTGCGGTAATCGGGGGACCAGGAAACTATAGATGCGCCAACCATACTTTCGAACCTTGGTCTTGATTTTTTTTTGGGAGGATGATACCTCGGCACGATCCTTAATCGATAATGCGACTCTGTTTTCTCAATCGCCACTTTCACTTCTGGGGCTGCCTGGATGCCGGAACCTGTTTTGATTCGGGGCGGTCCCGTGCTGCGCCCTGGAACACGAGAACTTATGGGTATTATGTACATATGAGTATATCCGCCAGATTGGCGAGCACATTCAACAATAACCACTGTCACCCGGTGGCTTTCTAAAACGTTCACAGCTTCTAGTATCATATCATCCTGCGCCTCGGAGCTCATCAGCTGACATCGCCTGAGCTGAGTGGGCTGGATGTTAGTTGTTTCGTCTGTGATATGTCATGGAAGGGCAAGATTATGTATTGGTTCAGTGGCGGTATCCTTCTCCTCAGCCGAGATTGAATGCCTAGGCTACTAACACCAAGGTGAAGCCTATGCCACTGGCAGTAGACCTCACTGCCAGATCTTGGGACTTATCCTTTGCGGGCTCACCCTTTGCCTTTCGTCTCTTGCTGACTCGACGATCCTCTGGCGCATCCTAGGGAGACCATCGGAGTTGACAGTTGATTGGCTTTGTCGGCAAGCACTATCCAACCAGTCGGGACAGCCCTGGCGTTCTGACGAGTCGCCTCGGACGCTTGTCGGTCTTGAGGCCGATGGCTACCATTGACACACTTGAAGATGGCAGCGGCCAGTTGCGGTCGTCAAGCAGGGTGCTCGGGATGCCGAAGATTTCCTTGAGCGGCATGTTTTACAGGCCCGGTCCCGCGTCGCCGTTACGAGCCAGGCGAGCACTTTCGTCTTCCACGGTATTCAGTCTGATGCGGCTGTCTCAACAATGTTCCTGCCGTTGATGAATGCGAAACGCCCCTTTGCTTCGGGAGTTTGAGCGCCTCAAGTTGATTTTCAAGGCAGCTGAGAATCCTTCTTCTCCACCCTGTCATCGCCAAGCTCTTCGCCTGGAAGAGCTGTATTTCAGGAACGAGAACGAGCTTCAATTTCACGCTGCTTCGTACGCGGCTTCGTCGTCGAGCGTGATACCACAAGCGCCGCCCCGATAATGACTGAGCTTGGGTTTGGTGCTTGGTGGAGAGATCGTGAACATCCGGCGTGCGGCTCGCGTCTCGCCTCTCAGAATGGCGAAATTCAGCATGGAGGACCTATGAGTGGCTTCACTGCTAATCTATTCAGGATGCCTTTGAATAATGAGGGCATGCTTCAGATATTTACTCCTTTCGCGCTGGAAGCGAGTTCAGCCAATCGAGCGCCACATCTAAAGACGCGCCGGAAGAATCATTGACCAGATCGGTGGGATCGTGCCGGCAGCGGCTCCAATTGCCGCGCATTAGCTCCGTTGCGAACCCCGCCAAAAATTGACCGACTTCCGCACCACCGGAGAGAAAGACTGAAACAAAATTCTGTAACAGTGTCGTCTTCTCTTCACTCAAGCACACAACGAACCAGGCCCGTCTATCACTTTGTCGCCCAGCACTGCGCCAGCATGGAGAACTTCATATACCAGGCCAACCCGAGCAGGGTCATCTTCGGCAGCGGCACGATCCAGAAGCTGCCGGAGGAGCTGTCCCGGCTCGGCTTGTCCAAGCCCCTCCTCCTCTGCACGCCGCAGCAGACCAGCCAGGCCGCCGACCTCGAGAAGATCTTGGGCGGTAAGGTCGCCGGGACCTTCTCCCGGGCGACCATGCACACCCCCGTCGAGGTCACCGAGGAGGCCCTCGAGGTCCTCAAGAGCACGGGCGCCGACTCCCTGGTCGCCATCGGGGGCGGGAGCACCACCGGCCTAGGCAAGGCTCTCAGCATCCGCACCGGGCTCTACCATATCTGCATCCCGACCACGTATGCCGGTAGTGAGGTGACGCCCATTCTCGGCGAGACTCAGGCAGGCCTCAAGAAGACCCGTTCGGATCCCAAGATCCTGCCAGGGACGGTCATATATGATGTCGACCTCACGATGACGCTACCGGCATCTCTCAGCGCCACCAGTGGTGTCAATGCCATCGCCCACTCCGTTGAGGCCCTGTACGCTCAGAACGGCAACCCCATCATCAACCTCCTAGCGCAAGAAGGCGTCCGCGCCCTGGCCGCCGCGCTCCCGGCCATAGTGGCCGACCCTTCGTCGCGGGAGGCCCGCAGCTCGGCCCTCTACGGCGCCTGGCTCTGCGGCATTTGCCTCGGGAACGCCGGCATGTCCCTGCACCACAAGCTGTGCCACACCCTCGGCGGCACCTTCGACCTGCCGCACGCTGAGACGCACACCGTCGTCCTGCCCCACGCCCTCGCGTACAACGCGCCCAAGGTCCCGCGGGCGATGAAGATGCTGGCGGACGTCCTGCCGGGGAGCGACGGCGACGCGATCCGCGGGCTCAACCTGCTGCTCGACAAGCTCGGCGTCAAGCGGGGCCTGAAGGACTTTGGCATGAAGGAGGCCGACGTGGACCGGGCGGCCGAGCTGGCTACGAGCAATGCTTACCCGAATCCTAGGGAGCTGGAGCAGGGACCGATCCGGGAGCTGATCAGGCGGGCTTGGGCGGGAGAGCATGCAAAGGCAGATCTATAGACAGGCGACGGATACTATCGTTTTCTAAAATGATAAAAGATGGTCAAATTGTGCGCTCGCTGCGTGATCTATGGATACAGGGATATCTCATGCTATGCTATCGTCCGTCATGTTTGATACAGGACCGTTCAGTGTCCCGCTTCGTCCACTAAAGCATCATAAAAGCGCTGATGGCAAGGGCAACGATGGCGAGAAGGGAGCCTGGAACATGAGACCCGGTCCCGCTCTTACCCTGAGTCTGTCGGCTCTTGGTGCTCTCGTCCTTGATCTTCAGACAAGTGATTTGTGCTTGCGCATCCTTGCCCTGAGGGTAGAAAACGGTAATGATGGGAGTGACATCGTCCGCCGCCTTCATGATTGTGCCGGCCATGATGTCCCCCTTGAGAGCATCTGTTAGACCCTACGCACTTCTGATGAAGGGGTTCTTCTACTTACAAACAAACCAACTGTCTCGTACAGAGTGAGGTCGCTGGACTTGTCGGGTACAGGCCAGCAGTTGCTGGTAGAGTTCTGGCTGGACGAGATAGGCTTCGGCGCCTCGGATCCTGTGCCCGTAATCGCTAAGGCGGAATTAGTATTGGGCACTACCTATGGCATGGCAACTGGTGATCTCATACCTTTGACTGTAACATTCTGCCAACGATCACTCGTGCCCACGTATGGTCTGCAGTCCTCGTCCAGGTTCTCCTCCAGATCCTGTTGGAGTTTTCGGCACACCTTATCGGTAGAGTTGCTCGCCTTGACAGCCTTTGCGCGCTTGAGCAGCGCGTCCGAGCATTTGCTGCTCATGAACGCGCCGCAGGTGCCATCGGCCGCCCTCTCCGACCGCTTGGCGGCCTGAAACTCGGTGAACAGCACAGCGCAGCCCGGCATGCTGAAGTTGGCCTGCGGCGGCGTGCCGAGGTAGAACGAGCTCTCGTAGGTCCTGTTCGGCGGCATCGGGATGACTCGGAATCCCTGCACCCACGAGAGCCCCTGCGGAAAGCCCTCGGCTGCCGGGACTTTGACGGCGCCGACGTTGATGAACGATCTGTCAACTACGTTGCATTCGTTACTGACGCTTCTGTCGTCAACCGGGCAATTGAGGTCGGCGCAGCCTATAATATCATTTTGAGCAAGCACTGGTGTCGTGGCGACGAGGGAGAGGGCGAGCAGTGCGCGCAGTGAGAGCCTCGTCATGTTTGCGGTTCTGATGAAATGCTGGCTAGATGAGATGCGATTTCTATTGAACTGATTGTGTATTGGCAGACGAATATAAGAAACGGGAAGAAACGTGCTTATTAGTCTATGGATTAAAGGCTCGATCAAGTGAGAGGGAAACAAGCCACTCATGTCAGCCTACTACGCCGCCATGCCAAGAACCGGGGTGCTGGATCGTTTGGTCGACGTTTACCAGGAATATTAATCCGTAGAGAGACGGAAAAGTCGGCTCTTGAGAACTGGTGAATGATGGTGAAGGAGAGTGGATAAGAATGTAGCATCTCACGGCCTGTGCCTCAATCCTTCGCGGGTTGGGATATAAATTGTGGCGCGATGACGCTGCCAAGCAGAAAGCCAAGCTACCAAGTCCTGTCAGGATATCCCCCCTGGCTGTCAGATCCTCCCGAAGATCTGTGCCATGCGCACATCTCTGGAATCCGGAAATGGCAAAACCGTCAGCCACACACAGGCCTCTCCGACCCTCAGGCCGACGTGGATCGAGCAGGCCTTGTTGGGGTTTGCCTATGAACGTCATCTACCAGATTTAGAGTACCTGTTTGCAGTCCTAGCGGAGACAAAAGTTTAATCCTGGAGAGCAGCACGGGGAGACGGGAAGTGAGTGGTTTTGAGTCAATTCTTTCTGGCGTCGTGGATTCGAGTTGGGACGGTCTTAGGAAAATGAGTTGAAATTTATACTACGTTTAACCGTTAAAGAAAATATTAACAACTGCGCGGTGCACTAGCTTATTCATTCAGACTTCTACAAGAAGTCTACGGAGTAATAATTTACTCATCAGGTCAACCTTTCTCAGGTCAAAGCCAAGTTAGACCATCATATAGACTTAATAAACACAGCACCTATATTCTAGAGACATGATGGTGATTCCTAGTGATAAGTACATAATTTGATTGTGAACCAATAGAGCACTCCCCCACTTGCACGGTCTTAAGCTTAGCTTCTATTGACTGCCTCGGATAGGGTTCGAAGCTTGTGATCTAATATCACGACTTTTTGACCTCTCGACCATGGTTCAGTCCGTGACCAGTCAGTTAGCGAGTCCGAATGCGCGAAATATTCCAAAAGATTGCAAGTATTTATGGATTAAAAGCTGACTATCCTGCAAATCGTTCAAGATCACCAAGGAGTAAGTAGACTATTCCGCCGAATCCTGATCACCAACCAGACACTCGGCAAATCTGACACTCTAAACTATGGAATTCAATCTTCAGGTCGACCTCAAGCGTCATCATTCGCTTTGCTTCGGGAGTCTGGATATTGTGGCTCTTGACCTTCATCGCACACGGGAGCCAGCGCCCGGTCTCTCGCAAGGTTGTGAGTCTGGCGATGTTGAGCGGATTGGGACGATCCTGAGGGAGGTTGCCCGCGAAAGCGCGTGCGCCAACAGGGATTTGATAATCGAGGGACTTGACAGCTGCCTCTTCGATGCCATCGCGAGCTCTCACAGGCCCATGGTGCCGGTGTTGTTTCGATACCGGACCGCTCTCCGCAATTCATCTTTCACCATTGGATTGAAGTTGCAGGATTTTAGCATTTGGGACGACTTTTTCTATCACGACCACCTTGACATGAACACGTACGAGTTGCTCTGGCGAACCTTACGGTAAGGTTGCATGGCTTCCCGTCACCAACGCGGAACTCGATTCCACCCCTTAGTTCTCGAGCGACGGCAAGCTGACAACCTTTCAAGGGTCGACGTGAAGAGCCCAGTACTAGTCAAATGGCTCCTCGAGCTCGGCGCAACGCCAGACCGCCCCAACGACCGCGGGCTCACCCCGCTCGGCACATGCGCCATCCGCGAGCTCTCGCCTGAGATCGAGCAGACAATAGACCATCTCCTCAGATGTGGTGCCGACATCCGCAAGGAGAAAAGCATCCTGCATATGGCCATCCGCCCGACGGCCTCAGGCGGCGTGGCAATGCTGAAGCATCTTCTATCCCGAGGCGCCGACCCGTCCTACAAAGACCCGGACACCGGTACGCCGCTTCACTACGCCGCGTCTCTGGGCAAGATGGAGGAAGCCAAAGTGCTCGCAGCAACAGAGGGGGTGAATTTGGGGTCCGTTGTCTGTGGATGTACAGCGAGTGATGTAGCTCGTTGGTTTGAACATGATGAGATTGCCGTGATGCTGGACGATATGCTGAAGGGGGAAAGAAGACCCTGGTGCTCTGGCAACGATTTGGGTCATGTACAGGACTCTATCCGCGATCTGGACCTCAACCAGTAAAGAATGTCGAAAGTAGGGGAAGTCTCAGAGGGTGTTTGAGAAGCCACTGGCTACCTCTCCGAGTTTGAAACCTTTCAATATTCTATTCGTATAGATTGACTTGGTCAATCGACAGGGATTAGTATTGAACCGAAGTTCGAATATTTGAAAGTTGAGACCGAGATTCACTGCTGCGGCCAGGAGCTTTCTACAACTTCCACTCCACCTCCATTCTCGTCCTCCCAGTCTTGCTAAACTACACCAAGGCAACCGGCGATGCGAGGACGCACCACTCCCACATAGATTACTACCACGTGTCGTAGGATCTGAGATTCCTCTTCTGGCTCGGCGTGAAAAAAGACGCCCCCGCTACCGACGGTTGGTGGTGGCATCCTCCGGAGGCTTGCTTCCAGTTTCCAAACGCGGCGGCGCACGGGACGACGAATTTGGCCAGTTTCCGGGTTTGGGGGATGCCAAGCTCTGTCACACGGGGCTCGCTTCCGCTACCATCCCCGTTCCAATCATCGAATCCACCAATGAATAGACCCAACGTTGCAACCTCTCGAAGCCCGAATCGTCCGAAGGTCACGAATCAAGTGGTTGTGACGCCAGTCAGGTCGTGAAGGCCTCGAATCTGGTCCCATTTTCCGGGATAGGCGTAAATGACATGACCCACTCCATACAGTCCTTTGGGACGTGGTTATGGCCATTCCGAGATCCTGGGTTGCATCGAGGCAACCTACGAGTGGCCGCTGCCTCCGTCTACTCTTTACACGATGGGATGCCAGGGAGACCGCCGTAGTGGAGCCGAGCTCCGAGTCCGAGTCTATATGGTTGTCTTAGAGACAAGGGTGTACTATTTAGAGAGCCGGTCTTGCCTTGATCTCGTTCATGCTCCTGAGGTCTGGCGTCAAGCGTTCTTTTCAAGCTACCATACTTCAACGAAAATGAAGTCAGGCATTCTCGCAGTACTAGCGGCTGTCGCTGTCAAGCAGTCAGCTGCTCATGCCATCTTCCAGCAGCTCTGGGTTGACGGCGTAGATATGATAAGTGCCTTGCGTGATCAACCTTTACTTGGACAGTAACAGGCTGACTTCCAAGCACGGTGGTCAATGCGGAAGAATCCCGTCCTCGAATAGCCCCGTCACGGATGTCTCCTCCAAAGACATCGTATGCAACACCGGCCTCAGTTCGGCTGTTGGGAAATGTGCCGTTAAGGCCGGCTCGACGGTGACAGTGGAGATGCACCAGGTAAGGGCCGTTCCCTTCACCTCTCATCAACCAGCCGCAGACTCAAAAGCCACGGCTCCGTCCTTTCCCAAACGATACTGATACCAATCTTCACCAGCACGCGGACCGCAGCTGCACCGAGGAAGCCATCGGCGGCGCGCACTACGGCCCCGTCAGCGTCTACCTGTCCAAGGTCTCCGACGCGGCCTCGGCCGACCCCTCAGCCGGCGGCTGGTTCAAGATCTTTGAGGACGGCTGGGCCAAGAACCCGTCCGGCGCCAGCGGCGACGACGACCGCTGGGGCACAAAGGACCTCAACACCTGCTGCGGCCGCATGGACGTCAAGATCCCGACCGACCTCGCCAACGGCGACTACCTCCTGCGCGCCGAGGCGCTGGCCCTCCACTCGGCCATGTCCTCCGGCGGCGCCCAGTTCTACATGACGTGCTTCCAGCTCACCGTCTCGGGCGGCTCCGGGTCCGCCTCCCCCGCGACGGTCAAGTTCCCCGGGGCGTACAGCGCGAGCGACCCGGGCATCCTGATCAACATCCACGCCCCTCTCTCCAGCTACAAGGTCCCTGGCCCCGCTGTGTATTCTGGCGGCTCTACCAAGACGGCCGGCTCGGCCTGCACGGGATGTGAGAGCACGTGCAAGTCGGGTTCTGGACCTTCGGGGACCGTCAACCCCAGCCAGCCGACATCTCCCGGTGGCGGCGGCGGTGGTTGCACTGTGGCTAAGTTCCAGCAATGTGGCGGGACGGGCTACACCGGTTGCACGACCTGTGCCGTAAGTCATTTTGTAATGGGTGAACTTGCTTGATGGCGCCCTTGCTGACCTGATCTATGCTCTCTAGTCTGGATCAACATGCAGTGCGGTTTCCCCGCCGTACTACTATCAATGTGTGTAGGGATGGACGATTCACATTACATTTTAAGATATCTTTTGCAATGTACAACACGATCGGAGGATGTGTTTGATACTGTGTCAACTTGCATTGCATCAATTTACTGCTGGGATCATGCAAGGGAAGTACCTTGTCCACATGGACTGTGTAGCCAGGCTTTTACAATGTCAATGTCCTGTACTCACCCGAAAACCATGGAAACCGGGAATCGCTTTGGATAATAACCAGCACTTATTCTTTTGACAACTCATGCCTTCTGGTGGCAGCAACTAAGCTTGCATTGATGCCTATAGCGGGAGGAAGAAGTACAGAGTAAAGCAGGTGAAAGAGTCAACCTTGTCAGAACTCTTCGTCCCCAGAAAAGAAATTCCTCGCGCAAAGGAAATTCGAATGCGATATTAGTAAGTTCCGCGTTGGATTGTTAAGTGAGATTGCTACATCTAGGATTGTGGCAAGGTCTAGAGACCCACGAACCCTGCCAGAGTGATGAGACTGCAGTACGGTCTCACTGGTAGAGCTTAGACGCATCAGCGTCAGCTTCGTCAGGGCTGAAGGCCAGCTGGTGGCCGTCATAAAAGTTCTTAGCACTCTCGGCCTTGCGCTCATAGAGCTTGGAAGCATCTGCATTGGCTTCCTCGGCGGTGAAGGCCTTCTGATGACCGTCATAGAAGTCCTTGGCGCTCTCCGGCTTGCGCTCGTAGAGCTTAGATGCATCGGCATTGACTTCTTCCGGGCTGAAGGCCAGCTGATGACCATCATAGAAGGGCCGAGCATCCTCACGTTTGGCCTATGTGTGACCTGTCAGCAAGCTCTATAGTGTGAGACGGTCAAATGAGGTTGGCGTGCCTGTGTAGGTGCTCCCGAGGCCACCTGAGCAGCTAAGGCTGCGACAAGAGCGGCAATAATAGCTGAACGCATCTCGGAAATGGGTTGAGACTTAAAGATAAAGAGACTGGTAAGCTTGATGATTGAGTGGATGTTACTTTATAAAATTCACAACAGCATGTAAAAACTAAACGAATTCATTGGGTTTTATATCTTCCACGCTCTCTACTGCGTTACCAGCATACAAAGTGAGATTCTATTGAGGAAGCTGCCAAGCCTTACTCCGCTGTGTTATGTAACCCTGATCTTTGAATCCTTTCAGCAACGCCTCACAACCTATCATCTGCAGATCTACGAAGGGAGTCTGCTTTCTGGTACTGATAGTGACCGGGTCATCGCCCAACTGCGTTCCCGTCTCGAGGTATCCGACTTTGTCGTGGCGACTTGCCTCGAATAATGATACTTGTTCGAGCGAGGCCAAGCCTAGAGGGCACATACACCTCCGCAACAGGGAAAAGTTCAATCCCCACCTGAGTGGTGAGATAATCTTTGTTCAAACCTAATAAAGAAGGTCACACTTTGCTATGCCCATCATCTGCATCCTTCTCTGTACAGACCTTCCGTGATGATGGTGGCGCTTCCGGGAGGATTCTGTGCGTTCTGTGACGGTTGCCCTCGGCTTACACTGAGCGGCCGCTCGCTATGTACGAACAGAACAACAGTAACAGAACAGTTCTACCGCCACCACAACACAAGCTGGATAGAAGAGCCAGAATCAGCCATACAATATCAAAACCTCAACATTAGTATCGTGTGACGGCGTTCTTTACGCCTAGTAGTCGTGATTACCAAGACGCGATCAATATGGAAATCTTGTCATACTTCTGTCGCAAGGTACCTATGACTGCACCAAAGCAGGACGACGACGAAGAGACGAGAAGCTTTCTACACAACAATGTGCAACATCACTCAAGGTCAAACTACAAGACGGCCATCATCCTTACTCTGGTCAATGCAATAATGCTCCTGCTGGCTGCAATCTTCTTTGGCATTTGGTATCACAACCAGCATTTCGTCAGGAACGCCGATCTAAGGAGGACATCAAGCTACAGTAAGTGTTTGTTACGAAGACATGTAGAATTCAATGCAGGGCTAGAATATGAATAACCCAAAAACAGGTCCAATCCTCGACCTCGTCGACCTAGAGCCCCGCCTGATCAAGGTCAACGGCACGCTCTTCCCGCCAAAGCACCCCGCGATAGGCCGGCAGATGCCCAACCCGGACGCCGACCGCGTCTGGGCCGACTGGGAGATCAACCACATCGTGCCCGTCACGCGCGCCGACATCCTGCGCATGGGCAAGGACCCGGACACGGCGGTCAGGCTCGACGACGCGGTCTGGGGCCTCGGCGACGACGCGTACGCCGCCATCCTCGACGTCTACCACCACCTGCACTGCCTGAACTCGCTGCGCAAGATCGCGTACGGCTCGCACTATGGGGAGCGCGGGGCGGATGCGGCCGGGCCGACGATGCACGAGGTGCACGTCAACCACTGCGTCGACCTGCTGGTGCAGGCGCTGCAGTGCAGCGGGAACGTGAACTTGATCACGATGCACTGGGTCGAGACCCAGACGTACCCCTTTCCTGACATGTAAGCTCACCTCCTGGACGTTCATGCGGCTTTCGCTTTGTCTTCGGGGGTCTGACGCGGTGACGTTGTAGGTCGGTGAATCGAAAGTGCATTGACTTTGACAAGTTGACGCAGTGGAGGACGGAGAATGCGATCGACATCGACAAGTACATGCGGGTGATTAGGAGGCCAGAAGGGCAGGCGGAGCTCAAGCTGCCGGACGCCGTATACACGTATCAGGGGATCAAGAATCCGAATCATGAGAACGGGGCGAATCCTGGTGAGGACTTTATTCTGTAGACCGGGGGTGAACTGGTCGGATTCGGCTGGTGTGGGCTGGTTAGAGGATACTGTAGACTGGAATGCAAGTCCTGGCTTCGGGTTGATTGTTCAAGCTTGGGGTGTTCGGCGTTGTAAGGCTGCCTGCCCATTGTTTGAACCTCGCCCATTCTAGCTAGATGCTGAGATGTTGTGATCTCACGACCCGAGGACTCGGCACGCGCACCGATGAAGGTTCCATTTTCGTCATCAAGCTGGTGGGTTTGTGCACAGGGGTACTGCATCCCTATCATTAATGGGCCTCGTAAGTTTCTTTACTGAACTCATTTAGAAGTGTTAGCTCCGACGACGTTGAATCAGTAATTGTGCATCCCGTGATCGGTCTGTTGTAGAGGTCGAGTCACATAAGAACCAAGCTCTAGGAGCATTGCCAATCGAAAGGCGCAATGGTTTGTATGTTTCTTGATTTGTATATGTGGTATGCAAGTGAGATACAGCCCTCCTAGTCCTCGCCGTCAGCCGCCTGTAGAAGCGATTGTGATGTGGCCTCCAGATGTGACACGGTGGCCATGAAAGGGTATTTGTCAACTCTGCAATTACGTTTGGCTCTTTTTTTTGGTCTTGTTTTCTCTTCCATGTGTGCAAATCCAAAATCACCTGCTCCTGATGTGACAACACAACATTTCTCCCACTCCAGCCCTCGAAAAGCACAAGTGCGTCTTTTCCTTCTCCCAAGCCCCCTTCCGGGGCGATCCTCCGCTCAGTAGTTGGTCGACACGCCAAACTTCTCCTCGTGCAGCTTCTGCCAGTCCGAGCCCGTCGAGGACCCGGAGCCGCGCCGGCGGCGCTTGCCCTTCTTGCTCTGGCGCCAGAGCAGGAAGCCGATGCTGACGAGCGCGACGGCGACGACGGGCACGGTGATGGCCACGGCCTTGACGGTCGTGCTCTTGTTGTCGGCGGCCGTCTTCTGCTGCTGCTCCTGCTGCTGCTGCTCCGCGATGGCGGCGGCGGCGGCAGAGGAGGTCTGCGCGGCGGCGGCGTCGGTCGTCGTGGGCGGCGGCACGAACGTCGCGGACGACGAGTCGGTGATCAGGCCGATGGCGTCGGACAGCGAGGTCTCGGTGGGCAGCGGGGCCGAGGTGATGCTCGTGATGAAGCTCGTCGGTGTCGCCGAGGAAGACGAAGACTCGACGATGATTGACGTCGCGCTCGTCGAGGCTGACGAGGAGGCGGAGGATGAGGATGCGGCCTGCTGCTGCGACGATGAGCTCTTGCCGGATGCCGCCGCCGGTGAAGACGACGCAGGAGAAGGAGAAGAGGTGGGAGCTACCGATGGTGATGGCGAAGCAGATGATGAGGGAGGAGCAGAGGTCGATGTGCCTGCCGGCTCCCTGGTACCGCTCTCCGCCGGGTTGAAAGCAATGGGGGCCCCAGCCGATTTCAGAGGCTGCGTGTCGGGCGTCGAAGCGGCCGTCTCGGTGGGCTTCCCGGGGGCACTCTGCTGAGCTCCGGTCGTAGACGCCGCCGGGGTAGCAGTTCCCGCCGTGTTGCTCGCGGCGCCATCGCCAGCAGCGGGCGCGGTGGGAGCCGCCTGCTGGTTGCCTCCCAGGAGTCCTCCGACCAACGGCGTCACGACGCCGTTGAGGCCGTCGACCGCGCCAGCCACGCCGCCCACCACTCCGTTCAGAAGTCCACTCATGGTTTAAAAGAAAATACAACAGAAAAAAAAGGCCTTGCACTGCAGAGAACGTCGAAAAAGAAGAGGATGTGGTGTTGATATGGAACCTGCCAAGCTACAAAGAACCTGGCCGCACCATGCCCAGCATAATACGTTCGTTCACGATATCTCAAAAGGAAAGGGTGAAATGAGAGGTGTAATCAAGAAAGACACGGAACGAAAGAACTAATTTGCCAATGCCATCAAGGCCAATGCGTCTGAAGGGAAGATGAAAAGAGGTAAAGAGACAATAAAGACAGAATGCCGGGAGAAGAAGACGAAGAGCACAGAATATCGAGAGAGAGTCTGTGCTCCCGCCATCGCCACCGATCGGCTGGATAGGCATTATCTGGATCACCATCAAGGGGTGCATTGTACCGCACGGGAACAACTATGTCACAGTCCGTCCGACAAAACCTGGTACGATAGCCCCAAAGGAGCAGCACAGGATGTTCATCATGTTTGATTGACGTCTAGTCGCGGGGGGCGGTCAGCCTGGCACAGGGCTGGATCGACAGGGGGTCAGGGGGTCCGAGTTCTTGGTGCTGAAGTCATCAGCGTACACAGGACCCTGAATCTTTCAGCCCAAAGGAGGATCCAGGAGGAGCTGATCGCCGAACTCAGCAAAATGGACGTATTGGCAGGTGTCATGATGGTGGGTGGTGGGTGCATGGTCAGGGCCCTGAAACCCCAGCCGGGAATGCGAAACAAAGCGGTGGAGTCGGCCAGGGGCTCGTTTGCGGCCGGGATGCGGTGCACCCAGTGCAGGCGACCTGTGAGACCACCAATCGCAAGCAATCCTGTCTTCGTTTGTGTTTCAACGTTTCAACTTCTGACAGTGGACAATAGCCCAAGAGAGAAGTCAAGAAGGCCAGGTTGATGATCAGATGAACAATTCATCGTGGCTGTGTACGTGAAGATCGTGAGGTGCCGCTGGCTCGGTGGCCATCCCTTTGCGCGATACCCAAATGAACCCTGTGCGAATTGCTGCAGTAGAGTCACATTCTTGTTGATTCCAATCGGCGGTCTCTCTGCGGAGAGAGCCAGGATCTAGGGTCACCCAGAGATGTCACCATGACCCTCAACACAGCCGACCTGGACGTCATTGAGAGGCTTCGCACGGCCCTTGATGCAATCGTGCAGTCTACTTGTATTTTTCCGCATTAGCAAGGGTCACAATGGGACGGCTTTCAAAATGCAAAGCAACGAAACAAACATTGTGGTCTATTAAACTGTATTCTTTCCGGCTTATCCTCATTTAAACGACGTTGATCGTTCGTGACGATCAGCAATTAGGCTGTGAACCCTCCCACTCAGACTTGCTCCTGGCCGTACCACTGCTTGGTCTCCTTCTTCCTGCCAAACAGCTTGCTCGTGACTTTGCCGGTGACCTTGTCGCCGACGCCGTCGACCTTGTTCCCCAGGCACGTCTTGACGGCGCCGTACACGCCGCTGACGAGCCACAGCAGGGCGTTGACGAGGTCGAGCCAGACGACGTGCCGCTGCGTCGACGTGCTGGCGCCCTTGTAGTCGCCCTCCTTGTCCGTGCGGCGCAGGAAGATGCCGCCAAAGATGCCAAAGACGACGATCCAGAGCAGGAAGAGCGTCAGGTCGGCGGCGAACATGCGGTAGGTGCGCAGCCGGCTGCTGATGATGCTCAGCGGGCCCGCGAGCGCGAGCAGCAGGGCCGCGACGCACGAGGCGCCGCCGACGAAGACGCCGTAGATCCACTCGGGGGACTGGCGGGCGCCCTCGGTGCGGCGGTCGACGTCGACGCGGTGGCCGTAGAAGCCGATGACGACGAGGGCGAAGAGGAACTGCAGGCCGCGGACGACGAGGCGCGGCACGTTCTCCCAGGCCTTGAGGGGCGCGGTGGCGGCCTTCTTGCCGGCGCCGTAGGCCATGTTGCTGTCGAAGCTGTCGTAGGCCTTTTTGCCGTCCATGGCGGTCTTGCCGAGCTTGATGAAGGTGGCGACGCCCATTTTGAGATGTGGTGGTGGTGATGATGATGATGATTCGATATTACGTAGTGTTATGTCTTTGTTGGTGGAGTGTCCTTGGGCGCTCAAAAATACGGAAATGATATTGAAGCACAGAAGGGGAAAAGGCACGATCCCTGGGGTATCTTTCTAATGTATATGCTGAAGTTGGACGGGGAAAGTCGATTGTGTTTGTCAGATGTGACTGTGATTGACGATGCGCCGTGAGTCGTGCGCGATGAGTCGTGATGCGCTGATCCAGCAGCTGGTGGGTGTCGAAACTGTACTTGCGTACTATTAATAAAGTCTTTGATCTTGATGAAAGGGATGATCCAAGATGAAGAAGAAATGCGAATTGAAGAGATACGTGAGCACCGTAGGCCGAAAGTGGAACAAAGGAGAACAATGGGGGGAGATGGTGAATGAGCGACAAAGGGCCTGCTTCAGGCGGAGGAGAGTCCTTTGAGAGACGTCTTTATAGCATTCTCTCTCACGATGCTCACGAGGTTCGACAATAGCTCGACCGGACAAAGGCGTCTGGATATCGCGAGCTCTCGAGTTGCTCAACTGCCTGCGGGCGCCAAAGGAGGGAGCGAAATGTTTGAGATGGGGTGCATCGTAGCCTCTCGTTGGGGTGCCGCGTGGGCCATTGGTGCTAATTTTACGCCGCTGCTCGCGGCCCGGGAAACGGGCTGCCTCTGTTTTCAGGGGTCGAGAGCCAAGCAATCGGTAAGAGAGGCGCTGAGAGAAGACAGGCGCCCACCAATCCATGCCAAGCGCTCTCGCGACCACGGAGCCAGATACGCTTCCACCATTCAACGCGCCGCGTCCACTCAGCGAATGGACGCGCGGCGGGATGGTTCGTCAAGCGGCCGAAGGTGAGAGATGCCGCTTTTGATAGATTTGCCAGAGGACTTGACCCTGCGATGCTATCAGGTTTCTCGCATCTTCCTTGTGAGCTTCAAGAGTCGTACCTGAAGCACGGAGGGAGGCCCCAAACTGCTGAGCCTCAGCTGCGTAGGGGCCGATCCACAGGGGAATCTGCCCCACTGAGATGCAGATACCCCGCCATCTCAGACACCTAACGCCAGCTTCCCCAAAGTGGTACTCCAGGAGGTTGTGTTCTTGGGAAATAATTGTAAATTGGATAAGGAAAGGCTCGATTGAGGCGAAGGAGTCAAGATACCATCTTCAACTTCACAAACCAGAAAATTACCTATCCATAATCACACATCCATCATGGCGCCCAACCAAGGCCTCGTCCACCTGAAGGAGTACGACATCAAGGACTCCAACGTCGAGCTCATCGGCACCGACATCGACCACCAGGTCAAGTACAACTCGGCCGCCACCGAGCCCGCCTGGAACGACGGCCGCGTCGGCGTCGAGCCGGGCCTGCTCGTCTGGCGCATCGAGGACTTTGCCGTCGTGCCCGTGCCGCCCGCCGACTACGGCAAGTTCTACGACGGCGACAGCTACATCGTCCTGCACAGCTACCGCGTCGGCAAGGAGGGCGGCGAGGCCAGCAAGCTCGGCCACGACATCTTCTTCTGGCTCGGCGCCCACACCTCCCAGGACGAGGCCGGCGTCGCCGCCTACAAGACGGTCGAGCTCGACGAGTTCCTGCGCGGCGCCGCCACGCAGCACCGCGAGCTGCAGGGCAGCCCCTCGGACGAGTTCGCCGCCCTCTTCCCGCGCATCACGGTGCGCGCGGGCGGCGTGCAGTCTGGCTTCCGCCACGTCGAGGCGGACAAGCGGGAGGCCGTCGCGCCCACGCTGCTGCGCGTCTTCACCCACGGCCGCTCCGTCGTCGTGCACGAGGTCGAGCCCGCCTGGCAGAGCCTCGACGAGGGCGACGTCTTCGTCCTCGACGTCGGCGACAAGATCTGGGTCTGGCAGGGCGCCGGCTGCAGCCCCATGGAGAAGGCCAAGGCCGCGCAGGTCGTGCACGATATGACCCTGGCCAAGCACGTCGACGTCGAGGTGCTGGCGCAGGCCGAGTCGCGCTCCCGCCTCGTCGTCAGCCTGCTCGGCGGCAAGGACGACGCGCCGCACTCGGGCTTCCGGCACGCGCGGCCCGTGGCCTCGGCGGCGACCCGCGAGTCTGGCGGGGCCAAGAAGCTGTTCCGCCTTAGCGACGCGTCTGGACAGCTTTCTTTCAGCCTTGCCAAGGACGGCCAGCCGTCGCAGCGGGATCTGGACGGCAACGACGTCTTCATCCTTGATGATGCCGGACGCGCCATTTGGGTCTGGGAGGGCAACAATGCTAGCAGGGCGGAGAAGGCTTCTTGGCTCAAGGTCGCTCAAGCCTATGTCCGGAGGCTGCAAGAAGATTCTATGTCTGAGGCATATCTGACGCCCATTGCCAAGGTGCGGGAGGGTTACGAGAGTCCTGCTTTCTTGAGGGCTATTGCGGTATAGAACTTGCACAGAGAAAGTGTGTTGATACTATTACATTGTTGATGTATTGCTACTCTCTATGACGTTCTATTACTTGGTAGGGCTGCGAGGCGTCTACGTCTATGGTCGCAACGCCGCTAGAGTCACCGTCTTCATAACGAGGTACTCCTCAATGCCATATTTTGAACCTTCCCTTCCGAAGCCGGACTCCTTGATCCCGCCGAATGGTGTTGAGGCGTCGCTAATAATACCCGTGTTGATACCAAGCATGCCGACCTCGAGGTCTTCGGCGAGCCGTGTCACTCTGTCAATGCTCGAGCTGAAGACATATCCCGCCAACCCAACCTCTGATTCATTAGCCCAAGCAACGACCTGCTCTTCTGTCTCAAACTTGAAAAGCCCGGCGACCGGCCCAAAAGTCTCGTTAGAGGCAATCTCCATATTCTCATTCATACCCATCAGCACAGTGGGCTGAAAGAACGAGGGCCCTAGCTCAGGTAGGCGTTCTCCGCCAACCAACACCGTGGCACCCTTGCTCACGGCGTCTTTGACGTGGCTCTCGACCTTGTCCACAGCTCGGGAGTGGATGAGAGCCCCGTGCGTGACGCCCTCGTCAAAGGCATGTCCCACCTTGAACCTCTTGACCCTCTCCGCCAGCTTCTCCGCAAACAGCTCGTAGACGCCGCTCTGGACATATATCCTGTTGGCGCAGACGCACGTCTGGCCGGAGCCGCGAAACTTGGCCGCGACGCACCCCTCGACGGCGGCGTCGAGGTCGGGGCAGTCGTCGAAGACGATCAGCGGCGCGTTGCCGCCGAGCTCCAGGGACAGCTTCTTGAGCGTCGAGGACGACTGCCGCGCGAGCAGCTTGCCGACGCCCGTGCTGCCCGTAAAGGACACCTTCTTGACGGCCGGCAGCGTGGTCAGCGCCTCGCCGACGCGCGGCGTGTTGGCGAGCGTGGTCACGACGTTGAGCGCGCCGGCGGGGACGCCCGCGCGCCGCGCCAGCTCGGCCAGCGCGTTGACGGTGAAGGGCGTCTCGCCGGGCGACTTGACCACGACGGCGCAGCCCGCCGCCAGGGCCGGCCCGGCCTTGCGCGTGACCATGGCCGCGGGGAAGTTCCACGGCGTCACGAGGCTGCAGACGCCGACGGGCTGCTTGAGGGTCACGGCGCGCTGGCCCGAGCCGGAGGTGGGAAAGGTGTCGCCGTAGACGCGGGGCGCCTCCTCGGAGAACCACTCGAGGAAGCTCGCGGCGTAGGCGGCCTCGGCGCGGGCGTCGGCGAGCGGCTTGCCGCTCTCCCAGGCGATGAGGGTGGCGATGTCCTCGGCGTTGTCGACGAGGAGGTCGTACCACCTCCGCAGCAGCCTGGACCTGTGCCTGGCCGTCGTCCGCCGGAAGGTCTTGAAGGCTGCGTCGGCGGCGGCCACAGCCCTCTCGGTGTCCCCGACATCGCATTCCGGGCAGGTGCCGACGAGCTTGCCTGTCGCCGGGTCGTGGACTTCAAAGGTGGCGCCCGACGCAGCGTCGACGAATTCACCGTTGATGAAGCATTTTTGGATGAGGAGACTTGCGTCTTTGAGCTAAAGTGTTTTTTTTTTCTCATGTTAGAATTGTGTTACAAGGGGCCGGAGAAGTTGTTTGAATGGCACTCGTACCGGAGGAACCGTGTGACCCATGCTTACGGCTTGATGTCTACATGAACTTGACTGCTTTGAACTCGAGATCTTGGGAGGTGTCAAGCCTTGATATTAAGACCTTATTCTGCTGAAGCTTCTAGTCTACGCTCACCGGGATAGGCTACCTGGTTCTCGTCTTCTCGTGCCCCGTAAATTCTTCTTCCGCTCTTACTAAGGATGCGTATCTCTCCGGTCCTGCTCGGCGGCCCACATAGACCGCCGGCGGCGCGTCTCCGACTGCCAAAAGCGGTAATGCGAACCGCGGAGCCGCAAACCAGCCAAACAGCCCTTTTTGCGAACTGGGTTCTAATTTGGGATGAGCTCAGTTCCCCGCACCCCCAGAATTCTCTTACGTTTGTTCAGGAAATGAAATTTTTTGTTGATGGCCAAAACTATTAGTGCAGTTCTGGGCATATTCACAGGGCGCGGGGAATGTGGGGGTTTGGGCCAGCCATGGAGGCTTGAAGTACCTTCTGGACTGCTGAAGCCATCTGGTCGATTTCCTTGCCTATTTGGGTACCGCGACACGGACTTCTCTTGTGAGCCGAGCTCCCGCGCCACGGCCCGCACATATGTTCTAGATTCCCGCATGGTGCCGTGTCTGCCTCGACGGCTTCCGTGAGAAGCTCGACACCAGCTCCGTTCGCGGCCGGCGTCGATGAGAACCCTCCCAATGTGGAGTTAAACTGCAGGCATTCGGGCCAAGCCAGATAACGCCAGACAGAGTGTTGTAGTGGCAGTGGAACAATACACGCAGGATCGTGCCCCCAAAGTTCTCTCCCTTCTGATAGAAAAGGCAAAAGCCTCATCCTGTACGGTATAATTCAGACTGAGAACCCCACTTCTGGACACTTTAGAAGTGCCTACTACAATACGCCGCCAAACGCCGCCCTTCCGCTTGTGCCAGCCATATTACAACCACTCAGTCCGCTTGTTCACTACTGCGTCATATCTACAGCCTCGTCTCGACGTGAACAGTATTGGCCATCAGTCGGACATACCGTGGTCTGTAGACATGTGAGAGTTACGCTGTTTAGTATGAAGTCGGTTCCATCAGTGCTTAGAAAAGCAGCACTTTGTACAGTACTGCATCTAGGGTTTCTGCTCTAGAGTCATTGTTTTTCTACGCAGGATACTATCTATGCGTCTCATGTTGCCTCGTGCAAGAAATCCTCAGCTCTCATCAATGATCGGCAACCCTGGGCTATCCTGCTGGGTGCTGTCATGAAGTAAATTGAAGTAATTTTTGATATATGGTGTGTTTTCTTGAGCTAATTGTGGGCATAGAGGTGCCGAGAAACGGGAGCGCTCATCATCTTTGCTCAATCGTCTCAATACCAACCCGAGGCCTGCCATCTGTGATCTCGGGAGTAAATATGTTTGAAACAGTATCATCATCTGATATCAGGAAAGTGTTGACCCGACACATTCAGCGAGCGGGAGTACTAAGCCAAACATCTTCTTCATTTCACGCAAATCTGTCTAGCCTTCGGGCCGTGCCCCCTTGTCCATCGGACACACACAATAGCACGATCCAAATAGTGCTCTATGCCATAAAGCATTAGGTTGGAGTCTTACACAGACCCCATTGACAGCACCAGGTGTCAAGAGACACGAACCCCCATAATGAGTCCTCTTTGCGTAACTTTTCGCCTCTGTTCCGCTCTCGATCTTGAAGAACAATGTAGTACCCCAAATGTTGTGTCCGACCTGGAGGTCTCTACCCGGGTTGCTGGGCGACACAGCAGCTGCGTCCTACGCTGTAAAGAGCCTCGAGCTTCAGCACAGGCGCCGCACCGACTTCGGGATTTCATACTTGATCAGCCAGCATATTGCGTCGCCTATCCCCCGCAAAATACGTCACATCGGTGGCTGCTTGTCACCCACGGGAACCTTGACCGGCTCGAGTGATCCGGGGTTCAAAGAAATGAGAACCGTCCTACGGTCTCACATCCGGGAAGCAATATCTTCATTGTGGAGTAAAGATGCGATTGCGTAACCTGAGCTGCGGCTCAGAACGAGAGGGGATTCACAAATCCCGCAGAGGAACCTGCTGTTCAACCTTGGGCCTCCATGTGATCATATTCGGTTCATTGCTACTTTTTGTGGCATTTCGAGTTCGCAATCAAAGTCAGGAGTAGATACGTGATCCCCATAGCGGCTCGAACTAGGGTCTCAATCTGGTCCACGGATGAGAACATTCGTCCATCTTTGGACTTTGGGCTCCTCAAGGCCTAGATTACTGATTGTGTTGGATACCGAGTTGAGAGTTTTACCTTCCGATGGGTGGCGGCGTTGGCAGCCGTGTGACGTTTGTGGACATTCATTACAATCAGGATCCGAAACTCTTTGTCAGAAATACGACAGTGCAGAAATGGGCTCAAAGTCTCGCAGTCAACCGTTAGGCAAGCGGGACGCGGGACGCTGTGTAATATCCTTCCTTTCACCGAGTGCAAGTGATCGGTGCCCTGATGAACCGATAGCGGGCGATTCTTGTACTCTGTTTCAAGGGTGGTCATCTACCGCAACCAGAGAGTGATTCGCAGAACATGGCGAAACCAAGTCACAGAAAGAGAACGGACTGGGCCCCTTATCGAGGTAGGCATGGTTCTCGAGCAAGTATAATAGAACAGGCACGGCCACGATATCAAGCACACTCCAAGAGACTCTCCATCAATCTCTTTAACAAGCATTCCAATTGCACCACAGAGAAGTCTAGTCGTATCTGTTTTAGATCTCCTTCTACCAAAATGAAGTTCTCCTCTGCTATCCTGGCCATCGCCGTCCTCTTCTCCACCTCGGAGGCTTGCAAGTGCGGAACCAACATGGACGCCACCCGGGCCTGCTGCCGTGACAACGGCGGCAGCCCGACCGACAGCGACTGCCCGGCCAGCGACATCAGCGAGAATCTGAGCGGCTTTGCCAGCTGCTGCCGCTACTTCGGCGCCCGCTCCGACTGCCGATGCCCCATTGGCTGCGCGCGCCTCGAGACCGACGCTCACCGCAAGGCTTTCGGCCTGAAGCCCCTCAGCGACCCGGAGCTGATCGACTTTGTCAACTCCTACGACCTTTAAGGCGGCGAGAAGCCAGACCGATGTTCTATTCCGGTCTTTCTGGCTTGATTGTCTGCTTCCCTGCGCGGCGTTGACTACTGTTGTTGTCTTTACACAACAGGTGCCGATCCACTCTTTTACGGCAGCTGCCCTGCCGCTCTGCACGACTCCTTGTTCGACAATGGAGGCTGGCGGGACGAGTTTATGGTTTGCTGCTGCGGGATGGAATAGGAAATTCTGGGGTATTGGTGCACATGTACACCACGACATTCATTTCCGTGAGAGCTTTGGTTATTGGCTAGGAATAGTCCCAATACATTCTTGCTCCCAATGCTCATCACCCAATTGGATAGGGAGCTTCCAATCCTGGTGACATGCTTCAACGCGGTCATCCTCAGAACATAAAGTAGGAGGCCTCGCGGTCGATCTTCCTAATGAAACCTTCGTAAGAAGTTTCTGACCAGGGCATGCTATCCGAGGCCCCGCTGTCAGATGCCACCGCCTTTTCCCAAATCTTCTCTGTCGAAGCCATCATGTATTCCCGGGAGCAGTCACGATGAGTCTCCATCATCGCGATGTGCTTTTGCCGGACCCAGTCGCGGTCCTCGAGGGTTACGGCTTCTCGAGCCGCCATATAGAAAGGGAACGGCAGAGAAGAGTCTGGACCGCAACCGACCTCGAGACTGTTGATGAGGCGGAAGACGTGCCTCCGGATCAGCTGCACGCGTCCGGATTTTGTTGGGTCCAAGAAAACTCGCCGGAGCAATAAGACGTGTGCCGTCCAGTAGAAACACTCGCTGACGACATCGAGTGCTTCCCTTGGGTTGCTTATTTCCTTGCCCGAGGCGGGCTTGCTCACGCTCAGGTCAGTATGCGCCGAAGCCGCACTGGAACCTCGGACCACTGCATCGTAGTACTTGTGACCCCAGACCCGCATCTCCGTTTCAAGCCCATAGGCTCTGGACTGTATCTCAGCGTGTCGGGATTCGATATTAGTCACGGTCTCCGTGAGCTCCGCGCTAAGCCAAGCGATCTGCGCCAGGAAGCCCAGCACTCGTTGTGGGCAACCCTGCATCTCTCGGAACGAAGGCTCCTCGTGATCAACCTGTTCGTGGTCGTTGTACATGAAGAAGTCTAATGGCGCGAGAGGACGGCGGAAGCGGAGATGCGCGAGAACCACATCAACCATGGCGAAGCGCTGGACAAGCAACCTCCCGAACACCGGGGTTGCCGGCCGCCAGAGATAACCGAGGTCTCGCATAAACTCGAGTGCACACTTCATGTGGACCTCGACGTTGCCGATTCCGCTCATCAAACATGATGAAGTCTGCATCATGACTGCGGCCAGGGCAATCAGCCTGGCCGAGAGGACAGAGAAGATCCCGCCTCCGTCTACGAAGGGCCTCAGCTCATCGTCAACAGCGTCGCCATGGCTCTTGTTGCCGACAAGAAAGCCTAGCGCGGATCGCAATGACTTTAAAGCACGGGCTTGCCTCGAAGAAACCAAGGCTTCGCTGCTGCGCCCGTAGTTGTGCATGTGGCTCGTAGATACGGATATGATGCCGTGGAGGATAACGGGGTAAGAGAGAGACACGAGAGCCAACTTTCTATACGGGTTCTGGGGACTGTCGTACGCCGGTATGCAACTGCATACTCGCTTGAAATCTACGCAGTCAGGAGTGTCAGTGGTGGATGCAGAGGAACGCCAGATTGCCTGAGGAGGGTGCTTACAATAGTGAAAGGCAATCTCATCTCCGGGGTCTTCAAACAGCTGTGAAAGGACGGTGCTCATGATGTTGTTGATTACCCAAGGCTCCGAATCTGCTGGGCTCAAGGCACTCTGAACCTGCTGTACATGTCGAGTGTTCTGTGGTGACAGTGCACTCTGAAAGTCGCTGAACTTTCTCTGCTCGTCGTGGAAGGTCTCTCTCCGATGACTGCTATACCCATCATGTTGAAGACTGCCATGCCCTTGATCATCATCTTGACGGTCAAGGCTACGAAGTTCTAGCCATCGGATTTCGTCAAGTGGAGATACGCCGGATTCCGGCCACACGTTCGGTGTCCGTTCGATCTCTGCAGGGGATGTCGTCGCCGCTCCAAGTCCATCTCCAGAGTTGGCGAAGTCTATCACAGTATCATAGTTATGGGCTGAGGGCCCGGCGGTCTCCCGCAAGGACGGCAGCGCATCGCTCCTGTTGTCATCGTGAGACGGGTGTGGTGATGCGACCACAGGTGTCGCTGGTACGGATGGGCCAGAGCTGCAGGAGGCTCGCTTTGTTCGTTTGTTCTTCTGGCGAAGTGAGGCGTCGAAGGTGTTGATGCTCTGAGAGTCTGCCCATTTCAGGGTTACCTGGTAGCCGCACTCCAAACCCCGGACTTTGCATGGGTTGCAGACGGGCCGCTGCTCGTCACATTTGCGATGCTTGCGGCGACAGGTTGCGCAACCTATTGGCGGCCATCAGATCAGATTCGCCACCTCACCTCACTTGCATGAACTCAAAACGACGGGGATTGAGTGGACTGACCGAACCGCGATCTCGAGGGGATGTGACTCGACTCCATCAGTTCATAGTGTTGAGCCGTGTTCGGTTCGATCGCGTCCCAGATCTGGGCTGGGTGTCCGTTTTGGGGCAATCGTAACGACGAACGGCGGAAACCCATGTAGAAAAGGGACCATCATGGGACTTCCCCACTCGCCGGGGACTCTTCTGGAGAGATCTGCCGTATCAACGCTAGCCTCCTGGTTCTTATCGTCGCCCAGATCTAGCGCAGGGCTATCTCCATCAGCAGAGATGGCGTCAAACCCAATTGGGAAGTCCGACACGGGCTTCCCAGAGGAGGCAGCTCTGTCCAGGCTGGACCTTCCCCTCGCGGTACAAGTGCCTCTCGGCGGACCCGGGTTATCGGAATTTCGCGATGTTTCCCCCCTCCATCGCCTCCAAGGGCGAGCCGATGAACGGCGCCCGCAAGGTCATGTGGAGCAAGGGAATGTCTACGGCAGACAATATAAGCTCTGGGGTGCCCAGGCACCCGGGTCAGGGCAGCTTGGGGTCACTCTAGTCAAGTCAAGCACTATTCTCCTCGACGATCAAGCGCGGTGCGAGCAAGAACGAAACACACCGAACAATCGACGAAGGGATTCAATCAAGAGCAGTAGCCTACAATGTCTGCGCGGCCGACCAGCGAGCCCGCGGGGCCTTCCGTCAAGACCGAGTTCCCCGGCCCGGAGACCAAGAAGCACCTCGAGAAGATCCACGAGGTGTTTGACAGCCGGAACGCATTCCTGGTCTGCGACTACACCAAGAGCTTCGGCAACTATCTCGTTGATACCGATGGCAACACCCTGCTGGACGTGTAAGGATGCAGAACCAATCCTGCTCGCAATTGTGACCCGGCGACCCTGACAGGAACCTCTAGATACTCCCAGATCGCGTCCATCCCCCTGGGCTACAACAACCCCGCACTGATCAAGACGGCATCGAGCGAGGAGATGCTGGACGCCCTCGTCAACCGGCCGACGCTCGGTGCTTTCCCCTCCCACAACTGGTCCGAGGTCATCTCGACCGGAATCCTGCGGGTCGCCCCCAAGGGCCTGGACAAGGTCTTCACCGCCATGGCCGGATCCGACGCAAACGAGCTGGCCTTCAAGGCCGCATTCATGTACCGCCGGCAGCACGAGCGCGGCGGGCCCCACGTCGAGTTCACCGACGAGGAGATCGAGTCCTGCATGAACAACCAGTTGCCGGGCTCCCCGCAGCTGAGCATTCTCAGCTTCCGCAACTCCTTCCACGGCCGCCTCTTCGGCTCGCTGTCCTGCACGCGCAGCAAGGCGATCCACAAGCTCGACATCCCCGCCTTTGACTGGCCCCAGGCCACCTTCCCGCAGCTCAAGTACCCGCTCGAGGAGCACGAGGCGGAGAACGCCGCGGCCGAGCAGGCGTCGCTCGACGAGGTGGAGCACCTGATCAAGACCTGGCGCCTGCCCCCCGTCGCCGTGATCGTCGAGCCCATCCAGGCCGAGGGCGGCGACAACCACGCCTCCCCGGCCTTCTTCCAGAAGCTCCGCGCCCTGACCAAGAAGCACAACGTCCTGCTCATCGCGGACGAGGTGCAGACCGGCGTCGGCTCCACCGGCAAGTTCTGGGCCCACGAGCACTGGAACCTGCCCGCCGACTCCCCGCCCGACATGGTCACCTTCGCCAAGAAGGCCCAGACGGCCGGCTACTACTACGGCAACCCCGAGCTGCGGCCGAACAAGGCCTGGCGCCAGTTCAACACCTGGATGGGCGACCCTGCCCGTGCCATCCTGTTCCGCGGCATTATCGACGAGATCGAGCGGCTGGACTTGGTCAACCAGACCGCGCGGGTGGGCAAGTACCTGTTTGGCAAGCTGGAGGTCCTGGCCAAGAAGTACCCGCAGGACATCACGAACCTGAGAGGCAAGGACAGGGGCACTTTCATTGCGTTCGACAGCCCCAAGAGGGATGCGTTCATCAAGAAGTCTAAGGACATGGGTGTGAACATGGGCGGCTGTGGTGTTAACGGAGTGCGTCTGCGGCCGATGCTTATCTTCGAGGAGAAGCATGCCGATATCCTGATTGATCGGCTGGAGAAGATCATCAATGCAATCTAGATAGAGCCAGACTATAGATAGAAATCGGCCATTAATGTGTAAAAAGTTATGAACCACTTGAAATGACATCTATTTAGATTTGCTCCCATTTGTGTCTGAAGCTAATATGACTTGGGTAACCCCAGCACCCGTTCTCCGATATAATTACAAATCATCTCCCGACTGACAGGCGCCAGCCGTGGAATGAAGACCTCCCGAAGGTACCTCTCGACGTGATACTCCTTCGCATAGCCCATCCCGCCATGGCACATGACCGCTCTCTCGCAGGCGCGGAAAGCCGCCTCTGCCGCCAGATACTTGCCCGCATTGGCGTACTCGCCCGCTTGGTATCCCTGGTCGTACATCTTGGCCGCCTGGTAGATCATCAACCGCGCGGCTTCCAACTGCATCCAGCTGTCCGCCAGGGGGTGCTGGATGGCCTGGTTCTTGCCAATGGACCTACCAAAGACGGTCCGCTCTCCAGCGTACACGGCTGCCCTCCGGAGTGCGGCGTAGCCTAGGCCGAGCGCCTCTGCGCCGATGAGGATCCTCTCGGCGTTCATGCCGTGCATGATCATCTTGAACCCTTCGTTCTCGGCGCCGATGCGGTCGGAAGCTGGTATCCGCCAGTCGTTGTAGAACAACATGTTTGTATCGACAGCCGCCCGGCCCATCTTGGGGATCTCAGTAATTTCAACGACCTTTGGGTCGAGATCCGTATAGAAGAGAGACAATCCTTGAGAAGGCTTGGTGACTTCCTCAAGCGGTGTCGTTCTGGCGAGTAGAAGGATCTTCTGTGCATTCTGTGCTGTGGAGATCCAGATCTTGGACCCCGTGACCAGATAGTCGTCGCCGTCACGGACAGCCCGAGTCTGAAGCCGGAGAGTGTCCAGTCCGGTGTTTGGCTCTGTGACACCGAAGCAAGCCCGCTCCTTTCCGGCGATGAGCGGCACTAGGTACTTCTCCCTCTGTTCCTCCGAACCGAATTTGACGACCGGCTCGAGCCCAAAGATGTTCATGTGCACAGATGAGGCTGCAGTCATCCCGCCTCCGGACTCTGATATGGTCTGCATCATGATAGCCGCCTCGGAAATTCCCAGCTCTGATCCGCCATACTTGGAAGGCATGCAGATACCTAACCAGCCGTCTTTCGCGAGGGCATCATACAGTTGCGTTGGGAATTTCTTGGATTCCTCCTGCTTGGCCCAATACTCGTCAGGGAAGTCTGAGCATATCTTTGCAACGGCCTCTCTGACAGTTCTTTGAGAGTCTGTTAGGTCTGGGTCGTGCATTTGCAGATATTCAGTTGCCCGACTATGCGCTGAACGATAGAATACCCGATTCTCTAGCCCCGCATTGGACAGCCCCAAATCGCGACATCGTGGGCCTCTTGGACGGGAGGCGAGCCACCATGACTACACTGTATCAGCATAGAGACATATGATTCTGCAGGAAGTCAAACTTACTGCTCGCAATGCCTGATGTATTGCCTTTGACATGTTGATACCGGTGTTTTTTGGGCACGGCCGAGATTATCATCTCATGATCCGATGCGGCAAGGCGATTAGTTGGCCTTCAAATAATAACCAAGAACCTCTCATATCGGACTATGTTCTCATTTGACTCGCGATAAACATATCTGGAGATCGCATGACCTCACAGCTCTGCTTCTCGCCTCGGCATAGTTTCGAGCCGGAATAGTTGACAGTGGCATCCTTGCATGGTGGACTTTCGGTGGGTACTGTCCGCGGCCGAGACACCATCGGGTTTCTTGCACCGATGTGGGTTCCGCACCAACTCCAGGCTCGCCTCACCTCGGCGGGTCGATCGGCCGCTCTGTGATTGGTGTTGGAGCTTACCCCAGCAAAGAAGGCCAGGTCAACATAGCCAGTGTATCCTCAGAAGTATTGGCGTGATGAAATAGAAAATGAGAAGAAAGGGCGATGTCGTCGTTCGCTACAGCTCCATGACGCCAGGATCACGAGCCAACACCATCACGACGCACCACCCTATACGATGTCTACTCGAAGCGCAGCTCAAAGATGTGTCTCCCTTACATGTTATGAGCTGAACGGGCTCCTGAAAGTCGCCAAGAGCAGTACGTGTGGGCGTCCTTCTCGGGTGTGGTGTGGTCCAATTTCAAGCACGCAGCGTCGTCAACGTAGCGCTGCAGCACAAGATGAAAGGAGTCCCACTGGGCCATTGAAAGGCATCAAGATTCTTGACTTGACTAGAGTGCTTGCGGTAAGCTGACGGGCCTCTTAAGAAGGGGGAAGAGTGTCGGCTGACATTCTCAGGGCCCGTTCTGCACACAGATTCTTGCGGACTATGGCGCGGACGTTATAAAAGTGGAACATCCTGTTGGAGGGGTGAGTTCTGTGCCTGAAAGGGTTTTGAGACTGTTCTGGAGAAGATACTTACTTCCATCCAGGACGACACTAGATCATGGCGCACGGAGGGCGAGGATCAGTTCTGGAATGGCAGGAAGGACTTGTCGGCCTACTTTTCAACAATCAACCGAAACAAGAAGTCAATCACGTTGAATCTCAAGCATGAGAAGGGGCGCCAGATACTCTTTACTTTGGCCAGGAATGCAGATGTTGTGTACGTAAAGTCCTTATTACCATGAGCTCTTTGCGACAAATGCTAACAAGTATCCAGTGTCGACAACTTCATCCCGGGGAAGATGGACGAGATGGGCATCGGGTATGAGGAGCTGCGTCGGGAAAATCCAAGCCTGATACACGCAAGTATCTCAGGTAGGCAAAGGAAGAGGCCTGTTGATATAAAAGGCTAACTATGACAGGATATGGTGCTGGCGGGCCCTACAAGAAGCGAGCCGGATACGATGTCATCGCAGCAGCCGAGGGAGGACTCCTGCACATCACCGGAGATCGAGACGGCAAGCCGACAAAGCCAGGTGTCGGACTGACAGACATGACCACCGGCCTCTATCTGCACGGCGCCATCCTGGCCGCTCTCGTGAACCGCCAAGCCACAGGACAGGGCCAGAAGATTGATGCCTCTCTCTTCGAAACGCAGGTCTCGCTGCTCGCTAACGTGGCCATGTCGTGGCTCAACCTCGGCCTCGAAGCTCAGAGGTGGGGCACAGAGCATCCGAGCATCGTCCCCTACGATGCCTTCGAGACGGCCGACTCTGAGCTCGTTGTGGGTGCCACCAACAACCGCCAGTTCGGAATCCTGTGCGAGAGACTTGGGCAGAAGGAGCTAGCACGCGATCCCCGGTTCGTGGACAACGACGCGCGCGTCAGAAACCGCAAGGAGCTCAAGCAGATTCTGAACGGGCTGTTCGGTGCGAAGCGGACGGATGAGTGGCTCGAAGTCTTTGAGGGCAGTGGCATGCCGTACGGTCCGGTCAACAACATGCAAAAGGTGTTTGAGCACCCTCAGACCAAGGCAAGGAACATGATCGAGACTCTTGCTCACGATGCCACTGCTTCGGGGCAAATCAGGATGTTGGGGATTCCAGTCAAGTTCAGTGAGACTCAGCCCTCGGTGCGCACGAGACCGCCCTCATTAGGGGAACATTCGGATGAAGTTCTTGCATCGCTTGGCATGAGCAAAGAGGATATAAAGGAGTTGAGGATTGAGAAGGTCATATAGAATTCCTTAAGTAGATACAGTCCCGGCTTTAATCATACACCAAGATGCCGGTCATGAACAAAGCAGCATCGAGGAATGATTCACTGGCATAGGCACACATAATCACTAACAGCCTCTTCTAGGGCTGAAAAGCCCCGCGCGGAGATGACGTGCATACTGCCTTAATACGTGGAATAGTTCGACGGTATGTCTGTGGGCTGAAACTCGTCGATAAATGACCGCGGCCGACTAAGCCATGTTTTGACCTGCATTTCTCATGACTTGACTAGATTTCCGATGCATACTGTAACTCGGCTTGTACCTAACCGTAGACCGAACATCATGTTGAATAGTGAAAGAAAATAGGTTGAATGGGTATTTCCTTTTCTCCGTGTATACCAAAGGTCTTGCTGTAACTACAGGAGATTGAGACTTCGTCTCTCATCGGGGCATTTCGAACGAATGCCCTGATCAAATGAAGGGTTTCGAAAGGCTTGGGCTCCAGCGACCGCGGAATCATGCTGCGGAGGATGTCTGAAGCCTCTAGGTACTCAAGAGCTAGAATCATAGATAGAACTGCGCCACAATCTCGAACCGAGAATGAACCGAAAAACAAGAACAAACCCAAATCCAACAGTCGTGTGGCGCAGAAGGACTCGAGCTGATTGGACGAGAGAGGTAATTATCAGGTCTGATTGGGCAAGAGTTCTGGGGAATCCAATAATCCGGCACGGTGAGATCACGTGACATCAAAAACTCAGCACCTTGTGTTTGCCCCACTAATACACACACGTCTTTCCTGGAGGAGTCACCACAGGCACGAAGGCTAAAATCGTCGAACTTTTTGTTCTCTTCAACCACAACGACGGCACTCACGACGACCAATCTCGATCTTGCGCAAAATGACTATCAGTGTCATTCTTGGGGCCCAGTGGGGTAAGTTCTCGCCTCGCCTGGATTGCGTTCTTCCTCTGCGCCCGGCCGATATCGGATGGCTCTCATGATACTGATAAAAACCTCATAGGCGACGAAGGCGTGAGTGCTCAATCCGCACTCAATGCGGCGCCACAGCCAGACATTGACGATACTGTGTGTTCAGAAGGGAAAGCTTGTTGATATCCAGGCCCGGGAGGCGCAACTCTGTTGTCGAGCTGCTGTAAGTTCAACAAAGGCACCAATTCCATCATTGGCCTCCACGATCCCTTCACAATCGAGTATCTCACTGTGGATACCTGCTAACTTCCTTCAAGGGTGGATCTAATGCAGGTCAGTCTATCTGCCGCGAGGTCAATCTATAAAGCGGCCTCAATCGGGGGCCAGCGCTGACATGCCGGACGGTTTCAGGTCACCAAATCAAGTACGTCAAACGCGTTTAATCGATCAATGAATATGCTGCTTTTTTTGCTAACGAGTAAAAGGGTGGATGGAGTCTCATACAGGTAAAGAACCAGGCCGATGTTGAAGCTGAGGCTGGCTACTGACTTGCAGTAGCTTCCACCTCTTGCCCTCCGGCCTCATGAACCCGAAGTGCATGAACTTCATCGGCTCCGGTGTGGTCTTTCACATGTGCGTCATCACAAACCCCTCCGAATACAACCCGATCGATCACCAGACAGGCATCTTGTTGATGTTTCGTCTGGCTCGCGCCCCTCAACTTGACAGGTCAAAAGACTGACAAGACTGACTCGGTCCCTCTAGCCCAACCTTCTTCAGCGAGCTCAAGGAGCTTGAAGAGAGTATGTTGCAGGATATCGCAGTCTTTGGCATCAATATGTCTAACCTAGCTCAGAGGGCCTGACCGCGGTACACGACCGAATCCTTGTTTCTGACAGGGTCAATGTTCTCTTGGACATGCACATGGTCGTGGATGGTCTCGAGGAGCAGGAGCTTGGAGGTTAGTCCTATACTTCCGATCCTTTTTTAAGAAGCAGCAGCTAAGAAATCCTCAGCCTCGTCTATTGGAACAACGAAACGCGGTACTGTACCCTCAACACTTCATCCTGGGTTGTTGCTTTCTGCTACTTTCGCCACTTTACAAGCACTTCGACATTTGAACAGCAGGGCTAGCGATTCTATTAAAGAGACCGGGTCTAACGTCCACCATAGGCATTGGTCCATGCTACCAAACAAGCAGAGCGGTAAGAGAATGGCTTGACAAAGGCTCGCACCGTGCGCTAATTCTTTTTTTTTTTCTAGCGAAATGGCATCAAATTGACCGACATCTTCTATCCCGAGCTTTTCGAGAGTAAGGTGAAGCGCTTAGCTGATGGTTATCAAAAGCGCTTTGGAGAACTATTCAAGTACGACATCAAAGCTGAGCTTGCTCGCTTTGAGGAGTACAGGGAGACGATGAGGAAATACGTCGTGGACGGCGTGTCCTTCATGGCCTCCGCACAGCAGAGCGGCACGAATATCGTGGTCGAAGGAGCAAACGTAATGTTCTCACCCCAAACGCTACACACATAATGCTTACTTCAATAGGCACTGATGCTCGATGTCGATTATGGCTCGTACCCTGTAAGTCTGCGTTAACTACGTTCCTCGTTTTGCACCAATGCTTATAGTCAACAACAGTTCGTTACTTCGTCAAGTACAACGCTTGCTGGCATCATTGGTGGACTCGCCCTGAACCCCAAGCAAATCACAGAGACGGTTGGAGTGGTCAAGGCTTGTATGTTAGTTGCCCTAAGGCTGCCGTTCACTGCTGACTGGCCACAGACACCACCCGTGTCGGTTGGGGTGCCTTCAAGACCGAAGATACTGAAGAGTGCGTCTTTTATTTCGTTCCCAAAGCCACTCTAAACTAATCGGAAACCTCAGGATTGGCACCAAACTTCAGGAGATTGGACGCGAATGGGTGAGGCTCCATGCACCCAAGAGACTTCGAGCTTTCACCGCTGACAAGATATAGGGCACGTCGACCGGCCGTAGACGCCGATGTGGATGGTGAGCTTTAATCACTTTGGCGCTTAGCTGCTGATAAACTTACTAACTGCTCTTAGGCTCGGTACGCACAACTTTAAAAACCTCGAGGATCGACGGAACTAGGAACACAGCTGACAAGTACATACAGACCTTGTTGTTGTCAAGTACAGCAACTCAATCAACTACTACACGAGCCTCAATCTGACCAAGGTAGGCCTAATATGCTCCCTCATACATGAAAATACTCTTAACACTTTATAGCTCGACGTTTTGGACACTTTCGAGACGATCAAGATTGCGATCGCTTATAAGGTCGACGGAGAGGAATTGGACTCTTACCCTGCGGATCTTCAGATCTTGGAACGGGCTGAGGTGGTATACCATGAAATGCCAGGCTGGCAAACGCCGACTACCAACGCAAAGACCTACGACGAACTGCCCAAGAAGGCTCGCGATTACATAGAGGTAAAGACGCCTGGATTGGACTATGTATATCAAGCAATGGTGCTGACCTCTAGCAGTACATCGAGAAGTTTGTGGGAGTCAAGGTACGTGGGTGCACATCTTGCCCAAGCCCGCAGTTGCTAACGTCCTGCAGATTGATTACATTGGCACCGGTCCCGACCGTGAGGCCATGATCCGGCGCGCCTGATTGCGCGAGTTTCAGGAAGCACCCGAGCCTTGGCTTGGGTCGTACGTAACGAGTGTTTGGTACCCAACCCATTTCATGACTCCACGAAGAGTGCGAGTATTTACCTAACCTTGACGACCGCCTTAGTGCCCATTGCTCGTCGGTACGGTATTTCCGTGCTCCTTTGACCGTGGTCGCTGCGATACGTCCTGTTGGCAAATACTCGTTCTATCGCGGACGGATCGGTTCCTGCGCTCTGGGCTTTGCTGTGTCTGGTTATGTGTTGATGGAGCGCGCATGATTGATGCGACATGGTATCAGAAATAGACTTAGAGAACAACCAAAATGCATTCTTCAATTCAGAAATGGATTTCGCGATCCGAAGACACCATACACATTGTACTCTGACCGCCGATGAAGAGGCGGGTGCCTCTCACGAGCAAGTCTTTCTGCTGTCCTGGGCCGATCCTCCCACTTTTGAGGGGATCTCGTCTCGCTTGGTCCCTGCAATCGCATCTTGCTTGTCGATGTGTTGCTGAATGCTCTCGCTCTCGCCATCCATAGCGGTATGCAAGAATTCAGCAATGACCTGGGATGTTCCCGCCTGGCATCGCCTTCGTCCTTCAGGTACGTGAGTGTCGCACTATGCTTGTGGTGAAGAAGTGTATCGCACCGCGAGGTTCAACACGCTTGATCAAACCAGTCCTTATCAAACCCAAAAAATACCTCATTCGACCCATCAAACCCGTGATCGTAGAAACTGGTTTGTACGTCTTGAAACAACTGCTGGAAGTCATGGATATTGTCTGACTGCGGTGGGACCGTGTTTGCCATTGGGTCAAGCCCGCCAGCCGTCCCGGGGCGTCTCGACTGGCTACCGGCGCCACTCCACTCCGGCATCTGAGCCCCATAGCCCGTATCTGCGGGCATCAACGACTGGCCAACAACTGCTGGGGCCGTCTGAGTGGTATTCGGGGCGTCATCCTGTGATGCCTGGGCCTTGAGCAGCTCCCTGATGGCTCCGTTGCTGAGGCGGCTAAAGATCTCACAGGAGCTCCGGGCGTCGTCCCAGCGCTCGCAGATCGCCGTCAAGATATTGGAGCATTCGCGGACGTCGTCGACGACATCGACCACCGGCGGGAGGAAGCTCGTCCGGTCGGTGGCTCGCCGCTGGGCACACCGGCCCACGCTGTAGACGTTGGACAGGCCGGCGATGAAGATGCTGTAGAGGCAGATCCAGGAGTAGTTGAGCTTGCGGGCCCCGAGCACGTGCTTGTAGTTGTGTATGGTTGCCCTGGATGCGTCCCACATTGCCTTGAGGTTGTCTTCGTTGGCGACGGAGCTCTGCAGGCTCTGGTGCGGGAAGGCTGTTGATGGCCTGTACAGGAGGAGCACCGCGTTGTGGTAGAGCGCCTCGTACCAATTTCGATCTGTGAACGCGGATAGCACGCCGTCCAGGGAGGATTTGGGAGATAGTTTCAGTAGGCGCTCATTACTGGCCCTCCAGTCGTCGAGCTCGCTGAGGAGCTCTTGGCGGATGGCCTCGCGCGGTTCGGCTGAGAGCAGTCTGGTGTTTGTGCTCGTGTAAAGCATTCGGTGTATCCTGGACATCGTGCGGCGTAGGCTGATCATTTGTAAAAACGGTGATATGCTTGTTGGGGGAGCTGGAGAGTGTATGTCTGTATTCGGCGGAGAGTGTGCGATGTATTCGTCGTTGAAGTGGGAAGGTAATGGGGTATCAATGTCATCGTCAGACGGCGTCAGTGGTCTGCTGAGCATCACATTCACAATCCTGCAGATCGATATTAGCTATGAAACATACTGCGTTGAGGGTCAGACCTACCGATCCAGGCTGTAGAAGCACCAGAAACACCTGTGCCTCATCTCAATCTCCACCGAGGACGGAATAGGACCAGTCAAGTGAATGCTATTCTTGGCAGAGCGAGGTGATAATCTTGACCGATGCAGACTGAGCTCGACACAAAGTCGTCCGGCTTGGCCCAATAGATGCCACATCTCCTCGGCGGTGTCTCGTAAACTCGCGTGTATGCCATATTGGCAGCACAGCAGAAGGGCTTGGAGGGCACGGACATCTCTGTACCGCAAGACCTCGTCGAGCTTGCTTGAAGCTCGTGCAAAGTGTGCTTCAGTGTCTTTGAAAGACCAATCCGATCGCTTGAGAGCCGCAGAACCCAGGGCAAGGACTATGTCGAATGCAAACGCCGCAGCAGGATTCTGTCCATAGAAGGACGCATCATCGTAAACGGCCTCGACAAGCTCGAGGAAAGCCGGGCGGTACAACAGAGGAAATGTCACATGCCAGTGCTGGAAGTACACCGCAATGAGCTGATTGGCCACTTGCCTGTCGGGTATCCGTGACGACGAGGACAGCTGGGTTGACGGCGAAGTTTCGGAGTGATGAAGCTCGGCAGTGACCATGTTGAAGACGCCATTGGACATGCCCGACACGTCGACCACGCTCTCTACGAGGTCCACAAAGTCCACCCCGGCGACCGAGCCGTAAAAGCGTGGCTGGGTTGCCGGCATGGATGGGCCGGATGGTCTCGGGTTGTTGTCAGCGATAGGAGCATCTCGAAATTCCGTTGGGCCTGGTGTCGGTCTCCGGGGTGACGGCTCCGGGTTGCCTGCCGGAGAGTGGGTTTCGATGTGTTCCTGACCCGTTGTAAGATGCCCCGGCGAAGGTCCGGCAGCTGGCCCCTGTCTCCTCAATTGCTCGTTTTCCTGCTCCAACGAGCGGACCTTGTTCTCCAAGGCTTCGAGCCGAGAGGCTTCCAGCTGCCGATAGTGTATCCTCGAGGGGTAGAGGCAACGTATGTTTCGCTTCGCACAGGTGCCGCACTGGGGCCTCTTTCTGTCGCAGCGCGTCTTTCGTAAGTGGCACGGCTCACAAGCCATGATCTGCGGTGTCGCATCTACATCCACAGTAGACGCATCAAGGTGTTGGCTTCTCACCGTTGCACACAGAAGTGATATGACCGGTGAGACATTGACTCGTCAAGACTCAATTGGAGCTGCGAGGGATTCACCAGATGTCTACCCCGGAGCAAGGGATACAGCAGTGAGATGATGCTGCAAGACGAGCACATTTCCCCGCATGGTTTGTTCCACTGGCAGAGCTTTCAGTGCCCGCTTCCCCGCACTGCACATCCATTCCAGCGCTGCGGAGGCCCCGGAAATCATACGCCGACGTGAGAGCATGGGCGTGGTGGGGACTCCTGGTGGTCGAGTCTGGTCAGATGCATGTTGCTAATGAAAACCAACGCATTTGACTTATCCTAAAGAAGGGTTAGTTTTGCCCAATAATTACCTAATCACTCTGGAGCCAGATACTAGGTAGGCGTGGGAATTCTCATTTGGACTAAGGGGAATGACTCGACTGAGCACACATCAGTTCACGCCTCATGGGATTGAGTACACGTTCGGAACTCCTACAACCAAGGTACAAACCCATCAATTTGTAGTCGTCCAGACCAAAGGAAGAAGGAAGTTGCACGTCGTACCCTCGTATGGAGAAAAGTCGTGCCCCTTTTTCATCTCATTTTCTCACAGGTTTCATAGCGACCTATATATATACGTGCATAGGCCACTGCTTGACATTCATGGCCTCAGAACCACCTTTCTAGCTAGTTGTTTGTTGAACATCTGATAGCCCTTAGCGGCCTCGCTCAACGGAAGATCATGTGTGAAGAAACCTGCGAGCTTATCCTTGAAAGTCTGTAACAGCTCCAGGGCCTCAAGAAAGACTTTGCGTGCAGGAGCACGTCCAAAGTTCACGCTACAGTCCACATTAGTCGAGATAAATAATTATCGCGAAGGTTGGGGAGTGGCGCTTACGTCACATTCTTCGAGTACGCCTCCAAAGCCGTGAACGGTAGATCACCCTGGTGAAACCCAACAGAGGAGATGACGCCACACGGTCGGACAAGGTCGTAGGCGGAGCGAAGAGCTGCAGGGTTACCTACGACCTCGACCACCGCATCCGCACCTCTGCCATCTGTTGCATCCGAGACGATCTTCTTCACGTCATCCCGGCCCAATTTGAGGGGTGTTGCACCGAAACGTTGTGCTTCCTCGAGCCGATCATCCACTGAATCGACCGCGTAAAGCTTGCAAACGCCCTTGGCACGAGCGGTCAGAACAGCGCAGAGACCAACAGGGCCACAGCCCAGGATGACGAAGACTGCATCGCGTATGTTTTGTTGGATGAATTCAGAATCATGAGTTGTTCCATTGGTAGCAGGATAATCAGAGTTGGCGCCGAAGAAGGTCAACGCTCGAGTCACTCCGTAATATCCAGTCGGAAAGATGTCGCACATCATCAACAGTGTCTTGTCGTCCATCCCTTGCGGAGCGGGGAACAGGCTCGCATCTGCGTGTCGGATCCGTACGTATTCAGCCTGCGAGCCGTCGAGTAGCTGACTGCCATATGAAGCTCCGCCGTTGGAACAGCGGTTTGTGTATCCATGTTTGCAATACCAGCATGTCATGCTATTTCATTCTTAGATCGAGATATTGCGAGACTTCAAGCATGGATATGACCAACCAAACATCAGAGAAAAGACAAATGACTCTGTCGCCAGGTTTCACTTTGGAGACATCGGACCCGATTGATTCTACGATGCCAACAGACTCGTGGCCCTAAAGAAATGTGACTTGTTAATGTTGTAAGTGAAGTACGTCAAACTGAGTATCCATACCATAATATGTCCAGTTTTGGTCTGCTGGTGACCCCGGTACATGTGCAAATCGCTAGTTGTTTGGACTTGTAAGACTTCTTCTCTGTGTATGATCCCGGCTCTCAACTTCCCCATATCAGACATACCTTCCACATATGCCAGCAGCGGACACCTTAACAATAGCCTCAACAGGGTTTTGGATCTCAGGCTTGGGCCTTCGTTCCACTGTGATCTGGAGCGGCCCAGAGAATATGACGGCGTCCATGGCCAGGCCTTGAAATGTTTATCCAAATTAAACGATAACAAGTTGCTGATGAATATCTAGGCGAGGAGGGGACAATCTGCCGCCGAGAGTGAGCAATCCTCCCCATTTCCCGAAACTACGCATATAAGTATATTAAGCACAAGTGTCACCCAACGACCTCAGATCAACATCGGCCAGTAGAGTCCGGGGCATGAGTCGGATCTCCCCCCGCAAATTGCGGGGATCAAATCGACTAACACTCTAGCTCATCATGATCGATCCGCCGATGTTGCCTCGGGAATACGCATCATGCATTTCTTTTTATTCCGCTCGCCTCTCGGAAACCGAACAGCCACAAAAGAAAATGGGCTGACTTCTCTCATTTATCGACCTCTTCATCCATTGGATTCGATTCAGTGCTCAGTCCTAGTCTCCTGCTATCCAAGCCAAGCCCCAAGCCCAGCCGTAAAATGGTCACACAGGCGTCACAAAACAACCCGCTTGTGGCGGCCGCGGTGCCTGCTTTCAAATGCCCTCCGGGGACCAAGATGCATCTCCTGAATTTAGGGACACTCCGTGCGGACGAAGGCTGGTATGAGATCTCTAGCTGAGGATACATACAGACTAGTCCTTTGTTGACTCTGCAATCATAGGCTCCTGAGAGGTGCTCAAACTAGCACTCTTAGCGACCCCAAACCCGAAGCCAAGAGCCGTGATCTCATGTTGCTGGCATGTTTGATAGAGCACCCCATTGAGGGTCTCATTCTCTTTGAAACAGGGTGTGCTGAAGATCTTGAAGTTGTAGGTGTTCCTGCTCTCCTGATGAAGGAAGCTTGAACCTTGACTGACAGCCTCCCAAAAGAACTGGGGTGCACCTCTCACTGATGTGTTCCCGAGAGTCGAGTATACAGAAGCGCAGAAACTACCTGCCGCGATCAAGGCGACGGGAAACGATATCAAGGATATCAAGGCGGTGATCATTGGTCACCTTCACCTAGACCATGCAGGCGGGCTTGAACACTTCATGGGCACTGATGTCCCCATCTACGTGCACGAGGAAGAGTTCAAACATGCCTGCTGGGCCGTGGCCACCGGAGCAGATCTCGGTGTCTACATGCCGCATTATCTAGACTTGCAGCGCCTGAAGTGGGAGACGTTCGACGACGACCATCTGGACATCTTCCAGGGCATCACCCTTCATCACTCACCGGGCCACACGCCAGGGCTCGTCATCATGCAGGTAAACTTGGAGAAAGATGGCACCTTCATTTGGACCACAGACCAGTTCCACATCTCGGAGAACTACGAGCTGAAGCATCCACATGGCTGGCTGGCGAGGGATCATACAGCTTGGATTCGCAGCCTGAACATGATCAAGCGGCTGCAACGGCTCTTCGACGCAAAGTTGATCTTTGGGCACGACATGGATGTTGCAAAGGTGATGATTGAGGCAAAACCGTTCTACGAGTAATAGCTTTTACAGTCGCGATAGTTATTGGAAACCTTAAGTTTGTTAGGCTAGATATAATATGTCTTTGACGAAATATACCCATGATGGAAGCGTCTCAGGTGCCAAAATGACTTACAGCGTTGAGGTAGTCTGAATTTTGCATTTATTTTGGAAGGAACCCTCTCCTGATCTGATGCAGTGAAACCTCGCCTGATTGAGTACGTCAGCACAATCTCAAAGGGAGTTCTTATTCATACTCAATCAGGTCGAGTGCTGCTAAACATCATTCGAGAGATCGGCAGCCATGCATCGGTTGTTGAGCAAGGAGCTGACCTTGAATGCGGGGAATAATATCCAACCAATATGGGGTATGGCGTTTGGGGTAAGGCCCAGAACTATGGGTTGTCTCGGTGGATAGACTGGGGGGGGGGGGTCTGGTGTCTCCAGCCTGGGCTATTCCTTAGTCCAAGTTGGTCGTCCCCAGGATAACAAGAAACAACCTGACCATCGGTTATTCGACGCCGAGCCCAGTCCTAAGGGGCTACCCCAGAGACGGTAGCCTTCTTTGTTAGTCTGCGCCTGGGCTTTGGGTATATATCGTTGCCAGGCCTCTGATACGAGCAGACTATGCTTTTGCGTGTAACAGTGTTAGTTGAATATTGTGACTTTCATTGCACGGAGAAAACCAATCTATAATCGAAACTACTACTTCCGACCATGGCAGGGAAGGGAGCTCAGAAGATCACTGGTTTCAACCTTTCAGTAGGTTACAGTTGACAACGACCACCCGCTTCTTCGTCAACTAACTCTGTCTTGTGTAGATTATCCTGGCTCTCTGTTTAGGCAGTTTGACCTATGGATATGCATTCAGCGTTACATCTACCACTCTTGGCCAGCAAAGCTGGTTCGACTATTTCGATCTCACCCAGGACAAGAAGGATGCCGATCGATATGCGTACACCAACCGAATCATCGGTGCGATGAACGCGTGTTTCGGTGTGGGCGGCTTCTTGGGAGCTATCTTCATCGGGTGGGCTTGTGACAGATTTGGACGCAAAGTGTCTCTTATGATTGCAACCCCCATTGCCATTCTCGGTGGTGCTTTGCAAGGTGGTGCGGCGCACATCGCCATGTTTCTCATCGGCCGTATCCTCGGAGGCTTCTCTGTTGGTAGGTGACCCTTGCCTCATCGGTTGAATTTCAAGGTAAAACTGACCCATACTCGTAGGTATCCTCATCGTGCTCGTGCCTCTTTTCCAATCCGAAATTGCACCTCCTGCAAGCCGTGGATTTTTAGTGTCGCAGCACGGTACGTGTACCCAGCCCCCAACACCTAATCTCCTTCATTTACTTATATGGATAGGTGTCGTTGTCGTTACGGGTTATGCGATCGCAGCTTGGATCGGTGTGGCTTGCTATTTCTCGACGAACCATGCCTTCCAGTGGCGGTTCCCCCTCAGTATTCAGTCGCTATGGCCGTTGATCATGTTGATACTCTCCCCGTTCCTACCGGAATCACCGCGATGGCGTAAGTAACTCTCTTCGGCACAAGCTCTTTGACGCTTCTCTGACAAAGGCCCCGTAGTCTTGATGAAGGATCGCAACGACGAGGCATGGCAAACGGTGCTCAAGCTCCACTCCAGCGGCATAGAAGACAATTCAGACTCCACGGCTTTTGCCAAAGAAGAATTTTACCAGATGACGATGCAGGTCAATAGAGACCGAGCGATTGCGGCCAATGAGACGGTCTGGACTCTTTTCTCCAGGCCCTCCTACCGCAAGAGAATGCTGTGCGCGTTCATGACCATGTTTGGCACAGAGTCAACTGGGATTTTGGTGATTTACAGTAAGTAATCAAACACTGCCGCAAAGGCAATACTCTTCTAACTTGAAGATCAGACTACAGTGTTCTGCTTTACCAGGGCCTCGGATTTACAGTCACACTGTCCTTGATTCTCGCCGCTTGCTACGTGACGGTTGCAGCTATCGGTAACTACATCAACTCTGTTTTGATCGACCATGTTGGTAGACGATTGTTGCTGGGTGAGTCCCACTCGTTATTGACAGAACAAGGCACAAGATTCTAATTTGGACTACATTCTAGTCGTCGGCATGACTGGATGCTTGATCAGCACATGCTGTTTGGCCGCAATGACAGCCCAATACACCGGCACCGACAACGAGGCAGGGCTCCGCGCTGGTGTCTTTTTCATGTTTCTCTTTGTTGGATTGTAAGTTGGCCTCTACCAGACCACTTCTGTGTTGAACCTAACTGAAATGAAACCGCAGCTACGGTTGCTGCTTGGATGCAACGAGCTATGTCTTCTGCGCCGAGATATTCCCGACCCACATCCGTGCGAGGGGCCTGGGCTTTGGCGTTGCCATCTTGTTCCTCACCGTGATCGTGTATCTGGAGGCTGCACCCACGGCGTTTGCGGAGGTCGGGTGGAAGTATTACCTGTTGTTCATCATTCTTACTGCGATCAACGTCCCTATCGTCTGGTACCTGTTTCCGGAGACGACGGGCCTGACACTGGAGGAGATTGGCGAGAAGTTTGGCGACGAGGTTGCGGTCTACATCACTGGGCTTACTGACGACCAGAAGGCCGAGCTGGACCAGCGCATTGTCATCGAGAAGGAGGGTGGAAACGCAGCCGCAGCTCATGTGGAGGAGAAGCGGCAGGACGGCGGGTCAGGATCAAGCGGTGATATTGAGATGAGGTCTGGCACCGTGGTCTAGACTGCCCGGCCAGCTGTAACACTGCACGGTATCTTGTAAACTGCTAGTATGCTTTATAGTTCATCCCTTGAATAGGATATTGGGACATGTAGCGAAGAGAATTGACCATTTGGAAGACTTGACCTTCATCTCGCCCCACCCAGCCGGTGTCGAGAATGCCGGTTTTCACGGAATGCTCTCTCAGACTTGCGGGCTACAAGATTACGTTATTGCACCACATCGATGGAACAAGTGACACGTCTTACCCAAGTAATGAGTCCTAGCTTCGAGTGTTACCCCGCGGTGTCCCCATCACGACCAATTTTGTTGTGGATGGTCAGTTCATCCCGCGCTCTGTTCCCCGGATCGACCATCGGGAACCATCCGCCGAAAGTGGGCCAACCAATCACTCCGAGATTCGCATCCCCTCACGCCCTGTCCGATCAACCTCGCAGAAACGTTGGAACAGACACATCAAATGCCAAAGGACCACCCTTGTTAGCGTCAAGAAGCTCATAGCTAAGAGCATGAAGAGCAATACGGAGACCAAGGGTTTCAATCAGTCCCAAGCCAAAGACATCCTACCACCAAGTCAGCAAGCACAGCGCAGGTCACGCAAAGATGGGTAGCTTCAAGGTACCAACACCCTCAGAGCTGACCAAGTTCTACATCAACGGCGAGTACGTCAACGCCAGCGGCAGCGAGGTATTCACAGTCATCAACCCAAAAGATGGTTCTGTTATCTCGGAGAAGTTGCCTGTAGCGACAGCAAAAGATGTGGACACTGCTGTCGAGGCCGCTGAGGCAGCGTTCTCCGGAGAGTGGAGCGAGTTTACCAACGCTCAGCGCTCACAGTGCTTGAACAAACTTGCCAGTCTCCTAGAAGAGCATCTTGAGGATATCCTCAAGCTGGACTCCCTCAGCAGTGGCAACCCGGTCTCACTGATCCCGACCCGAGAGAAGGCATACATCGTCAATGGGCTGAGGTATTTCGCCGGGTGGGCGGACAAGCAGGCAGGCCAATACATGCCGGATGACGATGGTTTCGTCAAGCTCGTTCGACACGAGCCTCTAGGGTGAGTCTTTGGGGTGTTCATACCGGCAATTACGGCTAGAAGCTGACTTGATTCGACCGACAGAGTGTGCGCAGCCGTATGCCCTTTCAACGCTCCGATAGCGACAATGTTCTTCAAGGTCGGCCCAGCCCTCGCGACCGGTAACACCATCATCGTCAAGCCCTCCGAGAAAACACCGTTTGGCACCATGGCTATCGGCCCGCTCTTTGAGCTCGCTGGCATCCCGAAGGGCGTCGTACAGGTTCTCACGGGGGCGGGGAGCACCGGTGCGCTTCTCGCGAGCCACATGCGCATCCGCAAGATTAGCTTTACGGGCAGTGTGCCGACCGGCAAGAAGATTCAGGTGGCAGCGGCGCAGAGTAACCTGAAGCGCGTGACCCTGGAGCTGGGCGGGAAGAGCCCTGCCGTGGTCTTCGAAGATGCCAACCTTGACAATGCGCTGACGTGGACCGTCAACGCGATCATGGCTCGATCAGGGCAAGTCTGTGTCGCGGCTTCGCGTGTCTATGTGCAAAAGTCAATCGTGGAAAAGTTCGTTGAGGGCTACGTCCAAAAGATGAAGGCTGCTGCTGAGAAGATGGGCGATCCTTCGCAAGAGGATACTGCATACGGGCCGCTCGTAGACAAGCTGGCCTATGAGAGGGTACAAAAGATGATTGAACGCGGCAAGAAAGAAGCTACACTGGCTACCGGCGGTGGAACGCTGGGCAAGGATGGATATTTCATCGAGCCGACGGTCTTTGTCAACCCGCAGGCTAATGCACAGATCCTGCACGATGAGGTGTTTGGTCCTGTCTCTGTCATCATACCTTTTGAGACGGAACAAGAGGTCATCAAGAAGGCCAACGATACTGAATACGGTCTTATGGCGGGAGTCTTTACAAGAGATGTTACTCGGGCTCTTCGAGTGTCTTCGAAACTGGATGCCGGCGTTGTTGGTGTCAACTGCGTTAGTGTGGTATGTCGCTCATTTCTTCCCACTAACCATTGTGTATCATCTAACCTTGATCACAGATGAACGTCGTGGCTCCATTTGGAGGCAAGAAGCAGTCTGGGCTCGGACGCGAGTTTAGTTCAGAAGTGCTTCGTGCCTACACTGAACCTAAGACCGTGCTGATCAAGTAGGTTAAAACTCCAAGTAAATTCTATGGCGCATGATATCTAACTATCTCCCAGCATGAAGTCAGAATGAATAGACCAATCCCGTTCTAGGCAGTGGGTGGCAATCGAGATCTTTGTAGAGTTTATCAGACAGTCTACGTAGTAATACATCGGGTACATGAATCACATAATCTACATCGTCGTACGCCTTGATTTGACTCGAGATCCTCGCATATCCTCACATGTGCCGAGCATGAAGCATCACAGCGTGACAGAGCCCCCAACCTGTGAATATTCCTTTTACCTAGCATGCGTCTCTAGTCACGACAGACCCATCCTCCTAGTTGTGGGGAATCTTGGATGCACTGAGGGGGGAACTTGGGGCCGGCGTGGAGAGCACCGAAACCCCAAACACTTCTCCACAATTTGCAGCCACTCTCCATCTCGGTCATTACAATCCGCGGATTACTCCTCCTGAGAGCTTCCGCCCAGTAACGACTAGCTCAATGTTAGCTAGTCTTGGGACGAGCTATGGAATCCCATAGTGTGTCACACAATCAAGTCTTTCCCCCGAGCGAGGAGGGGATGCGGTAGCGGGTATATGACCTTTGCGCCGTCTCGGCTTTGCTGCATATCGCATGTTCATATTCGTTTGACTGCGCATTGCGTGCCCTTAAAGCGAGTCTAGCTCTTCAAAGACCATGGCCGGAACACCAGAGTTGGTACAGTCCAACGGCATCTTCCACGGCTTGCCCGTGTATCCCGACGATGCCTCCCACCAAAACCTCACCGCCATCGTTACAGGCGCCACTGGCATCTCGGGTTACCATATGCTGAAAGTCCTCTGTGCTGCACCCGAGCGATGGTCAAAGATATACACCCTCTCACGGCGACCTCCTCCGGATTACTTCTACAAGGAGCTGGGTGAAGGCGCAAGCCGCATCGAACATGTTGAAGCCGACTTCCTGGCGGGCCCGGAGACATTGGCCAAGACGATACAGGCGGTGGTGAAGAAAGTGTAAGTCGGGCACTCTATGTTTTGAAAATGGTATGAAATATAAATGCTAAGCTGTACTATCATAGTGATCACGTCTTCTTCTTCTCCTACATGCAGCCAGCCATGAAGGGCGGCGTGCTGGGGATGTGGTCCGAGGCAGACGAGTTGGCGAGAGTCAATGGTATGAGCGCCTATCCAGTATATTCGGGCTGTTCTCGCACGTTATTAACGACTTCACGATAGGTGAGCTGATCGCAAACTTTCTCGGAGCATTGAAGTTGGCGAATCTAGTCCCGAACCGATTCCTGCTGCAGACAGGAGCCAAGCACTATGGCTTCCACATTGGTCCAGCGACCAACCCATCATTCGAGAGTGATCCCAGGGTCCTCCTCGAGAACAACTTTTACTATCCTCAAGAAGATTCCCTGGCCAAGTTCTGCTCGGAGACCGGCGCTCAGTGGAATGTGGTTAGGCCATCGTATATCATCGGCGCTGTACGGGACAATTTCCTCAACCACATGGTCGGCATCGGGGTCTATGCAGCTGTTCAGGCCAAGCTTGGCCGGCCCGTCCAGTTCCCGGGAGATTACATCGCATGGGATAGGGAGTTCTGTCAGAGCACTGCGATTATGAACGCATATCTGGAAGAGTGGGCCGTCCTCAACCCCAAAGCCGGCAACGAGGCGTTCAATGCTCAGGACGGACTTCCTTTCACCTGGGGTCGTCTTTGGCCTTATCTTGGAAAGTGGTACGGCACAAGCTGGACCCCGCCTGAAGATGACCCTGCCAAGTACAAGGTTGTCGAATCTCGATGGAAGGAAACACCACGAGGGTAGGTCCATGGTCGGCTTTCCGTCAGATATGCCTTGATCATGAGTGCTTGAATGCTAACAAATTGCAGCTATGGCCCAAAGGGAGAGACTAGAATCTCGTTTAGTCTACACGAATGGTCCGAAGATCCGGAGGTACAAAAGGCGTGGAAAGAGCTCTCTGAAGAACATGGCCTGCTCGTAGACCACTTCAAGGATGCGGCGCGTCGGGCCCAGGTCTTTGCGATGAGCGACTCCTCGATCATTGGCGGATGGGCTCTTTCACTCAGTATGAGAAAGGCTCGAAAGATGGGCTTCCACGGCAGCGTAGACTCTTACGAGTCTATGTTTGATACCCTGAGGGATCTGGCGAAATTGAAAGTGGTGCCACCTCTGGCAGTGGCAGAATACGTTGAGTGATTGGACTTAGCAAAGAGCTTTCTACTTCAATTATGAGATAGACACAATACAGAGAATAGTAGGCTTAGGTCTGCAGAATATGTTCTGTTCAACACCATGAGGCTCTCAGATTATCTTTCTGAGCATTAAAGCCCTCACCCATAAGAAGTCATAATTAATATCGTTTGCTGATAGAGCGCCCTACTGGCTGCTGGGCATATCAACCATGGCCCCTCCAGGAATTTGCTCCAGCCCTAGAAGTGTGTTAATTAGATGCTACTATCCATATAAGAATTTTGATGACTCACATCCATCTACATTCTCCACTGCTCTCTGGGGCAGAGTACACTTCATCGCTTCTTCCGAGGTTTGAGTCTTGAGCTCGGCGCAGACTGCATTGTTGCAGCGAGCATTGAGAGCACGCTGGAGCGAATCACCCTTCCAACCGAAAACATAATCGCCGTGCTGGGTGAAACCAGTACTGATAGGACCTTGCCTTAGTATCTCTTAAACTATCTCGGGTGGGAATACAATGACTCACCTGTCTCCTGTGCTCCACACAAATGGCTGGGAGCCATCTTCAGGCCAGAGTTCACGGTCATTGAACTGAGTTGTCTAGTTGAGCTCATTCATCAGTACCAAGGAAACCACTTTCTGGGAAGAGGTTCCAAGCAGTTTCTACTCACATCCCACATAACCTCGTACATAATCTGAGGCAGCCGGACGGGATGGCTCGATGGGCATTCGCCTACGGATTCGAATGTGCCTTTAGCCGGGTACGCGACATGGCTCTTATGATCAGGACTGTCGGTGTTCACACCATCCCAGCAGGTGGGAAAAGTGATGGTCGTGCGTATGCCTCCCTTGCAGAACCCTTTCGGCAACTCCTTGGTATCTACTGCCGATGTGCACGGGGCGCCGCCCTGGTCATAGCCGGCACCGAGGCAACGATGGCAGAGCTGCCGCTGCTGGTCCTTGCCCGACTTCAGGGCAGCGTCGCCCACAAGCATACGGAAGCCAGGTTTGAATGCCGTTACGTTGGTCTTGCCGTCGTAGGGCGGGATGTAATAGACTGTGATGCCGCCGTCGCCGCGGAGCCCTACGTTGGGGAACTGGGGGACGCGCTTGTAGGTACCGTTGCGAGCACGGAAGTACAGTACGGCGGTCCAGTAGTTGGAGAAGTCCTCGGCGAACGTGCAGCTGGTGCAGGTCGAGTTCTTGACAAGGTCGTGTGCGGCCGGGTCCATGTTGGCCGTGAACGAGTTGCCACCGACGATCTGGTGCACGTGCGGAGAGCCGACGATGCCTGGGTTGACGAGAGGGTCGAGACGCTCAATGACGAGTTGCGAGCAGCCGAAGCGGATCATGGACTGCGCAACGCACTGCTGGGCCACGAGGCCCAGCATCATGATCTTGGAGAGCATTTTGAGTTACGCCGGTCGAAAAGCTCTTGATCCCTTGCGTGTGAAGATTCTTCAAGCTTCAAAGAGAAAAGTTAGAGACACTAGGGGGCTCATCCGTACCGGGTTAGCAATAGCTAAATACGGAAAACCCGTTGCCATCGCGGCATTCGCCCAGCCCGCAGTGCGCCTCAGCTGTTTGTACTATAGCCTGCAAGTTGGCCATCTCATAAAGTTATTAATTAATCTCTGTGGGGCGTGAAGACATGGTAGACCTCTCTGCATCCGTGATTGGAGCGGCCGCTTATCTCGGGATGGGATACTATTGCGAGAAGTTAGTCCGGGTTGGTTACTCCTTTAGCCTAGAAGAGAGCTTCGGCAGTTGTGGGAAAGCAAGGCTGAAGTTCCTGAGACTCATCATACCAACAATGACAATGTCAGTAACGGCATCGCATCGAGATATCTTCTTGGCTTGATCGACGACTGGCTATCATTCGATCAGGGTAAAAACAGAAGTTTAATGCCTAGCCAAGCCTCCCAGCCACACGACATGGCAAGACGCGTCCCTCTCTGCGCCCACGGTCGGATACATAATATAGAGATGTGTTATGATCTAGTGTGTTATGATCTACATCCACCAATTTCGCCAACGCAGACGTTGTGGGCATGCACTGGTCGCTAAGACTGTATCCAGAACAGCACGATGTCTTGCGGACCACGTTATCTTTGCCTCACCGGCTTCTGTAAGACATTTTCTCTCACTCTTCTGCCACTGCGATTTCTCATTCTATGTTCCATACTGTATGTCCATCCGTCATTTAGCCAAATATATCGAGGTACCATCCACCCATTCAAGAGTAACTATTTGGCTTGGCCGCTCTGAGATCTCCGAAGCGGCAGAATTCAAATTATTGCCGGGAAGCCTGCAATTCTCGGCGAGATTCTTCCTGGGAGGAATACCGCTGGCGACCGTCCTTATAATCAGCGAGGTCGAAGGATCTCTCATGCTTTTCAGATGCTAGAAACCAACGTTGAGGACACAAGTTGCGGCCCTATAGCAACATGGCGAGAATTGTAGCGATCTCCGTGATAACTCTAGCCTGCTGCCTCGGAACAGACGCCGCTCGCCGATGCGGGCAGGGTGGCACGGCGACTACATTTAACTGGCGCATCGGTGATGGGCGATACGACGGGCCCGATCCAGCAAAGAAGGACGGCTTGTCGACGATAGCTTTCAGCATCACCCCGAGTTATGCATTATTTGAATGCGTCGCCCAATGGCCGGAAGCGTGGGCGGGCTGGTATGAAGGTGGTCAGGAGATCATCTGGAGCGACTGTATTTGGACCGGCAATGCCGGTACAACTGACACGACAATATCCTTTGCCCTGGATTGGAAGAAGCAAATGATGTATGTCTCGCATACATATGCCTGCTCGGACAAACAAGGGTATGTAGTGGAAGGCTCCCTCTGTTCTGGATCTATGAATGACACAGACTCTGCCGCAGGACATCCGGTTTAGCTCTCGGACAAGTCGAAATAAAAATGGACTGCAACAAGACCGAGGACAGCTGCATACTGCAACCGAAGCCCGTCACATTCAAGACAACGGCTCAACCTGCCCGACTGGCCGCGGACGCCGAATGCGCTGAAAACTCCAAGCGGTATCAATCGTGGGAGCTGGACGACTGGCTGCGGAATTTTGAGATGGGGCCCGGGTCTGAGGCTCCCGGGGTTGAGAACGCGCCTACGAATGATACTGGACCGTCCTTTACATTGAAGAGTATAGCAAACGCGGATCAGCTCAAATGCGCGCCCACCGGGAAAGAGAATGGCACATTTGTCGGCACTTGCAAGCCTGCCAGCGGTGATTCTGGAACGACAGCCGAGTTCCAGTTCGATCCAGACCTGGACATGCTCACTGTGACTCAAACATGGAACTGTGGCAGTTCGTAAGTAACTCAAGATATTACATTGTCCGGGAATGCTCTTACTAAGTCGAAAATTGAATCAGATCACCCTTCAACGCTACAGGGATTGGCTATGTTCAGGCTGGATGTGATCGCCACGGCAAGCAATACACCTGCACGATGGACTATCCTGTCTGGATTGGGGGAAAGCCAGCATAGTGGGATTTAATAGAAGTTAATGAGAACCCCTATAGACTTGCTATACAGTGGTTAAAGACAGTCGGAGATGTCACTGAGTTTACTCGCTATGTATTGACCACAACTGCGACTCGACTTCACACATTTAGCTTTGTTCTTTTCGCTGAACTTCCTTATATTCGATGAGCACGAAACAACCCTAAACTCCCAATCCCAATTAGATCAGAAACGCCCAAATCTAAGATCAACTACCCTGCGACTCATCAAGAGACTCTGGAAGATTCATCAAGAAGAGGCGTCGTCCACCCGATACACCTCATCCGGCGTCGCCCAAGCTGGATAGACACGAGTCTGCTCAGCCACCTCCCAGGCTACGGCGGCAGTAAAATTCTCCAGTGACAGCCGCACCTGCGGCTGGCCGTCATCCGCAATCTCCACATTGTCCTCACGCTCCAAAAGTTGTTTTTCCATCTGTTCGTTCCACTGCCGCCGCCGAAGTGCCTCTGCCTCCTGGATATCCGCCGCCATTTGCCTGCGCCTGGCTTCCGGCGCGTCAGAGCTGGCAAGATCCTGCAGAAGCTCATCCTTCTCTTGTCTCGACATCTCGTTCCACCTATCCCCGACCCACTCCCTAACCAGAGGGTCGTGCTGGGGCCACCAGCTCTGCCAGCCGTCGCGCTCTGCGCGGCGGGGATCGGGCGCCTCGCGGGCCTGCCGCTCCCGGGCGGCGTGGTAGGCCACGGCCTCGGCGACAAGGAGCTGCTTGTTTTGGAGGTCGATTCCTAGCAGGGCAGCCAGTTCGGGACTGTACGGATTTTCGCCCTCCGGCTGAATCCCATGCGCTGCATGATCCTCTGCCGTCGGTGGCCTCCCTGGGGATCGCGCTGGACCAGCTGGAACCATATGGTCCTGCTGGTTCTGGACCGCGTCCCTTATCATCGCCTGATCCAGAGCGTCCCACTGTGCGTCAAGGTCCCCTCTTGGTAGGCCATCCGGCACCGGGGAAACAAGGTCTCCAGCGATTTCTTGCGCCTGATTTGCTGGCCCTCCAAGATTCTCTTGATGGCCAGGTGATCCATCCTGCTCATTCATGCCCGGATGATCATTCCCGGGACTCTCTACCCCCGCAGCACCACCGCCAGCATCGTCGAGGCCTTCTGGAGGATTCTGATATCTCTCCATCAAGCGAATGGCTGCGCTGGGTGGTGAGTATGAGCCCTCGGGTGAGGCAGGACTCACCTGACGGTCAACCACACCAGCGTCCGCTTCCTCCTCTTGGGCTGCCGGCTGAGGCTCGACGGGTTCTTGTACTGCGTCCGCTTGCTCCTCTTGGGCTGCCGGCTGAGGCTCGACGGGCTCTTGTGCCGCGTTCGCTTCCTCCTCTTGGGCTGCCGGCTGAGGCTCGACGGGTTCTTGTACTGCGTCCGCTTGCTCCTCTTGGGCTGCCGGCTGAGGCTCGACGGGCTCTTGTACTGCGTCCGCTTGCTCCTCTTGGGCTGCCGGCTGAGGCTCGACGGCTTCTTGTGCCGCGCCCTCTTGTTCCTGTGGCGAACCAGCACCATCAGCACTGGGGGTACTCTGTGCCCTCTTCCGCGCTCGCACTTTCTTCTTTCGGCGAGCTTTGGCAACCTTTTTCGCCTTTTTTGGAGCCTGCACCTCTGGTGAGGATTCCGGTTCAGGCTCTGGCAGCTGAGGCTCGACGACTTCTTGTGCCGCATCCTCCTCTTGCTCTCCCTGCGGCGAACCAGCACCATCAGCGCTTGGGGTACTCTGTGCCCTCTTCCGCGCTTGCACTTTCTTCTTTCGGCGAGCTTTGGCAACCTTTTTTCCCTTTTTCGGAGCCTGCGCCTCTGGCGAGGATCTGCTGCCAGCAGATCCCTCCGGCTCAGGCTCTGGCGTCGGGCTTGCCTTCTGGCGACCCTTTGCCCCAGGCCTAAGATTATATCTGTGTTGAGGCATGCTTTCTTCGTCTGCAAACCGCTTTATCGAAAGTGTCTTGAAGGTGTGTCGTATTTGGCTTGAGTGATCTGAATTAATGAGTACAAGTTTATTAGGAATGATGGAATGGTAGGTATTTATAATGGTATCACACTTCTCCTGTCAGGCTGACGAGACAGAAAAACTTTCTAGACAAAGAAAATAGATATGTATTTTCCGCTTCAGTATGGCTGTCGAAGAACAGGTTATAAATCTAGCGGCACACATCAAGCTGATCAGACAGAGAAGCTGTCTAGACAAAGAAAATAGGTATGTATTTCCCCCCTTTAGCATGGCTGTTGAAGAACAGTTTCTAATTTTAGCGGCACATATCAAACCACTGTTCGACAAGGCTCCTTTCTTAGTGTTTTATCTCTTGGTCGTTATTACAAAAACCTTTGTCTAAAGGGGAACTAAGCAGAAACATACATGAAAGAGAGCAACAGCATAGACAAAGGGATGAAATATTTCATGTCGCTAAACAATTCTACGAACTGACAAAGCTTGGGAGGAACTCAATCAGCAAAACAGACAAGGTACAATTTGATATGTTGGCCTTGAAGCAGTGTGATCAACGGGTTTGTATACAAATTGCATTCACAGGTAAACAGCACGGCGAGAAAGAACAAAGTTGAGTAGCTATGATATCTTAGATGACAAAATATGGAACTCCGCCCAGGCCTAAAAGAATGTGCAAGACTAATATGCAAATTTCCCAATTATGTATTCATCCCGTGCTCACTTGCTTAATTCTAACCACACCCCACTCCAATGACTTGACGACAAAGCGCGCTGGCCGCCCACACAATCACACTCTAAGCTCTGACTGCACTGATGCATAACCTTCCAAAATATTCTTTGTCCTCGCTTCGCTCCTCGGCTTAAAGGTCATGTGGTACGGGCTCGGCTCCAGGATGACGTGCGAGTTGGTCGCCTGCGTGTCGATGGGCACCTCCTTGCCGGTCGACGGGCACACCTTGGGCCCCATGTCGAACGCCCACAGGACGCTGGCGCCCGAGACGAAAAGCTCGTCGTCGGCGATGTCCTTGCCGAGGCAGGTCCGGCGGCCCCAGCCGAAGCTGTGCATCGAGGCGCCCTCGCGGAAGCTGGGGTACTTGGACAGCGGCTCCTGGTAGGTGGGCCAGCCGGGCTCGAGGTAGCGCTCCGGGTGGTAGTTCTCCGGGTCGGGGTACTTGGATTCGACGCGGTTGATGGACCTGGACGGATACATGTTAGAACTGCCCCCTAAGTGTTATTGTGATAACTGCGTCGGTCATACCATTCGCAGGCGAGGATGATGGTGTCCTTCTTGATCTCTACGCCCCGGAACTCGTCGTCGCGCTCAGCCTGATGCGGGACACCTGTCATGAGGAGAAACAATTAGCGTTGTGTAAAATAGACATCAGCTGTAGCAATGCCGTGATACTCACCCAGAGGGACACCAGATCGCCAGCGAACGGTCTCCTTAAGACATGCCCTGACAGTGGGGAGGTTCGGCATATCGTCGCAGGTCGGCATGCGGTCGCCGCAGACCCGGTCGATCTCCTCCTGCGCCTTCTTCTGCCACTGCGGGTGCAGCGCCATGGCCATGAGGAAGAACTTGAGCGGGCCCGAGATGGTCACGACGCCGACGAGGTTGAAGAAGCCGATCATGCAGCTCGCAAACACCTCCTGGTCCAGCTCCTGCTCGAGCTGCGGGTTGCCTTCCCTCTGCAGCTGCGCAAAGTACCGGTACGCCCACGTGTCGTCGGGCAGCTCGCCCCGCAGCATGCGCTGCTTGGCGAGGCGGTAGTTGCCGAGCCACCAGGCGCGCTGGCCGGCCTCGCGCTTGATCTCGAACTGCTTCCACGGGTTGACGAAGAAGGGCAGGTGCCAGAGCGGCGTCATGGTGTTGGTGATGGGGCCCGAGACGGACATGCAGTGCAGCGTCGTGTCGGCGCTGTTGCCGTTGGTGGGGCCCTGGGTCGCGTCGTCCCAGGCGAGGCGGCTCATGATGCGGCCGCAGTGCTCGCGGGTGCTGCAGAGGAAGCGCTGCGGGTCGAGCAGGAGCATGGCCAGGTAGCGGCGGGTCTCCTTCTCGATGTGCCCGTAGAAGTGCTGGCGGTGCGATTCTGCCATGGCCGCGTGGACCCATTTCCGTTGCTTGGACCAGGTGTCTGCGATGCTGTGTAAGTACGCTGCGCGCAGTGTAATTTGAGAGAGAGCTCATGTAGTGAGCTTACTTACCATGGCGGTCCATCAAGGCCACATAGGCTGGTCCGTCTTTGTGTTTGATCAAGGAGCGGATCTGCGGCCGGCCAGAGTAGATGTGGCCACGCTTGACAAGGAGCTCCTCGGCAACCTTCTCATCGGAGATGATGACAAAGGTCTGGCCGCCCATGGAAGTCTGGTAAATCGGCCCGTAAATGTCCGCCCACTCCTTGAACTTCAACCACATGGAGAACCGCGGCAGGTCATGGACACGGCCCACGATGGGGAACTGCCTCGGCCCCGGGAACTTGGCCTTGGGGGTGAACTTCTTCTTGCGCCATGATGTGATCTGCTGCACGGCGGAGAAGAGCAGGCTGGGGATAGCGAGGTAGAGCAGGATAAGTGCCAACCCCTCCATCTTGAGCAGCCCTGGCGGCGATCTCTCTCCCCTCTCTTGTTGAACGGGTTTCTTGTATGTAAGGAGTTCCGTATCAAGATGAAGGAGACTACGTGAGGAAAGCCCGGGCGAGGGAGACGTGCAGCAAGAGAATTCAGTGTCAAGGGGGGGCGGTCTCTGATACAAGCGCAGACCTTTGAATTACTTATAGCTCCGTTGAGCATGCAGGGGGTATGCAGAAGCCAGTTGACACGGCCCCCAAGCTGGACCAGAGCATTGGGTAAGCTCGCTTGGAGAATAAATAGAACAGGGGAGGCAAACGGCAGGTGTGGAGAGACCAAAAAAATCCAGGATAGATCCCTGACTCCAGGGAAAAGGCGAGGGATCCCGTTCTGCTCGGTGTCCCACTCACACAAGTCCCGGTTTTGGTCTCCATCTCCGCTAATAGGAGATTGTTGGAGAGTCCGTGATCGTGAGCTCAGTATCAGGCTGTTGAGTGGTGCTTATCCTGGGATGTGGGATGACCACATTGCCGACATAGTTTCCACTAAGATGGTGCCATGTTGTCTGCCCAAGGCCGAGCTTAGCTGCAGCGCTTGCCTCTTGCGCCGATCCCTGGCCACAGCGCATTCCTGCATAAGTGCCGGACGTCAGCTTGCAAGCTGAAAAGCCATAGACAAGGGCTAACAGATACACAAAGGAGCGACCCGAGTATCCGAGATATCACAAAGCCCAGCACGCCTCTTGTGTGCCACTATTCAGCCTATATGGACCTGACTGTCTCGGCTTAGTTGGCCACGGACCTCCTCAACCTCGTGGGTGCTGAAGAACCAGAGCGCCGGGACATTTTCCGCGAGACACGAGGTCAGCCTGGACGGCGGGTACCTCGAACTGAACAATAGTGTGCACGGCCGGGCGGCGGTGTTGGGCGTTGGGAACGGCAAAGCAACCCCCACCGGTACCCCGGACGTCAAGGAGGGGAGGACAGGGTCGGCGCCTCCTGGAGCCAGGGGGGTCAACCTGAGTGGCACAACCTACGATGCGCTATGGGTCAGAGCCGGGATCTAACGCATCCTTCTGAGCAACCTTATTCTATCGTGGGAAGAGTGTCCGACAGTCACGACATCACTAACCACTACTAAGTTGAGCACAGGACTGAGCTAGTTAGAACTTTCAAGAATGAGAATGTTTGTCATAGAATTAAAAGAGAAAACGACAAAAAACTAGCACTGCCTACCTGAGCTACGCTCAGCCATCGCATGCAGGTGGGAGAACTCAAGACAAGGATGCAGGAGGGTGGGGCAGATTGGACATTGCGGTTGGGGATGTCCGGAGGTGAATATACGCATACAGTACACCCCGCGCGCACTTTGGACGAACAGAAGCACAGCCGTTGGTCTGATTGCACAGTACATTCCATGCGTACCTAGGTATGCATGACCGAGATTCCCTGTCCGTGGCGGATAATCTTCCGAGGCAGGCGTTACGAAGAGATCGCTCGAGTCTATGGAAGATCTGGCCAAAGCGGCTGAGCCCAAGCACTGCTGGCATGGTACTTTCACGAGCATGTACTTCTTGGAGCTGATGTCAGAAACATGAAGCAATAGCGCCACAGGATACTGCATCCGTTGGGGCATGATTCGAGATCGTCGAGAACGGTTGTGAACCGGTCCCGAAGTTGTCCTTAAAGCGGTAGCCTGCCGCCATAGACCACCATCACGGTCCCGGGAAAGACTTTTAATGCAAGCTGTCACCCACACAGCACTATCAGGTCATATGTTACGCGATTTCGAAGGAAAGTTGGCTGCGTGGAGTCTGATGAGAGGCTAACAACTCGGTGGAGATAGATCACATTGTCATGGTACATGAGCGAGGTGTTTACAAGTTAGTCGTAGCTGCTTCAAAGAGCCAATACATATTCCGTTTACCTATTTTGGAAATATGAAACGGCGGCTGCCCTGAGAGCCCACTTGGGCGGTTGAACCGTAGAAGTCGTGGATGTGGATGAGAACCCGATAGGGTCAACCGTACAGAAACGAAGTCAACCCTAGGGCAAGCACGCACACTTCTGGACGACAGTTTTGGTGTCCTGCACAACGCATACATTTTCCGTTAGCAGGAACCATTCATAGCCCCGATCAGATGTGCGCACGAGGCCAGATCCTGCGGGACAGAAGATGGGTTGTGTGTTGTAAGCCTTCTGGTGTGGCCTAAGTCCTCATTTTCAGCTATAGAAGGACAGACTCGTGGGGAGTCTGTGACGGCATGGATGCAATGTATGACCTGGCACGCTGCGGTTATGTGGTGGTTCTCGACAGGTGAGAATAACGGCGACCGCTCATGCAGTCCGACGGTGTGGTGTTTCGAGTTTTGGCGCATCCTCCGATTGGATCCGCCCGACTTGCACAACGTCTAGCTACTGGTGACGCAAGGTACTCTCATGCCATAGATTTTGTTCAGCCAAAGAATAAGAAAAGGCCTCGCAGGAGTCGCATGTCCACCTGGATCAGAGTAGGCCCTGAAGCTGTATCATAATTCAGCCTTATGCCTGGTTGGTTCAGGGGCAACTCTCAAAGTCTGAAGGGGACCTAAGATCTAGAATTAATGAATCTCTCTGGTAGGACCGGATCTCGAACACACTGCATGTTGGCCAGCTAACTATCATGCATATGCATCCCAGGATGCACTGTTTCTTGGTCAAGGTCTGGGGTTGATCCTCCGAGAAGCGTCGATATCTCCCGAGTCTTGCCAGGCCATCCGGCTCGATGTACCTACAATAAGCTGCATTTACTAGCCTGCTACTCTAGCGGCCGGAATAGAAAGACTTGATAAATAGCGGCGATACCTCTTTACGGAGACACCTTGTGAATGCACCTTCAGGGCTTCTTCTCGGCGGGATGAAGGTGTTCCCTAGTATTGAAGCTAGCAGTTTGCCGGGCCCTAACCCAGGACATGTCATGTCGAGTATAGCCTTGCTAACTTATAAACCGAGCGCTACCAGCACCATGGTTCACAAATAGACTTGTGCGTTTCGCCAATGCATGAGACCATAGATATTAGTCCAAGATTACAAGCCTAATCTTGTAATAAGACGCAGATAGCCCAGACCGAACGTTACAGGCACATGTGGTACGAGAGTAACCCTGTCACAATTGTTTGCTGAGGTCATCCCAGCTACCCAGATAAGTATCGCCACGAGCAATCCTCAGCCCGAGGAGGGGATCTGTCTCCTGGCGTATGTCGATCAACAAGGTGTCCGTTTTTCATGATGTGCGTGTCCCGGCCCTAAACATAGAATAGGTGTTCTTTGTGATAGTTAGTGTGGATAGTGATAATTCCGCATCATGATGATACTCTGAGAGAGAGAGAGGGCTCTGGTTCCCGGTCTGATGGAGATGTTCGACAGCAACGAAATAGCGCAGATCGTTCGCATTGACGCTGGTCCACGAACTTCAGTGCCGCTTTTCGATCTCTTCCTTATCAATTATTGCCATTTGTAGTCAGTCTTATCTCGTGAGTGAAGATGTCTATTGTGCTTCGTGTTGTTGTCGCGCTTGAAGCTGCGGGCTCCGGTGCCACCAAATTACCCCCGAATCGGGAGCTAAGAAACGTGCCCGCCCCCACCACGGCAAACCACCACTTGTGTTGATCTACGGCATTTCGCTGATGAGGTCATGTCCCAAGCCACACTGCCAACCGTCACAGCCCGAGTTCCTCAACGCGACGCAGCAGCCTCAGACCTCGCAGACAGCTGTGCTGCAACGTGCGCCACTCTGTCGCGATGGCTCCGTAAGTCCCCAGCTGCCGTTCGCATGCTGCACAGCCGTGTTTGCTGACCTGTTCCCAAGCGCGCAATCCAACCAGCTCTCGATCCCCTTCCGCAAGTCGACGCAGATCTCCCTCTCGAGCACGATCCGGCAGTACATCTCCAAGAAGTATGACCAGCACCCCGACATGTTCCGTCATGACCTCGAGGTCATCGACGCCCTGCGCAGAGACGCCGTGAATGTCCGCGAGGCGCATCCCAGCGGCATCAAGAAGCTTCAGGCGTACGCGGCGCAGCTTGTCTGGGTTGGCGGCAAGTTCCCGATTGATGTAGGTCGTCGTACCAAGTTCTTCCCCCGAGCCATAGATCAAACATTAACGACCGCATCCTACTCTGTGTGTAGATCGGCGCAGACTTTACGTGGTACCCCGCCCTTGGATACAATACCGAACGACCTCTCGTCCAGAACAACCTCAAATACGAACTCCTCAACGTCCTCTACAACCTCGCCGCCCTGTATTGCCAACTTGCTGCCGCGACGAACCACAGCGACGTCGAAGGCCTCAAGACGGCCGCAAGCTACTTCTCACAGGCAGCCGGCGTCTTCGAGCACATGAAGACCACGGTGCTGCCGCAGCTGCGGATGCCCACCCCGCCCGACGACATGGACGCGCCAACGCTGGAGTCGCTGATGCAGTTGATGCTGGCGCAAAGCCAAGAGTGCTTCTGGATGAGGGCGGCGTCGGAGAGGTACAAGGATGCAACAATCGCGAAGCTGGCTGCGCGCCTCTCGGATCTGTACAACAACGCAGGCGAGGCTGCGATGAAGAGCGAAGCCATTAGTTCTGCGTGGATCCATCACATGAGCGCGAAGCACCACCACTTTGCCGGCGCAGCACAGTACCGCGCTTCGCTTGACTGCCTCGAGAAGCGCAAGTATGGCGAGGAGGTCGCCCGCCTCATGGATGCGCTCCAGTGCGCCAACGAGGGGCTGAAGGAGTCCAGGGGAGGTTATCTCAGCAAAGCGGTCCAGGAAGACCTCAACGGCTTGAAGAGCCGCATAGAAGAGGACCTCAAGAGAGCGGAGAAGGACAACGACTTGATCTATCTGAGTGAGTCTCGCTATTATGGATTTCAGTGGTTTTGAGCGTGTTCCTGACAACGTCTCCAGATCCCGTTCCGCCAAAGTCGGAGCTCAAGACGCTTGAGCGCGCAAACATGGCCAACGCGAAGGTACCGCCGCAAGTCGCTTCGCCCTTTGAGTATCTCGGTGATCATGCCGAGTTCGGCCCTGCTCTCTTTTCCAAACTCGTACCCTTTGCAGTCCACATGGCCGCGTCGATCTATGAAGAGAGGCGAGACCGTCTAATCAATCAAAATATTATCCAAGAGCTTGAGAATCTAACCGATCGACTGCACGAACTGCTTTCATCTCTCAACTTGCCGGGATCTATGCAGGCTCTAGAGAAACCCCTCGGACTGCCTGGCAGTCTCAGCCAACACGCCGAAGAATTGAGACAAGCCGATGCCATGAACCGCGTCTTCCGCGGTTTCACCGACATCGACAAGCTACGTTCAAGCGACAGGGCCGTCTTTGAAGAAGGCAAAGCCCTCTTGCTCACGGAGGAGGCAGAAGATGACGAGCTCCGCCGCAAGCACGGCACTCAGCGCTGGACGCGTCCGGACGGGAAGAGCGACCCCAAGGGCTCCAAACTGTGGACACAGGTCGGGGAGATCGACGGCTACCTCCAGTCCAGCACCTCGAGTGACGGCGTGGTGCTCGAGAAGTGGAACGCCGTGCAAGACACGCTGGCCATCCTCGCCAGCTCCGACCGGGCCATCCTGGACTTTGTGCCCAACAGCCGCAGGACCGAGATACCCGAGAGCATCAAGCCCGCGCTCGGGCGCCTGCGCGGGGCGTACAACGACATCCTGAGGCTCGAGTCCCGGCGGCGGAAGCGCGCCGAGGCGCTGCGGGAGAAGGCGCGGGCCGACGACATCAAGCCCGACATCCTCAAGGAGGCGGCGCGGCTGGAGCGGACGTACCCCAACACCGAGATCGCGACGGCGCACTTTGAGGACTTCTTCGAGAGGCGGCTGGACGCGACGTACGAGCCCGACGTGGAGCTGCTGGGCCGCGAGGCTGAGGAGCAGGACCGAAGCTTGGCCGAGGTTGTGCGGATCAACCGCGAGTTCGAGGCGCAGAAGCGCGCGGCCGGGGACAAGGGCACGCGGGAGCGGGAGGAGGCGCTGCAGAGGCTCGACGACGCGTACTACAAGTACAAGGAGATCGTCAACAACATCGAGGCCGGGCGCAAGTTCTACAACGACCTGAGCAAGATCGTCGGCCACTTCCGGGACCAGTGCCGCGACTGGGTGCAGGAGCGGCGCAAGGACGCGCGGAGCCTGGAAGAGTAAGTCTTTTGTGCATGCACGGACAATTCCTTGATAAATGTTGCAAAACAAACAGCTAATGTTCAATTTCACCCAACAGGGAGATTCTCATGCCGCCCCTATCTTCTCTGTCGCTGAACCACCCAGCGCACCCGCCGCCCATGCAGTCTCCTCCCCCGCCAGCGCAGGCGCCCAGCCAGTTCTTCTCGCCGCAGCCGGCCCAGCAGCCCGTACACAACCCCATGGAGGCTAGGATCCAGTCGTGGGCGGACAACGTACCGCAGCAGCAGCCCAAGCCCATGCCGGCGGCCCAGCAGATGTGGTCCCCGGACATGGGCATCAAGTTCTCGGCGAGCCAGGGTGGGCCTGCGGGCGGGAGTGCAGGGGCAGCGCAGATGGGAGGGCAGCAACAACAACAGCAGCAGCAGCAGCAGCAGCAGCAGGATGGGAACCGGACGTGGAATCCGAATTCGGGTATAAGATTTGGGTGATGATGGTGTTACTGTTTGTAGAGTCTGAAATTAAAAAGCGCTGCATAAAGGAACACGGCTCCAGCGAATCTAGACATGGATGCGTGTTATCTAGCCTATTGCTTCAGCTCCGTAGTCATATATCCTTGTTAGGAGATCATTATCCACATAGCATCGTTGCCGAAGCAGTGCACAGTTCGTTCCCTTCAAGGCCGCCTGATCCGCAGCGTCACGACCAAAGCCCAGCCACTCATGCTCTCCCATATGCCCATCTCGTTCTCCCTCCTGAAGGTAACCTCGTCCGCCCGGACAGTCATGCTTACACCGTCGTCGTTGTTCCGCGTCTCGACGACCGTCGTCGTTGTCGCATTCACCGGCTGAGAGGAGCTAGCCTTGGAGGAAGAGTCGGACTTCTTGCGGCCCCAGCTGGCCCAGCTCCGCTTCTCCTCCTTGATCTGCTGCACCGCGGCCGCGATCTCCCTGCGCTCCGTCCGGACCGGCTCGCGGGGCTGCAGGTGGGCCGCCAGCCGGCGCGCCATGGCCTCGTCGCGCCACCACCAGGACCCCGAGGACGACGAGTCGCCGGCGCCGGCGTCGTCCCACCGGCCCCACTCGTCGAACTGCTCCGCGTCCCAGTCGCGCTCCGGCTCTTCTTCTTCTTGCTCCTCGGCCCCGCCCCTCCTGCCGCCGCCGCCGTTCTTCTTCTTCTCCTCCGCGGACGACCTGCGGCTTCCCTTGCCGTCTGGTGAGGGGGCGGGCGCGCGCACGCGCACGAGCTGCACCGTCTCGCCCTCCCGACGGCGCTCCTGCGCGCCGGACAGCTTCCAGCCCGGCCCGACGGCGGCCGCGGGGACGAGGTTGAGCTCGGCTACCGGCGGCGGCGGGCTCGAGGAGAAGCCGCCGCTGACGCCGACGCCGATGCCGTCGGAGAGGAAGGTCTCGACCTCGGGCACGAGCAGGGTGATGAGGTGCAGGTCGCGGACCTGCTGCTCCGTCGCGCGGGCGGACTGGGCGGCGCGGATGCGCGAGGGCAGGGAGGAGAGGTGCGCGGCGAGGTGGGAGGTGTAGAGGGACGGGTCGGCGGGGGAGGACGAGTATGAGGGCGCGGGGTGCTCCGTGTAGGGAGGGGGTGCTGCTGGGTCGTCGAGCTTGGACATTTTGTTGGTGTTTATGTGGTGGTGATGGTGGTGGTGGAGATGATGATGTATGGATGTGATGACGGACGATGAGATGGGAGGGTTCTATGAGGATCTTGGACGTGGATGCCCACGTTGGGACGGGTGAGTCTTGGAAGTTCTCAAAGAAGCGCAAGATGCAACGGGACTTTGATGAGTTGGGTTTGAGTTGCGATGGAATCGATGGAGTGAAACTCGAGAGTCCAAAGGAGCGGACGTCGTCCGGGTACCCAACTTCAGGTCAGGTCAAAGGACGGGTCTTCGGCACACAGCCAATTGTCAATCACGAGGCGTTTTTCGGGGAGAGACCACCCCAAGCCACCGTAAGCATCGAAGGCTTCGAGAAGGAGTGGACCAACCTTAATTCAGGGACGTAGATGTCCAAGATACGGAATACGGTGGCGATGAGGGCTTGGGGATCGGTCATGTGGGCAAGAGGATGGGAGGGATGAGATCAGAGAGACTGGTAGCCCGAGAGTCTCCAGCATCGGTTCGTCCGTACTGCGGGCGGCGGATCTCCAGAGGCGAGGCCGGAGGTGACACAAGGATCACTTCTGCGGAGCGTTCATCAGCCCTACTGCTGCCAGTTTGACGCCTCCAGGGGTAATCTGTTTGCACAGCCTTGTTGTGTCAATGTTGGTTGGTGTGGTGAGTCAATGGCGGCGCGAGGGAATTGTTTCGAGGTGGTCTGAATTCCGTGCCGCAGATGCAATGGCATTGTTCGGTCCCCAAATTGTCCTGAAAGAGCGAACCGGAGAGCGAATGTGGCAGTGTAAACTTGGCAGATTTTGGTTCCAAGATCTGTAGGTAGGCGGCGGGGGCCCATGATTCTGGCTCCATGGCCTTGGAAGGTCACACTTCCACCGACCGACCAACCACCCGCGTTGGCATGGCAGAGGCGCAAGAAAAGCGATCAATCAGATCTCGAGCCGAAGCCATGCCTGTTGCCTTTCCCCAGGTTCGCCTTCGGTGCCTCGAAAGGGGTGTGGTGCGTGCCAAATGCAATTCCGGATCTCCTGGTTCGCGTTCTTCTCATCGGGGTTCCGCCCAAGCTGAAATGCAGCTGGAGCTCACTAACACGGATTTGCTCGACCGAGCGATCACGCACTTCGCCCAGCTAGAGAGAGAGAGAGAGAGACGAGAGGTGTGCTCGATTAAGCAGCAATGAACCCGAGTCAGGATGGTCATCACAGTCAATGCCTCGATGGCAGTATGCCTACAAACTTCATAGATGCCTGTGAGGTCTCTCGCACCCGTCATCTCCGGCTCTGCCCCAGCCATCCTATCCCCACGGATGGATGGCCCGGCCCACCCTACACTAATCACCAAGCCATATCTAGCGGCGTGAGGCTCCCAAGTCTCCTTCTCCAGACCCACCAGATAACAGAGCTACACATCACGGGGACATGAGTCGATATGCGAGGTTGGTCCGTTAGTAGGAATGAGATCATCAAACACTCCTCTACTGACAGGCATTTCCAAGCCAGCACAGCTCTCAAGCCGACCAGCACCGATATCGCTCTGTGGCTCATCGCAACATGCACGCTCCGAGCACCGATGGCAAGTAATCGCTGTATCAGATGTAATTGAACCGAGAAATCCTGGCCTGTATGACCATTGTGAGATTTGTAAGTGCAGGAGTTTACATGCTGCACGGGATGCTACGCTAGTTCTTTGCCAGCCGTGGTATCTCAAACACCATTGCGCCATTCTTGCCCCCGGATGCCTTCTTCCACCTGCCCAGCCGGTGCTCCTTGCCCAGCGCGACCACGACGCCCAGCCCGTCCTTGCCGGCCTCTCCCCGCTCAAAGATGCCGATGTCGTTGACGATGCCCCGGGCGACGGGTTCCACCTTGGACTTCTTCGTCCGCTTCTTCTCCCCGTTCACGACGACCCCGTTGGGCACGTCTGCCACGCCGTTTGCTTCTTGCTGTTGTTCGCCGAGGTCCCGTCCCAGGACACCAGCAGGCTCGAGGCGCCGCTTGTCCTCCGAGACCTTCCATATCCGCACCTGGCCGTCCCAGCTGCCGCTCAGGACAAGGTTGCTGTAGGGTAAGACCGCGAGCGCCGTAATCCAGCGTGGCTCAGGGGGAGGCAGCGGCTTGGTCTCCGCGTTGTCCATCCCCGAGAAGATGTCCTCCCGCTTCGGCGACGGGTCGCACCCGTGGGCCAGGGGGATCACGCACACGGGCTTCTTCTTCTGCAGGCTCCACAGCGAGATCGAGCCGTTGTCGGCGCCGCTGACAAACGTCTCGTCGTCGATCATGGCCACCCGGTCGATGCTCCCTTCCGCGTAGCTGTGCGCCGCATCGGCTCTCCGGGACTTCTTCTCCGAGGCGCCCCCGCGGAAGACCAGCTGCGTCTCCTCCACGACCTTCCAGAACCGGACTGTCCTGTCTCTCGCGCCGGCACTGATGCACTGTTCCCGCGACAAGGCCGCCACGTCGAGCGCCTGGTCCTGGTGGCCGAACAGCGTTTCGATGCAGGTGAGTTCGTTTAGACTCCACGTCTTGACCGTCCGATCGGCCGAGCTGGAGTAGAGCTGGTTCGTGCCTCTCCGGAACGCCACGCTCGTAACAGCATCACGGTGCTGCGTAAAGACCTTCAGTGGCGTCAAGTCCTCCTGTTTCCACACAATCATTTTTCTATCTGCGCCGCCAGTGACTAGGAATTTGCCGTCCTCTGAAGCAGCGACGCACAATATCGGAGCTGTATGATGTTGATAGGTCTGCTGTCCCTTCTCGCGGTGACTGCCCTTAGTCTGTAGAAGCTTTGTAGGTCGGCGGCGGGGAGGCGGCAGCGGCCGTTGCCGCTTCTTGTTCGGGGTTGGGAGGGGAGCGTTGGGGTCGGGGAGTTGCCACTTGGTGATGGTCATGTCTTTGGCGACGGTGAAGGCATAGGGGGCGCACACCGCTATCGAGGTAGTGCACTCGGTGTCGTAGCGAAACTGTGTGCTGACCGCCTGGGCGAAATCGTACTCGTCCACGACGAACCGGTACATGCGACCCTTGCCCTCTGCCACGTCCTCCTTGAGCCGCTCTGCAATCAGGTCACGGTCAATCTCTTCAGCATCGAAGCCAATTGTTTGTTCGACTTCGCTGCGGACATTCTGGAGGTACCGTTCTGCGAGCCGTAACCTGCGTTCGGCGGCCGTCTCGCCCTCGTGCTCCGACTCGCTCTCGTCTTCGCCGTCGCTCATCCCGACATCGTCGGGAGAGATGTCGTCTTCCGAGTCACTGCCCGATATTGACTCGTCTCTCTCAGGTTGGGGAGCCTTTGGTGCGGCCTTGGTGCCGTTGCTTCGAGATCGCTTCGTCGCTGCCGCCGTTGAGGATGCGGACGGGACGCCATCTCGCTTGCGTTTCCTCTGCGCCGCAGGCACAGTGAAAAAGGACGAAGACATGACCAGGGATGGAAATATCTCGCAGCTCTACAGACCCATGCACTGAAAATGCAAAAAAGACGGTCAAATGCAGGCAATGGTAGACACACGGAGCTCGAAGCCGTGCTTGATGCTTGGTCGATACTGCAAGCAAGAGCCTCTCACTCTCTCTCCAAAACTTTTTTTTGGCGGCAGTACTAAAAATTTCCAGAATTTCACTAGGCGCAAGACCCACCCCGCCCGCCGCCAGCGTTGAGGTCGGTCTGTGGTAGGCCGACCTTCCGCGCTATCATGTGACCCGGGTCACCGCCGCGCGCTCAGTGCAGCGAACGTCAATCATCGACGCCTAATTGACAGCAGCTTCCTGGCAACAATCGGCATCGTTCATACCATATTGATACAAAATGGTGTAGGAGTCTAAGTTGCTAGCCGATCCCGAATATGCTTCGATCTTTGGGTAAGTTTTACACTGCCCCGTCACCGACTCAGGAGTCCGGCATCGGCGACCCCAAGGCAACCGGGTAAGACGGCGCGTCCTGGAAACCGATCTCTGCTTGTGCTGGTCGAGGGAACACAGCAATGGTGCAAAGGGAACTGTAAGACAGGTCTTTGTGGGGGAAAGACAGCCGCTGGCATGGAGTGCATGGGCAAGTCGAATGAGCTCGAGGGACAGAAGCTCAGCCACCATCCCCCCACCCACTCATCAAATGGGATGGTCCGCCTAGCCAGCAGTGCCCGAGCTAATATCTCCCCACCTGTAAGGCACAAACACGAAACAGGACTGATCACCTGTTCAACCTGGCCCGCATTCTGCCAGAAGCTGAGCCCTGGGATGTTGGTAGCTTACGGAGTTAGCAAGCTAGAAGCTCTTGTCGCCAAGGGGCGTGCTGCTTCACGCACCACCCCGTAGACCGACATCCGCATTGGGGTTTCATGAATGGCTCCCTTGGACTTCTCGGCATTCGTTATGGCTTAGCGGCACAGCAAGCATCATGCAGGCCTGCTCATATTCAGCCTTTCCGGACGAATATAAAAGCAGAGATGTGGTGGTGGTATGATAGCTCTGTATGCACATAGGTAGCTCGGATCAACCGACCAGTCAGACATACAGCCGCTGAGCAAGGTGTCTGTGCATCTGCATATAACACTGCTTCCCATTCTACTCATCCATCCCTTTGTTTTCCATCCGTTGCTTCCTCAACCTCGGTTGTGATACTTTGGGTCGTCCGACAGTCTGCCCAAGGATCGCTCTGCATAGCCACAAACATCATCGACTGCCTAGTCACAGGGACTCCTTGAAGCGTCTATATTAACCTCGAGTCATCCCGGTCGTCAACTCCTCCTCGCCTAGTGATCAGATCAACACGCCCAAGGCCTGACCTTTGCAGCTTCCCTTGAGCTGCTTACCCCTCTCCCTATCCCCAAGAAGCACATCCACAACAACCGCCAACATGTCGTACAAGGTCGCCGCGCCAGATGAGTATCTGGCCGTGACGGGTATGGGCATCAAGAATGTCAAGATCGTCAAGTCTGCATGGATCTTCCCCTTTCAGCGCTGCATGCGGTTCAGGTAAGATCAAAGGAATACCCGGATACGAACAGTCAACCCCTGAGCCCGCGCTGACTTGCATGCCACTATAGTGTCCAGCCCCACGACTATGCCATGAACCTGCAGGCCATGACGAGCGAGAAGCTCCAGTTCCTGCTGCCCGTCGTCTTCACCGTCGGCCCGGACATCAACGAGCGCGGCGCCAACTCCAACTTCAACGACGACCACGCCGGCGACGGCCACGGGCCAGACAACCACCACCGCGAGGACCGCGGCGACAGCCTCATGAAGTTTGCCATGCTGCTCGCCGACAGCTCCGCCAACAAGCCCAAGGAGGGCACCCAGCGCCAGTACCTCGAGGGCATCATCAAGGGCATCATCGAGGGCGAGGTCCGCGTCCTCGTCTCGTCCATGACCATGGAGGAGATCTTCACCGAGCGTGAGGCCTTCAAACGCCGCATCTTCCGTAACATCCAAGGCGAGCTGAACAAGCTCGGGTTGATCATCTACAACGCAAACGTATGTAGCCCCTGTTTCCCTTCGTACATGAAAATCACCGCTCCCTATCTTCTGTACCTTGCCGCTGACACCAGTATGACTTTCTAGGTCAAAGAGCTGCGCGACGCGCCCGAGAGCGTCTACTTTGCCTCGCTGTCCCGCAAGGCCCACGAGGGCGCGACCAACCAGGCGCGCATCGACGTGGCCGAGGCGCAGCTGCGCGGCAACGTGGGTGAGGCCAAGCGCAAGGGCGAGCAGGACCGCGAGATTGCCAAGATCAACGCCGAGACGGCCGTGCAGAAGACGGACCGTGACATCGAGCGCGCGCAGGCCGAGGCCAACCTCGCGACCAACAAGACGCTGCTGACGCGCGACGTCGACATCGCCCGCATCGAGGCCACGCGCGCCACCGAGGAGAAGGACGAGGAGCTCAAGCGCCAGGTCGAGATCAAGCGCGCGGCCGCCGAGCTCGAGCGCCTGCGCGCCACCGACGTCGTCAAGGCGTCCATCGCGCGCGAGAGCAAGCAGCAGGCCGCCGACGCCAAGGCCTACGAGATCACCGCCGACGCCGCCGCCGGCTTCGAGAAGAGCACGCGCCAGACCGACGCCGCCGCCTACAAGACCAAGGCCGACGCCGACGCCTGGAACTACGCCACGGTCAAGAACGCCGACGCCGCGCTGCAGAAGAAGCTCAAGGAGGCCGAGGGCCTGTCCGCCATGGCCGACGCCTACGCCAAGATGGCCCACGCCTTCGGCGGGCCGTCCGGCCTGCTGCAGTACATGATGATCGAGAAGGGCACCTACGTCGAGCTGGCCAACGCCAACGCCAACGCCGTCAAGGGCATGCAGCCCAAGATCAGCGTGTGGAACACGGGCGCCGAGGCCGGCACCGGCGGCCAGGGCGCCGGCCAGGGCCACGGCAGCGACATCAGCACCATGCGCAATGTCTACCAGATGCTCCCGCCCCTGATGACCACCATCAACGAGCAGACGGGCATCTCGCTGCCCGAGTGGCAGTTTGGCCGCCTCGCCGGGCAGATGTCCGAGGCTGAGCGGGGCAAGGGTGCCGTCGTCAACGGCGGGAAGTAAACCCTGAGAGAGGATGTCTGTCTCTACGATTTTCTTTTGTCATGATTCTTTCACTGTCTGATTTTCTTGGTTTACTTTCGGAATACCCACGCTGTGTTTATAGAGTTTGCTTACAGATGCATGCTACGCTACGAGGAGGTTCAGGGGGTGGAATCTTCACTGTTCATGTTTTACTGCGTCGATTTCACTACTGCCCCAGTTTGTACATCACGATACCATCAGTGCAGTTTTGCAAGATAGACTAATTGATTTACATCAAAGCAATCAGGACATCATCTAAATGTGAGGATGCTGATGCAAAAATGAATGAGCTAAATCTGACTCATATCCAAAGCAAAGACACGATTTCTTCGTCCTTTCTACAAATAGCCTACTTTATTTCTAACCAGGGATCCCCTGTAAGGTTTCTCTACGCTGTCCACCGTCTGATACTATCCTCCCATGATTCTTGGTGTTTTCCACTATACCTCCCCACTATCACCTGGATCTGCAATTCTCACTTGCTTCTCCTCACACCTTGGCCTCACCCCAAGCCACTCTCCACTCGTTACATACCGATGCAAAGCATCGTGTTTCTGAATTTAAAGTGGAAGCATCCTAGAGATTCTGATCTCACTTTGCAAAAGCACAGGCTAAACATCCCTTTCTTCTTCATTTTCTCATCATCAGACCCTTTCCGTGGCTCCATCAAACACACCAAGACTCCTTTCTGATAGCCGCACCATCACTGGCAAATGTGCTTCAATCTCTCTTGCACATACCAAGCAGGCCACGATGTCTGAAGATTCACGCCAGTCTGACCATGATGGCAGTGGCATCGCGAAGAGCTCGATGGGTCTGTTCGCCAAATTACCTCTTCACTTGATGATCAGAATCGGTAGATTCTTGCGAGAAGATGGCTCGCTCAACCACGTCACAAAGCTCTCTAAATCCTTGCGACGCCTTTACTTGCCTCACCTGGTTCACACCATCGACCACAGAGGTCCACCATTCCTTCTAACTCGGCGGCTGAAGGCATTCGCTGACGAGAGGGGCCGACTGATCACTGGACAGGACCACATGCATGGAGCGGTGAGGTACGTAAAGATCTACCTCTTTTGAACTGAACCTTGGCCAAACTAATGCCAACTACACAGAAGCTTGACGATTTCAGTCATTCCTTATGACGAACATAAATCTCCCCATAGCCCAGGACGTTGGGACGACCTCCATGACATGATACATGACGATGGCGATGCTCTGCCGGAGCTGATCGCTGAATGCATCCGGTACACCACAAATCTCCAAGGATTGTCACTCAACATTCGCGACCTCGAGGCAGAGCAAAACAAGAAGATGCTCGATCTTTTGAGTGATAAGAGCGACCTCCGTATCGATGTCAAGAACCTACGGCTGAGAGTCCTCAGGGATCTCCCAAGTTACCAAGAGAACTATTTTGCCGATCCCGGCAAAATGTTTGAGGGTTGGACCGATCACTCTCTTCAAACCCTGCAAGTCAATTGCAATCTTGGTTGCTTGTGGCCGCTTTACAACCGCCAAAACCAACTGCGAAGCCTCAGCATCGTATTGGATGATAACGTAGATGAATTGTTCGACATGAAGAAAAAGGATCGTGACCTGATATGCGCTTTTGCATTGATGGTTCGACTGGCATGCTATCACTTCCCAAGCCTTGAAGCTCTGGTTCTTCAAGATTACACCGCTGATTTACGTGGGAAACTTCCATTGGTAAGCCTTTTGCTCCGGGGACAGTTTGCACTACTAACCTTCAAGCGCTCTGTGTAGTCTACTCAGTGCCAACGGATAATCGAGGAGCTACGATCGAACCAGCGGCTCAGGCATCTGGCCTTATTCCAACAGCATCTCGATACGGGACCGAACTTGTTACCTGGGACGTCACCTTATAGCAAAAAGCGTGACGACTGTTTGCGAACAACTGTACGACAAATAGTTTCAGAAGTACCGAGTATCCAATCAGTCAGCTTCATGGATGACAAACCGCGGTGCGTCAAAGCTCATAGAGAAGGCAAGGAGATCCGTGTCTCTAGCCTGGACATGCCAGGATCTCGCCGCGAATTCCCGGCTGTTCTTTTTTAAGGGGAGCAAATATCTCGGAAGACTTGAGGTTGTGTCGACCAGGGCTCGGGTTTCTTCTCCTACTCTATGGACGATGCTGTGTTTTTGGAGGAGGTTTGGCCTTTCAGATGAATTACAAGGTTAATGGGATCCTGTGGATCGATGACAGAGTTATTAACCGGGGCACTTTCAAGTGCCATTTTTGGCTTCAGAGCAGAGATGCATATTTTCCATCAATACCGTTCAACAGCAGCAACAACGAGCAAACCCCCACAACTCGTGTGCAGCCGAATAAGACGGCGGAGGGAAGATACAAAAGGAGGAGGAACAGTGCCCCAACAGAACATTTCCTGTCTCTTATCCTTATTGAGACCTGTTTGTTAGTTCACTTCCCATAGCTGGACAGCTCGTTAATAAACCACTGTACTTGGCTACGAACTCTTACACTCATTGAAGGTGGTGAAAAGTGCCTTGCTAAGGGGAAGCGAGCGCAAGAACCCTAGCTTCTTCACAATTTTTCCAGGCCCCCTCTAGCTTATTGTCGGTTTCTGATCAAGTTCGATAGCTTCCGGCTTACTAGATCAACTCGTTAGAAAATTGATCCCGACATTGCATTGCAACATGATATTTTGGTATGCCGGATCTTCTGCGTGAGATAGGTGTGATGAATCAAAGATCCGACATCCCGTCCCGGTCAATCCTCTTCCAGCTCAGCCAAGTGGTCCCATCGTCACAAAACCCATCCCGTTGCAGCGCCTTCCATACACGCTGGGCATAATCATTCGGCTGGTATGTATCTGGGATAGGTGGGTCTTGCACCATGGCCAGCGCGCGGGCAAAGCTGATGCCAATCCATTCCCTGGGAACGTATTCAGCAGCCTGCCAGTCGATGATGCCAATGCTTTCGTTGTGGGTGTCGATAAGAACGTTTGCGGGTCCCAGATCTCCATGGAAGAAGCGAAAAGGGGGCTCCACGTCGAGGTTGAGCGTCTTGCAGTTTGCAAGAATGTTTGGCATGTCCTTGCGCCTGAGGGACTCACTGAAGCGCCCGTTTGGCGCCGTGGTCCCGTCGATACCGCTGCCTAGCTTGCTTGAGGTGAGTGTACTAACCTCGACACAGGCTTTGGCAATGAGCGTTGCATAGCGATCCTTAACCATATCATCTAACCCCCACCAGAGTCGTTCTGCCGTCTGGCCGAACACCCTGGATGTGACAAGGAAATAGCGATCGTCGTAGCGGGCATGGTAGCGGACTACAGGGAGTGCGAATGTCCGGTTTGGAAGGAGCTTGTGCAACTCCGTGATAGTTACGTCCTCGTCGGTCGAGTCGCAATATACTGTGTGGTGTATTTTGATGAAGACATCTCCGATAGAGTAGACGCACTTGGTTGTTTCAGCTGGGCTTTCATCAGCACCGGGTTCAGTAGCGGTGCCGCCTCCTGCGGCGATATGAACAAGTATCGGATCGTCTTCCGGCTTCCACGGACGAGACGGGGGTGGTGGGACGGGCGCCTCCAATATAGCATAATGGGCTCGATCGGATCCAGTCCAGGTGCTGATAAGACCAGGCGTGTGAGTAGACCAAGGTTGGTCACGGCGAGAGAGTAAGGCGCGGTCTCCGACGAGCCAAGAGTTGTCATTAACAGTAGTAAGACCGAACATAGGCGCCCGGTTCTTCATTGGGACATGTTCGGCGGTGTGGAAGTGCTTGGGCTCTTTGCTGTGAATGCGCAATACCTCCAAAATATTCAGGTACTGCTCCAATGGTGTCATTGCGAGTTAGTTGCGGTTCACGAAATACTAGCAGGGATTGTGAAAGTTGACCGCTGCGGGAGAGAAAAGACGCAGCGCGGTGACGTTTGATGTCATCCGTGTGTGTTAACAGGGTAAGCCACATAACTAAGCCACACGCCGACATCTGTGGCCCTGAAAATGTCAACTGACGGGATGAACTACACGTGTTGTATACGCATTTGCTGACGACTAATACTTGGTAGGACGGTAGGCGTGTGGGATTTATGCAAGCAGTAGTGTAGTGATGGGCGCCGGGTCTAGTCCTGAGCAATGAGGGTCGTGATCATTTGTTTAGACAGATGATGGATCCAGGCTTTTCTGCCTATCTTATCGTGTTGACCGCCCAGGGGATACCTGTCAGCTGGCTTGTTAACTCTGGTGGTGACTGCATGGTGGCTGGAAAAATGGTAGAGGGAAGAGGGAAGGACATAACGCATGGATGGGGAAGATTACATGGAAATATGAAAGGCAAAAAACTGTTGTCTGTTGTCTGTACGATCCCGCCACTCACAGAGGGTTCATATCCCACCGCCCCCACATAGTTCGCCGCCAGATGTTGTCCAGGCTGTACAAGTACCTAAGAGTCAAGATTAGAATACCTGTATCAATAGCAAAATGTCGTGGGGAACTAAGCTGAAGAATGGGTTACGCTCGCATCCTGTAAGCCATAACATGGAGGAGTAGCTGTGAGATGTGGCGGCGGAGCTACTTCTTGTTGAAGTCCAGCAGCTCGCTTCACAAACTGTGTTGGCTAGGGGGATCGCAGTCTCAGCCGACAACCGCTATGGGAAGGGCAGCCAACGTAGTCCCTATAGTCTTTCCCGGGTCGGTTCAAATACTATCATCGACTTATTTTCGATTGTGCCTGTCTGGCAGTCCGAGGTTACCCACTCGTCCACCAGAATTGCATATACGAGTACCTGTGGTTCGGACTTACACAGCCCCTCGCCAAAGCTGATAAGGGAACGATAAGGTACCTGGAGGCCGCCCGAGCCACTGCAATGACATCAACCCAACACGCAACAATCGCGGCACAGGGCATCATTGCGCGACACCACCAGAGAACCTGTTTGGGTTGCTATCTCGCGTGCGTATATAACTATCTCGTACGAGCGACCTTCTCCATAGCCCAAGTGCCCCCATAGAAACTTCTTAGCTCAAAGACACCCACCCAGTGACCCTCGATTGTGCAAGCCACAGCTTCAAAGCAACCCCGCACCTCCGAAGCTCCCCAAAGTATTAAAGCACAACAGAATCATATCACCCCAACACTCGACCTCTGGTTCTCTTCCCTGATTCTCTTCCGACCTCTGATTCTCTTCCGGCCATACCAAAGTCCTTTTGAACAGAAATATCACCTACTCCTCGCGACCCGACTAGAATGAGCGGCGCTGCAAACCCCAACCCGCCCGCCGGGCAGCCTTCTCAGGGCCAAACCAATCCCCAGTACTACCCTCCGCCACCCTCGGGCCCTCCTCCGAACCAGCAGGCTGGCCAGCACCTGAACCAGCCGCATGGGCAATATCCCCCGCAGCATCCCAACGAGACGCCAATCCCCGACTACAACATCCCTCACTACGACCCTGCCCATCAACAATTCCCGCCCCCGCCCATGGCGGAGGGCATCTACGACCACGGCCCGGTCCCGCCGCAGGGCGCGGCTCAGCAACACGCGGCGGCCGGACAAGCACAACAACCTGGCGGAGCAGAGCAGCATGCAGGCGGCAAGTCTAGCAGGTGGAGCGATCGCCTCTCTGGCTGGGGAGTCAAGGCCGCGGCGCCACTAAACATGCTGGCCAACAAGATGGGGTCTGAGAGCTTCCTGCCCACGACCATGGACAAGGAATGCGAGAAGGCCGCGAGGATCCTGAAGAGCTTCTGCAGTAAGTCGTCTCCCTCGTGGCACAGTATTTCTCTTTAGACTGACACATGGAATTGTAGAGGACGGTGTTTATACCGACGGTCAAGCTGCCCCCGGAACTGCTCCTCCCGAACCTGCACCCCAGACCGCACCCGAGAAGCATGGTAAACACGACAAGAAGGACCACGGAAAAGAGAAGGACAAGGCCAAGTCTCGAACTCTCCTCACTATCCCGTCGAAGGTCATTTCCCGTGCTGTCGGTCTGGCCATCTTCACAACGGGCCGCGTAGGCTTCCACGTGTCCGGCGCCACTGGCTCCGGTGTGCTCATTGCACGGCTGCCCGACGGCAGCTGGTCTCCTCCGTCCGGCATCCAGGTCCACTCTGTTGGAGCCGGCTTCGTCATCGGCGCCGATATTTACGACTGTGTCGTCGTCATCAACACCAAGGAGGCGCTCGAGGCCTTCACGCGCACCAGAATGTCGCTCGGTTCCGATCTGGCCGTCGTGGCTGGACCTTGGGGAGCTGGCGGAAGTCTCGACTTTGCTGCCCCTGCTTCCGATCGGGCCCGCAGTAAGGAGAGGGACAACGCTGCGAAGACGGAGACGACCGGACAGCACCCCGCCGGATACCCATCCGACAAACCCGCAGAGGGCCAAGCGTTCGGTGGCGGACCGGCAGCTCCCGGCCAGCCGCAAGTCACGACGGGCGTCAACACCACTACGGCACCGGCGCAATCATCGCCCGCGGATCTGAAACCAGGCACCAGCAAGGACCGCAAGCCCTCCCCCTTCCGCCAGGCCCTCTCCAAGCCGGTGTACTCGTACGTCAAGTCGCGCGGTTTCTACGCCGGCGTCCAGATCGACGGCACCGTCGTCACGGAGCGCAAGGACGCCAACGCGGCTTTCTACGGCAGCCAGGTCCCTGTGGAGCAGATCATCAAGGGCGAAGTCCCGGCCGGCAACTGGCATCACTTGGCCAAGGGCCTGTTTGATGTCGTGAGGGGCGCTGAAGGCCCCAGGAGCCCGACGACTGCCGCTCCGGCCACCGGCGCACCGGGTACCGTGCCGACTGCTGCTCCTGCTGCCGGCAGCTTCGCGCCTACGGCTGGCACTGGGTACTACAGCGGCACGGCAGGTGGCCCGCCCCCGCCCGTGGACGCGACGACTGCGTCGATGCAACACATGAATCTTGGCGGAAGCGCGCCTCCTGCTGCTGCTTCTGCCACTCAGGGCCAGGAGTATTACCCTCCTCCGCCTCCCATGACGAAGGAGCAGGAGGCCGCAGCAGAGAGCTCACACGCGCGTGCTGCTCAGGGAGGACCTCCGCCGCCTGGCTACACTGAGCTGAGCCACTCCGCGGAGCAGCCCCCGGGATATGTCAATGATGGTCAGGTTCGCCCTGGCGTCGGCGATCAGAAGATGCCCCCGCCGCCTCCTGCCCAGTGAGAATTTCCGGGTCGGGGTTGAATTAGGGCTTGATTACGACTGAAGATTGGTTGATGGGTTTTATGCTCATGATTAGCGTTTCTTTTACATCTGATTATCCCCGGACTGTTCCGTAGCATTACCAATAGCATGGTTATGTAAAGTACAAGCCTCTTCTTTATGACAAATAGATGATACCTCCCAATCCAAGGCCGTCTCACCTATTTCCTTTACCGTTCTCTGAACACCCGAGCACAGCGCAAGAGTAAACATTGCCAACAATGTGGTATCTCCTGATTAATTCCGTCTACCAGTCTGACCCCCGCTGGCCTCACCTACCAGCTGGATACTTGCACCTGCGAGCTAATCGTACATGACCTCCAAAGTATCAGGAAAGTGGTGAATCCGCTTCCGTCAAGTCTGCGGAGCGGCCGATGAATCAGTTGGTGACGGGTCTTGGGTGGGATAGTACATCTCCGCCGACACAGTCCCCGGCCAAAAGACAGGGTCGATGCCGGGGATGAAGTAGTTGAAGAGGTTCATGACATCGGTTCCGGCAAACACATCGGCGTCAAGATCGTAAAGATCGTCAGCAGCAGAAAGCGGCATCGCTCCCATCTGCATGGGGCCCGGGTCACTAGGTCCTTCTTCTGGACCATGGTCGGCCGGCGGAACTGACGAACCGATCTGGCCTCCTACGCCCTTTGCCGTCCACACTGCACCGTCGCTGAGGCTAGTACCGTCATTGGCTACCTGCTCGTTTCCTCTGAGACGCACGTTGTTGACGTACTCGCGAGCAATGTACGCGAACTCGGTCAACAGCGAGCCTGGCAGGGTGCCCCCGCTCGCGTATTGCAATCTGCTGAAGTGGCCGCCGGCCATATCGAGAAGTGCGAGGTTGTTGTCCGTCTCGGGGTGCCGCGGGCTGTGGACTACTAGATCGAACAGCACGAACAATGCGATCACCGGGACGCCGGCGATGACCCTAGAGACGCATGTTAGCTCACTTGAACTCTAGCACAGTCTTTTCCAGATAGGCTTTGTTTGGGAGTGACAGTACCAGAGTGGTGTCTGTGGCTCGACTTCGATAAAAGTAGTCAACTCGAGGATTGCCCACGATGTCACCATGATGTCCGTTTTCAGCTGGGACTGCCGGCCGGGGCTGATGATGTCCGGGAAGCTCAACGTCAGCTGAAGGAAGGCTCTCAGGAAGACTAGCCGGCTGCTGTGATAGAGAAAGTGCGTCCACAGAATGACCTGTTGTAGTAGCGGCTGATGCAAGACTTCCTTCCGAAACGTCCCGCCGGGCCGGGCTTCGAGCGGGATCGAGAGGCGCCATTGCTCCAACTCGTCCAGCAGCTTTTCCAGAGTGGCATTATAATATAACCCCGAGCTGCCTCTCACACCGACCGAGAAGACCGAACTGAGGGCTTTGGACAGCAGGCGAGCGTGCCGCACAAAGGACAGGGACCAGTCGACGTCTCCAAGACGGGTCTCTGAAATGAGTGGGAAAGGACAAGCGATGTCGTGGTCGACAAAGACCTGGCGCAGTTGATTAGCAAGGCCCCAGGAGAAAATTCAAGGGCCAGAAACAGCTTACCGATGTGCGTCCAAAGTAGAAGCTCGCGACTTTTTCCATCGTGTACAAGCACCAGAATGTTCTCTGGTAGCCCTCTTGAGCTTCTCCACTCAGGGTGGTATATCCCAGACTCTGGGCTCTCCGCGCCCCTTCGGAAACAATCGCGTGCTCAATAGAGATACACGATATACTGGAGGCGTAGATGGCCATGGCAGCCGTGGCTTGGAGCAGGTTGAGCGAGTTCGGCAGTGTGACCAGGTCAGGGAACAGCGCCAGCGAGGTGGAAAATAGGCTCCACGCCCTCCCGGTCCCGGGTTCGTAACTACCGCCGCCGTCATGTTGACAGCCGAGAGCGAGCACCGTATGATATAATGCGGACCAAGCCTTGTCCCGCTTCAGAAGTGTCGGCAGTTCCCGGCTGCTGGCGGCCGCCTCGAAACTTTGTCGGTTCAGAAACGGGAACACAGAATGAACCTTCTCATAGTAAACTTCACAGCTTGTTAGCATTTGAGAACTGATTTCGTAAATATGGGGAGCGGGGACATTACGGTTAATCCACTTAGCAGCTTGTTCTCTATCTTCAAAGGCTAGGAAATTTCCTTTCCTCCTGGACAGGGGACCCGTCAGAACGGTATCGGCAGGCTTAACGCGACCATTAATGATCGACGATATCCGCTTCACCAAGTCTTTCACCTTGGTATTGCCCAATCTTGCCGACAAGGAAGCCAGTCTGGAGTCAGAGAAGAAGCTCAAATTGTAATTGCCCCCTGTGAAAATGAAGTCAGCTCAGGTCTCTCCGAAGAGATTACCAGACTTCATACCAAAGAGACCAGTCCCCCTGAAGCCGAATTGCTTGTCTTCATTAACGCTCTCTACTCCGTGTGGAGACGCCAACAGTCGGTCAATGTAAAGCAATGACGGCTGGCCGTTATCGTCAGATCCATTACCTGCGCAATTTGATGAATCGCGGTTGAACTAACAAGAGGAGGTGACGGTGTAGGCGCGCGGTTGGGCTCCTTCGCACTGGGGGTTGGCGGCGCATGGTCAGGCAACAGTTGGACATTAACTGAAGGCTTGGTTAAGCGATGGTTCGTATATAGAAATATAGATTTGACCTACCATTGCGTCTCCGAGGGTGCCGTTTGTGGCTGTAATGGCAGGAGATTTTCCGCTCCTAGGAGTACATTAGAAACTCGGCGCGCAACTCCACCCAATACCATGGGTCATGGAACTTACCGAGCAGCGTGTGCATGTACCAGGTCCACCTGAGGGCCCAGGGATTAAGCGATGTCAGTAGACTATTGCAAGTACAGGAAGGCATATGGGTGCGGTGGAGGACATGTGCGGCTTACCGGAGCAACCGACTTTCCGTGACTTGCATGCATCGCAAGCTTTGAGCCTCTTAGGCTCGTGCGCTTCAGGGTTCTCCATGGTAGCGAGGGTTTGAAATCTGACATTCTCGGCGCCGAAAGGCCAAGATGACGATACGCGGACTAGAAGGGGAAATGTCGGATGGGATGAAGGATCTGGTGCGAGGTGTACTAATAAGTCGATAAGTCGTCGGCAGGACCACTTTTTCCTACGGTGGCACGGAGCCGAACTTCCTGATCAAGACTAGCAGCAAGCCTCCATCCCGAGTCATGCCATGTGGTGCGGCTCCGAACTTCCCCTTCTCGTCGCTAACTGGAGCATTTTTATATGAACTCTTCAAGTTCTGCGTCGCCTTTTGACGTACAACGGGTCCGCGGCCCTGGAAACAAAATCGGGCACTCGGATATTTCGGGGATCAGGGGTCCATAGAGATACGAACGCCGTTTGAATCACATGGAAAAATTTGAAGAGATATATAAAAGCCTTCCTGCAGCTTCCTTGGGTTCCTGCAAGAGATGATGTTGCTGCCGCTGTCCTCACTCACTGCTCAAGCTTGTGATATGCAATATGGCTCCGCAAGCGGTTGGAAGCACGCCGGAGAAAGACTCAAGCTTGGAAGCAACATTTGATGAACGGAACACTTCGGGGGTGGGCCTTGCCCTCGAAAGACGTATCACCGATCTCGCCAGGACATTCACACGCAACAGCGTTGCCTCTCTCCCACGGGACCATGCGAATCCCTTCTTCTCCGGTGACCCGACTCTGGACCCGGCCTCTCCGCTCTTCGATCCGAAGCACTGGGCCAGCGCGTTGCTCAACGAATTCTCCAAAGATCCCGAGAAGTTTCCGAGGCATACTGTAGGACTGAGCTACCGCGATGTTGGCGTCTATGGATATGGCAGCTCGACAGACTACCAGAAGAACGTGCTCAACGTTATGTGGCGAGGGCCACAAATCGTTAAAGAGTGGGTCTCAAGCCGGCGGCAGCGAGTTCAGATTCTGAAGGACTTTGACGGCTTGGTGAAGAGGGGTGAGATGTTGTTGGTGCTTGGGAGGCCAGGCAGGTATGTGGGCCCCTTATGCTTCATAGTTACCGCAGGCAACTATCATGTTAATCGTGCTGACCTTACAAACATTCAGTGGTGTGTCGACACTTCTAAAGACCATCGCTGGCCAAACTCATGGACTCCATCTCGAAGAAAAGTCTCACTTCAACTATCAAGGTAAGGCTCTTGGATCTGAGTAGTGGGTGCGAGTCTGCTCAGGTAGCTAATGTTGACCAGGAGTACCTGCACACATCATGCACGACCGCTTCCGTGGCGAGGTCGTCTATCAAGCGGAGACTGATGTTCACTTCCCTCAACTCACCGTGGGCCAGACACTGCTTTTTGCTGCACTAGCGAGGACGCCAAGAAACCGCCTTCCAGGCGTGTCCCGAAAGCTCTATGCCCAGCACCTGCGCGATGTGGTCATGGCAATGTACGGTATCTACCACACGATGGACACTCGTGTGGGCAACGACTTTATCAGGGGCGTCAGCGGAGGAGAGAGGAAGCGAGTCAGCATTGCCGAGGTGACTTTGAACCAGAGCGCGATCCAATGCTGGGACAACAGCACGCGAGGGTTGGATAGTGCGACTGCTCTCGAGTTCGCCCGGATCCTGAGGCTCTCGACAGAGTTTGGCGAGACGGCGGCCGTGGTGGCCATGTATCAGGCTTCACAACCAGCTTACGATGTGAGTTACTAATGATGCTGACGCTACAGTATTGGTGCCGAGGACTAATATCGATGGTTAGACCTTCGACAAAGTTGCTGTTCTATACGAAGGGAGGCAAATCTACTTTGGGAACAAGGACTCTGCAAAAGCCTACTTTACTGATCTTGGCTATCACTGCCCAGACAGACAGACAACAGCCGACTTTCTTACCTCGCTAACCAACCCAGCCGAGCGCATCGTTCGTCCCGGGTATGAGAACAAGGTACCTCGGACACCAGATGAATTCGCCCAGGCTTGGAAAGTGAGCGAGGCAAGGGCACAGCTGTTGGAAGAGATCCGGACTTTTGAGGAGGAATTCCCTCTGGAAGGCGAACAAGTAGAGAAGCTGGAATCTGTGAGAAATGCCAGGAAGTCATCATTAGTGTAAGTCTTCCTGAATCCTGCGCTGTTGCGAACCAGTCAACTTACTGGGTGGTACTTAGGACTTCGAAATCGCCTTACACGCTGTCCATTCATCAGGAGGTGCAGCTTTGCGTAAGCCGAGGCTTGCAGCGACTGCTTCAGGATAAGACGTTCTTCATCATTACCATCCTCGGCAACCTTGTCATCTCTCTGGTTCTTGGCAGCGTCTTCTTCAACCTACCCCCGACCGCCGACAGCATGAACAGTCGAGGTGTCTTGTTGTTCTTTGCAATTCTCTTCAACGCTCTCAGTAGTGCGCTCGAGGTGATTTCTATGCTATCTCATCCTTGGACCTCCTTCTTGTACTAACAGCTGCTATTCAGATCCTGACTCTCTATGCCCAGCGGCCCATCGTGGAGAAACACGCCAGATACGCGATGTACCATCCCTTTTCCGAAGCCATATCGTCCATCATCTGCGATCTCCCGTCCAAGTTCCTATCGACCGTGGCCTTCAATGTGCCTCTGTACTTCATGGCCCACCTTCGTCGTGATGCTGGCCACTTTTTCATTTATCTTCTGTTCGGGTTTACCTGCACGCTCACCGTCTCCATGATGCTGCGGACCATCGGCCAGACCTCGCGCACTATCCATCAAGCTTTGACACCGGCCGCAATCTTCATCGTGTCACTTGTCATATATACGGGCTTCGTCCTCCCGACGCGCAGCATGCAAGGCTGGCTGAGATGGATCAACTATGTCAACCCTATCGCCTACGCGTATGAGAGTCTCATGGCAAACGAGTTCAGCGGCCGCTCGTTTCCCTGCACCCAATTGATCCCTATGGGGCCCCCATATGTCAATGCCACACCCTTGGAGCGGACCTGCTCTTCCGCTGGCGCAGCCCCAGGAGAGGACTTTGTCCGTGGTGATACTTTGATCAATCTTTCTTACGGCTATTACCACTCTCACATCTGGAGGTATGTTATGTTGGACCCATCCGCAAACGCATGCGAACTTGGCTGACAATCGCTCGTCGCTTGCAAGAAATTTTGGCATACTTATTGGCTACATCGTGTTCTTCACCGCGACCTATCTGCTCGCTGCCGAGTATATCTCCATGGATACGAGCAAGGGCGAAGTGCTCATCTTCCGCCGTGGTCACGGAGCCAAACCTTCAGAGAAGAGCACTCAGGATGAAGAATCGGGCACACAAGAATTGAGGCTGCCGTCTGCGACGCCCAATTTGACAGACGATGAGACTTTGGATATTCAGAGGCAGGAAGGCATCCTTCACTGGAGAGACCTTTGCTACGACATCACCATCAAAGGGCACGAGCGGCGGATTCTGGACCACGTCGATGGCTGGGTCAGACCTGGTACCTTGACTGCTCTGATGGTACGTAAATGCAATTTATGTATGTGTGTCGGCTATGATACCGAACAGCTAACGTCTTGTTAGGGGGCTACTGGGGCTGGAAAGACAACCCTGCTGGATGTACTTGCCAACCGGGTCAGTGTCGGAGTGGTGGCTGGCGACGTGTTTGTCAACGGATACCCTCGCGGCAACGCATTCCAACGACAGACGGGATACGTACAGCAGCAGGACCTCCACCTCGAAACCTCGACCGTCAGAGAGGCCCTCCGTTTCAGCGCCGCTCTTAGGCAACCGTCAACAGTTCCACTCGAGGAGAAGAATGCTTATGTGGAGGAAGTCATTCGCCTTCTCGGCATGGAGGAGTACGCAGAGGCCGTGATCGGTGTGCCTGGCGAGGGCCTGAACGTGGAGCAGCGCAAGCGGCTCACCATCGGAGTCGAGCTAGCCGCCAAGCCAGCCTTGCTCCTCTTTCTCGATGAACCGACCTCGGGCCTCGACAGCCAAACAGCCTGGTCTATCGCATCGCTTATTCGAAAACTCTCCGACAATGGCCAGGCCATTCTCTGTACGATCCATCAGCCTTCAGCTCTCCTGTTTCAACAGTTTGATAGGATCCTGCTCCTGGCTAAAGGCGGCAAGACTGTGTACTTTGGGGACATTGGGCACAGTTCCCGCACCTTGATCGAGTACTTCGAGAGGCAGGGTGGTGAGAAGTGCGGCATTGACGATAACCCGGCCGAGTGGATGCTCAAGGTAATCGGAGCAGCTCCAGGAGCGCACACCGACCATGACTGGCACGAGGTTTGGCGGCAAAGCCCCGAGTACCGTCTCGTATGCAGAGAGCTGGAGTCGCTCGAGGCGCTCAGCCTGACGACCGAGAACCCGGAGCGCGGCCATGACCTGGAGACGTACGCGGCGCCTTTTCATCTCCAGCTGGTTGAAGTCACCAAGCGGGCCTTTCAACAGTACTGGCGCACGCCGTCATACATCTACTCCAAACTGATTCTCTGCGGAGGAACTGTAAGTTTGTTCCCCCTTGTCTGACCCATAGGAGAAGCAGCATGGCTAAATGCAACCCACAGAGTCTGTTTATCGGAGTCTCCTTCTACAAAGCCGAGCTCACCATCTCGGGCATGCAACATCAGATGTTCTCCATCTTCATGCTGATGGTCATCTTTGCCTTTCTCGTATACCAGGCCATGCCACACTTCATCAAGCAACGCGACCAGTTCGAGGTAAGGGAGCGCTCATCCAAGACGTACTCGTGGTATGTCTTCGTCATAGCCAATATTGTGGTCGAGCTGCCCTGGGCTACCGTGGCGTCCCTCGTCATCTTCTTTCCTTTCTACTACTTGGTCGGCATGTACGAAAATGCCGTCCCGACAGACGCTGTGCATGAGCGCGGCGCCTTGATGTTTCTCCTGATGTGGTCTTTCATGATATACCAGAGCACCTTCACGGATATGATTGTGGCTAGCATTCCGACGGCCGAAGTGGGAGCAACCCTTGCCCTGCTACTCTTTGCCATGTCGTTGATTTTCTGCGGGTAAGTGTTCTTCCCAAAACCCCCGATCGAAGTGAGGCTCATATTGATGCACCACTCCAGAGTCATGGCTCCCCCCAGCGCCCTACCAGGATTTTGGATATTTATGTATCGCGTGTCGCCCTTTACCTATCTCATCGGAAGCATGCTATCCACCGGCATCGCCAATGCAGAGGTCCACTGCTCGCAGCTGGAGCTCCTCCGGTTCAACCCACCCTCGGGTCAGACTTGCGGCGAATACATGGCGGCGTTTGCGCAGATGGCTGGAGGTGCGGTGTATAACCCGTCTGCAACGCAGGCATGCGAGTACTGCCCGATGGCTAGTACCAATGTGTTCCTCTCCTCAGTCGCGGTTTCGTTTGGTGAGAGGTGGCGCAACTTTGGCATCATCTGGGCCTACATCGCCTTCAATGTGGGTGGCACGGTGCTGGTGTATTGGCTCTTCCGGGTGCCGGGGCGACGTGCAACTCTGAACGTGCTTCACTGCCTTGGGGCAGTACAGCAGAAGCTGGGAGGGCTGCGAAGGGCTGCGTAGCTCCTAGATACAACCTTGGTTGCAACACATCCCATCCACAAGGACAAGCACCAATTTCGTGGCTCCCCTAAGACGGACCACCTTCAACGAGGCTAGACAGATATTGCCGTTATCCCTGGCCTGTTTCATACTTGTAGACGTAGACAATAGAATGATTATATACTCGCAGATTATCAGCCTGCTCTTTAAGACCTAACATGTGATAACTACTCCCGAGGCCGCCGCCTGGTCCACTCCCCCTTGGCCTTTCTCTAATCACCCGTCATGGCTTGGCTGGCCAACATGGTGATCGCCACAATACAGCGGAGACGAGCGCGGATCTTACCCACTGTATTCACCCTTCTGAAACATGGCGCCGGTACTTGAGAGCCACTGGCCCTCGACGTCACAGGCACGAAACAGTGCGCAGAAAACCTTTACCCACTGATTTTCTTAATGAGCTTGCGCGTTCAATTTCTGGGGAGCTGGAAATGATGGGCGTCCCATAATCTTCCGTCCATTGTTTCCCTTGTACGCAAGGTGCGTTACGTGGACTCGATGTTGCAGTCGACCCAACTTTTAATGAGGCTGTGTCGTAGCATCCACCACCCCCGAGGTTTTCGAGTTATCGAATTACGGAGGCAAAGAAGGAATGCCAGATGTCAATAGACTTGTTTTCTCTTATCCAGACAGGAATTTGATTAACGGTTTATTGATCTTGCTCCAGGCGGTCATACATTTTGAAATGGCAAGGGCCAAGAATGATCTTCAAGGGGGGTGTAGTTAAGGGAAGTTTCAAGGCTCGTGATAGACGCTACCTCCGAGGGACCAGGGGTAGGCACATGCTTAAAAGCTTAGCCTTTAGATCTGGACTTCAACTCCACGGTTCTGTTCGTGTATGCCCCCAAGGACCTCACGTTCTTCCACAAGTATGATGCAGGTCGCTTATCAGAAAGACCCAGTGGCGCTCGGTGTATGGACTAAGCAGTGCCTTGGTTGATTGGATGGAAGCGAAATGAAGCAGAGGACGGATGATTCCTGTTGCAGCTGCACCAGATAGAACGGGGCACCGCCTGCCAGACCCTTGCAGCATGTAACTATGTACCTCCCTAGTTCTGGCGGCAAATGCCTCGCCCAGCAAGAAAAGAGAACATTGAAGGCCCAGGGTGCCAGGTTGCGTCAAATCTTGTTCCTGAATGCCTCCAGTTTTTATCACCGCCCTCTGGGTCCGGTGGTGGGGTTCCCATGCCGAAGATCTACGAACAAGCGTGGCAGCTTCCGATGATTGGCGAAAACGGGTGCCCCTGGACCCTCTAATCGGCTCCGACTGTTTCTTGAACAAGATCGAGTACCGGTAATCTTAAGCGGGACTGCGGAGCTCCTCGAGCCCGTCTCAGGGGTTGGCCAGGTGGGATGGAAGGAATGGTTGGTGATTTATCAATGAGTTGAGATCCTGCCAGCTCACCATAGTCCTATTCTTTTCTATGTTGGACCTTTCTGAATGCTCTTGTTTTGCATGAGACTCTCCTTTTCCCAAGATCTTTCTTTCCTATGACCTGGTGACGTTTGTTTGTTTATCTGGGTTCCTTCATAGCCTTCGCACAGTCGTTTCCACATATACACCAGCCTCTTAGTAACACCGGTTCTTTCTTTGTCAAACGGGTTGCTGCCTCTCATTTTGAAATTATACAAGCGACGAACAGCCACTGGGTACTACACGCAAGCCCATACGAGATATTCCCGAAGACATTTTCACGGACCGAACAAGGCATATACATGATAACCGGTCTATCATTGAACTCGGTCCTCACACACAGCCTTCCCACTCTCTACCCTTGCTAAGGGTCACACAACATGGGCTCGAAACTGTCACCGACGGGCCGCCTCCTTACGATGAGGAACCCCTTCACTAGGGCCTTCGTGCTCGCAGTCTGCCTGATGGCGCTGGTCGTTGTCCTGCTGAGATCCGACGCCGACATGCGCTCGGCTGTCGTACGTTCTGCCAACAAGGCCAAGGGCAAGATCTCGCAGCATCCTATTTTTGCCGGCGGCAAGGACGAGGCCGGCCCTAGACAGAACGCGACCCATACCATGGACTGCGGCTATGACATGGAGCAGCTCCGCACGATACGAAAGAAATACGAACTAGACGAGAGCTTCGAGTACTTCAAGAGGTACATCAAGCTCTCGAGGGACGACTCCCACAAGCGGTCGTCGATGACCAAGGTAAAGCAGGACCTTTTGCCCTCCCAGTTCAGTATCATCGACACTACACGGGAGTATCATCCACAAGAGTGCCCGGAGCCCCTGCATGTACCGGTCACGCTATCTCCACGGCCCCAGACGGCAGATCTCTCCGACTTCATGTTCGGGGTCTCTACCACCTACAAGCGCTTCAAGGACCCCAAGACCAGCTCAATCAGAGAGTGGTCCTACTGGCTCACTGATGGCCGGGGCAGCTCCAATGGAGGGAAGCTGGTGCTCCTGCTGCTCGACGCCAACAACTACGAGCTGCAGGACGCACGCAAGAAGCTCCGGGAAGCTGGCATCGACGCGGACGTCTACGCCTCGGACGGCTCCATGGAGATGGCTGTCCGGTACCTGACCCTCATCCCGACGCTCTACCAGCACAGCGAGCGCAAGAACAAGAAGTGGCTCGTCTCGTGCGACGACGACACCTTCTTCCCCTCGCCCAACGCCCTCGTCGAGCGCATGGCCGAGTTCGACACCAGCCTGCCGCTCTACGTCGGCACCCTGTCCGAGGACGTCAACAACATCCAGCGCCACGGCTCCCAGGCCTTTGGCGGCGCGGGAGTCTTCATCTCCGTGCCGCTGGCCGAGCAGGTCGCGCGCCACTACTCTAGCTGCAAGACCGAGGAGGCCGTCAAGGAGGCCAACACGGGCTGGGGCCCGCAGGGCGACATCCTGCTGCGCAACTGCATCTACAAGAACACCGACGTGCGCCTGACGGCCCTCTGGGACCTGTGGCAGCTCGACTTGTACAACGACCCGTCGGGCTTCTACGAGTCCGGCGTCAAGCCGCTGAGCCTGCACCACTACCGCGGCGGCGGCGGCTGGCACACGGCCCACCCCTTCGAGTACACCAAGATCGCGCGCCTCTGCGGCGAGGACTGCACCATGCAGCGCTTCCAGACGGCCGACGACTTCGTCATCGCCAACGGCTTCAGCGTCGCGCGCTACCCGCGCGGCGTCGACTTCAACGCCCAGCAGGTCGAACGGACCTTTACGCCCGCGCCCGAGGACCGCGGGTGGAACCTCGACTTCCGGTTCGGCCCGCAGCGCAAGAGCCTGCTGCAGACGGGGCGGAAGATCTCGTGGGACCTCAAGGAGGCGAGCGTGCGCGGGGACGGCAGCGTGAGCCAGGTCTACGTGCGCCACAAGGACGACTACCGCTGGAAGGACGAGCAGGGCAACGCGATGAGCCACTTTGACGGGGTTATCGAGCTGATCTGGATCGCGTGAAGGGAAAGACGCACTTGTGATGAGTGTGGAGGGCACATTCCCTTGGTATGTTTTATAGTCATTGTGTCCTGCTTGGTGGCGGGACGGTATTGCTGGCGTTTTCGACTTTCCGTCTCCAGGAGGAGAACTGGATTTGACTCGCGTCGCGAGTCCGCATTAGGCGTAATCGGTTGAGGGTTGCGAACATTTGTTCATAAACTTGCGCTTCTTCTTATAAGCCAACTAGATAGAGGGTCATGATTTGGCTGCCTTTCCATGTGCCATGTGCCAGTGAACACTACCTTCGTCTCATACGCAAAGAAGACCCTGTTGAAGATTCATCATCTAACTCTCCACTCTTCAACTGAATATCCTTGCCGTCCTTGTTTGAGCATGCAAATCAAAGCCAGACCTTGAGGCTCAACATCCAGAGTTGTGCGAACGCGGCCTAAATTTCATGGTCTCGTGTGCCAGATTGCGCCATAGCCTTCTCCATCTACCCAGTGACCACTCACGATCATTGCGTTTGCCTGCACAGATAAATACTAGTTTTCCTTGTCCTATTGAGCTTCCTAGCAACTGGTGGTAGCTTTCCGTCCAATGAGGGCTTTCTGGATGCGGGAGGCGCTCACTTGGCAGCGGTGTAATGTTCCTGGGGGCATGAGAGACATATAGAGCCGTCAACCACATACTGCTCAGCCTTGGAGCTGCTTTGGCAGCCAGAACGGTAGATTGACTCGAACGGGCATATGGGGGACATGACGCTCTGAGGACGTCCACTTAGTTCTCGGATGAATCAAGATGTCGTCAGCGCCGAAGATCTTGCCGCATTTTGTCAGAAGTTTCAGATGCACGAGGATAGATGTCAATGTTGTCAATTTGTTCGGTCTCCTCTCCTTCGCTTATGTATTCTTCGAAGGCTTCAAAACCTTCGGCTTCCAACAGATTGATCTGGTCCGCGGCCCAGGCCTATCGTTCATGATCTATCGTTCCTCGACAGAGAACACATTTGGTCGACGTCTATACCCACGCCATTGTCGTCGATAGATACAGCCGCGACCGCGATACCGCGACGAGATCGTCCTCCCCGTCCAGAATTCGTCGGACGACTTCCTCTGATCGTATTTCGGTGAATGAGCTCATGAACAAAGGGACATCACGGAAGTATGTGTCCTTGCCACTTTGAACAATGTCGCCCGTACCGTATTCATTCGGAAGACCTGCATCAAAGTATCCGATGTCCATGGCGTTGAACCTTTGTGTAGGATTTGCACCTGCAGCTTGAGCCACGGTGGGGGGCGGTGCTGGAGCAGCTGCATTCACACGCATCATCGCTTCTGCGGCGGTCGCTGCGATATCATTGTTTCGTTTCATACCGGCTGATCTCCATTCGTTGAGTCTAAGCCCCGCTTTCACGAAATACCACTACACTAACTAGTATCGCATGTACGATATCGGCTTCCAGCCGCAAACATGACTTTGACCACGCCCACTTTTGATTATGATGCAGTCGCAAAAGTTCACCCTATCGCCTCCTAGCCTGGAGGAGCTGGCCAAGGCGCTCCAGGCGCCGCTCGCCGCCAACTTCGAGCAGTCCGCCGTCAGCGTCGTGCCGTGCCCCGACCTCCGAGAGGCACCGTTCGGCCTGGCCACCGCGGGGCTCTCGGGGGACGAGAAGGTCGCAGACGTCGGCGGGCAGCCCAACCTGTTTCCCCGCCCCCGGCTCGGCGCCATATGGTCCATGACGGACATCGCCAGGGCCATGGAGATGGACCCCGGCAGGGGCGGGTTGCTCGGTGCCGGCGCAGGGCCGTTCCACGTGGTCGGCCAGAACTGCGAGCTGGCGCCGAATCTCAGCTGGAGGGACGGCCTCGACAACGTGGACAATCGCACCCGTTATGTCGAGATTGATTGTGCTAATGGGGCCGTCCACGTCGCCCAAAGCTCGTCTGTGGACTGCGCATTGATGGTCAACCTCTTCGGCTCTTCAGGCGATCCGGGACCGGTCCTAAAGATCACGGCCAAGAGGCGAAAGGGTGCCGAGAAGAGCTTCGCAGAGTGTATCCGCAAGGGGCTCCATGCAGCATATGGAGACTCGCAGACAATCAGCCTGGGAGGCGTTTTCCTCGTCAAGTCAGGCAGAGCAACGTACCACGTTATGCCGGATTTTCCGTCCGAGGCGGAGCTCCCTTTTAAAGACCGTGGAGAAGTCGACAAGTGGCTGACCTATCATGACTTCGATGGGCCCATTATGTGTCTATCTGTCCTCCATTCTTCAGACCCTGGGAAGGCGATGGGTCTGCGGATGGAGCATACACACTGTTATTCTACAACTGGGGCACAAACTGGTGGGCATTATCATTACGAAGCAGAGGAAGGTGGCGAGTACATCGAGTATGAGGGATATTTCAACACTGCTAAAGCGATCTACCGTGTGGACAGGCCATGAGTGGTACTTGACGGCGATCTACACGATTAACATCGGCTTGCTGAAATCTACCAAGCACATCCCAAGAGTTTCATGCTGCCAAGCTGCAGAAGAAGCCCATGCATGCTCCAAGGCTTTTCATGTCTATTCGAAAGAATGACGTCGCGGCTCTAGGTGGTTAAATGTCTAGCTAAACAAAGACTTCCGATCTATCTATCTCTTGAAGGTGACGCCTTAACTCCATATATGCAATCATCAATACTAGACTCTACACGCACTGTCCTTCTTGTCACGGCCTCTCAAACCAGCCCTCTATCTGTTATCCTGTATGCGGTATAGTCTTCCTGATTTGCCGAGTAGGCGTCGCTGTTGCCGCTAGAATTGCCTCTCTCAGGCTGGCCAGCATCGGAGCCGGCCATGAGCGACCCGTCACTCTCCCCGGGCCCGATCTCTCTGGCGAGAGTGACAGGGACTCGATCTTTCACAGGGTCAAAAGACCGCATCATTCCAGGTCGGTCGACACTGTCAACGTCATGATAATAGGCACCACCTGGAAGTCTGGTGAATCGCCAGTGGCCCAGTAGTCCCGGTGCGAAATGCTCAACCAAGTCTTTCAAGTGAGCTAGTGAGGCGCAAACGATGGCGAGGTTTGCCCCCACCGATGACCACACGACCACGTCGTGGTTGTTCCCTTTTGCCAGGGGTCAGTGTAAGCTTCATGTGAGTTGCTCATTTGCAGGGTTAAGAGTAGCTCACATGTAGTGTCTTTGGAATTGAAGGCTTGCTTGATCGAGTCCAGGCACAGTATCCCAGTCACACAGACGAACCCCCCCAAAAGGAATACAATTAGCAATGCTATCCGCTGCGCCTTGGGCATCTGAACCGTCCACAGGAGTCTGACAGTCAGAAGGTACACGATAAAGTCCTGGGCGATGTTCAGGCCGGCGTTGGCTAGAGAGAGCGCTTCTTGCTTGATGCAGGTGCCCGGCATGGAGTTGATCCAGGCCTTCTGGACGGGGGTACACTGGAAGATGCTCGCGATGGCCGTTGCCAAGCCAGTCAGCCCGACAAAGATGGCCATGGCATACGTGATTAATTCCAAACTCCTGGCCCGGGTGAAATCAAGGTAATGGAGAAGAATTGATATCTTCGCCAGACTGACGGTGACGTAGTGCGTTGCCTGGCTGAAGAAGAAGAGCTCCAGCCACGATGCGTATCTGGTGCTGCCTTTGGGGAGATCCAGCCGGTGCTGCCCCAGTCCGTATTTGGTCTCTGGTGACGGGTTAGCAGTCTGTCATACCCAGTAGCGAGTCGTACGTACGAAAGCCTGCGTTGATAGTGAATGCCACACTGAACGCCCAGGATGCAAGGATAGTCCAGTCGTCCGCTCGCAAAGCCACCCGTTGAATAGCGAGACGTGTCCAAACCCGGAGGACAAGAGCAAGCATGGACAGCAGGGTCAAGCTGGCGACGATGGCGACGATATCTTCGCTTCGCGACTCATCGGAAGGAGGCCTATAGCCGGGGATGTTGCTCGAGCCGGCACCCGCCATCGTTGCGCCAGGTCTCGGATCATGCGGAGTCCTTCGCCTACGACGAAGGGACGGCGGCGCTGGCGCCTGTGACGCGATGCTCTTGGCTGGAGAGGATACTCGAGACGAACGAGTAGACCATTGCCAGATCGCCAACAATGTTGACTGATAAGGACGACTGAAAAAGAACAAAGGTCCAAGAGAGTGCGTTTCGCGCACGCACAGCACCACCTCTCTTGGTTGGTTGCCTCTACTCTCTACTGCAAAAATCTGGAACGGTCCTTGCACCGTTGAAAGGGGTCGAGACGCTTGGCGGAGGGACCCCTAATCCCGATGCATTCGTCAGCCCAGCTTTGTTTGATCAGGGGTCCCGCCCAAATGTGGAACGGCCGATGCGGCCTAGAACACTGGATCTTTGCTTTGAAATGATTAGTTATGCTTAACAGGGCAGGGCGTTGATCGACTTGTACGAACTCGGTTGTGGACCTCTCAACTATTAACTGCTTGGGATGCCTCACCGTGTTCTTCTGCAACTCAGAATTGTATATGTGACGAATTTGTGATGATGTGGGATCGTGCACCATCGTGTCTGTGCTTCCTGCGCGCCCGTTTGAGAGCCAAAGGGTGCCATTGTCAATGCTGCTCCTTCGCGTCCTCGTAATACCAACATTTCGAGATAATAAGACGCAGCACGTCACTTACCACACCATCGACATCGCATCTCGAGTCTACATCTGCCATGCCCATCAACCTGCCGATCTGCTGTCCAGCATCAAGACGTCGACGGAGGCATGCCGGGCTCTGACGTGGAAGGCGCTTGCTTGCGTGATGGAGCGTGGCATGGGCCCGGCGAGTACGACGCGCGGCGCGAGATGGCCCTGCCGGCCGAGATCCACTGCAGCGACGCGGCTGTCAGGTCAGTACTGACACCATCACTGCCGTCGGCATGTAGGTTTATCTATTCCCAGTGTGCAAAGTTCCGCTGGACAAGGAGTGAAGCTGAAAGCTAGCCTGCTATCAAGCACCCCCTACAGTCTGGAGCAGCCGTTGGCCGAACGACTAGATAACGGGCTGGTTCTCCCGATCTTTGACGGCGCGGGCAATGTTGGAGATCCGGCGGCGTCAGCTGCCTGACCGACTACTTTCGGGGGCTGCAGAGCTCTTCAGCACACCGACTCAACTAGCAGTGGCGGGAAGGAAACAAGGTCAATTGCCGCCATCAAGGCCTAGAGATAGCTTCCGTCTCGACTTGTTTTCGCACAGCTTGACGTGCAGGAAGGGGATCCTGGCGCCTCATTTCGGGTATGCCCCATGATCTGCGCTCAGTGGCCCCCATCTCGGTATTGGAAGAGGGCAATGAATAGACAAGTCGTCTCACGCCTTGGATGCCAAACGATGATCCAAATGTGATGATTGGAGGCTGGAAAGAAGCTGAGCTTGTCTAGCTCGTAGGATACCGACATCTCCAGACAGAAGTAACTGTGTAATCGCTCGGCATTCCTGCTCTATTCCCCTCCCCAAATGGGACCTCGGGAGTTCTGGGTCTGGTGCTTGGCGAGCTGGATAGCATAGCTTCCGCATAAAGTTTAGTTAGCTGCTCACCCGAAAAGCGCCCACGCGCCGTTAGCTCAGCCTCACTCGCAATTCTGACATCAATCCCTTCCCTTCAAACTCTCTTCGAGGAATCGAGTATTTGACTCGAAACATTGCAGACCAACCACTTTTCTCTGCAGGCCGCTTTCCTTCCTACAAAGTTGCATCGCGAAGAGACATCGACAGCTCACAATGGCCCCTTCAAAGTCCGCGCTGGCGCTCACCGTCGCCGGCCTGCTCGCGTGTGCGGGGATGGGCGCCTACGGGACCTTCGGCGCCGGCTTCAACAACGGGCTCTTCGCCGCCATCGAGAACTCAGTCGGCCACGCCCAGCCCGACCCGTACTTTATCTCCGGGCCCAAGCCCTACCGGCTGGTCTACACCGGGTTCGAACCCTTCGACCGGCAGCTCCGGACGCTCATCTCCTTCTTCGTCCTGCTCATCGACGGGCCCAAGACCGGGGACGTCGTGCTCGTGTACTGGTACCTCATGGCCCAGTTCTGCGCCGGCTGGAGCCTCCTGTTCCTCGAGGGCATGCGCAGGGGCAACGCCGACAGGGCCGTCAGCTGGTGAGTACCTCGTCCGCCCTACCCTTGCGAGAAGGCCCATTCGGAACTGAATACAGAAAACCAAAAAAAGGACGGGCGTCATGGGCCTCATCTTCCAAAACATCACCTACACCATCACCGTGCCGCTCTACCTCGTCCTGCACCTCTTCACCTCGCCCCTCGTCGCCGTCGGGCCCGCGACCTCGGACCTGGCCGCCGTCGACGCCATCGACTCGATGACCTTTCCCATCACCAGCCTCGCGGCCTTCTGGGGCCCCGCCGTGCTCATGGCCCTGCCGTCGCCCTCGGCCCGCGTCTCGGCCGCGATGCACTACTCGTGGAACGCGCTGTGGCAGGCCTTCCCCGCCACGCAGGGCCTCTACCGCGGCGTCCTCAAGCTCGCCATCCCGCAGGCCCACGACGCCGGCATCCCGCAGTCCCGCCGGCTCAACCGCCAGGCCCTGGGCTACGTCTACGGCTTCGTCGCGCTGCTCGCCGCCGCCAGCCACCTGGGCCTGCTGGCCGCGGCCCTGGCGCCGGCCTCGCTCGTCCCGGCCGAGTACGGGGCCCTCGTCGCCGAGGTCGACCTGCTCAGCGCCTTCGTGCCGCGCTGGCCCGGCAGCCCGCCCGCCGTGGCCGACGTCGGCGCCGGCGCGCGCATCACCGGCGCGGGCCTGCCGGAGCTGGTCAAGCTCTTCCTCCAGTGGGACATCTACTGCGGCGGCGCGGCGATCCTGATCTGGGCCGTGTACCTGCACGGCGCGGCCGTCCCCGGCCGGAGCCTGGCCGGCCTGCTGCCCAAGGTCGCGGTCTGGACGCTGCTGGGTGGGTTCCCTGCTGCTGCGACTGTTCTGCTGTGGGAGCGCGACTGGGCTGTGTTTGCCGAGGAAAAGGGCAAGAAGACGCAGTGATTTGTGACTGTGGTCCTAAGCTAATCTATGTGCTGGGCGACTCTGTTGGCGACCGGCCGTGTACCTCGAAATGGAACGCCATGTTGTCAATCTCGGGGGCAGGTTCTGAATGTTATCGAAAGTGTTTCTGGGTCAATATGTAATCTAATTATCTTGTCTATATCATATTAAGAATCAATGCACGTTCAAATGCTATCCAAAATCAAAACATCTTTTCAAAACAGCCAAATACCAACGCTATCCGCAAAAAAAGTTCAGACAAAGCTCAGTAAGAGGATATCATGACGGACAAGACAAGACACAGCGCTGCTCCACTCCTCTCTCTCTCTCTCTCTAGATCTCCGTCAAGGCAACTCCACCCGCCTCCCGTCATCCGACACCATCCTGTTCCTGTCCGGCGGCGTCCCCCTCCCCGCGCCGACCCCTCGCGCCTCGTCCGACACCCACTGCGGCGGCGCCTCGTGTATCGAGCTCTGGTGCCCGCCGTCCAGCTCGCCCGCGTACACGGCCTTTTGCCCGTACGCCGTGTTGCCGTACGCCCCGCTGTCCGAGTACGGCCCCTGCTGACCGCCCGGACCGGGGGGTCCCCCGCCGTAGGGGCTGGGCCAGGGGCTCGGCGCGCCGCTGTCGTCGTGCTGCGGCAGCTCCACGGCGTCGGCGGGCCTGTCGCCGCGCCCCCGCCGCCGGCGGACGAGCCACCACGCGCCCGCGATGAGCGCCACGCCCGCG